ATATATAGGCTTTGTACCCCTTACCAGTAGCAATTTGCACATTTTTAATTTTGTCCGAATATCGTGGTCCGTGACTAGTTTCATAAATATTAATAAATATATAATTTTTAAAAATTCATAACTTCACTTAATTCCATTCATTTTAACCCGCGTTTTCATTTTTAGAATCTACAGTATCCAAATATGTCATCCCCTAAAGAACATCGAATTCTTAAAGCAGTCGAGGCGTTTAATAGCACCGAGAACAAGTACACCTTAGTTGAGATCTCAAAATATTTTGATTTTCCATATAGCACACTTCACAATCGCATCAATGGTAGTCAAGATCTTGCCACGGCTCGAGCTGAGCAACAAATATTGATGCCAATATAAGAATCGATTCTCGTGGATCAGATCATTGATTTGTGCAAGTTGAAATCAATCCCATCAACCAAAGATGTGATGGCTATGGCAAGTAAAATATTGCAACTAGAAAACCCTGAAAAACGTGAACCATCACGGTCATGGTTAAGAGGATTTATTCAACGCTCCGGCATTCTAGTGCGGCCAAAACGGGGTGTAATCGATATACCGAGAAGCAGAGAAGGCGGTAAGCTCTTAATTAATTTATTCTTCGAACGTTTGCACCACTACGAAACGAAATTTGATATCCCCCCTTCGCGTGTATGGAATTTGGACGAATGCGGGTTTAAATGTGGTGAATCAGCCGACCATGCAAGAGAAATCGGACCTAAAGATGCTTTAAACAATGCTTCCTATAGATCCTCGATCGATTCGACCACGGTACTTGAATGTATATCGGCTGAGGGACAACTTTTAGAACCACTTTTTATATACAAGGGGGCTAACGTAATGGAGGGTTGGTTTAAAGATATTTCGGTGCCACTAGGCTTTGTATCGACTTCAAAAACGACCTTCATGAACTCAGCTATATTTTTCAAGTGGTTTGATAAATATTTTCCTTCTTCCGAGCCAGATACATGGCAATTATTAACCCTTGATGGTTGCAAAGCCCATGTACCAGAGAAATTCCATTATTTCTCCATCAAAAAACGCGTCATTTTGCTATATTTACCCTCGCTTATGTCGAACGTCTTACAGTCTTTAGATTGATCATGTATTAGTGTTGCTAAACAAACGTTTCGTCATCAAAATGCTATTAACTTTGCAATGGGATTCGCAGCTTCAAAGGACACATTTTATTTGTTATATATGAAAATAAGAAAGCAGGCATACACAAAACAAATTATCAAAGGAGGATGGAGAATCTCTGAGATTTATCCACACAGCGTCATAACTGCTATAAACTCCTTTAGAAAGCAGATGAACCTCCCTATTCTCGAAAGTACCTCTGAATTGTCATGCGAAGTTCAAAGTTCCGAAATCGATATAAATCAGTCTTCTACAAGCTCGGAGGCTTCACCAATCGATTTGGCGCCTTTGAAAACCCCCCATATTTTCTGATTGGAGGACTGAGCGAATGTATATGATGAGGCATCCTAATCAATGTCTGAAGGCACTGAAAAAGGCTAAGGAGGAAGTGGAATCACTCACTTTACGACTCGCTAAAACTCAACAACAATTGACCATTATAGAAAACAAACTTCGATATGCTCTAAAGAACAAGTCAAAGAAGCGGCCTCGTGTAAAACTGGATCAAAATGCCTTGATCTTGGACCTGCTTAAATATGTTCAGGTTGAGGGAAGTGGAAATGCTGATGGAAGGGATTCAAATGATAAGGAAGAACATGAAAGCAACACCGACCACTCAGACTGATTGCTAAATTCAATTCTAAATAATTATATAGTAATTCAAGATATTTTCATGATTATGGCCTATGAGGAAAGAAAGATATAAAATTTGAAAAAAAAAATTAAAGATGTGCAAATTGCTACCGGTAAGGGGTACAAAGCCTATATATATATATATATATAAACCCCCCAAATTTCACAAACGGCTAAATATTTAATTTGTACAATCTTAACAAAAGAATAGATATCGCTAAATTATTAACGATATCGTTTAACGTTATTAAATAATTTAGCAATCTGTAAAAAATAAAATAAAATAAAATAAAAATAAATACTACGTTAAGGGCAAGGGTTTTTTTTTTTTTAATTTGAAGAACAATATATAGTTCTAATTAATACAGAAATAAATTAACAAATAACAAAAAGAATATTATTAAGAAAAAGTTTAGCTATATTAAATTTGCCAAGAAAATAAATAAATAAATAAATAAATAAATAAATACAATGAATTATTATTTGAAAATATTACCAAACTGGAATAACAGACTCTCACTACGTTGACAACTATACTATATAACATCGATAAACTGTAATTTTTTTATTAATATTTCCAATATTTCCAATATTTCCAATATTTCCAATTTTTATTATTTTTATTATTTTTATTATTTTTATTATTTTTATTATTATTACAATCAAACCTTTTCAGATTCATTATATACCTTTTTATTCTTCCAAACTTCAGCAGCCACCCAAGAAACTATTGCAAACATACCAAAAGCAATCGTAAAAGCCACGCTTTTGCGGACCTTTTCTTGAAAATTCCACCACATGTATGGGAAAACCCAGTCTGAAAGCCAAGGATTCAAGACTTTGATGTTCTGAAGAGAAGTCTCAATTCCTGTAGGTAAATACTCCAAAATAACAGACCCACTAGAAGCAAGTAAAATATAAGGATGAAGCTCAAGAGCTTCGTAACTAAACTGGGCAGTCTTCGAGGCCCACCAACTAAACCGAAAATCGGTACTGCTAAGCAACCCAAATCGTAGTACTCCATAACATAGACCTGTGGAAATAACGATAAAAAAATGTGTAAATGAAGTATATGTTTTTTCACGCACAATGAAATATTTGGCATTTTGGACAACGTCTATCGAATTAAATGGATGACGATAGTGACTATCAGAAGGTTGACCGGGGAAATCAAAATTGAATTTGAAAAATACCAAGGTAATGACAGTTATTAAACCAAACCCGGCATAAAAATGAAGATAAGGAATTGGTTCCTTAATTGGAAATATTTTCCGAATTCGTGGAATTAAAATAGCAAATAAAACAACCCAATAGTCTTTCAATAGAAGATCCAAATCCCCCCAATTGTCCTTGTTCTTTCCTATTTGAACAATTAGTCGGGAGATGATTGCAACAATAATAATAAAAACAATTTCGAAAAGACTTTGATTCCAACGCCATGCTGACTTTAATCTACCTGTTTTAGTAGCCAGGCGATCAACAAGGGATATAAATGTATACCAATATATTAACTCGATTGGTAATAAAGTGTAAGTAATTGTACCTGGTGAAGAATTCTCAAAAGTTTTCGAAACACCAGCTGCACCTAATAAAAGTGGAAGTACGGCAGCATGTGAAACAGCACGTCCCCAAGTTTTCAGAGACTCTTGATGGGATTCCTCAGACTCATGATATTCAAGCGAATACAAGTAAACTTCCAGCATGACCCAGGTTGTAAGAAGCACGCGCACAAAAATCTCTCCGGCCATTGACTGAGGAAGAAGATCATACCCTGCATATCTAAAAAGAATCAAAAGAGATGCACAAATACCCTTCCATTCCCGTACAAAAAGCTTTTCTGCTCTATTGGTGTCATTATGAGGGGTACCATGTATTCCAGATACCAAAGTGAATATAACCCATACGTATAAAAACACAATAAATTCGGCTTGATTGTACTGAATAGCAATTTTGGTGACAATATGAGTTTGATTAGTCAAGAATGCAATGCCAGCCACAAGCCCAATGACAAAAAACTCTGCAATTGCTAGTTTGTTAATAGAGCCACCAATACGGCCAATTGTAAAAAAGAGACCAAAAGCTATTACCATGAATAAAATATTTTTCCAAAATGGTTGTTGGGAATTATGACTATAGTCGATGCAACAAGTAACTCCACCAGGTATCTCATTTTGTGCTCGAGAAATTTTAGCATTACAAATGTGGTTCAATAATAAACTGGCTTCTAATCGAAACCCAGGCTCTGTTAAATGGACACCAAACTCATCACGTTGCCATGGGTGATTTTCGCTGGAAAAGTCGTTAACCACAGGTACGTAATACGTTGAGATTTCATGTTCATGACCGGGTGTTGTTTTGTACCTCACGCCTCCAGATCTTGTTTTAGTATTATAGTTAAACAATAGATCGGTAGTATTAGTAACGTTTGAGATATCTAAAGGTGTTAATTCTCGAGCGTGTTCCTCATCCAGCATAACAAAGTGTGGGATAAGTGGTCTTAAAAAGTACACTTGCTCAAAGTTATTTTCCTTTGCACCATCAATTAGTGCAAAAATCTTTTCCATTTGTTGTTTATAATCGGGGATTTTATGTTGAACGTACCAAAGACCACTAGTTAGAATCAAATAAGTTTTAGGTGAATATGTAAGATCTTGGGTAATGGAATTGTCCTTTGCCTTTGGATCTGGCTGAGGTGGTTCACGGTTTGCGGCATCGGATATCATTTTCAATCCCTTTTCTTTAATGTAGGGATCCCATTGGAAGTATACAGTTACATTATCGACATTGAGAGTTATTTGATGTTTGGGTGAAAAGACTTCTTGAGTGATTCCAGTTAGAACGTTTGTAAAGCCCCAAAGAACTTGTCGGGCGGTGGAATCTCCAGTAATTAGAATTCTATCTCCTGGTTTGAAACAAGCACCCATATTACTAGCATTAAAGGAGACGTAGTCTTTTATTACACATCCATCAGGCTGCCAACCTTTAGGCATGTAAGACACGTCATCAAGGTACCGTCCAGATTTTAATAAAGAGTCACAGTTATTTTTAAGTGTAGATGACTTAGTCTGTGGGGAAAATTTATAGTTATCTTGGTGAATTAAGTTTAAGAGGATGGCTAGTCCTGCAATTAAAGGTATCAGTAAAACATAAGGCCTCAGTTCCATCATGTATAAATGTGTGTGTGTGTGTATTAATTAGAAAGGGGGAGAGAGAGAGAGAGAGAGAGAGAGAGAGAGACCAATTTTTTTTTTTAAAGGAGGATTTTACAAGTAACTTTTTATTACAGGTTTTTTTTTTTTTTTTTTTTAGATAAAATATATAGATTATCTATATAGTTAATATACTATATACTGTATATTAGTATTGGTACCGTAAAAAAAAAAATACTACTACTATATAAAGAAAAGAAAAAAAAAGAATGGAATTTATGAATATTTTTTTTTTTTTTGTAAAAAAAACGTGACTATTCAATTGTTAGACCAAAAAATAAAAAAAGTTTTAAAATATATCAATTGGTTTTTATTTTATAAAGTTTAAATTTTTTTTTTTTTTTTTTTTTTTTTTTTCAAGATTCGTTTATTCCATATATGGAATATATATATATTATTATTAATTACTTTATTAAGTAATAATATTAATTAATTAATTAATCAAATATGCTAATATAATAATCACATTACATATAAATTTTAAAGTTGGCAGCGCTTTTCAAAACAATGCCTAATTAAAATATTTAAAACTATTAGATTATATTATATATATATATATATATAAGTAAACTAGTTAAGAGGGTTAGGGGTAAAAACTTTTATTTTAAAAAAAAAAAAAATAAATAAATAAAAAAGAGACACCGTTGCCACTTATATCTCAACAAGTCCTTATTATCGTAGTTAACTAATTATAACCATAATTATAACCATAACTATAATTAAAAATGAAAATGAAAATGAAAAAAAAAACAAATATTAAATCTAAACATTTGATACATTTATATATAAATCTTTTAAACTTTCTATATAAACTGTTTTAATACTTGTCTTTTGCTATTTTTTTTTCTTCTATGCATTAAAAAAAATAAAATAAAATAAAATTAAAAAAAAAAAAAGTATAATACGTCTAAACAAAAAAAACAAAAACAAAAAACAAAAAACTTAATCAATCCTGTCAATTAAAGAAAATTAAAATATAAGCATGTTTAAAGATTAAAGATTAACGGTTAACAGATGATGATCATCATCCCAAAGTTAAGTTTCGTATAAAGCCTAACTTTTAGCTCCCACACCCCCTAAAAATTAATGACCAATATATCAATATATATATATATATATATATATATATATATATATATATTTCATATCTTTGCTTTCAATTGTGTGCTTTTTTTTGTGCTAATATATTTGATATATATCTAAAAGAAATGAAATAAAATATATACCTTTACAAACTTTGTATGGAAACTGTACTCGACCCAATTATACCTAAATAGTAATATTAATACAGGCTAGTTATCAAATAATTATAAGCTTAATAATATAATTTTTTTTTACTGTAACGTTCCAGATATGGACTTTTATGCCAATAATTATTCCATTTTTTTTTATATATAATTTTTTTTTTCTTTTTTCCTTCTTTGTTTATTTTTTCTTTAAAAATACAAGATCTGATATCCTTCTCCATTCTCCATTCTTCATCCTTAATTTCTCAAGCCTCCCTCTCCTCCCCTCCCCTCCCTTTTCACCACACAAAATAATGCTTGGTTGGCTCAAATCAAGCTCTCTAAGACCAGCAATATTGCTCGGATCTCCCATAATTTTAGCTTTACTTGCAATAGCAATCAACTCCATACATCTCTCAAAATACTCATCTTACTCCGATTCATCCACAAATTGTGCAAGTCTTCTAAAACATGGCCGGTACATTGACGACTCTTCTCCAAACCCCAGAGTTTGGCAACCTGATGGATGCACCTTAAGAGACTACGCACTAGAACCTTCAGACTTGTTCAACTATTGCTTTAATCCAGGTGATGAAATCATCTTTACAGGTGACTCCACCGCAAGACAAGTCTTTTGGGGGTTCACAAATACCTTTGAACGAGGACATTTACACAATCACAAAAGACAAAAAGACATTACAACTACAATAAATAACATCACCATCAGTTTTTACTGGAACCCTAAGTTCAACTTTCAAAAACTTTCAAATATCTTGAAATATTCACATACTCCAACAGAGCCCGGAACGAAAAGATACCTTTTCGTCTCTGCAGGGTTATGGTTTGGCTTATTTTCCAGTGAAAAAGATCGTGCCCAAATGCTACCAAAATACAAAACTAAACTTGATGTCTTATTTGATTCATTTGAAAACCGTGTTCCAGGATCTTTCGAAAGTGTTTACTTTGCTCCTGTATTTATCCCTGCTTACCCATACATGCGTTCATTGCGTCGAACCCAAATGTCACCAGAGTTTTGTCAAAAAATGATCAACCATACAGATAACCTGTTCAATTATCAGCGCACCGGCCACGGCGGCGGCCCCGGTTACAAAGGAGGCATTCGCTCATTCAGACCAACTAACAACGAATCCATAGACTTCTACCAAACTAACATCTCCACATACTACGTCCCAGTCTTTAATGAGCTATACAGCGAACATCATTATTCAAGCAGAGAATTGGGTGGAATGCATTTTGTCGAACCTGGGTTTCTCACTGAAGGTAACATTTTGATGAACCACATGTGCAATGAAAAAGTAGCAAAAGCTTACCGTGATCAAAACAAAATCTTCCCCCAAGGAACCTGCTGTGTCCCCCGTCCTCGTGAACATGGATCCCTTGTTTTCATCGGCCTTATTTTGGCCGTTGTACTTTACATTGCCTTTGGCTTTCTACGTTCATGGATTGCTGTCATAACAGGCACTATTGTGGCAGCTGCCTACACAGCTCTCATCAACCGTTCACCAAAAGTGTCTTTTGTCACTCCTTCTTTCCGCAGTGGTGACACAATTATTTTATTCCAGGTATGGGCACTAATCACTTGGGCATCCCTTGGAACAATAACAAAATCAAAATCAAAATCAACAACAATCTTACCTACAACAACAACACAGCAGCAGCAAACAGATCAACATGATAACAATGATGATGATGACGACGAAGAAAATTGGTCTAGACTTTTACGCTCAGAGCTAAAGGGTATTGCCACTTCGCTTCTCATCGTTATTGCAGTATCAGGCTGGGACAGAGCAACTAACCATGTTATGGGAGAAATCTGGTCTCGCGTTTTACTTTCCATTTGGGCTTGTGCAGATATTGTCTCATTTATGGATGAGTATTCTCGCTCCCAACGCAAATTAATTTTTATTCCTTTAAGATTTCTTCGTCTTGCCTTGTTACCCTTAGTTCTCGAAGCCTCTAGTGGCACTTTTGGCCGGGTTACTGATGAATGGCTTTCGCGACTTTCTGCCTCGTCCCATTGGTCTCTCCCAGTACGTTTAAGCTTTTGGTATTTTTTCGTCACTTTATTTTGTCCCATTAGCAAAGTCATCTCGGATAGAGTTGTCTCCTGGGTTGGTATTGATGAAAATTCATTCTTCAGTCATACTGGTAAATCCTACCTAATTGTCATTTTCGCAGCCCTCATCCATATTGGCTTCCAGTTTGGCGCTGACAAATGGCAGCCACTCCGTGTCCTTATTTTTGACTACTGGGTTATTGCCGCCGCCATTGTGGTTGGACCTTCATGGCATGCTTCTGTCAATAATCGCCGTATCTTTTTGGGCGCTATTGTGGCTGCCCTGGTCGCTATAAATATTGCCGGAATGTCATTTGGCTCCTTTTTCCCTCAAACTTATGCAACAATTGAACCCATGGTTCAAGCGGAATTCTTTTCTGGTGTTATTGACGCGGGTCTTGATGCTCGTGCACGCTCTTATAATGCCTTTTGGCATTTCGTTGTCACAATCAGTCTTTTATGGTCATACTCTGTTGTTCGCACAATTATCATGGACATGCGCATTGTGCCTTCTTCTTCATCAATCATGCCTATAATACGCTCCTCGCCAACTTTCTCCCGTGCTTGGACTTTCCTTGGTCCATTATCTTATGAGTTACTTTCTCTTCGACCGCATGTCATTCTTGCACATGGTGGATCGCTTCTTGTTCATTTAATTCCAACTGGTATTATCATGTCAAGTGCTGTGAAGCGCACCATGCTTGGTACAGAAGACCACTTGTACCCTAAAGGCATTGAATTCGAATACGGCACAACATTCGGTGCAGGAAAGTCATACGGGTATGGGTTCCAGTACAGTGTGAGCTGGAACGTTATTGTAGAGACTTTGCGCAGAACATTTTCGTTGGCTCTAGTTCTTTCAGTGGCATTGTCTATTGCATGGGCATGTTCTAGTGGATGGGAAGCTTTGATGAGAAGCATAGAGATTTCAACTTATGACATTGACGGTCAAGTTGAGTTTGAGTTGGTTGAAAATAAAAATGGCTTTCTAGAAGAAGACAACAGCATCGAAGAAAACAGCATCGAAGAAAACAGCAACGATGATAGCATTAAAAAAGATAATACTGAAGATATTGATAAAGAAGAAAATGCTGGTAATAGTCATAGAAAAGAAGAAGGAGAAGAAGAAGAAAATATTTCTCACCATGAAGATGAAGATGACGATCATGATGACACTCAGCACTTGCTGCATAATGATAGAGTAGGAGATGAAAATAAAAATAAAAATACCCGGCCCATAGACCTAACACCATTAAATTAAAAACATAATCCATTTATTTTACCTGTATTTTATAATTAAATTAATTAACAACTTTTGTACAAAAAAAAAAATATAAATAAAAAATATATTGTAAAGGTTTCTTTCAAAGCTAAATTTTGAGCTAAACCTAGTTTCTATTCTAAAATATTTTATTATTATAATTATTATTATTATTATTCTATATGTTGTGAATGTCTTTATAATTTATAATCATTCAAGCTTCCCAGAACTATTATCTTGTGAAACTTCTTTACTCTCCTCCTCAGGGGTCATCATCACCAACCCTTCTTCTTGTTGTTCAAATAGAACCGATCCATTAGCCAAGTTCTCCGCAACATTAATGGCAAGTATAATACCAGTATCCTGTTGCATATCCCCATTTTGTCTTTTCTCCTCATCTACTTCCTTTTCTTCTTCCTCCTTCACTTCTTCAAAGTCGTCCGCACTAACCCTCATAATGTGATTGTTCCAAACCGACGCTGCGCCATGTGCCAGCAGCAACAATACGGTCAGCGAAAGCAATATTGAGGCAGTTTTACGAACCTTTTCAATCAAACGCCATTTGAAATATGGGAAAACAAATTTTTGACTCACAAACCCATAAGTGCGAGTCAACAGTGACGAGTGCACAATACCAGTAGGCAGATAATGAAGTCTAACTGTTCCACTCAGAGCAAGGAAAACATATGGATACAGTTCCAATAACTCATATCCAAATTTTGCCATACGAACCCAGCAATCAATGTAAAAGTACTGAATCATTTGTGGGCGGCTCTGAATCTTTTTGCGAGTGTATCGCAGCAGACCTAAACGGATAATGAAATAAGCACAAGTACCACCAATAACAAAAACAGTATGAGCCAGAGCTGTATAGTCACGGCCACGCGCATCCAGGAGCAAGTTGTAGGGCTCTTGGTGACGGTCGATAAATGAAATGGGGTGTGTTACACCAGCCTCGGATTCGGGCAGGTAGTACTCAAAAGCATATTTACCGATATCAAAAATGCCTAGTAATGCAAACCCTGCAGCAGCAAAAATCATGGGTGTGGGGCATGCAGCATCAGCAACATTTTTGTTAGAAATAAAGATTTGTGTGCATGAATATAGAGCCGCCCAGATTGCGAAAAGCATTGACCAGTAGTCATCATATATAGAAATCAGGGCTCGAACAAAGTTATTAAAGGGGTCTATATCGATAAAACTAATAATAACAGGCATCAAAAGCTGAGGAATAGAAGAGCCAAGAATAAGCATTGAAGTTTGAATTCCAAATTGAATACTAGGAAGAGTCTGAATCACGGAAGAGTCTGTTTCCAAATCGTTGAGATTATTATCCTTTGTAAATGAATCTTTTATAGTGACGAAGGAAGCCTTTGACATAAAGCTAATCATAGGAAAACAAAAATAAACAAAAATGTACCAAAATCCAAGCTTGCAAGCAGGATCAATGTAAGATTGTGGGACAGTACCTGGAAGCGAATCACGGACTGAATATGTAACACTGACTGAAAGAAGCATTGGCAAAGTTAATACTCGAGCAAAAGATTTTGCAAAAACTGGGAGCGGGAAAGTGTATGCCTGTTCTAAGGTTGCATTTGCAAGAGGAGTTTGACCATCAACTTGGATTGATTTGAATGAATCAAAATATTCGAGACAAAAAATGTATAATTCCACTAGAGACCAAGTACTAACAAACACCCGAGTAAGAAGCTCGCCATCAAAAACGTGCGGAATGATATTATACCCTGTGAATTGGATAATAAGCAGAAGGGAAACACAGATACCTTGTAGTTCTAACAACAAAGGTTTGGCGAGACGATATCGTGACTGCTGTGTGACTTTGGTTGAAATTTTTTCAACGCCATAAGAAAAGTATTGCGTAAGAGAAAAAATAGAAAGAATTGAAATAATGGCCCATAATTGTAGTAAGCCAGACATTTCTGTAGGGCTATAAAATATCGAAACTTTAGAAATAAGCTGTGTTTCGTTGGAGATGCGAGCCCAAGCAGTTATAAGACCAAGGATAACTACAGTGGTAACTGAGGCTTTAAAAATTGGCATAGCCATGTTTATATCATAACTATATGCTGCAAATATAAGAGCGAAAAGGGGGATTATCAAGATACTTTTGTCAAAAATTTGGCGGATTGACGGTTTAAAGATTGAATGTTTGGTGCCGTATTTGTAGTCCTCATACTCCACACAGCAAGTAGCTCCAGATGGTGGTCTACCAGTTGCTTTAGCAATGCGATTATTGCACATATGATTGAGAAGAATGTTTGCTTGGATAAGGAATCCACGTTCCCAGAAATGAATGCCCATATCATCATGGGATCCTTGGTGATTTTCTGCAGAAAGTTCGTTAAAGACAGGGACATAGTAAGCTGAAATCTGATCTGTACGACCTTTGCGGGTCCGATATCTAACACCTCCAGTATACAAAGTTGGTTCAAGAGGGCTTTTGACGGTCTCGTTAATGCGGACGTAATTAAAATATTCATCGGCAATTCTTTCGACAGAATGGATTTGGCTATGAGTCATGGATATTTGACGGTTTCTATCTAGCGAATCGTAGTGTGGAATAAGAAGTGGAGCAAAGTAAACTGCTTCAAAAGCATCGTCTACACGGTTATCGATTTCTTTGAGAATGGCGCTTGTTTTTTCCGCATAACTCTTGGCTACAACGGTAGGGTCTTCCTTGCCAGCAAACCAAGATCCTGCAGTCATATAAAGGTAAGTTTTTGGCTTGTAATTTATATCCAAATTGTATTTCAAAGGCTGGATTTTTTCATTTGCTTTAAGACCGTTGCGTGCAATTGACCGGATATTGCCGGCTGTAGATTCGTTAAAGTAAGAAGACCAAACAAGAGTGATTGTGACACCGTTAACAACGATTTGAGAATTGGCATGACTATCCATTTTTTGCAAAGAGCCCCGATGAAGGGTGTTGGCGAACCCCCAAAAAACTTGGCGAACAGTTGAATCGCCGAAAAAGATGACTTGATCTCCGGGTTTAAAACACGAGGATAAGTCGTCAGTTTCTATGGACCGGTAAGTTTTCATGGCACACCCGTCTGGTTGCCATCCTGAAGGCGATTCGTTAACGTCTTCAATGTAGCGGCCATATTTAAGTATGGAGTCGCAATTTGAGGTCAAAGTGGATGTAACTTTAGTTTGCATGGGGCCCTTTTTGTAAGGGGTTGCTAAGGTGTATTGGTCCATGTGTTTTATGTTGCTCAGAATAGCGAGACCAACTAGTATTGGAACGAATATCCATAAAACATTGAAAAAGGAGGGCGATTCTCTTAATCGCGGCCGCAAAAGGCGTAGCAGCTGCTTAAGCAGTGACGCCAAAAAGAAGCGAAGCGATGGCATTTACTTTAAATATTGTGTGTGTTGGCTTTAATAAATGAAAAAGAGTAAACAACAACAACAAAAAAAAAATTAGTTGTATATGGAGAGAGTATTTTGTTAAAAAAAAAAAACATAACTGGCTTATAATATATTACATCTAAATAAGATACATAAAAAAATGATAGCATTTAAACCGTGAAAAAAAAAAAAAAAAAATTTGGTAGTTACAATGAAACAACTCCAAAAAAATCAAAGGAGGTGTTAGTACATTGATTTATTCAAAAACTTTAGATATAAAAAATTGATTATATAGGGGAGGGGGTTTAGAAGTATATATTTAAAGAATAAAAATAATTATATAAAAAAATACGCCTGGTTCATCAAATGGGAATACTCTTTGAGGCTTTTTTTTTTTTTTTTTTTTAAAAAAAAAATAATACATTTATCACGTATCATGTAAAATTCTTGGTGCTTGAAAAATATCACTAAACTACTTTAACAAATACGCATTGTTACGTAACATACAATAGATGTTTATACGTACTATATAACAACATGCATAGATGAAAAGAACGTGGGAAACTTTATTCATTTGTAAAATTCGTAGATATATATATATATATATATATATAAACCATTTTCAATCATATTACAAGAATATTCAGTTATAATAATAATTAATGAAAAAGCTCAATTAAAAACATTTGACTCAAAATTTTGAAATTTCATATGCACAAACCTCATTAATTGTATTTTTTTTTTAGATTTTAATTGTAAATACTGGTAAGAGTTTAATAATTGTTTAAGAAATGATATGATAATAATCTAAGAAAGAAATTGTAAGAAAAAAAATCAACCAATCAATGAAACAATTATACTTTGGTATCACCAAGTGACATTAGTTTAAATCCCCAATTTTGTAAGGTTCATTATTCTAAAAAAAAAAAAAAAAAAAAAAAAAAGTATACAAAGCGCTGAAAAATATGATTGCAGTTTGTTGAAAGTTATCATCAGATTAATATATTATTGAATTTGAAAAATATCGAATACTTTTTTTTAGCGAACGTTTTAATATACTTTGGTTTCAAGATAATTAAAAAAAACAATTTTTTGTTTTTGCAATATAAAATAGTATATAATGATTACACTTTAAAGTGAAATCATAAAATTATAATTATAATTATAGTTATAAAATCATAAATAATTGCATATATTTGTGTCAAATAATTAGCTTTTAAACCAAAAACCATATATATTTTTATATATATGTGAGAAGTTTAAACATTTCGTAATTTTTTTTTTTTGCACAAACATTATCATTGCAAATTTTTATATTTTCCCAAAGTATTATGCAATATTCACACTTTAGAAAATTATTTACTATGTACTATGTATATTCCTATTTTTTTTTTTTGTTTTTCTCTATATATAATTTTTGGTAATGTCGTTAATAAAAACAACTCAATCTCATTATGATCGTATACAACCTTGAGTTTTTTTTTTTTAAATATATAATATATGTACCAATGTAATTACTCAAAAAAGATGTAATTAATTTAAAAAATTGCTATTCGAAATCATCTTTTACTATGCAACCACTGCTTTGGAATTTATTCAATATGGCATGAATACATATCTTTATTATCTATAGATAAATCATATGATAGTTGCTTAAGTTTGATAAGAAATGATTTATCAAGGTAGGATTTACTTCTATTTTTTGGACTCAAAACAAAATTTTTAGATAATGGATTACCTCAAATTTAAAACTATTTCAATGAATGATCTCCTGTGTTCATTTTTAAATAAACAATCACTTCCTAGAATAACCTCAACTATAATTTGACCGTAGTTTCAGTTCAAATGCCAATTTAATTAATAAAATATTTGTAGATCATTTTTTTTAAAATTATATATATATATACACTCACAGTTATTATTTTTTTAAATTCAAAGTCAGTAAAATTCCTGCGTGTATAAAGAGTTGTGTTTAGATAATATATAAAGGTATTGAATTAAGGGAATTAAATTAGGTCCCATTTTTTTTCCAGCTCGACTTGTTTCCCTTCTAACATTTGGTCCCATCAAGTTATGTCGTCCAAATTGGAAATGAAGACAATAAAGGTCTACAAAAAAAAAAAAAAAAAAAAAAAAAAAAGTATCTATCTGGTGCTTAAGAATATGAAATATCTAGATCACTTATTGTAACAATCATTGGATTGGATTGGATTTGTACTTGTAATCAGAAGTTAACTAAAAAAAATTGAGTATAATCAGAACAAAAGGTAAGCAAAATATAATTTAATTAAAAAAAATATAGTACCTTCATATGCAGGTATAATAAACTATAATAAAAAAAAAATACAATCTAGAAAGAAAGAAAAAAAAATTGGGCATTTTCCTGGAGAGGATTTCAGAGTATTCAAGATGCCATTTTCAGTTGCCAATTATTTATCATTTATTCCTTTAGTTGACAAAAAATTAGCCTTTTTTTTTTTTTTATTATAAGGATAATATGGACATTGATTTTGCTAAAAAAAGATCTATAGTTATCATAATCACTATGATGTGAATTCCTGTAATATGTATACATGTGCATGTGAATTGTAACGAAGTGATATGTAAAATTCTACGAAGCAGAAGTACTCGAAAAGTCACATTTTAAACCATTTTCTTGGCATTTTCCTATCGATGATGAAAGCTATATATTAAAGTTTATTCCTCAAATATATATAGACCTCTCTTATGAAAGTCGAAATAATTAACAGCTTGAGCATTTTTCAAAGCTATTGTAAATCCTAAAATTTTAATCAAAACTTAAAAAAAAAAAAAAAATTCTATTTATTTTTTTTTTGTCTTACAATTTCAAAATATTTAAATAGTATGTTCAATATAAAGTTCCTATGTTTCCTCTTTTATTACCATTTTTTCTTATTTTTCATAATTTTATTTAATCTTTTTTTTTTTTTTTTTTTTTTTTTTTTTTCCAACAAAAAATCCATTTCCCTCATTTTTAACAATTTAATTGATGAAGTATTTTCCAGCAACACTTATTTCTCGAGGTTTCCTGCGAATTATCAGGATCCTTGTTATCATCATAGCAATATATGGATTACTATACCATTTTTCAATAAATCTTTCTTTACCTACACAACCAATAAGTTATTTTCCAGAACTTGTCAGTCTTGAAAGATTACTAGGCTCAAATCAAACTATAGACAATAAATTTGCTGATAATGTTTACGAACGTGCCAATGCCACATTTGTTACGCTTGCAAGAAATGAAGATCTTTTCGACCTTCTGGCTGCAGTTCAATCAGTCGAATACAGTTTTAACAGCAAATACAAATACGATTGGATTTTTTTTAATGACAAAGAATTTTCACCAATATTTAAAAGATATTTTTCGAAATTAGTTTCAGGGAAAGCTGAATTCCACATCCTTGATGAACAATATTGGGGATACCCAGATTGGGTTGACCTTGAAAAAGCCAAAAAAAGTAGAGAAGATTTGGTAGCCAAAAAAATCATTTACGGTGGTTCAGAGTCTTACCGCCACATGTGTCGCTTCGAATCGGGGCTTTTCTATCGTCATCCTGCCCTCAACAACTACAAATATTACTGGCGTGTTGAACCAGGTGTCAAATACACCTGTCTTGCAGACAAAGACTACTTCAAATATATGGAAGAAAATGACCTCACTTATGGATTTACCATTTCTCTTATTGAACATCGGAAAACCATACCTTCCCTTTGGAATACCACTCTTAATTTTCTTCACCAAAACCCTCAGTTTATTCACGAAAACAATTTCATTGATTTTATTACCGACGAACACATGACGGAATATAATTTATGTCACTTTTGGTCAAACTTTGAAATTGCTGATCTGGACTTTTATCGCAGTGAAGCCTATTCAAAATACTTTGACTATCTGGATGCATCAGGAGGGTTTTTTTATGAGCGTTGGGGAGATGCACCAGTTCATTCAATTGCTGCTTCTATTTTCCTTAATAAAACAAAGATTCACCATTTTGATGACATTGGCTACGAACATCCACCATTTCAATCATGTCCATCATCGGAACAAACTCGCTTGAACAATAAGTGTGTTTGCAATCCAAAGAAAAGTTTCACATGGTCACCAAGATCATGCGTGGGCCGTTATTACCGATTACAGGGCAAACTTAGACCTAAAAATGAAATTACTCCCAATATTGATGAACCGATATCTGACGGCTCAAATAAGCTTGAAGAGATTAAAGAGAAGATTAAAACAAATTTAGAAGATAAAAAAAGTAATAAAAAAAAGGGCGGTTCATAATGAATTTACAATTTCAAGTTTAGTGGGGAACAAAAATAAGTTTGAGACTGAAAGTTATTAATAAGTGAATGTGAAAAAAGAAAAAAAAAATAAAACAATAGAGGAGATGATTATTTACCAAAAGATTCAAAATATTAGAGATATTTTTTATACGTAAGCAATATTAAATGCTTGATTTTAAAATAGATGAAAGTTTGTATTTAATAGTTATTGTATATATATATAGTATAATTTCAATTACCGTGTATACGGAATATTTTAATTACATAATAATGACTAATAATCATTTATAATATCTCAATATATTATTGGAGTTAGTAACCATTGTTAAAATGTAATAGAAAGTAGTAATAAAGATGAGATTAAGAATCTCAGATATTATCAAGATTTTTATTTCTATTTGTCAAATATATACTTTACAGGTACTATTGCAATGAGTTGCTTTATTTTTTTTTAGTTCTAGGCTACTTGAAATAAATGTCATATAAAGCATAAAAACTTATTAATTTGTATGTATTTTGAATAAAAAGAAATCATCGAAAAACCTACTTTAAATTGTACTTAAAACGGCTAGTTCCATTTAATGTTATCTGGATAATAAATAAATAATAAACATTATATATATTCTTACTCATTATATTAATGATATTGTCAAAGTAAAAAAAAAAAAAAAAAAAACTTTAAATCATTTTAAGACGAGAAGTTTTTTTTTTTTTTTTTCTTTAAAGACTGAAGTAAAAGTAGATTAGTTGTTATATAATTTAAAGAGTTTACTTTAAAGTTATAATTTAAAAACTCAGATAACACTTGATAACTTATCTGATAAATAAATACTCAAAAGAAGAGGGGTGGGGGGGAAGAAAAAAAAAAAAAAGAAAATTTGTTTTATTTTAAAGTGAAAAAAGAAAAAAAAAAAAAAAATAAGGTATCATACACAGAGGTATCCAGTTATCAGTCATATATATATATTGTACCAATAAAATATTTTTATTTATTTATTTATTTTTTTTTTTAAAACAAAAAGGGACCCTTTTTTTTATTTTTTATTTTTGCCAAGAAATTTAACGATATTCTTATCCATTCAGCTGCAAAAGAATTCTTAGTGGTGTTGTAGTATCTCGATCCTCGATAGCTTAAAAAAAAAAACAACATAACTGTTTATTTATATACTTTAAATGCAATAAACTATGAAAGTAAAACGTTTTTTAATTCAGCCGCAATAAGCCGCCATGAGCCTTTTTATTTTTATTTTTATTTTATTTTTATTTTATTTTTATCAATTTCAAGATTTAAGTTGTTTGAACAATAGAAGATAAAAATATGGAGAAATAATAAATAAAACTTAATAAATTCAAATTTAAATTTTTTTTTTTGTTTGTTTAATAAAAGTTTCTTTTTTTTTTTTCTGTTTTACTTCTAAAAGTATTTATATATGGTAAATAAATACTTCATCATTTTACAGCAATCAAATCAAATAGGTTTTTAACACTTAATTAATTTAAAAAAAAAAAATAAATTAAAGGGACTACTGGTATAAATATATATAAATAATAAAAACTAATGCTATACCAAGAAAAATAAAAAAAAAAATCAATTGACAAAATCTTACTTGTCATTGATCATCTTAGTTGTTTTATGGCTATCTATTTGCTTGAAATAATCAGGGTTATATTTTAGTGTATTTTAAAATTTCCTAAACAAATATATAGATATATATATTATTTAATTATAATAATTATCAGTTATTATAGAATATTTTATTTTATACAACAAAATTACCTCCATTATTATTAATTTTTTTTTTTAAAAAAAAAAAAAATTATTTCGATAATGGGTCAGCCGCAATAATGGGTCTAATGGTGACGTTGAGTTGTGTATGGTATTTTTTTTTTTTTTTTTTTTTTTTTTAAAAGGAATACAACTTTACACATTAAACTATTAAAAATGACTAAACTGGGGTTATCTGATTAGATATTTCAATCAAAAGTAAAATTAACTTTGAAACATTTTACAGATTATTATTCTTAATCCAAGCAAAAACAAACTGCATAAGTTTTTTTTTTTTTTTTTATATTATAAAAAAATAAAATTAGTATACTAACTACGTAGTTATTCTATTTATTTATTTATAAAAAAAAAAAAAAACTACTAATTTTTTAAAACCTCTAAATATGAAATTTAACAGAAACCACCACCCTCATTTCTTATTAATTAAAAATAAAGGGATTAGGAAAATATGGGAATATATTTTGTAAAGAAAAAGTTTAAAAGTTTTTTTTTTTTTTTTTTTTTTTTTTTTTCAAACTGGCTCAATCATATTATTGAAATTTTGATCAAAGAATTCCATAAGCATAATAAAGGTTGTTGAAAATGATGATAACCACTTTTAGAACTCTTGTTGTGTCTATTTCATCATATTCATATTTATGTGATTATCATAATCTTGTAGATTTGAGTACATATTGGCAGTTATTAGCCGAGGCTACTAGTTCAGTTTATGTATTTATTATTCCTAAGCAAAACTATTATGCTTTGATGCTTTAAAACTTTAGGGTTAGCAAAGCACTATATATTTATATATATTAAGCCATTATTTTGATTTGTATCGGTGTATTAAAGGAGAAAAATTTTTTTTTAATAAGAATTTCTTAAATTTTCAAGAAATTTAATTAATTGAAAATAATTATCTTTATATAATTCTTACCTTGATTTTAAAATAATGTTAGCCACACAAATAGCGATATTTTCATATTTATTATTATTATTATTATTATTATTATTATTATTATTATTATTATTATTATTATTATTATTATTATTATTATTATTATTATTATTATTAAAAAGGAGTGCTAAGTACAATAGTCTCATAACTAAATTAGTAAATGTCGCGTTGATTAGAGACAAAACTGGAAAGGGTAGTTAAGAGAGATACCTACGTAAACAAAGCATGTAGTTTCAGAAATATTTTTTGCAAATATTTTTTGCAAATATTCTTTTTTTTTTTTTTGCTTCTCGGTAGAAACTTTAATTAATTAATTAATTTAATTTTTTTTTTTGGTCTGTGTGGGTTCTCACCAAAATTTTTGAATTTTGATTTTTTATTAAAAAATTCCTCAATTATTCTTTAAATTTATATATATATAATTTTTTTTTTTTTTCAAAAGCAGGCGTTTATCAAACCGAAAATAAATTAAAGAGAAAACTTGTATTTATAATAATTATAATAATTATAATAATTATAATAATTATAATATAACTTGGCAGTTAATTAATGATGGACCACGTAATCACGCAAATGACTTTAACCTTCGAAGGTTAAAGAGGGAATTCCCTCTTTTCATCAAAAAAGAAAAAAAGAAAAAAAATATCAAAATTTTTTATAAATAAAGGAAAACATTTTTTTTTTTTTTTAATTTATCAAAGAAATAATTTAAAAGTCTTTTTTTTCTTCTTCTTCTTCTTTTTTTTTTTTTCTTTGATTTAGAGGTTATATAGTTATGACCTGTACAAATTATAATGTTTTTGCTTCATTCCACGTGTGCCGTATATAATGTTTACGTGAAAATGTTTATTCATATATAAAAAAAAATAGAAATAAGTTGAAATTATAGATGTCGTTACAAGTTATATACTTGAGGCGGATCTCTACTAGTATACACCTAAGGATATATCCTAAAGGAAAATGTAAAAAAAAAGCTCAAAATTATCATCATCATCAATGTATACTAAACGCATATTTAAAAAAAAAAAAAAAAAAAAAAAATTGGATTCTAATTAAATAATAACAAAGAATGTATCGTAAAGATTAATGTGCTCCGTCATTATTATATATATATATATATACTACCAAGACTTCACTAGTTACTAGGTATGGTCAGGAATCCCAAAAACTCCATAAACATCTAAGTTGAGGTATCTGTTCCTGAGATATATACAGACATTGAAAAGTTTGGGTAATTGTTGTTTCTATGTTTCCCAAAAAAAAAAAAAAAAAAAAATTAAAATAAAATTTGAATAATATAAAAATCAGTTGCCATAGAATAAATTTATAACCTCAAGTTATAACCATTTGGTCTTGTCGGGGCTGTGGTTTTTTTCTGTCAATATTAAAAAATAAAAAAAAAAAAATTACTTCCTTTTAAAATAATGAACTGTTTCAAAGTTCCCAACTAGAATTTCAATTGAATTTTTTTTTAGCCAAGTCTTTATTTTTATTTTTTATGTGTATAAACTATAACACTGTTTTAATTTCTATTTTATTTATTTATTTATTTTTTTTTGGGATTCTCTTCTCTCACTCAGTTTTTTTTATTTTATTTAATTTATTTTTTTCGTAACTTCCTCAATCCATTTTCCCTCAATAAAACTTCATCCCAATGAAATATTTTCCAATATCGCTCATTTCCCGGAATTCTTTGCGGGCTCTTAGAATTTTGGTCATCACTATGGCCATTACTGGCCTAATATACCAGTTTTCATTCAACATATTTTCTCCTTATAAACTTCCTTACTCTATACAAGACTTGTCTTCTTTAGAAATCCTCTCACATTCACAGGGTAATTCAGACATTAAAACAATAGATCAACCTTACCAACGAGCAAATGCGACATTTGTCACTCTTGCACAAAATAAAGACCTTTACAGTTTAATGGAAGCTATCCAATCTGTCGAAAACAGCTTCAACAAAAAATACAAATATGATTGGGTTTTCTTCAACGACAATGAATTCTCACCAGAGTTTAAAGAAATAATTTCAAATCAAGTCTCTGGTAATGCCTCCTTTCACATTATTGGGAAAGAGTATTGGGGATATCCAGATTGGATTGACCTTGAAAAGGCCAAAAAGGGTAGAGAAGAAATGGCTGCAGCAAAAATCGTCTACGGTGGCTCCGAATCTTATCGCCACATGTGTCGCTTTGAATCAGGATTTTTCTATCGCCACCCTGCCCTCAACAACTACAAATATTACTGGCGTGTTGAACCAGGTGTCAAATACACCTGTCTTGCAGACAAAGATTACTTCAAATATATGGAAGATAATGACCTCACTTATGGATTCACATTATCTCTCATTGAATTTAGACGAAGTATCCCCACACTATGGAATACTACTCTTGATTTCATCCACCAAAACCCACAATACATTCATAAAAATAATTTGGTTGAGTTCATTACTGAAGCCAATATGACAGAATACAACTTATGTCACTTTTGGTCAAACTTTGAAATTGCTGATCTGGACTTTTATCGTAGTGAAGCCTATTCAAAATACTTTGACTATTTGGATAGCCAGGGCGGATTTTTCTACGAGCGTTGGGGAGATGCACCAGTTCATTCCATTGCAGTTTCTCTTTTCCTCAATAAAACAAAAATCCATCATTTCGACAATATTGGATATGAGCATCCACCATTTCAATCATGTCCTTCGTCTAAAAAGACTCGTTTGGAAAACAAGTGTTTTTGTAACCCTCGGAAAAGTTTTACATGGACATATAAATCATGTGTAGCCAAGTATTATGAAGCCCAAGGGTTGCCAAGGCCACCTTTTGAAAAGGACACTCAAAAGGTACTAATGAATAATGAATAAACACAATAAGTGAAACATAATGAATTATATATATAAAATAAAAGTATATAAGCCTATGGTTTTTTTTTAATAAGAAAAAAAAATGAATGAATAGAATTTTGAAACTAGGATTGAAATTATGCCAGAAAAAGAAATGACCAAAGTGCCCTTTTCGGCATTTGAGAAGTAATCAACGCTTATTCAAATTTACTTTCCAAGAAAGATACATACAAAAAAAAAAGAAAAAAACAATATAAAGTTTACCCGGTCGTTGAATAAAATTGAAAGAAACCCCCCCCCCCTCCCCCCTGCTATTTTCTAGTAGAGAACAATTACTGATATAATTTGCAGTCCAGGACTTTTTTTTTTTTAAAATGAAATTTATTCAAATCTTTTAGTTGATTAACTTACTATTAATTTCACTGATTAGAATTTATCGTATTTACTTATTTTTAAAAAATTGAGAAATCTTGCATGTTCAATAATTAGAAGTTTTCATGGTCAATTCCTTTTCAGTAATCATGTAACTTAATAGCCTGATGTCGATATTATATTACGTAATACCTACCTTGATCGAACAATATTTTTTTTTCTTTTTTCTTTTTTCTTTTTTTTTATTTTTTAGATGACGTTGAAAATTGTTGAAATTGAAATATTTATATATCAATGTTAAAGATGATTAAAAAAAAAAAAAAAAAAAAATACAATAAATAAATGGAAAAGAGAGAAATATGTAGAAATTTTCTTCACATTTATTTATTTTTTTGCCTTTCAATAATTTGACGGTTGTGCGTACAAAATTTACTGAAAGAGAATAGAATTCTGAATATTGAAGGATATTAATACGCTGTTCTATTTTTAAAATGTGTAATTACAATGAATTACACTTTTTCAAAGAGTTGATACAAATACCTGATTTGTATCTCATACTAAAAAAAACTCATTCACTCATTCACTAACACTGTTGAAAATACGTGGGAGGGAAATGGGAAATGCCCCTAACAAAATGGCCAATTTCTTATAAATCTGCAAGAAATTTTGATTTTTATCTCCTCCTCGTCCTAATTCGATCATAAAAAATTACCATCTTGGGAATTCTTTGATAATCATCAACACAAACATTACTAAGATTAATTAAATTCTTACTAAATTCCAACACAATCCTGACTAATTTGTCACGTGAAGCTTTTCCATTTTCCCACCCATTTATTTTCAAGTGTGTAATTAAGATAAATTTAAATTTAAATTTAAATATAAATAAAACTAACTCTACTAATATATGTTACATTTACTTTACATTCTCGAAATATCATCACACACTAACGATTAGTAACAATTATAATTAATCCCCTGATAGTCTTCTTGAATATATATATATCTTGCATATACTTGAACGAATGTGGGACACTCTTATAGACTTTTAAGTCTTAAGAGCAACCTTTGAAGTCCCCTTTGCTAATTATTATATTCAAACTGATAGTTTAATTATACAGTTTGAATGAATTTTTTAATCTCCCTTTTTTTGAAAACAAATAAGGACCAATATATATATATATATATATATATATATATATATATATATATATTAATTACATGCAATTAGCCAATCTCTGTTTCAATTGGTTTCGATTTCATTAACTTCATCAATTAGGAAAAGCTTTCAGGACCAAACCAATTTGATTTTAAAAAAAAAAAAAATAAGATGAAGTTATTAAAAAAATAATAGTTACGTTTAAAAATACCAAATAAAATACGAAATAATGAACATTTCAGCACTTTGTCACTTTGTCACTTTGTCACTTTGAAGATTAACATTCGATTCTACAAGGCCCACATTTATCTTCGGAGCTGATGCTTACATAACTACAATAGAAATTTTCATGGGAAATATCTCAATGTCAAACAATGGCTTATGTAATAATAAAAGAAATATGACTAATCTTTAATAATTGACGACACATAAATTATTAAAATTTAAGTATGTACTTAAAAAAAAGTTTTTCTTTTTTTTTTTGTCAAAACATAAATATTATGAAATAATTAATTAACTCAGTTAACTCAGTTAATTCATAATTCATAATTCAAATTTGATATAGATATATATATATATATATTTAAAACGTAATTTAATTATATTTCTAAATTGTATTTAGAACCGTCTAAACATTAATGTACTACTACTCCTGTCTTCATAAAGATTAACACTCCTCCTTTTATACCCAACTCTAGCTTTTTGTTCTATTTGTATCAACTGGAATCTCAAGCCCAGCTACTTTATAGAATCTCGGCACACAAGAGTAACTCTGCCAGGCAAAATGATCATCTGGATTACAAACACACTTGTTGTCCATCCGCCACTTTTTAAGAGTAGGACAACTGTTTACTGGGTCATGCTTATATCCAATATCATCAAAATGATGAACCTCACTTTTATTTAAAAACAATGACGCACCAATCGTGTGAACTGGGGCATCACCCCAGCGCTCGTAGAAAAAGCCGCCCTGGTGATCCAAATAGTCAAAATATTTTGAATAGGCTTCTTCACGCCAAAAATCCATGTCTGCAACCTCAAAGTTAGACCAAAAATGACATAGATTGTAATCCTTGCCGCCATTTTTCGATATAAACTCCATCAAGTTGTCTTTGGCAAGTAACTCGGGGTTCTCTTTAATAAACTTGACTGTGGTATCCCATAACGTTGGAATCGTACCCCTATATTCATATAATGATATAATAAACCCATATCGCAACTTATGATCTTCCATGTATTTGAAAACATCATAGTTAATGTCACAGAAAATTTTAATACTGGGCTCCACACGCCAGTAGTACTTGTACTTGTTCAAGAACGGGTGACGCCAAAAAAATCCTGACTCGTAACGGCACATGTGACGGTATGATTCTGATCCACCGTAAGCAATTCTAGCTTTACGCATTTTTTCACGGGCCTCTTTAGCCTTGGTTTGGTCAATCCATTCGGGGTAACTCCAGTGCTCATGAGGTATGACTTCGTAGTATGTGTTTCCAGAAATAAGTTTCGAAGTCAACTCTTTAAACCGGTCATCAAATTCCTCGTCGTTCAAAAACACCCAATCGTACTTGTACTTGTGATTGAAGCGGTCCTCAATAGCACGGATAGACTCAATCATGTCCCAAATTTCTTGGTTGCGTGCAAGAGTAACAAAGGTCGCATTTGCTTTGACATAAGTGCTTTCTGTATTTAATTCTGAAGGTTGCTGTAAAGCTTGTTCTAATGTTTGCTGTGATTTAATGCCTGGTATTGGGGCATTTTTTAGCAGGGCACCATAATAAGCTGTATATGCATTGTCGCTTGTAAACAGGTGGTAAATCAGGCCCACCAACAGTACAGCGATAACTGCAAACCGTATTAAGCGAATAGTGACTCGAGACATTTTATAGAGATTTTCCCTTCTCTCTTATTTTAATCTGTTTCTATATCTCTTTCTTTATCAAAAAAAAAAAAAGTTGTTTTCTTTAAAAAAAAAAAAAAAAAACTGATTTAATTAGCCTCTGGAGAAAACTCAACCCCTTTATTAGATTGGTGTCATGTTGCTAAACCACCCAGTAGTTTTCCCAAAAAAAGTATTAAGCGTGCAGTGCGAAAAAAAGCTAATTATCGTCAATAAGAAAAATATATGGGTTAGGGCTTTAAACTTACATTTTGGTAACATTCATGTTATTCAAACGAAGCAATGCTTTTAGCACTAAATTAAATTAAAAAGTATGCCTTACAAGTTTTTTTTTGTTTTTTTTCCTACAATAAAAATACTCGACAGGAAACTTTTATACTTTTAAAGGCTTAAATTAATAACTTTTTGTTGTTAAAATTTAATAATAACTTACCAGCTTATGAAGTTTAATATTTATGGTAAATCAAAACTGGATAGCCTTTAATACATTTTCTGTATTGAAAAGACTTTTCCCTAATTTATTAGTGTATCAGTTCTGGATAAATGGCAAACCTAAAAGTTTTTTGATCGCCTAATTATATGAACAAATAGGAATTTTTTCTTTTCAACTGATAAGATATTAATTAGTTGTACTATTTCGATTTCGAGGTTTATCCACAAAACTTTTTTAAGTTTAATTGATGATAAATTAAGATTCATTGCCCTGTTTACTCAATGTCTTACATTTTACTTTAAACTGAAGCTTAACCTTTTGCAATTGATTCCATATTCAAACTCAATAAATACCTATCTAGTTAAGATAAGTTAGGAAGGTTTGGTTTTTGACCACCTGTTCCTCCTAAGCTTGCGTCAAGACTTATTTTTGGGGCAGTTGGAGATGCAATGTTGAAGTCAAATTAAAAGTTTATTATGAAAACGAAAATATATATATATATATATATATATATATAACGAACAAGAAAGGTAGCACATATGCTGATATTATATATATAATTCTATAGTCATTGAATAAAAAAGCAAACAAACAAAGAAATACCCATATATATATTTTAGTCTATCATTTGTATTAATTATTTTTCTGAACATGCTAAACAATGTAACTGCTTTATTTATACAAACACACACACCCCGCTTATTCATTAAACATTCTTCTCTATCCTAGAAGACAAATCAACTTTATTTGCAGTGCTGATTTGATTCCCTCTTCTTCTATTTACTTTCAAACCTCTATCATTCCAAACCGATGCACAGCACTGAGCCAGCAGTATTAACACAGAAAGTCCTAGTGCTACCGATGCAATTTTACGAGTTTTCTCAGCTATTTTCCATTTAAAATAGGGAAACACAAAGTTGCGACTCACAAAATAATATGTCCGAGTGACTAGCGACGAATGAATGACACCAGTCGGTAGGTAATGTAGTCTCACAGTGCCACTCACAGCAAGAAATATGTACGGATACAATTCTAGAATCTCATAACTAAATTTGGCTATGTAGATCCAGCAGCCCATGTAATAGTACTGTGTATTATTGTGTTGGCTGTGTAGCTCTTTGCGTGTGTATCTTAGCAAGCCTAATCGGAGTATAATATATGCAGTTATCCCGCAAAGAACAAATATACCATGTATTAGGGTATTATAATCACGACCACGGACATCTAGCAGCAACTCATACAACTTTTGATGACGATCAATAAATGAAATAGGGTGTGTTGCACCGGATTCAGACTTTGGAAGATAGTAGGCAAATGCAAACTTGCCAATATCAAAAAGGCATACCAGGCAAACACCTGCCGCTGTTGTAGCCATTGGTCCTGGATATATAGTATCAGAAATGTTTTGATTATAATGGTATACCTGTGTGCATGAATAAAGTGCTTCCCAGACTGCAAAAAGCATAATCCAAAAATCTTCAAATATTGATATGAAAGCACGCAAAGAACTATTGAATACATCAATCTCTATTAAATTAAGAATCATAGGTGCAATAAGTTGCGGTATGGAGGACCCGATAATGAGAAAAAAAGTTTGAGTAATAAGATAGGTATTAGTAAGTTTATGTTTAGTTTGAGCATGTGATTTAAACACTTCTAATTCTTCATTATCGGTCTCAAAAGAAACCTGAGACATAAGGTTTATTATAGGGAATCCGAAATAAATAAAAATATACCAAAAAACAATTTTACATGCTGGATCAATATATGACTGGGGGAAATTACCTGGGAGAGAGTTGCGAGTCGAATATGTGACGCTGGTTGAAAGAAGCATTGGCAAAGTAACCACACGAGCCATTGATTTTGAAAAAACCGGTAATGGAAGAGAGTAAGCCTGTTTCAATGTAGCAGCAGCAAGAGGAACATGACCATCGATTTGAATAGGCTTAAAAGAATCAAAGTATTTGAGACAGAAAGCATACAACTCCACTAAAGACCATATGCTCATAAGAACTCTGGTATAAAGTTCGCCATCAAAAATATGCGGGATCAGATTATAACCGGTAAATTGGATGATAAGAAGCAATGAAACGCAAACACCTTGTAGCTCCAAAAGTAATGGTATTGAAAGTCGATAATGCAATTTTCCTTTATTGTTAGTTTCTAACGATTCAATTCCGTAGCAAAAGCACTGATTGAAAAAAACAATAGAAAGAATCGAAGTTAATGACCATATTTGTAGCCAAACAGTCATTTCAGTTGAACTGTAGTAAATAGAAACTTTAGAAATAAGTTGTGTTTCGTTTGAGATGCGAGCCCAGGCCGTAACAATACCTTGCACAACCACAGAATTAATGACAGTCTTCAAAACGGGGATAGCCATTTCTGGATTAAATCTATAAGCGGAAAAAACAAGAGCAAATAAAGGAACTATCAAAAGTGCCTTGTCCAAAATTCTGTGGATTGAAGGGAAAATGGTGGATTCAACATTGTATTTGTAATCATCGTACTGCACACAACAAGTGGCACCGGCCGGCGGTCTACCCATTTCTTGTGCAATGCGGTCGTTACAAATATGGTTAAGAAGAATGTTTGCTTGAAGAAGAAACCCATGTTCGGCGAAATGGATTCCCATATCGTCATGGATGCCTTGATGATTTTCCGCAGAAAGCTCGTTAAAAACAGGCACATAATAAGCCGAGATTTCGTCCGTGCGATCTTTCTGGGTGCGGTATCTGACCCCACCTGAATATAATGCTGGATTAATGCGGTCTTTGACTGTCTCATTTGTGCGTACGTAATTAAACAACTCATCAGCAATTTCTTCAATTGAATGTATCTGGCTATGTGTCATGGATATCTGACGATTTTTGTCTAGGGAATCATAATGTGGAATAAGAGGAGGGGAAAAATAAACTGCTTCAAAAGCATCATCAACGCGGTTATCAATGTCTTTAAAAATATCTATGGTATTAGCGCGATATTTGGTTGCAACTTCCGAGGGATTTTCCTTGCCTGCAAACCAGGACCCAGCACTCATGTAAAGATAAGTTTTTGGCTTGTAAGTTTTGTCTTTATGAAATTCCTGGGCTTTTATTTTATGCTCTGAATTGAACCCGTCTCTTGAAATGTTACGAATGATATCGGCGTTTGTTTCATTGAAGTATGATGACCAATAAAGAGTGACTGTGACGCCGTTAAAGGAGACTTGAAGGTCGGCATGGTTGTCCATTTTTTGCAAATAGCCTCGATAAAGAGTATTTACAAACCCCCAATAAACTTGGCGGACCGTTGAGTCACCAAAAAAAATCACTTCGTCACCGGGCTTGAAACAGGTGTTTAAATCATCTTCATATATTGAGTGATAAGTTTTCATTGCGCATCCATCTGGTTGCCAGCCCGAGGGTGATTCATTGACATCATCGATGTAGCGACCATACTTGAGAATAGAGTCGCAGTTAGAAGTTAATGTTGATGGAATTTTATCATGATCAGGGCCATTTTGTGTTGCCAGGGTGTACTGGTTCATGTGCTGGAAATTGATTAGTATAAATAAGCCTGTTATTATTGGAATCAAGATTGCAAAGAAATGGTAGAAAGAAGGGTTTCCTCTTGGTTGCAACCACAATAGACGCATCAGCTGTTTTAGCAGCGATGACAGAAAAAAGCGGAGCGATAGCATTTACTTGTTTTAAGAATCGAGATTGGATTGGTGGAGAAAGAGGTAAATGATGTATTCCCGTGCATGGTTTTTGTTTGTTGTTGTTGTTACTAGAATAAACTTTATTATTAGTGACTTGTCTATATATTACAGGGAGAAATAAAATAAAAAGTAAAAATGTCCACGCTAAATAGGTTGTAGAGAAGTCAAATTAGTTCAAGTATATGAACTTCGGTTCGAACCAATTTTTTTAAAAAAAAGGTCTTGATTAGGAGGAGAAATGAGTTCTTTTTTTTTATTTATTTATTTTTTTTTTTTAAGAATCCTTTATCATAAAAAATAAAAACCTTGGCACAAAGCACTTTTCAAAATAAATATATAAAGACTTTTCATCTCGTAAGTAGAAATAATTTATTAGATTAATTAATCTAATATATCACCCAATTATTTGATCTCGTAAAAATATCATCAAATCACTGGAAAGTCTAGATCAGGGGGGCGCTAGCTAAAGAATAATATTTACGAGTATATAAGCTTTAGCTAAAAAAAAAAAACTTTTCATTTCAAGAGATAATTTATAAATAATAAATTTTCATGTTTTTTTTTTCTATCGTATTGGAAAGCAAAGTTTTATCTTGCATTATTTATAAACCAAAAAGTTGGTTATAGTTAAACAAACAAAATTATATATTTAACTTAGTTAAAATAACGAAATTAATATTATTATAACAATCAAAAAAAAAAAAAATCTAATTTACTGCATATCTTTTCTTTTCTATTTTCTATAATTACACAAGATCATTTGTTTCCTTCTCAGGGGTTTCTTCTATAGGAGAGTGATGTCTTTCTATAAAATCATTCTCCCAAACTCCTGAGCTCCACTCAGAACCCACCCAAAGCATTCCACTAGTAATTGCCACGACTACACACTTTCGAAGTTTTCCGGCTAATTCCCACCAAAAATACGGAAATTGCCAATCTGCTGGCACCAAATCCATAGTTCGCATCATTAGCGACGATGGTCCTCCGCCAGTTGGCAGATACTCAAGTCGAATACTCCCACAAGCTGCTAGAAACATGTAGGAATGTAACTCAAGTGCCTCGTAACTCAAATTTGCCATCATTCTTGCCCACAAACTGAACCGGTGGCCTGTGTGTTCTAAAACAGAGACTCGCAGTATAATGTAGCACGCGCCCGCGCACACTACAGAAATTGCATGCACAAGGGGGGTGTACCCATCCCCGCGTGTGCTCAGCACCTTTTCGTATTCATGCGATCTGTTGGGTGGAAATGGCAATGGGAATCCCTCTCCAGAAATGTTACTTGGTAGATTCAAATGGCCATCAAAAACCACTATATTGCACAAAGTAACAAGACCGATTGCTGCTCCCAAGACTGCACCAATTGGCACTTTTTTGGGCACGGCTGGTAAAAACGGTCGTACTTGGGCAACAAAAAAAATAGCAATAAAACACAGCCAGTACTCACTGGAAATTGCATTCAAAAAATGTGAATTGGTGTACTCAAGTGCAAATATTTTAACCCATATATGTGAAATCATTTGCGGGATTCCCGCGAGTAAAACAAGTAATGGAGCTGCAAATCGAGGGTTTGCCCAGGGTTGTGTTGATAAAGACTTAAGAGACATTAATGGGCCTACCAAGTAAAGAAAAGTGTACCAATAGATGAGATTTACCGGAAGGTCAATAAATGTAATAGAGTTTGGTCTAGAATCTTGGAATGCTGTAGAAACTCCAGCAGCTCCTAAAAGTAAAGGAAGAACAGATGTCCGGGCCATACTTTGTAACCATACTCTGAAAGATTCCTTGTATTTTTTCCCAGATTCCAAATAATCAACGCTATAGCAATAAAGCTCCAGCATGGTCCAAGTGGAAAGAAGAATGCGCTCCATAATGACTCCAGAAAATGTTTCATCAACTTCCCCAAGCCCGCTGTACCGGATAATCAAGAAAAGCGACACACAAATGCCTTTCCACTCCCGCACAAATAGTCTTTCAAATCCAGTACTGGAACGTGGTTTATCAAGCCCCAGGGAAATTAAAATAAGAAATGTCCAGGCTTCAATCATTCCTAAAAGCTCTGTGAAGTTATATTCAAACCCCAATTTACTGATTACTTGGGTTTGGTTAGTAAGGTGAGCATATCCAGCCACAAGCCCAATGACAACAAATGCAATAGCTGCGCGCTTCAAAGAGTTAGTGAGAACAAGAATTCCTCCTGCAAGTACTGCTAAAGAAAGGCCTTTAAATAAAGAGTGGTTATTTAATTTGGTATAGTCAACACAACATGTAGCACCATCTAAAGGAGATCCTTGTGCCTGAGCAATTTTGTTATTACACATGTGATTGAACAAGATTCTAGCTTCAGTCATAAACCCAGGCTCCAAAAGATGTATACCACCATTATCACGAATTCCAGCATGGTTCTCTCCAGACAATTGATTAAAAACTGGGACATAATATGCTGATATTTGGTCTTTTCTTCCCTCCATTTGTCGGTATCGTACGCCTCCCATTTGAGATTTAAAATTGAAATTGAACATTTCGTTAGTTTGGTTTACCAACTGTTTAAATTTATCTTTAGTCATTCGTTCAGCATGTTTTAAATCCAAAGCATTAAACAATGGAACAAGTGGAGGTGCAAGGTATACAGAGTCAAAACTATTGTCGGTGCGCCAATCCAAAACGTCAAGGAGTCTTTTCAGCTGAACATCATATCCATTTACGTTTCGGTTAATGTACCAAGGGCCAAAAGTAACAAAAAGATAAAGCTTTGGTGTATATGTGATATCCTTATTGTGTTCGAGAGCTGGGGTTCTTAAACTTGAACGTAAACCGTTGAGAGTAATATCTAAGATTTGGTCAAACCCTGTACTGTTGAGATACTCATCCCAGATGAAAGTTGCTGAAACGCCATTGACTACATTGGTAAGTGTCTTATGGGGTGCAAAGATTTCATCTCTCAGCCCTAACAGAAGGTTGGAGAACCCCCAGTATACATGGCGGGCTGTTGAATCGCCAACAACAATGATTTGATCTCCTGGCTGTAAACAAGCGTCAATTTGAGGTTTTTCAAGCGATGTGTAATGCTTTAGCACACACCCATCAGGCTGCCATCCTTTTGGAATTGTAGAAGTGTCTTGAATGTATTTGCCGGCTTTAAGGATTGAGTTACAGTTTGTGGTAAGGATGGACGAGTTTTGGTGAGAAGAAAATCTATACTTTTTCATGTGAATTAGATTGGCCAGTATGGCAGCCATAGCCACGAAAGGAATCAAAAAGAGTTTGATTTCCATTTTGAATGAAGAAAAATTTAAGTTGTTTAAAAATAAAAAAAGAACAAATATATAAAAAAAGAATAAAAGAATAAAAGAAATATTACAAAAAAAAAAAAAAATAGAGAAAAAATCTTTAATTATAAGAAATTACCAAAATCCCGGCTTATTTCTAACTAAAAAGAAGATGTACTAAAAGAGAAACTCTTTGGACCCTGATATGTCACAGCTGAGACTTCTAAAGTAGAAGTTAAGTTAGTGAATAAGAAAAAAAAAAAAGGGAAATTTCGCCTAAAAAAAATACTAAAAAAATTTTTCCAGGAGATTTTAAAAATAAATAATAATACCAATAACACCAACAACAAATAGTTCCAACTATTGGCGAAGAATGCTGCTTTCTTCCATGACAAATAAGAAGAATCATGATAAAAAGACGCCCCCATCTGTGATTTTATCATAACATGTCCCATCTAGATGTGCCCTTCCAAGGCTTAATTATTCTGCCTGCGTTACTATGCGCGGTACCTAATACAAAACGGGAACACAAGGGTCTCGCGATTCCGGGTGAGTTGGAAGAATAAAAGAAAAAAAGAAGAAGAAGAAGAAGAATATATGTGACATAGAAGTTTGAAAATGTTGTGAATAATATAATTATGAGATTTGGTATTAATGATAACAAAGATGATAATAATATATATATATAAAATTCTTTTATTGATTATTTCAATTCATTATAATAAAAAACAGCATAGTGATATTCAGTATGACTTGTCAAAATGCCTGCAAAATTCAGGTAAAAAAAAAAAAAAAAAAGAAAATCTGCATTACAGCAACTTTTCTTATTCTAAGCTTATTATAAGCAAAACACTATGCTTATATTTAGACATAAATCACATTATAATTAATCAAGCTTTTTCTATTTTTTTTATAAATAAAAATAATAATCTATCTTATATAAAATATATCTTATATTCTTCATTCTAATCATTCTAAATTTATTAACTTCTCTCTTCTTTTAAATGTTGCCCTGAAACTGATTTCTGAAGTGCACAGGGTCTTTGTTTCAAAGCCGCCTGCGGTTCCCAAACAAATGCACAACTCTTGGACAAAGTCCAAAGCATCCCGCTAGAAATAGCCATTGAAAAACACTTGCGGACTTTTTCCATTAACCGCCATTGAAAATATGGAAACTTAAAGGCGCTATCCACAAAGTAAAGGGTCCTTGTCACCGACGAAGAGTTGACAATTCCTGTCGGAAGATAGTGCAAGTGCAATGTTCCGCTGGCTGCTAAAAAAACATAAGAATAAAGCTCCAGCACTTCATAACTAAACTTTCCAAGTGCAACCCAACAAGCGGAATAGTAATAATAATAATAACCCTTGTCAATTACTGCTTTTGTGTTCTTTAGTATTGCCAAACGTAAAACAATATAGCATGCTGCAGTAATCAAAACAATGACTGAATGTACTACTGGAGTATAATGAAGCCCCCTTGCTGTTAAATAACGATCAAATTCTTCTCTGTGGAGCTCAATATATGGCATGGGGTTGTTGAGACCATTCTTATTGAAAAAGACAAAGTATGAAAAATAGTATTGTACAGCATTGACAAAAAGCAAAAAAAATAATGCAACTCCCGCAGCAACAGAAAAGGAAGGGAATATTTCTTCAGAATTGTTTTCAAGTACTAATTCTAAAAATGTTAATGATGATGAAGTATTGCCTGTTGTAGAAGAAAATAATGTGTAAGAAGGAAGTGGTGATGGTTTTTCTGTAAATAACGTTAAAGAGACCCAAATCATTACTAAGTTAGCCCAAAAATCATCCTGAACAGAACTGTTGGCAGGAACAATAATCTTTGCAGTAAGAGAAACAGCTGCTAAAATTAAAGTCTTTAATGCAAGTTTGTTATGGCTTAAACAATGCGGAACAACAATAAAAACCACAATTGTCCAAAAAGTCAATTTAGTAGCCAGTATTAAGTAGGAATGCGGGATAGATCCAGACAAAGAATTGTTATCAAAGGCCCCCCTAACACAAACACTGAGAAATAAAGGCAATGTTAAAATGCGAGCCAAAGTTCGAACAAGACAGGTTGAAATTGAAATGTAAACTTGCTTCACGTTAATATTACTGCTTTGATCATAATAAAGAAACCTCTGACAAGTTTTGTAAATCTCAACCATGGACCATAAAGATACTAATACTCGAGCAACTATTTCATAATCAAAAGTTTCAATATGGTAACGACTACCCGTGTATTCAATAATGAGCAACAGTGAAACACATATACCTTGCCATTCTGCTAAAAAAATTTGAGATTGATTGTTTGGTTCAAGCAATTCTTCCTTGTTCAAATACTTTGAAAAAAAGTAAGATGAGAAAATAGAAGCCACAAACCAAGCTTGTAGTAACCCTTTAAACTCTGCTGAACTAAATGATATTGAAGACTTGCTGATAAGGCCAGTTTCATTAGAAACATATGACCACAAAGCTACACTGCCAATAACACCTAGAACAAGACCTGTCGATTTAAATAGCAGTCCAGAAAATTGGAACTTGTGTGTGGCTGCGACAATAAAACTAACAAGCAAACAAACTTTGAAAACTCTAAATAGCCATAATCTGTCTTTAGTCGGATACTTGACACAACAAGAAGTTCCGGCTAGTGGCTGCCTTGTAGTATCGGCTATTCGCTGGTTGCACATATGGTTGAGAAGAATATTGCCTTGAATAAGAGAACTAGGCTCAGTATAATGAACCACAATATCGTCGTAAAGCCCCTCATGATTTTCTGCTCCAAGCTCGTTAACTATAGGGAAGTAGTAAGCTGAGACCTCAGAGGTACGGTGTGGTAGTGTGCGATAGCGGATCCCACCCTGTTTCAAAGTAGGGCTAGTTTTCGATTCAACTGTTTGGTTGGTACGTCTAAATCCAAAAAAATCATCAGCAATTCGAATCATGCGACTATACTGATCTAGGGTTAGCTTGTCGTTTCGACCTAAGCTCAAAAGTCGGTAGTATGGAATTAGCGGCGCACCGAAATAAACACCATCAAATGCACCATCAACTCGTGCGTCAATGGTTTTAAACATAGCCTGCATATTTTGGTCATAAATATTAGCAACCTCGGATGGACTCTCCGTATAGGCAAACCATGCTCCACCAGAAATATAAAGGTAAGTTTTTGGTTTATATTTAGGATCTTGATTGTAGGCTGCTGTATTCATTTTTTCTAGTGAATTGTATCCATTAAGTGCAATATCTTGTATAAGTTTTAGTCCGGTGCCGTTGAAGTACTTGTCCCATAAAAACTTGATTGTAACACCATTTAGTTCTACACTCATGTCGAAATGACTTCCTCGCGTCTGCATTTGTTCACGGAATATTGTATTGGCAAACCCTAAATAAGCTTGCCGGGCAGTGGAGTCGCCATAAAAGATGATTTTGTCGCCGGGTTGAAAACACAGGTTTAAATCATGATGGGAGTACTGCCTTAAAGAACATCCATCTGGCTGCCATCCGGTTGGCATGGGGTTTATATCATGTATATACCTGCCATATTTTAGTAAAGAGTTGCATGAATTATCATCTGTTGATGATGTATTGTATCCTTCCATATGCCATTTGTTGAAAAAAATGGCTGCTAGAGTTGCTAGAACTAATGTAAGGTGTATTTTGAAAAGAACCATTATGTCTGAAAAAAAAAATTTTTTTATCACATAAAATATATACAAGAAAGAAGATAAATTATTAAGGAGAAAAAAAAATTAAACAAAAAAGCTAACTTAACTAAAAAGCTCTGGCCGTAATTATATAGATATAATCATAGGAGTTATTATCATGAAAAAACCAAAAGCAGAGCCATAATCTTAAAAGGAAGCCTTGATATTTTTTCAACTTTGGTGAAATTTTTTTTGGGTAGAGGCACCTGAGAGGATCTCCACGTTTTGGCAATGCATTTATAATTTTAAGAAACTTTTTATTTTATAACAATCGAATACTTTTTTAAAAAAGAAATATATATATTAATAATGATAAACATTTTTATAGATTTTAATTTTGATTAAAAGTATACATTGCGATTATTCCACTTATATAAAAAAAAAAGAAACACAAGAATTCCTTACAGATCAGTACGTTTCCTAATCTCAGGCTTTAATAATTATTATAATAATATTATATGTCACGTGATATCAGTATTAATATTAATTTACTTGTTGTTTAAGTGGTTAGGGTTATAAATAATCAGTGGCAAAATAACTTTAACTCATTTTTTAAAAACCTTAAAGAAAAAAAAATTTGTAGTGCCACCACCACCACCATTATCCCCACAGCACAATAATAGGACGAAATAAAGTCTATCTTAAGATCTTATTATATATATTCAAGTCATTGGTTCAATTTATTGGTTCTATTTATAATTAAATTACTTGAAATATACCGAAAACACGACCGTTACATAAATTCAACTTAAAAAAAATATGTAAAATACCCCCTACTACTACTTAACTTTACGAGCATTTTAGAATTTGTGAAATATTCAAACAAAATATCTCCAAAATCATCTATCATCAACTGTAATGAATCCTCAAGATAACAATCTTACAAACACTCAACCACCTAATACTTCCATTGGAGGTTCTTCCCGTCCTTAAACTGAAGCTGGTTTTCAACCTCCACAGACGAGCAGGGGCCAAAATGTCTCAAATTTGACCGCTCACAACTCAAACAAAAAAAGGAAATATAGAGAAACTCGACTTCCAACAGGCACTTTACCTGCTGTTACTCCTCAAGCTTCAGTATCATCTTTTAATCCCTCTTTACAATCGCCTAATAATTCTTCGCAATTTCCTTATCCTTTACCCCATGGTTATACTGCTACTAATCAATCGATTCCTCAAAGAAATTATTTCCCATCCCAAATACCTTCTCAAAATTCATATCCTTCTATTCATCACTTACTTCTCTCTCGAAATAATGTCCCTCACTATCAACAACAGTATCTTTCTCAAAATTCTGTTCTCCAAAATTCAGCTCCTTACATTCAACAGCAATATTCTTTTCAACATCCTGTTCCTCAAAATCGAGCCCCTCACATGCAACAGCAATCTCCTTTCCAACATCCTGTTCCTCAACATCCAGCTCCTTATATCCAACAACAATATCCTTCCCAATATTCCGTCCCCCAAAAATCAACTACCACCTTCTTTTAATAATACGAGCCCAGAACTCGGCGTTACACAGAATCCTGTTTTTATAAATTCCCAGCAACAAGCCATACCTGCTATTCAACAAAGCGATGAACTCAGAACACCCCCTTTTTCATTAGCACCCTCTGCAAGTCATCAGCAGCATAACCCAACTATAGAGTCTTCAGAGGGGACTAATCAACGGCAAGATACGCCGTGTCTTTTGAAATTAAGCGACATTAGTTTAGATGATGATTCAAATTCTGATGGTAAGTTTTTTTTTTTTTCTTTTTTTTTTTTGCTAACTCTTTTAGATAATTTTAATGGTGACGACAAAACCAGTAACTCAACTATGGTTGAGGCATCTGTTTCTCAATATGACAATTTGAGAAATAGTTTCCAAAATCCTGGAGACATTTTGGCAAGCCATAATAATTTTATCAAAACTTTGCGACATTTTATGGACAAGATTGACAAGACAAGTAAAGTTGTTGAGGAAATTTACTTTTTCAGAGTTACTCTCGTAACTGTCTTTCATCAATCTAGAATGTCTCCTAGGGAATTTACAAATAGACTAAGGTCTTTTTCACCTGTTAATAAAAAAGTGATGAGAGGTCTCATCAAAAACGCTATGAGCATACTTGACAACATGCAACCTATAGAAATAAATGGTGAAAAGGTGCCTTATATGGGTGTACCTTTGCCTGGCTTCATTAATGTATGTATTAAGGGCCATGTTCCATTTTTTAATCAATATGCTACTCTTCAAAAGTGCCCGGTTATAAACTGTGAACAGACTACCACTTGCAAGACTTATTTCAATGGTATTATTATTTAGTCCTAGCTCTTAAAGACCCCAAAAAAGCTAAATTGTTGAGGCTAGGTCCTAGCAGAAATGATTCAAATGTAATAGACAGTCTTCTACAAGGAAATCTATTTCAGAATCGTTGCTTTGAAACTCCCGGTACCAGCGATTTACATGTTTATGTTTCTCTTTTTAGTGAGGAAATTTCATTCCTAAGTAAAAGGCACATCAAATATAATGCCATTGTTGCTCTTATCGACAATCTTCCATACAGTGAGCGTATAAAGAAAGGGAATCGAGTGATAATCTACGCCTTCCGTAATTATAGAGAGCGAGAAAAAAAAAAGAAAAAAGACACGAACAATGAGGAAGGTATGGGAGAGAATGTTAACTTCCATAACAAGTCTTCTGTCGAGGCAACTGACATCAGCGCTTTCTATAAGATTGCTGCAGACCATTTCAAGGTTCTTTCCGATGTTGGATTTGAAACCTACGACGCCAGCAAAATGAAAAACGTACGGGTTTACGTTCATCTTCGAGCCTTTGGAGGAGATTTATCATCTATCTCCTCAATAATGGGGCACGACGGACCGAAAGCCACTCACCCTTGTTTTTACTGCTCTATACCCCAAAGCATTGATTCAAACAAGAAGAAAGGAGTTATCACAGCGATAGCTTGTGGTCCTGAAGGTCAGCACCTCTTCCATCAACTTTATGATATGCAATGGTACCTAAATAGAATAGAGCCACTGCTTGAAAGTCATCGACAAAAGTCTCCTTACGAGGAATATACTCAACTCACTCCGGCAGAGAGAAGAGATCTGAGTTTTCGGACATACTCAGATGTTGTCCATTTGAAATCAATATCTTTTCCTCACTCCTTCCCTTTTGATCCCATCAATGTATTTTTTGAAAACATTACTCTTATGTTTTATCAAATCAGCACTGGTTCATCTATGGATCAAATTGCAGAACCTAATTTGAAGGATTTCACCTTTTCAAAAAAGGAAAAAGAAATTCTCTTGAGGATGCTTGATATAGTAAATGATCGTTTCAACTCACGCACTCTGAAATTCAGTTTCCCATCAGAAGAAATCGCTGCTGGCAAATTTGAAGATGTTAATGCTGCTCAACTAGAGGTTCTGTGTTATCTTATGCCCATTTTCCATCATCAACTACAAGTAGCTAATCCTTCACCTGAAGCATACTCTTTAACCCTGTATCTCTGGGATTTATTTGCAGACTTCTACTATGATGAAAATTGCAAACGGGAAATTGGTCAAAAGAGCCCATTTGGATGGCCTAGGAAAATGTTTCGAAGCCCTTGTTAGAGATTACGAGTACACTATTACTCATGGATACAAGGACAACTTCCCTCTTTGCACCTTGTCTATTCATTTGTGCACTCATGCAGCCACTCTTATTGCTATGGTTGGACCTCTCTCACAATTTAGCAATTACAGTGCGAATAATTATATGAATGGGGCCTTTAGTGATTCAAACAGACAAAGAGGTCTCACACCTCAGGCCAAATACCAGCAATTGGTTACTGCTGCTCACTCTATTATGTTTCACTCTGAAACTCGCATCCATATAGGTTCTGCCCATTTAAAAGGGAAATCGAAACTATTCGGTACGACTCCAGACGCCAGTCGTTACCAAGGCATTGTCGAGAGACAGTTGCATGAGGACTTGAGATCAAAGAATTTAACTCTAGTGCAATCACCTATTGAGTGGACGGATAAGAACCACATACGCTTCAAGTCCATCATGTTTACTGGTTTTGGTTTTAAAACCAGAGTTGGTGGCTTAGTTCGAGTCAAGCCACCTTCCGGTGGTCCAGCAGAAGCAACAGAAAGCCATCAATACTGTCGGTTGTTGGATATTGTTAATTGCTTTAACATTGAAGTTATAAGCCAAACCACTGAACCAAAAGATTACACATACTCGCAAACATTTGCGGTTGTTGTTTCGCTTCCTCTTCGATATGTTTATTCACAACGCAACAAATTGACGAGCCAACCAGCTGAGAAACTGGTCCGCTGTAGCTACTGGTATTCACATGAAATACTTAAAGATAACATTTTTGTTGTTCCCTTTAACAGGATTGCTAATCCTGCTTATTCAATTTTGCTTAATGGTTACGGTGAGTCAGGTAAATTACAAGACATAAACTATATCTATGATCCGTACGTTGCTTGCCGGATTGATGTCAATGGTCACTTTGAAGATGTCTTAACCAGACATCTGGACGTCGATATCAATAGACATTTGATTCCAGACTTTGACGAAGAGGAGCTTGGTGACGTTTTAAAGGATTATGAGGGTGAATTTATCGATGACATCAAGGGACCTAGTGGATGTGAGTATCAGTAAAAAATAAAAAAAAATAAAAAAAATAAAAATAAAAAAAAACGGAATTTTAGGTTACAAATATAAATAACGGTGGAATAAATAAATTTTAGATAAAAAAAACTATATTTAATGTCAATCTTGTAGACTCTTTTGGAAAATCGATTGAAATAATGTTTAGTTCTGGCCATTCATTCCTTTTGAGATTCAAGTTCAACCTCATCCGTTTCCTCATTATTATTCATTGGGGCATCCAAATTCTTCCATACACTTGCACTAGCTTCCGCCAAAATACAAAGAACCCCGACCGAGATTGCTATAGAAGCACATTTGCGCACTTTTTCCCAAACTCGCCACTGAAAAAATGGGAACTTGAAACTTTCATCAACAAAATACAATGTTCGTGTTACGAAGGATGAGTTGACAACCCCTGTGGGGAAATAATGAAGTCTTAAAGTTCCACTTGCAGCCAAAAAAATGTATGGATAAAGCTCCAATGCCTCATAACTGAACCGGCCTAATGAAACCCAGCAACTAGCATAATATTGTTTCGAACTACCTCCAAAATCTGTTTGCACCAACTTTAAGATGCTTGATCGTATAATAATGTAGCAAATTGAAGCCACCAAAGCTATTATTGAATGAACCACTGGAGTGTAGTTTTGTCCTCGTTTATTTAAATACTCATCATAAACATCTGTATGCAGTTCAATGTACGACATGGGATTGTTAAGGCCATTAGGATTTGTAAAGATAAAGTATGCAAATATATTTTTAACAAGGTTCACAAGGATCAAAAATATAATTAGAGCAACTGTGGGGAAAGTAATAAACGAAATTTTTGAATTCTCCAAAAGCTTTGCTTTTAAAAGTGTCAAAAAGTGAGAATTGGAGGTTAATGCTAAAAAAATTGTCAATGAAATAGCCCAAAAGTCATTTCTAACACAATAAATCTCTGGCAAAAGAAACCAAGCAGTAAAAGAGGCCGCAAAAAAGATTAGACCTTGCCATTGATGATGACAAACACAAAGTGGAACAACAAAGTAAGTAAATACGGACCAAAAAAACAGCTTAGCTGCAAGATCAACGTATGATTGGGGAATAGAACCAGGAATCAGATTAGTTCCAAAAGTATCAGTAATATTTATGCTTAGAAACAAAGGTAAAGTTAACACACGAGCCAGTGTTTTAATGAAAACCGAGAATATGCTTATGTATGACTTCTTTAAATCTTTAGCGTTTTCAAGTTTATCAAGATAAGCAAAACTCATACTGTAAACCTGAGCCATAGACCATATGGAAATCAATACACGTGCCAGTATTTCGAAATCAAATGTTTCAACAAGTTCACGTCCACCAGTGAACTGAATAATCAATAATAAAGACACACAAATGCCCCGACATTCTGCCAAAAATGTCTCTGAAAGATGAAATGTTTTAAGTGGGCCAGCATTTGACTCTTGTTCAGATAAGTAATCAGACAATGATAAAAGTGAAAGCAGTGTCCAAATTTGAAGTAGCCCTACCAATTCTGAGGAGCTGAATGATATTGATGATTTACTGATGAGATTCTTTTCATTGGAAATATGTGCCCATAACGATACCAAGCCAATTATACTAACACTGATACACAGAGGCTTGGTTAGGTGTCGAAATTTTTTAAAAAGGTGAGCAGCTACTGCAAAACATATGACGGGAATAGAAACCTTAAGAACCTCTAGCAATTTGAATGCTTTGTCGCTCTTATACTGAGCACAACAAGACCCTCCCGCCAACGGTTTTTTTGTAGATTCAATTAATCGCTGATTGCACATATGATTAATAAGAATGCTTCCATGAAGAAGATAGGTAGACTCAGTATAATGTACCAAAATATCGTCATACAATGCAACATGGTTTTCAGCACCAAGCTCATTCACAACGGGTAAATAATAAGCAGAGATTTGATCTGTGTAACCTTCACGAGTTCTGTACCTGACTCCCCCATGCTGGAGTGTGGGGTGAATTGCAGATGCCACACTTTGGTTTGTACGTTGAAAATTGAAAAGCTCATCGGAAATTCGAATCATAATATTAAACTGGTCTAAAGTTAATTTATCTCGCCGGATTTCATTTAATAATGAGTAGTAAGGAATGAGAGGGGTACCAAAGTATACGGCATCAAAAGCGTTTTCAACTCGGAAATCGAGGACTTGTAACAAATCTTCCACGTTGCGACGATAAATATTAGCAACCTCAGATGGTTCTTCAGTGTATGCAAACCAGGCTCCGCCTGCCACATATAGATATGTTTTTGGAGTGTAATTCGGATCTTTATTGTAACCAAGGGCTTCTGTTTTTTCTTTTGAATGATGTCCATTTAATGCAATATCTTTGATTGTTGTTAGTCCGGTGCCGTTAAAGTACTCGTCCCAAATAAAACTAGTTTTGATTTCATCACTAATAAAAGGAACAAAATGATGGGCCCCAAGGGTTTGCATTTTTTTGTGAAATAAAGTGTTGATAAAGCCCCAAAAAGCTTGTCGGGCAGTAGAATCGCCGTAAAAAATAATTTCGTCACCAGGTTTTAAACACAGGTTTAAATCATGGTAAGAATACTGCTTAAGAGCACACCCGTCAGGCTGCCAACCGGTCGGGTGATCATCTGTATCGTGTATGTAGCGACCGTATTTAAGCACCGAATCGCAATTATTAACGGAAGAGCCATATTGACTCATATGCCGTAAATTGATTAAGATAGCCACCAGTGCTACTAATGGAATTATAAGGTATCTATTGAAAAAATAAAAAATTCCCATATTTAACAAACTTGAGCCGCAGTACTAAAAAAAAGTCCCCAATTTGATCCGATGATGGCCTAGTTTTTAAGGTTAAACTGTTTCAAGTTGATGAGCATAGAAAATAGAAGGATCCCAAATCATAATGACAATTTGAAAGAATAAATATATATTTATGGTGGTTTTGTCATTTTTGTAGAAAAAAGCGGAAAAAAGCTGCAGGTATTTATTTCACCCGATATACGGTGTCCAGCTGGCAATATCGCAAAAAAAAAAATAAAATAAAATAAAAAAAATAACAAACAAGAATTGAAAAAAACAAAGCCGGGTAATTTGAATTAGTTATTTATAAATGTGATTATTTGATATTCAGATGGTAGATTGTCAATCATCAAAATCCATTTGTAAAAAAAGTTGTTAAATCATAAATGCTATTTGTAACCTCTCGATTTACATTAACTGCATGCTTAATATATGTTGTATAAATTTATATAATTGTATTTAAATACAATACACTAAAATAAAATAAAATAAAGTTAAGATTTTTTTTCTCGATTCTGAAAGCAAGCACATCTTGACAAGTTACTACTCTCCAGATTGCGACGTATTTCATGTTTTGTTTCTTCACAGAGAGAAAATCATGAAGTTGAAGAAGAAGATTTCAGAAATGCTGCCTGCTGGAAAAATAGAAATATGTGCTAGGCACAATCAAAAAAAAAAAAAATTGACCAGCAGTGCCAGGTTATCAATTTGGTTGGCATTAACAGAAATAGGAGGATGTACAAAAATTTGATGAAGAGTTTGCACAAAAAAATTTTATCATCCCCTTTCTTTCAAGTGTCAACTGACAGAGACTAGACTCTCTAGGATGTGTAAAAATTAGGTTGCGTTTATCACTTTACACACTTATTATTTGTAAATGAAATACAAAACTAGTAAAAAAATATTATGAACATATATATTTCTAATCAGAATTAAAATTAAAAAAAATCAAGTTCGATGCCCATATTTTTTATTATTTATATAATTCTTTAAGTGTATCTAATCTACCTTAATTTGTTATTAAGTTTCTTTGTTCCTGAAGTTCGTTCTCTTCTTTAATCATTTCTGTATTTGATACTGCAACCGTTTTACTAAATTCTTTTTTCCAAACACTGCTAGATATCTCCACAAGTGTGCAAAAAGTCCCAAAAGATATAAATAATGCCACACACTTGTTCAATTTTCCCATTAGAGTAATCCCGGTATAAGAGAAAACGTAGTCTATTGGCGTAAAGAAAAATGTGTGAGAAATTTGAGATGAAAGAACAATACCAGTTGGAATGTAATTCAAACGCAAAGTGCCACTTGCCGCCAGTAAAACATAAGGGTAAAGAAGAAGAGCTTCATAGCCACTTTTAGCTGCGCGAACCCATAATCCAATATAACGAGAAGCAGCCTCGATGGTCGTATTCAAAAATCGCAGTCTTAGAATTAGGTAACAAACTGCAAATCCTAAGACAAGAACTGTGTGTGCTATTGAGTTATATCCCTTTCCACGTTCTTCTAACAGTTTGTCTTGAACTTCATTATGTAGTTCGATAAAAGAAGTTGGTGCAACAGGTCCATTTGGGGAAATGGAAATGAAATAAGAAAATAAATAGCGAAACCCATTTAACAGAAGGACAAAAATGATAACAGCAACCGAAACTAGCCGAAGAGAAGGTTGAAATTTGGATTTACTATTTTCCATAGATTGAAGCTTGCAGTAAAAAGCAACCCAAACAGCAAAAAGTACAACCCAATAGTCTTCGGCAAAAGAGTTTAAAGTTGTTAAAAATATGTGCTTTGAATTTGAATCCGCAAGATACATTAAAAACGGAGAAAAAATAAATGGAATCAAAGAGAAAAAAATAAAAATAAGAGTTTGCATTTCTAAATGTCTGTTTGAAGCTTCAATATCGGTAGACGATAACGTAGAAGATAAATGGAAAACAAGTGGAAAGACCAAAAACACAAAGGTAAACCAATAAGCCAGTTTTATGGCTAGGGGTATGTAGGATGGAGCAACAGTGGCGGGTATATTTTCCATAACACTGTAATTAATACTGGAGGAAAGAAGTAATGGAAGAATTGAAATCCGTGAAATTCTATAAGCAAAAAGAGGAAAAGACGATTTGTAAGATTTTATGAGCGTGAAATTTATAGACAAAGAGTCTAAATATTCCAATGTAAATTGATAAAGCTCGAGCATTGCCCATGTTGAACTTAATAAACGAACACACATTTCACCGTCAAACGTTTTTTTCAAATAGGAAAATCCAGAATACTGAATCAAAATTAGTAAAGAAACACATATTCCTTGCCACTCAAGAATCAGTTGCTTCGAAAGTAGACCCTGAGCATATCCAGGTTTATTATCCTCGGTAGGAAAAAAAACATAGGATAAAAGCGAAAGTAAAATCCAGACTTGAATTAAACCAAAAAATTCTTGAGAAGAATATACAAGGGATATTTTGGAAATAAGTTGTGATTGATTAGATATACCAGCCCATGTCGATATTGAGCCAAGAACCAAAATCACTAATGCCGAAAATTTGGCAGTTGGTATAAGTTTTTTAACGTTAGATGATGTTTTCATTAAAGCACATAAAGGTATAAACACAAGTGATTTAAGAATCAGTCGAATAAACCACCCATTTTCCCCATATTTATAATCCTTAAACTTGACACAGCAAGTTCCTGAAAGAGGCTGTTTAAGTTCATCAGCCACGCGCTGATTGCAAAAGTGATTTAAGAGAATGTTTGCTTGTTCAACAAATGACGGTTCTAAAAAGTGGATCCCCATTTGGTCAAATAACCCACGATGGTTAGTTCCTGATAATTCGTTAAAAACAGGGACGTAGTATGATGAAATTTCATGTTGGCGGCCTTCACGAGTGCGGTAACGGACACCACCATTGTACTTTGCTGGATAGCTTTTTTGAACTGTTTGATTTGTTCGCACATAGTTGAACAGAGCGTCAGACTCAAGCATCATTCCACTATAGATATTATTATTCATGTTTTCCATGCGGACATCCTGGAGAATCCCATAAAAGGGAATAAAGGGAGGAGCAACATAGACACCATCAAAAGCTCCATCAGCACGGTTATCAACGATATCCAACAACCTCTTGAAATTCTGAGTAAACCGAGGAACAACCAGGTCTGGAGCTTCGAGAAATGGAAACCATGCACCACCAGTAATAAAAAGGTATAATTTTGGATTATATTTGGAATCCTTTTTAAATTGTATAGCCTCTTGTCGATGTCTTGAAATCACCCCGTTCAAGGAAACGTCACTGAGTACTTCAGAAGCAGTTGTGTTGAAAAAGGTGTCCCAAACCAAACGAACCGTGATGGAATCTCTTTGAGTAATATCATCCCTGTGGGGGCCATTGAATTGATGGTGCATGCGAAAAAGAATGTTTAAAAATCCCCAATAAACTTGACGAGCCGTTGAGTCACCAACAATCATAATTTCATCACCAGGACGTAAGCAAGAACCGATACCATAATCATTTAAATTTTGATAGTGCTGAAGTGCGCATCCGTCCGGCTGCCAATGACGAGGTTCTTCGTCAATATCGCTAAGGTAGCGGCCATACTTGAAAATGGAATCACAGTTAGAACCGAGAGTAGATGGTTTGTGGTGTCGGTCATTGTTTGATAGCGAGTATTTCTTTAAATGATGTATATTTGCAAAAATAGCGAAAACTGAAAATATTGGTATGATTGTTAAGATGAAGCGAGTCCCTTTGAAACCCTTAGAAAACGGTATCATTGTTAACCTTTTTTTTTTTTCAAAAAAAAAAAAAAAAATTAAGAAAAATTAAGAAAAAAGGCAAAAGGAACTTATGAAAGATTAAAAATGATTAATTCTGAAGATTCGAAACAATAATAAGAGAATAAGAATGACAAGTTATGAAGATAGTGGAAAGAGCAATTTTCAGGCGTAAGGATATTTTAACCATAACTTTTTTTTGACTTAAGTAGAATGCCGATTTGTTAATTATAATATTATTGAAATATACAGTATTGTATCATAAGATTCCAATAATGGTCCATAATAGTGATGAAAAATATAGCAGTTCTCGTATTTGAATCAATGGAAATAGAGGTTAAAAGTGTTTTCTTTTCTTTTTTTTTTCCATTAATCATTGATATATTAAAGACAAGATTGTATATATAGTGGGTTAACCTGTGATATTGTGAAGTTGATGAGACCCTATTAAATGTTGAAATATAAATAGGTACGCCTCTAAATGGTACAATTATTTAAGCGCCATGTCCTATGGCATTAATGAATTGAGTGACGTTGCTTTCATTTGTAAATTTGTTTGTTTGTTGTTCATAAAATTAATCACAATTTTTTTTTTTAATTCACCCGGAATCCAATTATTTATTTTTTTTCATTTAATATAAATATTATAATATTTATTTTTTTTTTTTCACGATATTCAAAAATTAATAAATTTATAAATATAAATAAATAAAACCCTAGCCCTATAGCCTTTAAATTTAGACCGGGTAACTACCATTACCAGTATAATGAAGTGCAAAGTTCTTTATAGGTAGCGAATAAATAAAATCAAACGGTACGTCTAGGTTCCTCTGATATTGAAGGTTTGTTTTCAATCATGAAGGTTTCTTTTGAAGACCTCAATAATGGATCTGTTACAGCCCTTTAAGAGTTATCATGGGAATGTTTTAAAAAATAAAATCTTGAATTTAACTAGCATCTTCCTTAAACTCTTCTTTCTGAATCTCATAGTGGTTCCAATAACTTGAACATCCTTTAGCCAGCATGGCACAAATACCTACAACTACTGTAAGGTTGATTCCATACTTGATAGCAACCCAATTTTTTCCGGTATAGCTGCGCCACTCTAATCTATAATCCATTTTGTAGTCATCAAAATCAATATCGTGAGGTTTCTCTAGCCCAATAGAAAATACCTGTAACAGTGTTTGACCAAAATTAGACAAAAGGGCATGCCGCCGTAAAATCAAAACTTCATATCCAAAAGATCCCACTACCGAGTATGCACGTAAATGAAAGTCCTCAGGAATAAAAAAACATAAAGCAGATACCAAGACTAAAAATAAAACACTAACAATACCGTGGACAGTTGTAGTATAATTAGCTCCACGATGATTTATTATGGCATCTGCATATGCTCTAGGATTAAAATCAATTGCTGATGGAACTGTATCTGCTCCCGTGAATTTACTGACAGGAAATTTAAATGCTCGAAAAAGACAATCCAGAAGCACACAAGTCAATGCACAAGTAATTAGGATCCCTTTTCTTGAAAATGTCTTATCTTTAAAAAATGAACTGTTGTAATTTGAAAAAAATTTCGAAATCCAGGCAGTAAATGTTGCTAGAAACAAAACCCAAAAGTCGCTAATTATCGGTTGTATTGATGAGACCTGAAAAAAAGGAGTTTTTAAATCCATCTGAATTGGAAAAATTTGTTGAATCAAGTGGACTATTAAACTCAATAATAGAAAAACAACTGCTTGAAACCCAAGAATCTTATATTTAAGCAATTTCCAATTAATACCTTCAAGGTAAAATTTATGACCAAACAAAAAACCAGATAATACGCTTAAAACAGAAATATAAAGGGCTATGAAAGTGTACCAAAAAAGAAGTTTTACCGAAATTGGAGCCACTAGTAATAATGTTTCAATACGAGAAAGAAAATATCTATTTTGATTAACGATGGCAAAAGAAATAATTCCAGGAAGTAAAATAGCGTGAGTTGTGTGAAAAATCCAAAACCTAAATGTACCAATAAAAGAAATCTTTTGTGAATGTGAGTTAGATATCAGATCTAAATATTGAATTGTATAATCATAGATATCAGCAGCAGTCCAACTCGTTAGCATCAGATTGGCCAAAAGAGTGCCTTCAAATTTAGAATGAACATTGCTGTAACCAGAAATTTCAATAGCAAGAAGAATCAATACAGATGCACCCTTAAACTCTTGAGATCTAGAAGTATGTGATGGGCCCAGCGTACCAAACCCAAGTGCTAGAATTAACTGAATCAGTATCAACAAAAGAAAAGGGTTAAAAGGGATATCAATTTTTGCAAATGCCTGTGTTTTCTCGGAATAATAGACATATATGATGGTGGTAAAAATTGCAAAGAGTGTGAAAATAGAAGTAAACAAATTTAACCTCTTAAATAATGGTATAGAAACCCCCATGAATAATATTGCAAAAAATGAAATTGTTATAATACTTGCAAAATTTATTTGAAAAGTTTTCGCGCTAGGTGAATAATCCACACAGCATGTTCCTTTAAATCCTGAAGCACCTGAATCATGCATTTTTTGATTGCACATATGGTTGAGCAAAATAGATGCCATGGTAAACCTAGTCTGATCAATATAACTAGTGCCATCTTTACCATAAACCTCTGGATGATTTACACCGCCAAGTTGATTAAAGACAGGTACATAATAAATAGTCGGTCCCGGTATGCTGTCATCACCATTAACACTCACAATCCCACCGGTATATGACTTTCTATCAAACCCTAGTGTCTTGTCTGTTTCTTCTATAAGCCCATCAATTTTGGAGGAAACAAGAGCTTGTCGATTCAAACCTTCAAGTAAAGGGTAATATGGGATCAATGTTGGAGCCACATATATCTTTTCAAACCCAAGGGTGCCATTATTAGCCATTTTTAAAAGGCTTGAACAAAAAACTTGAAAATAAAGGGCAAACTGCGACTTGATGTTAATTGTGTTATCTTTGACTTTGCTTTTTAGGATATCATGGCCGGTTGTCAAAAACAGATAAGTGAGAGGTCTATCTGTGCGGTTATATTTTTGAGCAACTTCTTTTGCATAGGATTTGTGTGGAGAGTCAATCCCATTACTGGCGATATCACTAACTATGCCTGTTTCGACTTCGTTAAGATAAGGTAAGGCTAAAAACCGAAGGAGTATGCCGTTGGGCAATGTTAAATTAACCGATTTAAACTCAGTTTCAATCTCTCTTTGATAGCCTCCGGGTCCTAAAATATTGACAAAAGCATAGTAGACCTGTTTCGCTGTTTCGTCACCCGCCACAATAATCTCATCACCTGGACGTATGCATGTGTCGAAAGTACCAAAGGCGCTCAGATACTCGTAAGGATTAAGTACGCAACCATCCGGTTGCCATGCCTTCGGCATGTATTCGTCATTGTCTAGATATCTTCCAGATGATAACAGAGTATTGCAACGAGTAGTTGCGTTGCCTGACTTAAAAATAAGGGCAGAGTTAGAGTTGTAGTCTTTAAATTCTGCAGCTTTGCGTGTTGGCGAAGAAACTTTAGCACGAATATGCGTAATGCTTGAACTAGATCTCAAAGAAATGAAAAATAGAATTATGGGCACAACAATCAAAAGAATTAACGATGGATTAACGCCAGGCGCTGAGCGCAACCTTGGAAGGAGCTGCGTAATCATGAATAAAAGCGTGGAGTTAAAAAAAAATGTCTGGGTAAAAACAACTTTGGAAAAAGCCAGCAAATTATATGATGCACCAAAAAAACCAAAGTGAAAATAATAAGCTGAACAGACAGCTATGATGATTTGCAGAAAAAAAAAAAAAAAAAGTACTCCTTCAAAAAGTATCATTTTTATATTTCAGCCACTTCAGAACTTTCATGAATCTTGGGAATACTAACTCGTCAGCCATCAATTCTTGGAAATGGCTACAGTTCAATCTGGTAGCAGTCCCAATACTTCTGCTATCAATTGCATTTTTAACAAATTTACGGACGCGCTATACTTATGGAAGTGCTGGCTGTAATTCAATTCTTAAAGGAGGCCGATACCTTGATAACCCTTCGTTTTTCCCGCATCAGTGGCAGCCAGATGGTTGCACCTTACACAAATACTCAGAACAAACTTCACCAAATGAATTGAGTCCTTGTATTTTGCCCGGCGATGAAATTATATTTTATGGTGATTCGACTGGCCGCCAAATTTTTCATGCAATGGGCAACCTTATCCAACAAGGAGCTGTTCTTGATGCCAAAACTCATACAGTATCCTTCAACGTTCACAATATCACTATAACATTTGTATGGGCACCCTTTTTTAACGATACCGGTAACGATATCATTAAAGACATTGCAAAACTTGGTCCGGATTCTGAATACAAAAAAGAAGCCAATGGTCGTGCAACACCTGACGCATTACGACCACCAAAAACATTTTTAATTGCGACAGGTGGGTTCTGGTTTGCACGAGATTTGGGTGAAGAAGCTCCTAAAATTTTTAAAGAACGGCTACAATCTTTAGTAGACACCATACTGAATGCTAAACCTGGTGCTTTTGAAAACTCATATTTTGTGCCTATTATGATGCCATATTATTTAAACCTTAGTGATAGAAACCGAGATTTTTTAACACCAGAGTCTGTGGGCAATTTACTAACGATTTCAGATGAAGTTTTTTCCTTCAAAAGAGGAAGTAAAGGTGGCCCTGGGAAAGGAGGCGAAATTTACAGCTCTCTTGATTCATCAAAACTTGCTATCAATTATGTTCCAGTTGTCTCGAATCTTGCTGGAGAAAATAATCCAGGACTTTTTGACTCTAAAGGCGTGCATTTTGCGGCTGCTGCAAGATATGTCGAAGCCAACATTTTTTTAAACCATATGTGCAATAAAGAATTGGCACTAGAGAGACAAGGTTTTGATAAAGAGCATGATATAGAATCATTTTCTGGTACGTGTTGTGTTCAATACCCTAAAGTTTCATATTTGCATTTAGCTGGCGCTATCTTGATTATTACCGTTGGTTGCATGTTATTATTTAAAGTTCAACGAGACTACTTGTTTAAAGCAGTGCCAATTTTAGTTACTATTTTATATGTCTACACTGCAGAGCGGACACACACTTTTAATACCACCATGCTATTTTACGATTCAAGAAATTTGTTAGTTTTCCTTCAAATTTCATTCTTTTTAGGGCTTTTCTTTATCAAAGAAGGTAAACCGATAGTTGATGGTTTTACATTTAGCGAAAATTTTATTTTAGAGTTTAAAGGGATATGCATCGTTATGCTTATTTTGATTGAGTTTACAGGTTACGATCTTGAGTTTGATGAATTTAGCGGTGCCATTTTGGGTCGAATTTTTTATTCATGCTGGACAGCTTTTGAAGTTTACCAGTTTACTTTAGAACTTTTCCGCTCTAAAAGTTTTTCTCCTAAAGAACGATCTTTATTTTTGGGAATTAAATTTATTCGTCTTCTATTTCTCCCTACAATTATTTCTTTTGTTTTAACATATAAAGAAAGCCCAAGCATATTTCATTATTGGGGACCGACTGTTGTTCGTCTTGCTTTTTGGTACATGTTTGTGATTTCATTTCACCCTGCTACAAAGTTTGTTCCTGAATACTTAAAAAATTATTTGCCATTGTTTTTGGTTTTCTTTGGATTTATCATGTACCCCATATCATCCTCAATAGACCTAGGAAGAGAGGCTATTTCTATTTCTTATGATTATGTTTTGATTTTCCTATCAGTTGCTTCAGCTATTTGTGGTTCATTAACATCATCAAATTACTCTTTAGATTTTAAGCAGTCATATGGAAGAACTTTTTTTGCTGCCCTGATATTTGCTATTGTTATCAATATTGCTTATTACCTTGTTCCGGTATATTTTCCCAGCGTCATTGGATCATTGGTAAATCCTTCTCTGCTTGAATGCAACAACAATGTTCGTGAAGCAGCTATATTTTTCCGAGGTTTGTCATATACCCCTATAAGTCACTTTTTCCTTACTTTGATTTTTGTTGTTACCTGGATAGCATTGCGAACCCAAATTTCGCCCAATACGTATATGAATTTTTTTGTCGAATCTGGCAAATGTTCTTATGAGGCCATTGTGTTACGCTTCCATATTGCTCTTACCGCATCTGGTTCAGTTTTGCTTTGGCTACTTCCAGGAGGGTCTGGGGTAGTTGTTTCAGGACTGCTGAAACGTGCCTATCAAGTAATTTCAAAAGATACACCAATTAATAATTTTGAATTCCCTGGTGAACTTACATTTCAAGCTAAGTGCATTTTCAATGCTTTATTAGTTTTCACTATATTCAGTTTGCTTGTGAGTTCTTTGGGTTCTATTTGGGCCAATTTGAAAATTTTACAACCAAACAATGACATTGAAACCCTAGAAAAATCCTCTGAAATGGATCCATAACATTCCTAATCTAAATGTTTAAAAAAATTGATTTTGATGTTCATATTTTTTAGTATTTATATAATCCTTTAAGTCAATTTAATTTAATTTAATTTATTATCATGTTGGACAATATATATAGCATCACATTATTTAGCAAGATTTTTCAAGGGTTTTTGCCTCATAAAAACTGGTCAAAAAAGGACTTATAGGTTATATAAAATTTATTTAATATTTTGGTTGAAAAAATTTCTACATCTGGGGAAGTAGGCCTCTTTGGAATAAAAGTGTTTTATCATATTGTTTAAAAAACTTCAAACAATTAAAAAAATATAGGTGGGATAAGTTAAAATTTATATTTTCTTATTTAATAGTTTAAAAAAGTTTATTTGCTCGATTTCATTCAAGGTTTATAAATACAATATTGTATTTAATGTCAACGTCATTGCTGTTCTTTTTTACTCCTGCTGTATAACCTTCCGTTTAAAATAAAAGACTGTGATTGTTTGATTGTTTAATTGTTTGTTTGTTTGTTTAATTGGCTATAAATATATCATCAGCATGAACGATACCCTTTTTTTAGATAGATACAATTGTATCTCCAAAAGCTTGAAAATAAGCTCTGATGCCAGCCTACAAGAAACAGACAGATCAAATACCAAACCTTCCTAACATATCTCCACTTGTCTTTATCAACGGTATAATTTTATTTCTCAATTTCTTCAAGTCAAGCAAAGATAAAAAAAAAAAAAAAAAGAATGAGATTGTCCATTTGTCTGCTTGTTTGTGTTTGTTTGTGTTTGTTTGTTTGTTTGTGTTTGTTTGTTTGTTTGTTTGTTTGTTTGTTTGTTTTTATTCGAGGGTTATAGATGCTTGTTTGTTTGTTTGTATGTTTTTATTCAAGGGTTATAGAATTATATAACATCAGCATCTGCGCTATCCTTCTTGTCCATACTATATATTTTTTCATTTTAATAATAAACTTTTAATTTTGGCTTCAACATTGCATCTCCAACAGCCCGAAAATAAGTCCTGATGCCAGCTTACGAGGAACAGGGGGTTAAAATAACCAAACCTTCCCAACCTATCTCCACTTGTCTTCATCAACGCTGTAATTGTATTTCTTAATCCCTCCAAGCAGAGATAAAGCTTACAATCTCTTGTAAGCCAGTTAAAGTGTTTAAGAGAGTCGACATGTCCATCTCTGGAGATATCCGTTTCAGTCCTTTTCTTTCCTCTTCAAGCAAAGGACACTCAACTAAAATGTGATGAACTGTTTCCAGCTCTCCACATTTGCAGTTGTAACTATCCTTTTCAATTCCAAACTTTTTAAACCATGCGCCAAAGTTGCCATGGCCTGTGCGAAATTGAGTAATATTACTCAAGATCCTTCGACTATCTTTCTTCATGATCACTTCCGTAACCATTTTGGAAAGATTATCAGTACATTTCGACTCCACTGTCACCAAATGCTTGTTTGTATTTGTTTATGCTGAGTAACTGAAGTTGAAATGGTAGTATATATTAATTCAAACCAAGTCACGTTATTATTAAGCGACATGGCGCAGAGGAAGCGCGCAGGGCTCATAACCCTGATGTCCTTGGATCGAAACCAAGTGTCGCTATTTGTTTTTATTTTTTTTTAAAAAAATTATCCCAGCTTTAAGTGCTACGTGGAGAAGAAGAGGAAGAAAGACCCAATGTTGATTTTAGATATAGGAAAACCTTTTTGGGCGTATTGATTGTCCTCTTTGTTAATATTTTCTTTGTTTAAACAAAGAAATTTCTCATCAACTTTGTTGTTCAAGTTAAAAAGAAAGGCTACGGATAAATTTAAAATAATAAAAGCTTTTATTTCCAAAAAAATACCTTTAACAGAATGGTTTTTTAGCAAAATGTTAACCACAATCTCTTCAAAATCAATACATTTTGCCTTTTATAAATGGTATATATTTAATACAAATTTATTTTCTTTTTCTTTTTTTCCCCCCTTTAATACATTGATATCAATCAACAGATAAAATTTACAACAAAAGTCCTTATATACATGTTACCTTAACATGTTCTTCAAGTTATTGCGGCTTTGCAACAATGTTTCACTAGTCGGTGGAGGTGGAGGTGTAGCGCAAAAAATATCTTTGTAAGCTTCATTCACTTTTTCTTGCTTCTCGAATGTGAAAAGCTCGACAATGTCCTTTGATGGAAGAGTGTACCCTGCGAACCGGTTGTCCTCCAAAAAAAAATTGAGATAAAAAGAACCTGGATTATTCGGAAACATCATATCAGCATCAACAAAATAAATGGGATTCAACAACTTAGATGTCTCCACCAACATGGGAAGCTCAAATGTCAAAGGGTCAACATTGTATGTCAAAAGGTCCATCCCATCCTCAGTGAATGAAAAGCTCTCTTTGGAGCCCTTAACGTGAAATAAGCCAGAAGATTTGATCTTCTTAATCACAGCCATCTCAACAAGATCCCCATCTTCTGTCTTGTAAGAGATCAAGTCCAACACAATGCAAATGGTCGAAAATGTGTCTTTATGGTCTGACTCCACCCGAGCATAACTACCCGACTTAATGACCTTGTTGGATGCTAAAAAAAGGCATTCATCGTACCGAGTCAATTCCTCGTAATGCTCTGTGTCCTTTCCAATAAGTCCCTTAATCGTATTTGTACTTAAATGAGAACGCTCACCGTTATCAGTAGATTCGAAATCTTGGTTCATATACGGCTTTTGCAGCTTGACCTCTCCAAATTCAATTACAGGTATCTCACCCATAAAAACATTATAGCCGTATCTCTGCATCTTTAAATTAGAAGACTCAGAAATAAATCTGCTGATGCGTTTAGTATCATTGTCCCTGATGATTTTGGTTTTGCGCCCAGCTCTCCAAGTCCAATGAGCTCTTGGGTTTCCAGTTCTCTCAACGATCTTCACAATATGTAAAAGTGTGTGCAAAGGCAATGTGCAACAGTTGTAAGGTTTAGTGTAGTTTGACGTAGTTAGCTCTTCAAACCGTTTTACCATGCCTTTGATACATGGCTCCAACTGCTTCAAAACATCGCGAGGAATCGCTTCCATGTAAAAAACACGAAAAACGCAAAACATATCACAGCAAAGCTGAATAAATGTACGTTGCTTCGGAGTGATAACATTGTCCAAAAGAACAACAAAAACAGGGAAGATTTCCAAAATGGTTTTGAGCTCAATATCTACTAGATTATAAATCTTCCCGCTAAAAAACGTGTGTAGATTGAACTCTCGATCCATCATTTTAGAAGCAAGACCCACTTGATTAAAACAACTAAAAAATCTTCCAAGGATGGCCCGGGCTTCCATATTTAGCAAAAGATCCATTGGAAAATTCTTGCACGGGTACAGCGTATTCCCCAAAGGAACGCCCAAAAGGAGGTCTAGAAACTCACGCTCAAGATTTTCAAACAAAAGATTAAAAGCATCTGGAGGAAATGAATCTTCAAGAGATATAGTTTTGAGTGTGAGCAAAGAAGAGGTTTCACGTATGCCAGTATATTGCTTGTTAATCGTGGATATCAGGTCCGGGGCTTTCAGTTTCTGCAGGTTCTGCAGGTTCTTCAGGTTCTTCATGTCCTGTTGGTAAGTCTGATTGTTTCGAACTTGAAATTCGCCACCAATATTCTGCAAATATCGATTTGGATCATTTGGGTCCAACCTGATAAAAGAGGGTTTACCTCCAAACTTTGAAGTAGGTATATAACAGTTAAAGCAGCTGAAATTTCCAGACGGAGCAACAATACCTGCTGCATCAGGCCGAGCAGTCATATCTCCATTAAAATAGACCAAGTGGCACGTTACCATAACATAGCGCGAGTCGTTGCCAGTACGCACAATAAAACCATGCTTCATACGATTGAAATCATCAACTATGGTTTGAAGAAAAGATGAGTAGTTTATAGGCTTATTATTAAACTTTCTCTTAGGGTAGTTCATTACTGGGAAGAAATGCTTGATCGAATCTCTCATATTGATAGGAACATTGTACAGTACTAAAGACGCGTTCATGACTTCAGATGTTTCACTCCAAAATCCATCATTACTGTCGACCATTAGACCAAAAAAAAGAGGAATAAACTCAATCTCTTTAGCGTAGGCATCTGATTCTTGAGAGCGGATTCCGATACCTTTACTTTCAAGTTCGTGTATATAATCTCCGTCCCAAACGTCACGAATGTAATCGGTGTCCTTTTTGTGTGGGAACTTGAAAATTTCGCAAATTTTTGGGTCTAAGAAAAGCTTGCGGATCATAGGGATTGGCGAAATGTACCAATCAGAGATGTCGTCTGACCTAGTAGTAAAGCAATGAGGGCAACTTCTATCGTTCTTGTGGTCTCCAGTAAAAGCGCAACAGTAGTTTGCACAGAAAGGGACTTTTTTTGATCCGGACCCAAATAAATTGGGTTCAATTGATGAATAGGAATAATCTACCAAGTATTTCTCAAAATCTTCTTTTGAAGGTATATTTTCCGTTAAGCCCAATCTCTTTATTCCTCTTGAGATAATTTCGATCATTCCATAACAATCTGACATGCTGGAATTTTTGGTAGCATAAAAATCAAGTATCCTTAACACAAGAAATGTGGCTGAACCCTTGGATGAAGAGGATTCTTCTATAAGTCTTTCAAATTTGAAAAGATCATCTTCTTTGTTGGGCAAGTGGCGATTTAATTCATTAAATAAACCTGGAGATAAAGAGAAATTGTAAAATTCAGCAAAAGCTTTCAACGTATTTCTTTCCGAATTTTGTGAAACTTTGGCTTCGCATGTTTCTCCTGTGAAAAGTTAGAATTTAGGGGGAAAATTGTATGGATTTTACCTACTATATTGTGGTATATAAAGAGTATCAGTTACATCTTCAGGCTCTGGAAAGATATCTTCTATACTAATAGAATAATCATTAATTTCTGGATTTTTCTGGGGGGGCCGTGGTGGAGGTGGTGGAGGTGGTGTTACTGGTGGTGGTGGTACTAGTGGTTGTGGTACTGGTGGTTGTGGTACTGGTGGTTGTGGTACTGGTAGTTGTGGTACTGGTAGTTGTGGCACTGAAGTATGATTTATTGTTTTAAAAGCCGCTGCAGCTTGTGCTGTATAATCTGATTCTTGAAACCCTAATACACTTCCTCGTTGTGATAATGATTGTGGTTGTGGTGGTTTTAAAACACGAAATCGACCTGTATAAGGATTATTTTTAGTGACTTTTGCAGGGTTTTGATGTTGTAAAAGATGTTGAGAGGGACCGAAATCAGATGGGTTAACAGAACAATCAAACTCCAAAAATCTAGGATAATTAATTTCACCAACCCGACTATTTTGAGTTGGTATTGAACTCATCTTCGAAGGAGGCTGTCCATTTTGGTTTGGATGTTCCATGATAATTGGTTTGGTATGTAAACATTGAATTTCAAGATAAAAAAAAATTGATTGGAATGTAGGAGTGTAAGGTTTAAAACCAAATTTGGATGTGCAACCATCTTTATTTGGAACTTGCAATAAATAGAGAAAACAAAACATACATAACTGCAATATAGCATCCGTAAATATTTAAACCATCTTCCCCCACATTTTCAGTTCAACATTACTAATAACATCTGTACTTAATATATATATAAAAATAAATAAATAAATAAATAATTGACAAAAAAAAATATTAGCCCTACGGGGGGCTTGAACCCCCAACCTTGAGATTAACTTTTATTAAGAGTCTCACGCTCTACCGATTGAGCTAGCAAGGCAACTAATTGATAAAACAATTGTTAAAGTTAATTTAAAATATATTTTAAAGTTATCAAACTAGCTGTTTTCAATTCTTTTAGTAATAAAGGGAAAAGGGCTGGATGGTGTAAAGGGTAACACGTTCGCTCGAAAGCGGAAGATACTGGGTTCGATTCCCAGAATACCCCCTTTTCCTGAGGATGTGTACGGGAGTATACACCTAGACTGAAAACCATAGGCTACCCTGGTTACAGGAATGCCGACTCTTCCGTACAGTCTAAATAGCCTGCAGGTGATTGCGGGCCGTATCTCTGACGGAAGAGATTAAGAAATACATGGGCGTCCGTGAAGATAAGTGGAAATGGGTTGGGAAGGTTTTGGGACCGACAGACTGGTTCTCCCTGTTCCTCGTAAGCTGGCATCAGGGCCCATCTTCCGGGCTACCGGAGACGCACAGAACAGAAACCACCCGTACTAAAAAGGTACAAATGAAAACCGGCAAGTCACATAGTCAGACAATAAAAAGGATAGCGCAGATGCTAATGTTATATAGTTCTATAATTATAGAAGGGTTATAACCCTTGAATAAAAACAAACAAACGAGTCTTTTTTTAACGTAAAATTGCCAAAAGTTAGACCATTAAAAAGGTACAAGTGATTTAAATGTTTTACACTTCTATATCATTTGAATAAAAACCAACATACAAACAAAAAGATCTTAAATTGCACATTTAATTAATATATTTATTTCATTCATATTCTGCTTTTATTATATATTAAATATATATATATATATATACTACCATTAAAAATTAACACACATTACTTCAATTTTTTTCTCTAAACTCATCAAACTAAAAAAAAAAAAAAAAAAAAAAAATTTAAAAAACCATACACATCAATGCATGTGCTACGACGATGACGACAACGACCCGCCGCTAATACTTCCATAGTGGCTTCCTCCTGCTCCTTCTCCGTTGCCAGCATGAGTACTATTTGCAACTGGCGCCTGCGCCTGTACCTGGTACGGTGACGACGACAACCCTGTGCCCGCAGATGCAAGTGCTGCAGCAGACGGCGCCAGTGAATTAATCTTCTTATCGACAATCGACAGCCCAGAAGTCTTGATAGGCGTCAGCATGCTGCTTGTGTTGCTTGCGCTATAGTACGATGAACTGTTACTATTGGCGCTATTGCTTTGAGACAAGCCAGCTGAAGAGACGCCCAGCGACGTGCCTCCAGGAGTATTGGAAATACTGGTACTACTCTTAGGTGCTGGTGTCATAGGGGTTGTAAGTCCTGTAGATTGCCCTGTTGTTGCAGCAGCTGCAGCCGTGTTAATTGGGGCTGGTTGTGGTGCACGGGTAGCGATAGTGCCACCTTTATTTTTCAAGTAAAGCAGCGCTGCAGGTGACAACTTACTTGCAGCTGCAGCGGACACAGTAGGGAGAGCACCTTCTACCGAGTTGAGTACCAGCAGCTCGGCAATGGGGAATGTAGTTGAGCCTGGAGGGGTCATGCGTAATGAGTACACGAGCGGTGACTCGGGCTCACCCTCGGCGTCCATGGGAGTGCTGGCATTTGCGCGAGATGCTAGTGCAGACAAAATCCCCGAAACATCTTTATTTTGGACAGCTGTACGCAGGACTGCGTTGGGTTTGCTTACCATGTCGACATACTTCTTTTCAATATACTTTTCACGGATAAAGGCAACGCGATTCTCGATAATCTTGGTTGTTTGCTTTGGTTTGGGGAGCTTTGCTTCCCAGATGCTGTTGACCAGGTTGTTGTTGACACACTTGACAAGATCAATAAAGTCATTGGTAAAGGAAACTGTATCGAGGGTGAGCGAGCGCACCTTAGATATATGGGTCCCCAGAGAGCGGTGCACACCGGAGCAGTCTATGCATAGCACCACAAGCAGGTTAATGGAAATCCATTCGACCTTGGATTGCTGACCACAGTCAGCGCAGTAATGGTTACTGGAATCCAAGCCGCGGACCAAATCGACAATGCGCGAGTTGCCATTAATGGTTGGCATGGGTGGCGGTGGGAGTTGCGAGGAAGGTTTTTCATGCGAGTTGGCCCCCTTGCTGACTCTTCGGTGAAGTGAAACCTTTCTCACATTAAGTTTAGCCAATTCCCCACGGAAATCGCCGAGCTCGCGTTTAGTGTCATCTGTTTTAATATGGGAGAGCGAAGCAGAGGTATGATGATGATGGTGATGGTAGGCGGACGAGGATTGGTCGTGAGACAAGCGAGTACCAGAGCTGTTAACTCCGGTAGCCATTGGAATAGAGCTTTCCGAGCTGCCTGCACTTTTGGCCACATCCTCCAAGCTGGAAGAAATACCGTGGTTGATAGCCCTTATCCATGAAAGCATATCGTCTTCGGAAGTTGCTTGATAAACTCGCTTGTAGTTTGGCGTCACCACTTCGAAGCAAAAGCGTCGTTCTGCGTTGCGAGCTTCACGGACCAGGGCCATGCGGAGGTTGATGGGCTCATTGTGGAGGTCCATGGCGCCTTGTTTCCAGTTGGTGTACTCGCAGAGCTTGCCGCCAGCTAGTACGACCCAAAACTTGTGCCAACCGGGCTTGTTGAGGTTGATTTGGTCATTGATACCGCCAGGCCGTGACATGGCCCAGACAAGTCCTTGTTTGTTGATGCTGGTTCCAGAGATTCCATTTGTGTTTGTCATGGAAGATCCTGTAATGCTACTACTGTTGCCACTGTTTGGTGTGCCGCCACTAATTGGTAGTGTTGTGCTTGTGCTACGTTGTTGTTCATCTGTATCGTAAACCGTTTGGTTGGAAGGTGACAAAATAGTAGAGCCAGTCAGTTGGGAAGACTGGGATTGTTGTGGAGGAGGTGTTGTCATCATGCGGGTATCAGCGGTGTTTGGGGTAAAGAGAGTGGGGCTTATTGTAGAGTCAGTGTTTGCTGGGGAGGAAGAAGCGAATCCGGTGGATTTGCCAAACTTGGAGCTGAATAAGGAGTCGTCGAAATCCGGCGAAATTGTATTGAAAGATGCATTTCTATGGTGGAGCGAAGTTGTAGCAGAAGGCGTGATAATAGTATTAGTATTAGTATTAGTAGTAGTATTAGTAGTAGTGGTAGTGGTAGCAGCAGCTCCTGAAGTTGTAGCAGACGACAATGACGATGATAATGGTGTTGAGATTGCTGCTGCTGCTGCTGCTGCTGCTGATATTCCTAGTGATGTCTTAGAGTTTGAGTTAAATGACTCAATCAAAGGAGAGGGAGCCAGGTCTGCGTAAATTACGTGACTGGAAGATGTTGGAGGCGGGTCGCGGGTTGCACGTTCAATGGCGCGTCGTTGGTCCTCACGGTCTTCACGATGTCGCTGCCACTCGCGGCCTGCACTTTTGACTTCGTTAGCAATGTGGTCTATTTCCGGCTTGTTATTACTTCGGATGCGGTCGCTAATATTAATGAGGGTGTTGACTTCAGCTTCGGCAAAAATGGCCAGTTGGTGCATGACTATTTGTTGTTTGCGGCCGCCGTGCAAGTCTTGTAAGTAAGTAAAGTAATCGAACCGGCGTAGTTCAAAAGCCCGCCGTTTTTCAATATATTTGGAGTCACTATCAGACTTTTTCTTGCCCTTTGCTTCTTGTTTGACGGAGAGGTACCGGGAAAGCCAGCTGTAGTATTCGCGTGATTCTTCGTCAAATTCCTTTTTGCGCTGGTCAAAAGTTTTAATTTCCTGGTCGTAAAGTTTACGTGCGGGTTCGATGACGTGTTCTTGTAGCTTAGCAGCGGAACGGCGGAGAAGGTCGAGGTTGAAGTAAGCTGAATTGGACTTGTTGTTGAAGTAGTAGTGAATGAGGGTTTGCAAAGGTAATGCTTCCGATATGACAGTATCCTGGATACTTTCTAGGAAAAACATGTGAGCCTCGATGAGAGCCATTTGGCGTTCGTGGACCAAAAGGGCACGTTTGAGGAACTTTTTAACCTTAGTTTTGAGGGTGCTTGTTTTACGTTCGTATTCGGCGATTTGCGCGCGAAACATGGGGCCATCTTCTGGTTGAAGAATAGTGTCGTCGCGAGGACGAGGGATGAAAAGCGCACGTTTTTCACGGGCTCGCGTTTCCATGATTGATTCTGCGGTGGTGGTTGTGGTTGTAAAAAGATTGGTGGTAGAATCTTCAGGTAGAATAAGAGAAGAAACAACGTGAGGGTGGGAAGATATGGTAGAAGAAGAAGAGGAGGAGGGAATGGCGGTTGTATTGGTTGTTGTATTTGTTTGCGCGTTTGTCGAATTAGAATTCACCGGGTCGGCATTTATTAAAGTTTGCTGGGATGATGTAGTATTAACAGTGGTAGTAGTAGTAGTAGTAGTAATATGAGGAGGCGGCGGTGGTGGTGGTGGTGGGCCTTGTGGAGGGGGAGGAGGAGGGGGTTGATACTGGGGTTGGGGTATTGGAGAGAGATCATGATCCAAACTTGAAGAAGTTGAATAAGGGTAAGCATTGACAGAATGAGAGCTTGCGGAGGGATCGAATGAGTAAGTATCTGCGGATCCACGTCGAGGGGTTGTTGATTGGAAGGTAAAGTGGTGGTCTACCGAGTCTGGGGAAGATGGGTAGTAGTAAGAAGAAGAAGAAGAGGGTTGAGCAGTGGCTGGGAGTTTTGAGATATTTGGGGATGCAGAGCGTGCACCCATGCGAGACGTTAAATCAGATGGGTATATTTGTAAAGGTGAAGAAGAAGAGATGAGACGGGGGGAAGAAAGACGAGGTGGTGGTGGAGATGCTTCAGTAAGTTCTGGGAGTGGTTCCAAGCGGTCTGTATTGATTTTAGGTAAAAGAAGGGTTTTAGGTGGGAGAGTAGGAGGAAGAAGAGGAGGGTCTTGTTGGTTTTGAATCCAGACGGCAAAACGGGCCAATTGACGTAAACTATGATCACGCTTATCATATTCTGCAAAGCAAAAGATAAGTCTAGTTCCACGAGAGTCATGTTTAAATTCTGGGCTTGTTAAAGATGGGAAAGATTTCCAGACAAACTCAAAAGAACATGGAGCCGAGTAATCACCAAGTAAAACAACGTTTTCTTCGTTTTGAATATTGGGATTGTCAAGAAATTCGTGAAGTAGCAGATTGTCAAGTGCTTCTATAGAGGGAGCCACAATGAGGGTAAGATTATTAATTGGAGCAGATTGAGGGGCTGAAACTTGGATTTTGAACTTGAGGACAGAGAAAGGAGGTAGTTTTGGTAAGAATGGAAAGTTTCCTCTTGGGTCTGGGTCCTAGAAGATTGTTAGAAGAAGAAGAAGAAGAAGAAGAAGAAGAAAAATAAAAGGGGGAAATATGATATAAAATTAGGCTTACCAGAATGTACTCCATGAGCTGCTTAGAATCAAGTGCTTTTGTTGAAAAGTCCACTGAGTTTGTTTTTAAATTAAGATCAAACGATGTTTGAAAGACATTTGTATAATTAGGCAATGCCAGTTGAGATCCAGGTGAGCCAATAATTGCACGGTCAGAGAGTGCTGATTGAGATTGTGAAGTTTGGGCTGCTGCTGCTGCTGTTGCTAAAGAAGAAGAAGATTGTGTGTTGTTGTTGGTCGGCACTGCGACTGAAATGAGCGAGATGAAGAACCGAGCAGGGTCCCGGACAATCAGCGCGGCGCCCGAGTCTGCCGGGACGGAAGAAACGGAGCCCATTGTTGGTAGGTAGGTAAGTAAGTAAGTTGATAAGGAAGAAAAGAGTAAAGATTGGTATTAGAAGGTATATATATCTATATATGAATTGGAAATGAATTGGAATTTATAGTTGTTGTTGTTGTTGTTGGTGGTAGTGGAGAAGAAAATAAACAACAAAAAAAAAACCCCTCCTTTTTTTTTTTTTAGGCGGTGTGGCGGGAAATTTTTTTTTTTTATATTTTTTTATTTTTTTTAAGGTAACAAGTTTTTTGACGCGGGCCGTTTTGGATTTTCTGAAACGGGCAAAACGTTGATGAGAAAATCAACAAACAACTAAAGAAAAAAATGGGGTTAGGGATTTGTTTTTAAATTATTTATTATTACCAGGTAAGTTAAGTAATTATAAAAAAATAACTAGTTATAATAATTAAATTAAATTAAATTAAATTAAATTAAATTAAATTAAATTAAATTAAATTAAAATAAAATATTTATTTGCCCATCACATTAACAAAGTTATACATCATCTAAATTAATAAAAAAAATATATCTCCAATTTTATAATATATATATATATATGATAAAATCGCAAAACCAAAAAAATGACTATCATTATCTTTATCTTCATCACTCACACTTCTTAAAGCATCAAGGCTACACTTCCTGCAACAACAGCCCCAAGTACACCGACATTTAATAATGAGGCCGCAGTAACTGGAGCAGCAGCAGCATTTGCACTTTCTGCAGCTTTAGGATGACTTGAAGTTGTTGCAGTGCCATTAGTACCTAAAGTTTTATTTGCAGTAGTAGAGCTAGAAGAAGAAGAAGAGGCAACAGCAGCAGCAGAATCAGTCTTTGTGGCATTATTAGAAGTAGTTGCTGCTAATGCAGAGACTGAATAAAGAGAGAAAAGAGCGGCAAACGAAAGTTGGAATTTCATTGTATCTTGTGTGTATGTAATTGATTGAAAAAAGAAAAAAATTTTTTTTTTTTCTAAGTGGAAACAATAAAAAGATATAATAAGAAAGTGGTCAAATGAAAAGAAAAAAAAACAGTTATCTGGAGTTAATTCCTTTTTTTTTAAAAAAAATAAAAAAAATAGAAAGAAAAGTAAAAATTGAGGGAATCCTTCACCCTTTTATATTCTCCATATATATATATATTCCTTTTTTAAGAGAAATTCCGAATGTTTTGGTAAGATAGTTTTTCCATAAAAAAAATTTACCCTTTTTTTCTTTTCTTTTTTTTAACTCTATTCATTTCTTTCAAACAATATCGATTTCTTTTCTCGCCACCTTTTTATTTCATTTCATTTCCATCAGTTTGTTGTAAATTCATTTCATTTCCATCAGTTTGTTGTAAATTCATTTCATTTTCCTTTTTTTTCACCAGCCTTCTTCTTCAACAATGTTTCAAAAAAAAAAACATAAAAAAAAAACATTTGCTTTCCCCTTAATGCTTCGGGGTATATATAAATATATATATATATATATATATATATATATTCTCTCTTTCTAAAAAAAGAATTCTTTTTCTAATAAATCTCTCAAACTGTAATTTTCCATTGAGAGGGTATTTCACATTTAAAAAAATGGGCTGCAATAACTGTTGCTGGTTGTCACTACTACTACTACTGCTGCTGCTACTTTCTTTTTTCTTCAAAAAGTTTCCTTCCATTATAACTTACACTTTAAAGTTCTTCTTCTTCTTCTTATTCTTCTCAAAAAAAAAAAAAAAAAAACCATTTGTTTTTTAAAAAAAATAAAAAAAATAAAATTCCCAACTAAGCTTCATTTGTGCCAACCCTTTTAATCTAAGCTTATAATTTCTGGAAATTAGTTTTTTTTTTTTGTTGTTGTAGTAAATAAATCGCCATCTGCTAAAATTAGTTTTTTATTTTTTATTTTTTTTTAATCTTTTAATCTTTTAATCTTTTAATCTTTTAATCTTTTAATTTTAACCCGTTTTTTTCTTCTTCTCTTTTTCTTTTCTTTTTTTTATAACCCTCTTTTTATTCATATTCAAATCATAATAATATCTGCTAATAATCATTTATTCTCACCGCCTCTTACCTCTAGATGACGCTCCCATTTGTGCAAACAATGCACCTGCAGGCCCACCCAAACTCCCTGGATCCCCCATTCGTGCTAAAAGTTCTGCAAGTGCATCAATCTCCATTTCTCCTTGTTCTTCACCACCAATCCCATGTTCCTTCAATTCATCTTCAAGTCCAGCAAAATCCTCTTCTTCAAAATCAAATCCTTCTTCCTCTTCCTCTTTCTTCTTCTCCCTCTTCTCCCTCTTCTCCCTCTTCTCACTCGATGACTCCTGTTGTCCTTCATGTCGGGTCTCCTGATACGCTGCAATTTGCTCCGGTGTCAGATTTAGCGCCTCCTTTAAGAAAAACTCAAAAAAATCATCCTCGTCTATCCGAACCTTATCCCCATCCTTATCATATCCTTCCTCTTCGCTTTCGCTACTCGAGCTGTCACTTTCCTCCTCCTCCTCCTCATCTTCATCATCATCATCTTCTTCTTCTTCTTCTTCTTCTTCTTCTTCTTCTTCTTCTTCCTCAATCATCTCCTTGACTTGCCCAAAAACACCCTCAAATTGCTCCTTTATCCGTGCCTCCTCATCTTCCTCTTGTAAATCCCCTCCCTCCATCTCATACATCCACTCATTACTATCCACAGTCGAGTCCCATGTGGCAACTTCCTCAGCGCTCGGCTCCTTTAATTGCTCATAATACACTTTGGCCACATTAGTATCTTCAATGGGGCTCGGCAAACCAAGAGCCCGTAAACTTGCATGAAATAAACTATCTTCCAGTGCCTCCTTTTCCACGTTGGCTGTGTATGGCATGGCCTCCATCTGTGATACATTTCTTTCTTTTAGTAACCGTGTAAACTCTGCTTCTTCATCTTGGACCAGCTCTCCTATCACCTCATCTTCTTTACGTGCAACGTGCTCTCGTATCAGTAAATCCAACGTAGCTGTGACCTTGGTCCCCAGCATGCTTTCTTCGTAAGTAACTTCCTCAGATCCAGTCACAAATGCTCCAAACCATGGTGGCGGTCCTGAATCGTCTAGCACATACTTGGCATATACCAGCCGTGTGAACTGGGCCGTATACTGGACCATTAAATTGTCTTCAACTCCGACATGCCGTAGCCATGCCGTTTCACGCTCAAATGCTTGTGGTTCTGGTCCCACGGCTTCAAACTGCTGTGCGGCAAGCGCAATTACCCATGGATATTGATGTAACAGTCCTGCCACTTTACGTGGGACATAGATCCGGGCACGATGGGTACTAACTGCTGGGTTGCGAGCTCTTGCGAGGGCCAGGTCGTCCAGCGCCTGGCCATGGTCGAATGATGCTGGGGCTGCAGATTCGATAAATTCAAGAGCTTCTGCAATACTCAGTGCAGTTTCTCCCTTGTAACGTGGTGGGATGATTAGCAGCTTACCATCACGTAGCCATGCTCTGTTTTGGGTATTATCTGGGTCCATCCATTCGGGGAGTTCCTCTGCAGCTTCTATTAGTAGCATATCACCATCTGAATCGGATACTCGAATGTAAGCTTCTGGGTATATTTGTGATAAGGAAAGGAGAATATGGACCATGAGCCATTCGTCGTCAATGCATTGGCCAAAGTGTGTAATTCCATGGAGGTAAGGACCAGTGACTACAAATGTTAGAATTAAAATAAATTTTAAAATAAAAATGAAATAAAAATAAAATAAAATAAAATAAAAAAAGGAAAGGAAAGGAAAAAAAAGACTTACCATTGCTAAATGCCAGACGTAATCGGAAAGTTTCCTTGTACCAAATGTGTGTGTGTAGGTTGGTAGCCAGGTACTTGTTGATCCAAGCTAGCATCTGATTAAGTTGTGATGTTTGATCCTTGACTCCAGGTAGCAGAACCACTACTTCAAGAGTGTTTAAATGGAACAATGGAACATCTACAAAGAATTCATTATGTTGTTGTTTTTGTTGGCTACCGTTGTTATTATTGTTATTGTCGGTACTCTTGCCGGTCATTATTATTATTACTGTTGTTTGTCTTAAGTGGAAAGTCAAAAAAAAAAAAATTGAACTGAAAATTTTGGAATAAAAAAAAAAAAAAACCACCACAATCACATAAACACAAGAAATTTTACAACAACAAACAAAACTTATTAACGCCTTCCTTTTTTTTTTTTTTTCTTCCACCACCACCACCATAAATATCAACAACAACAACAACCATTTAGGTCCTGCCAATTTTAAAAAAAAAACCCACACACACAACAACAATGTACGGAGCGCGCACCCGGATCGGCGCACAAAACGCAAAGGCTCGGGTATGTTTTTTCTTTTTTTTTTTTTTTTTGATTCCCTTCTTCTTCTTGTTATTCTTATTCTTATTTCTATTCTTCTTTTTTTTTTTTACTTTTGATTGTAATTGTTATTGTCATTGTCGTTGTTGATGTTGATGTTGATGTTGTTGTTGCAATCCCCTCCTCCGGTTCTCCCAGTATTTATTAACCATTGTCTAGCTTGCCGACTCCTATGCCCAGCTTCTCCGGGAAATAATGGCACCTGAACCAACCAATGTCGGAAACTATACCATCATTCGACAATTGGGTGAGGGCTCCTTTGGCAAAATTTACCTGGCCGTACATAGACTCACCCATACAAGAGTCGTGCTTAAATGCGCTGCTAAAACTGACCCACAACTGGTGCGCGAGATCCACCACCACCGACTACTGAGGCACCCTCACATTGCCCAGTTTTACGAGTACATTGTGACTGAGTCTGCAGTTTGGCTAGTCATTGAATATTGCCCACGAAATGACCTCTACGGATACCTCGTCAAGCGCCGTCGCCTGCCTGAAGACGAAACCCGCAGATTGTTTGCACAGATTTGTGGTGCAGTCGCTTACACTCACTCAAGACATTGTGCCCACCGTGACCTTAAGTTGGAAAACATTCTGCTCGATAAGCATGCTAATGCAAAGCTCTCGGACTTTGGGTTTACGCGCGAGTTACCAACCCCGCATGCGCTGCTGGAAACTGTCTGCGGGACCACGTGCTACATGGCACCTGAGGTTCTTGCTCGCAAAAGGTATTCTGGAGAAGCTGTTGATGTGTGGGCACTTGGGGTCATTTGCTATACACTGTTATATGGTGAAATGCCCTTTGAGGAGGATTCAGATGCAGATACCCGGTTAAAAGTAATGACTGAAGAACCAGCATACCCAGCCGATGGAGAAGCAATAGTATGTCCTGAAGTTCTGAAGCTTTTACAAAGCATGTTGTCTAAGGACCCGCGCAAGCGGCCGGCCGTGGTTGAGATTCTACGCAGTGCGTGGATGGGTGCCGAGGGCGCTGCTCAACTTGAGATTCTCGGGGTCCCTGACAAGTCGTTGTTTTCGACACGGGCAGAGCGCCGGCTCTTGCGCAAGTTTCATGCTGTTCAATTCGATACTGATGCCATGCGCGAAAGTGTGGTTTACTGTAAGTGTGACGCACTGGCAGGTACTTGGGCACTGGCACTTCGGCGTGAGGAAAAACTGGAAGCTCGCCGCTCAACACGCACGCACAGCGTGAGTTTATCGCGGTACTCATCCAGTGGTCGCCGAGACTCGAGTGTGTCTGTGCTGCGGCGTGAGGAATCACGGAGAAACAGCGAGACCCGGAGAGAATTGACAGCAACTGCTACAACAGCACCTGCAACCGTGGCCGAAGAGCCTCCACCGGTAAACCCCACACAGGCAGTGAAACCACCTGTTGTTGCTACTGAGGTGGTGGTACATCATGACCATACGGATGTAGCTACGATTCCAGAGTCTGTACAAGAATCAGTACCAGACTCTGTGACGAAACCGAAAAAAAAGTTTGTGGCAGCCGTTAAACAAGCTTGGATGAAGCTAATGGTACCTTCAACACGCGGAAAGATTCACTCACGACCTAGCACGGCGTCTTCGGTTGCCAGTACGAGCTCTGAGGATAATAGCATTAAAGATGGCAGAATTGAGGATGAAGAGACGACCCCAACAAGTGGAGGAGGTGGAGGAGGATCTGATACTATTGCGCATCCAGCCGACAAGAATAAGCCCCATTTATCTCCTGCGTTTTCATTTGTTCCGCAGGTATCTTCGGGACCTACGGCATCTATTCCAACGATTAGCACAACTCCTGTATTCCCTCCAGGGCAAATGTTTGTTCGGCCTGCACGGCCGGTTTCTCAGATATCCCAGTTTTCAGCAGTATCTACAGCTTCGTCCCAGGTTTCCGACTCGGAAATGTCGCTGCTGAATATGCCTGGACTTGTTTTCCCAGGGAACACGCCGAGCGGGACCTCACCGAAACGACACCATTCACTTACAGGTGCACCTCCACAATACCTTAGACGGCCGTATATGGGTAGGCGGTCTACGTCCTCGTCCTTTTCGTCGATCCACAGTGTAACGACACCACGGACGCAGCCTAGTAAGCATAAGCGGACCCACTCAAAGGCATCATCAGTTTCGAGTTTATCGTTAAAGTCCGACGCGTCAGTTTTACATCGAGGAAATAGCGTTTCGAGTACAACAAGTAAAAAGGGTGCTGGGAGAAGCAGTGGGGGTCCTGGGTTTACTCGTCACCATTCCACACCGTCGTCTTCACGTGCTACTTCTCGAGTAGCATCTCCTGATTCATTGAGATCAACGTACTCTGGTGCCTCATCATCAATGGCATCCGGGACCTCTGGGACTCCACGTGCCGTAGCTTCCAATAGTGGTAGTAGTGGACGGAGGGCAAGGTCGCGACGCGGGTTATCGCGCACAGTGACGCCTACAAATGGGTTTGTTTTGCCAATTACGCGAGCTGGGTCTCCATTTATTTCACGACGTGGGGAAAGAAATGATTATGGTATTAGTCGGCATCTTGGAGGGCTGGACAGTAGTCTTGGTCTTGGGATAACGCGACAGGGCACACCACCGATTCGAGGCCGAGCTGGACAGCCTCATTTAGGAGATGCTCGGATGCCTGGGAGTGGAGGGGTAGTAGTAGGTAATGGGATGTTTGGTAATCTTGGAGGGTATAGTAAGACTGGAGGAGGAGGTGGAGGTGGAGGTGGAGGTACTCGGCCATCCCAGGCTAGCGTGATATTCGAAGGAGAAGAAGATGATGATGATTATGAAGAGATTGATGATGATGATGAATTGGAACTAGAAGAGGAAGAGGAAGAGGAAATGGGAGGAGAAGAAGAAGAAGAAGAGGAAATGGAGGATCTGGTAGGGAATGTTGGCAATGTTGTGAATGTTGTGAATGTTGTGAATGGTAATGGTGGTGGTAGAAGTGGAAATGGAAATGATGATTATGATGGTGATAGAAATGTCAATGGAAGTGGTAATGGAAATGGTGGGGATTACATTCTGGGACTGTAAAAATATAAATAAAAAAATAAATAAATAAAAGAAATAGAGATAAAATTACCTGGTAGTTTGAGGTAAGATTAATTATTATGAGGTAAGTTACATGTTACTAGAAATAAGATATAATTTAAAAAAAAAAAAAAAAAAAAAAAAAAGGGCTTGAAAAAGTAATTATATATATATAAAAAAATGAAAATGAAAATGTAAATGAAAATGAAAATGAAAAAAAAGTCCAACAACGATAACAACAACCAACCAACCAAAAAACAAATTAAAGAAACAAAAAAGAGAAAAAAAAAAGGCCAATCAATATTAGATAGCCTACATAATAACACACTTCTTATCCTTCTTGTGTTTACCACCTCCTGAACTGGAAGAGGTACCGCCATGGTGGCTACTAGATGTTGTTCCACCCCCAACAGCGCCACTTGAAGAACTTGTTGCTGTATTGTTATTAATATTGCTGCTTGGTGGAATGTAATTGCGTGAAGAACGGCGGGTGCTTGGAATGTGTTGTTGTTGTTGTTGTTGTTGTATGCTTGATTGATGATCTGTTGCTGGAGAGAGTGGTGGTCCATGGTTATGGTGACCTGATGAAGATTGTATGGTAACTTGGGCTTGTTGTTGAGCTTGTGCTGATGCAGAGATAGAGCCAGAACCAGAACCAGGAGTAGAAGCAGGTGGTGGGGCAATAGAGGGGCCTCCACGAAGTTGTTTACAAAGCTTTGCACATGTCAAAAAGGCAGTTTCTGTGTTTATATTATACTTTGCAGAAGACTCAAAGAAGGGGATATCACCAAGTTCCTTTGCAAGAACTTCACCTTCTTGTGTAGAAACTTCACGCTCATCGTTTCGATCAGATTTGTTGCCAACAATGACAACAGAGTATGGTTCAGCATCTTCTTTGACACGTTGGATTTGATTAAAAAAGGTTTTGATGCGAGTAAAGGAAGATCTGGAGGTTATAGAGTACACCAGAATAAAACCTTCACCTTCACGAATCCATTGGTCACGGAGAGCTGTATATTCTTCTTGTCCAGCAGTATCGAGGACTTCAAGGGTAGCTGGGTCATCATCAATGACAACTTGTTTGCGGTATGAGTCTTCAATGGTAGGGTCATAAGTCTCAACAAAGTGGTTCATGCAGAGTTGGATAGTGAGAGCGGTTTTTCCGACACCACCGTCTCCAAGAACGATGATTTTGTAGAGTGGGATAGAGTCTCTTCTGGCCATTGGTGAAGAAAAGGGGAGGGAGGGTGTGGGATAGGTGACGGAGGTATATATGGCAAATTGGGGGAATTAGGGGGGGAAATGGTAGGTATTAAGAATGGTATATGAAAAGAATATATATATATATATCTATATATATTATAGGATATAAAAGAGTATTAAAATATATTTAAATATGTTTGAATAGAGAAGAGTAGAATAAAAACAAAATAAAATAAAATATAATAAAATATAATATAATAGAAATAGAATAGAATAGAATAGAAAAATGGAGTATCTGGTGGTGGTTGTTTTTGTTTTTGTTTGTTTATGAATTTTGTGTATTTTTGGTGGTTGTGAAGGAAAAGAAATTTTTTTTTTTAGGGTTGCATTAAGAAAATGGTGGTGGTGATTGTTATTGCTGTAGATAAAAATATATTTATAAATAAGTATAATAAGTTTAAATAAGTTTAATGTTTAAATAAGTTTAGTAAGTTTAGTAAGTTTAGTAAGTTTAGTAAGTTTAGTAAGTTTAGTAAGTTTAGTAAGTTTAGTAAGTTTAGTAAGTTTAAACTAAATTTAGTAAGTTTAGTAAGTTTAGTAAGTTATGTGGGTTAGGGTAAACAAATTATATATAAATTTTTTTTATAAGCAAGTGGAAGAAGAAAAAAATAAAAATTAAAATTAAATTAAACTTAAATTATAAAATAAAAATAAAAATAAAAATAAAAATAAATTTTAACTTAATATTTAATGTAACTAGGTTATTTTAACAATTATTTTTAAAATTGTTAACTTTAAGTTAACAATGGTAATATTAATAGTTTGAATTTTTATTTATTTTAATTTTTCTCTCAACATTCTGACTAATCTCAACCCTTACCTTAACCTTAACTTTAAACCTAATCATAACCCTAACCCAATATTGAAATCCCCCTTTAAGCTTATCTTTTCAGTTGTTACCACGTGTCGGCACGTGCGGATGCCGCTCTGCCGAACCCTTCCTTTATGGGAAGTAAACAAACAAACAAAAAATTAAAAAAAAATTAAAAAAATTAAAAAAAAAAAAAAAAAAAAAAATTTATAACTTGGCAGGCAGGGTAATATTTTATTTTTTTTATTTATTTTTTATTTATTTATTTTTTTAATTTTTTAATTTTTTTAAATTTTTCTTGTCTGCCTACCTGTCTGTCTGCCTACTTGCCTGCCTGTCTGTTTGCCCGCCTGCCCTTTTGCCTACCTTTTGTTGACCGCCTGCCTACCCGCCTGCCTGCCTGCCTAACTGACTGACTGCCTGCATGCTTTTCGTCTCCTAAAAAGCCACCCTCTCTATCTCTATCATTATCATCATCACCACCAAAACTAAAACTAAAACTAAAACCACCACCACCATCATCATAACAATTAAAACCACCACACAAAAAAGCAGCAAAGTTTTGATTTTTCCTAACACTCTTTAAATCTTTTTTTTGTGATTTTGGCTTTTTTTTGGTTTTATTTTTTTTGTTCTCATTCTCAAATACTTTATTCTTAAAGAATTGTATTTCATAGGGGGGAAAAAGAAAAAGAACCACCCCCTTTTTCACTCTTTAGTTTATAAACTAAATTTATTTCTCAGTTCAAACTCAATCAACTAATTCTTTTCATTCACATATACAAGCCACCACCTACGCTTTAAAGAAAAGAAAAAGAAAAATAATAAAAATAAAAAATGGTTTTTAAAAAACGACTATTTGCAGCTTACCTGGTGGCCGGTGCCTTGCTTATCTTTTTGCTTTACGGTCTTAACAACTATTACGCGTTCCATCATTATTACGGTCTAGAAGCTGCAGGAAGTCCTGATATGAGTATTGGAGTTACACCGCCAGACCCATTCCCTAAGGGCAAGCCTGATTTCCGCAAAAAGGAAAGTAGGAATGAAAAATAGAAAATGATGATGATGATAAAGAGGAAGAAGAAGAAGTATATGAATTAATAATAATAACAACTGCTGCTTCCCAGCAGGCTGGGAGGAAAGAAGCCTTAAGGAAGATGGAAAGAAGAACAAGAACAAGGAAACAAAAAGGAGATTTCAATCAAAATGAACTATCAATCAATCAGTCAATCAATCAATCAAAAAAATAAAAAAAAATGAACCAAGAGCTGATAGATTTATAGCATGTGCTCTTTGGAGGAGTTTTTTTTACTCTCTATTAAATTAATTTATTTATTTATATATATATATATATAAATTTATTGTTACTATTATTCTAATCGCCATTAAGAGTTTTTATCATTATTATTATTTTAGATATAAATAAATATATAAATATGGTCGCTTGTTTTTTTAATCTTTTTAATATTTAATAATAATAAAAAAATCCAAACAAATTTGTCATTCAATTAATTCTTAGAACAATTGTTTTTTTTAGGTCTACCTGGACATTATATAGATCTATCTATCTTACCAATAAATAACTAATCTTACCATATAATATCTTATATATATTTACCTGGTATCTTTAATTTTCTTTCAATTTTTTTTCCCTCCATTTTTTTTTTTTCTTTTTCCTTCTCGTCATTTTTCTCATCACCACCATTTCTTTGCCAATTAATTAATTCTCATATCACTCAACTCAATTTTAATCAATTTCCAAATCAATTTCCACATCAATTTCCAAATCAACTCAATTCTCAAATCAACTCAACTTTTCAAATCAACTCAATTTTTAAATCAAATCAATTTTTAAATCACTTTTAAAAAAATGCCTGGCCCTCCACCGCCACCACCTCCTCCACCAATCGCCGGTTTCGGATCCGGTCCTCCTCCACCACCTCCTCCTCCAGCTGGCTTCGGATCTTTGGCCGGATCTTCAAATACCCCAGCAAGACCTCCAACTGGTGCACTCCCAAACACTGACGCTTTACTGGCAGATATTCGTGGAGGCAAAAGACTACGTCATGCTGTCACTAATGACCGCTCAGCCCCAATGATTGAAGGCCGTGCTCCCGGGTCTGGCCCTAAAATCGGAACCGGCTCTGGTGGTTCTGCTGCTGCTCCAAAGTTTGGAGGTGCTCCTCCTGTCCCATCCTTTGGAAGTGCTCCTCCTGTCCCGTCATTTGGAGGTGCTCCACAAGTACCTTCATCTTTTGGGGCTGCTCCTACAGCTCCAACTCAAACTGCTGCTCCTACAGCTCCAGCACCTGCTATTCCAGACATGTCGGGTCTCTTTGCTGGAGGAATGCCCAAACTTAAGCATCGCGCAGGAGGTGTCAAGATGAATGACGGCGATTCTAATAGCAGCAGCAGCAGTAACAGTAACAGTAGTAGTAACAGTAACAACAATTTCCTTGGTTCAAACTCGCGTGCCCCATCAATTCCGGCTCCTCCTGCACCTTCAACTCCATCATCGTCATCATCGTCTTCAGACTCGGCACCTCCATGGGCCTCCAAACTGCATCATCACCATAATAACAACAACAATACAACATCCAGCTCGGCTTCCTCTGCAAGTCATGTCCCGGCTCCACCATTTGGAGCTGCTCCTCCTCCACCACCAGCACCACCACCAGCAGTTCCAACATTCTCTGCTCCATCTGTCCCCAAGTTCTCATCGGCACCTCCAATCCCTTCGTTTTCTGCTCCACCCGTCCCTACTGCTGTAGCACCTCCAATCCCAACATCAACGCCCTCGCCAGCCCCCTCGGTGTCTTCCAAAAGACCCTCGGGCAAAGCGCCACCACCTAAACCTGCTGCTAAACCATTGGGACTTTCTGCAGCTGGCAAAAAACCTGCACCTGCAATCCCTTCACGCCCGAAACGTAACACAAACAATGAATTGCGCTCGGTGTCTGGAGCTTCTGTTAAACAACCACCACCAGTCCCTCCGTCTCTTTCATCTTCATCATCCACGGCTTCTCTGGCTTCAAAGTTTGGCGGAGGAGGCGGCGGTGGTGGTAGCTCCTCTTCAGTATCCAATGGCACAGAAAATAACCATCTCCACCCTCACCATCTCCACCGACCACCAATTCCAGGGTCCTTGAATGTACCGTCAACACCTGAGACGGGTCGTTCCAGAAGCAGTTCATCCGCAAGCATTACCGGCGGAACATCTGCATTTGCATCAGCCCAGGCTGCCCTTGCAGCTTCTCTCAATTCTTCCTTTTCTCATTCCCCAGCGTCCCCCTCGTCTCCAGTCTCTGCTCCTCCTGCACCGCCACCACCACCACCTGCTGCTGCTCCAGCTGCTCCGGCTCCACCAGCACCTCCAGTTCCATCGTTTTCCAGTACTCCGTCAGCTCCTCCACCTCCACCACCTCTCCCACAAACTTTTGCAGCTCCGTCTATCCCTGTGGCACCTCCTCCACCACCACCAGCTGCCACTTCAACCGCTGCTCCTGCTGTGCCTTCGTTTGCTGCTCCGCCGGTCCCCTCGTTTTCTGCGCCACCGCCACCGGCTGCATCTGCGCCTCCTCCACCACCACCACCACCATCAGCATCAGCATCAACATCAACATCATCATACTCGGCTGAGTCTTCCTCATCGTTGCCGTCACATCACCAGGAAGGATTTAACCATGTGACGTCGATGTTATTGGAATCTAACGCGCCTAGCCATGTCCCATCTTCGTCAGCTATTCCGAACAGACGTGGAACATCCAACAGTTTGTCAGGAGGAGGTTCAGGAGGTTCAGGAGGTTCAAATACAGGGACATCATTAAGGAAAATTGATGTGTCAGCATATACAATTGGAGGAACAAATTCAACGTCTAATGGACATGGCAAAACTTCTGGAGGGGCCATGAAACTCACTGTGGACGACTCTAGGTTCCGGTTTGCTGGGATTGGCGGGATTCCCAAACCAAGAAGATTTGAAGGTCGCACCAAACTGTATCCTAGTGGACGTGGATCTTCAGTGCCATTAAATCTGGCTGTATATGATTAAATGAATGAATAAATAAATAAATAAATAAATAAATAAATAAATAAATAAATAAATAAATAAATAAATAAATAAATAAAGAGAAATAGTGTTTGTGTGTGTTGCCTATAGTTATATACATATATATATAAAGATTGAGTGAATAAATGAATAAAAAAAGATATGTACAAGATAATAAAAAAAGAAAGTCAATTCAAGTCAATTCAAGTCAATTCACTGTTTCTTTGACCATCCTCTGATCCACCGTTGTTTCCATAAAGCACAATCAAATTTTGATTTCCCCAATTTCTCATTAACTGCATTATGAGCATCACACATCCATTCTCCAAATTCATCTCTTCCTTTAACTTTAGGTTGATTTTCCTTCATCCATTCACGTAAATCTTCAGCACAATACCAACATGGATATAAATTTCCAAATAATAAAAGAAATGATTTCATTTGAGATTGTTCTATAGTCGTAGCATGTTCAGGATATGAAGCAGCAAGAGAATGAAGGAAAGTCCATGAAGAACGACCAAGTTGTTCAACATCTGGAGCAGGTTCGAGTACTGGATTAATATTAACTGGTGTACTTGGTTTGGAAATGGAAGTAGTTGTAGTTGTAGTTGTAGTTGTAGGTTTGGAAGTAGTAGTTGTTGTTGTTGTTGTTGATGTATTACCTAGCGATGTGAAAGATTGGAAATCATCAAGAGTGTTACACATTTGGCATCTATTTTACATGTTAGTTAGTTTTTTGATAATTGATTAATTTATTATTATTTTTTTTTTTTTTCAAAATCAAAATCAGTAAAAAAAAAAAACTTACGGATTCCCATTCTCATCTAAAATGTATTTCTTGCCTTCAATATAAACAATCTTGCCCTTGCGAGGAGTTGCAAGTGTAATGGAAGTAGGCATTTGAAATGCAACTCCTTGAGGCTTCTTAATATTATTATTATTATTATTATTATTATCAGTTTCTGGAATATCAGTAGTTGTCATTGTAATTATAAAGTATTCTTTTTTTTTTTGATTAATTTCTATCTATCTAATATATATATTAATGGTGATAGTTTTTGATTTTAGTTGATTAAAAAGTTAAAAATTCCAGTTTGTTTGTTTTTGCTTAGAAATAAATTAAAAATAAAAAATAAAAAATTTCTACAATAAAAAAAAAAATTCATCAACATCAGAATCACGTGATACCAACTCTCTTTTAATCAATCAATCAATCATAGCAGATATCGGTGTCTCATCTTCATCGTCCACTGGTGCCGGAACTTCTCCCACAACATTACGTGGCAACCCGGACTCTGCTGCTGTCTTCACAAAAAAATCCTCCGTTCTAATAGGTCGGCCTCTTCTCATTTCTTCATGTTCTTCTCCCTCTTCTTCTCCATCTTCTCTATCTCCATTTCCATCTCCATCTTCCTTTTCACCTCGCCTCGCCCGCTGTTCTCTTAATGCAATCGTCCGCCGAATTGTCTCCCGTGTAGCTGCCCAAGCTGCATTCCGACACGCCTCACTAATATCTGATCCACTCATTCCTGCAGTCGCACTCACCACACGCTCCATATCAAATGCCGGATCCAGACGTGCATCCTTAAGTGTGATTTCCAAAATACGACGACGTTGTGCCTTATTAGGTAACGGTACGGGGAATCTTTTAGGCATACGTCTTAAAATCGCATCATCAATATCATTTGGCCGATTAGTAGCTCCTAATACCATCACTTGACCATCAGATGTTAAACCATCCCATAGTGTCATAAATTCAGTCTTAAGATTTGCAGTCACTTCATGATCTGATGATTGCCGTGCACGCAGAAACGAGTCAATCTCGTCGATAAATACAATGCACGGCTGCAACTTGCGTGCAACTGAAAAAATCGCAGATACCAGTTTGTTACTCTCGCCAAACCACTTGTCCATAATAGTTGACATTCGAATGTTGATAAAAATAGCAGAACTTTCTGCAGCAATTGCCTTTGCAAGCATCGTCTTGCCGCATCCAGGAGGCCCATATAGTAATACACCTTTAGGTGCTTTTAATAATGTCGAATGGTAGTTGTAAAGTTCCGGACTAGTTCTTAGTTAGATTAAAGAAAATGATATGGCAATGTATATCCATTACTATTATTATTATTTTTTTTTTTTGCAATATACTCACCATGTTAAAGGATACAAAACGCTTTCATGGAGTTCCTCCACAATACCCTCAAGTCCACCAATATCTTTAAATCCCACCTTGATTTCATCTGGCATCACCACATTGGCCAGAATCGTCTGTTCATATCGATCAAATTCAACAACCCCTGTGTCTCCTACTCCACCTCCTTTTCCTCCTGTTAACAGATCAGGTCGTGCTGCTTGTAATCTTGAAAGAACAGCATTGGCTCGCCTCCGTGCTGCTTCACCACCCTTAGTTTCGTCTGAGGGTGATACACTTAGTTGGTTCACCACATAACTCAGCATATAATATGCTGAAAAAGATGCACCCAGAAGTAAAAGTACGTCTCCAATGACCCGTGGATCTAATTTAATTTTTGACATGATTGTTTGTTTATGAGGTGGGTGAGGGTGGTGGTTTTTTTTTTTTTCTTCAATATTTATGTATATTTATAGTTGCTTTTAAATGGAGGGAGAGGTGTTAATATTAGAAAGAGTGAAAAAAAAAATAAAATAAAATAAAATAAAATTGAATTTGGGTGGTAAAAAATAAAAAAAAAAAAAAAAAAAACCTCAGACAGGGTAATGAAAAAATTAAATGAACTTACCATATGGTATCCACAACTTACAAATGAATAACATTAACTTACCAAATCACCACAATTATTATTTAATTAAACCCTCCCCGACAACTCATAATAATTGTCAACTTTTTATATTTTTTTTTATAAATTATATATATATAAATACTTTATACTAGGTCTTTCATTTTTATTCATTAATGTGAAATATTATCATCATCCCCTCTAAATCTTCTCTTCTAAATCATCTTCATAATCATCATCATCATCATCTCTTCCCCTTCTTTTAATTAGACTGTTCCTTTGGTTTCTCTTTCTCCTCCTTCTTAAGCTCCTCCTTAACCTCCGCATTAATTTCCTTCTCAAACATCTTCTCCATCTCTTTGGCCTTGGCCTGCAAATCCTTCTTCACCACCTCTCGTTCCTTCTTGTCCAACTTTAACAACTGTCGCTGAGAAAGCGAAGGTGTTGGTGAAGGTGAAGGCGATGGTGATGGAGATGGTGAAGCTGACGCCGATGCAGATGCAATCACCGACTTAACCCCAGATGGGGTTCCCGATGCTTTTGCTGCTCCTGATGCTGCTCCTGATGCTGCTCCTGATGCTGCTCCTGCAGATGCTCCTGACGCTGCTCCTGATGCTGCTCCTGATGCTGCTGCAGATGCTGCTGCAGATGCTGCCCGCGACACAGGTGACACTGGCGAAGCAGAAGCCTCTGCCGCAGCCTTGACCTTTTCACGAACCTTTTCCTCCTCACTTCTCTTTTCCTCCTTCTTTTCTTCCTCCTTCTTCTTCTCTTCTTCCTTCTTCTTCTTCTCTTCTTCAATCTTCTTTTCTTCTTCCTCCTTCTTCTTCTTTTCATCATCAACCTTCTTCTCTTCTTCCTTCTTCTTCTTTTCCTCTTCAATCTTCTTATTTTCCTCCTCAACCTTCTTCTTATTCTCCTCTTCCTCCTTCTTCTTCCTATCTTCCTCAAGCTCCATCGGCAGTCTCACATACTTTTGTGATGGTGTCGTCCGTAGCCAATCCACATGTCGCTGAATCCGCTGACATGCTTGTTTCAACTTATCTGTACCATAAGTCTCATTCCATTGCTTTATAGGAATATCCAGCTCCAATGCAACATAGCAAATCTCCCACTCAGCCGCCTCCCAAATATCCAACTCAAGATCAGAATCCAAGGCCATCAAATGTCTTACCTCATTCAAGTTCCCGTGATATCGTAGTCGATACAGGTCCTGATCCTTGGCCTTGGCTTCCAGTAAAGCATCAATTTCAGATTGGGTCTTGTCCTTACGCTCCTCGTCCGTTAGTATGGGAGACAGTGGCATGCGTTGACGCATTGTTGCGTGAATTTCAAACAAATATGGTGGGTTGATCTTCTTGACATTGTTGTGCATAAACATGACGCGAGGGTCATGGTCAAAACTTCCGCGGCTGTGAGACTTGCTTTGAGTGTAGAGATAATCTTCCTGGGGGTCCGATTGCATCATTGACATGCCCTGGAATTTATCGAGGGCCCAGTGACCAGTGGCACGAGGCCCAGTTTTAATGTAATAAGCATTATCTTTGCAAACCACTGCAGCGGCTGCAAACGTCTCCTTGTCGCCCTCACCTTGAGCTCCTTGACTCAACAAGGGATAATAAATGCCATAACCATAGATATTATAATAAAGAGACATGAGCAATGTCAAGTAATGACGGTTTTTCGAAATGACGATTTGGCCAGATTCTGTAGACATTCCTGGGAGGGCTCTATCGCGATCAGTCATTGGGACCTTTTTAGGGTCAGTTACCGAGAGGTCGCCGCGAACACGGTCACCAAGCTTAATGCCAGCCACCTTGTAAAAAAAGGGAGAAACGGTACGCTTCCACCAATCGGGCCAAAGAATCATTCCAGTTTCCTTAAAGGGCTCCGATTCAAACACCGACGCAGGATCAACAATAGGGAAGTTGTCAGCATCAAGCAAAATAGTATTGTCAAAGGAGGAGGCAATAAGGGCCAAGGCCTTGTAGTGGAATCCACGAAAGGTAAAATTCTTCATAACCTCTGGTCCCAATTCGTCGGAGATAACGACACAGCGGGCATTCAAAGCACCGAGGACGTTTTCACAAATCTCCTTTTCATAATTTTCAGGGATTTCAACCATAACTTCAATGGGCATGTCACGGTTGACGTTTCTAAACATTTTGACAGCGTGGACAGCAGATGCCATAAAGTTACTTCCACCGACGTAAACAGCACCAGTACCAGCGTACATACGGTTGGGGGGGTTTTTAGGGAACTCCTTAAAGGCCAAGTCGTGAGCCTTTGTAAGGTTTTTAAGTTGTTCATCGTTAACTTGGAGGAACTTTGAGAGGAAAGATTCCGAGTAAACCTCGTCGAGAAAGTGACTAGGAGATTTACCATTGGGGTAGTCATTAAGGATTTCCTTAAGCTGGGGGTCTGCACGTTTGATGATGCTGAAGATCTCACGGAAGTGCTTGCTGATTGTTGATCTAGAAGTGCGACGGTAAGGTTCGTAAGGGACATCTGGGCGCATACCTTCAATGTTTGAATAGTGGGAGAGTTCTGGTTTACTTGCGACTGAAAGAATATAGTTTGGTTCTGGGACATTGAAGGGGTTTGGAGATTTACCGGAGCCTGCATGTTTGTTTATAATAGGAGGGACAGTTGGAGGAAGTGGAGTCATAGGTTGGCCAGAATAATTTTTAAGGGATGCTTTTGAAAAGATTGTAGAAGGGCCAACTACAAAAATAAACGTAAGGATGGCAAAGAAGCCCGCCAGAAGGACGGCCTTGCCATGGAATCTGGGCATTTGAGATGGTCGATATAGATTAAAGAAGATGGTGGTGGTGGTGGTGGTGATGTTGAAGGTTTTAAGTTTTAAATGTTTGATTTAAAAAAAAAAAAAGGTGAGATATATATATTAAGAAAGAAAAGAAAAGAAAGAAAGGGGGGGTGTAAAGAAAGGAAAAAAGGAGATTTGTTAGTTAATTAATTAGTTAATTAATTAATTAATTAGATATAATTAGATAATGGGAAGTATATATATATATAAAATGTAAATAAATAAATAAATATTCATATATATCTATATAAATAAATATATTTAAATATATTTAAATATATTTAAATATATTTAAATATGTGTATATATATATTAGAATTTTAACTAACTGGGCAAGGTCTGTTCAAAAAAAAAAGCTTAAAAAAGGGGGTGATTAAATAAAAAAATACAACATTTAGTATATTTTTTTTATTTTTTTTTTCAAGAGGCTGAAATTAACAGGGTGGTATTAATTATAAGACTTTGGTTTTATGTGTTATGTGTTATGTAATATATTATAGGTCATAGGTTATATATTATAAGTTTTATATATATAATATATGCTACTAGTACAGATTTATTACTTTTGAACAAATGTCAAGATTTTAACAAAATAATTAAATTTAAATTTAAATTTTTATAATTAATTTAATTTTATAAATTTTTATTTAATTTAATTCAATAACAGATTTAACTTTTTTAATTTTAATTTTTTTATTTATTTAATTTAAATACACAGTGATAATTACAAAATAATACTATAACTACAGTTAAAATATAATCAAACAAGCCCACCTTTTTTTTGATTTTCTTTTCAGCTATTATTATTACAATCAGAGTTTTAAAAAAAAAATGCATTTCTCTCATTATTTGTCATTCATTATTCATCATTACATAATTTTATACAACTACTCAATAACAATCAAAGAAGCGGCACCCATACCCGAGCCAATGCACATGGAAGTAACACCAACCTTCTGACCCTTAGACTTAAGTTCAGAAATCAGAGTGGCAAACTGACGAGCACCAGTGGCACCAAGAGGATGACCAAAGGCAATGGCACCACCACGGGGGTTAACCTTTTCGTAAGGAATACCAATGTGCTCAATAGAGAAAATGGCTTGAGAAGCAAAGGCCTCATTGATTTCAAAAACATCAACATCTTCATGTGTCAGACCAAGATCTTCCAAAACTGAAGGAATAGCGTAAGCAGGACCAACACCCATAATCTCAGGAGGAACACCAACAGACTTGCAGTGAACAAACTTGGCAAGAATGGGCAGACCAAGCTTCTCGGCAACAGAACGGCGAGCAAGCAAAACGGCACCAGCACCATCAGAAACCTGAGAAGCATTACCAGCATGGGTAGAACCATCCTTCTTAAAGGCAGGTCTAATCTTACCCAAAGACTCTGGGGTAACACCACGGCGGATACCATCATCCTTATCAACAACAACAGTGTGTTCCTTTTCGTCCTTGTCATAAACAGTGGTAGTGATGGGGATAATTTCCTCTTCAAAGAGACCAGCATCTTGAGCCTTGGCAGCCTTGACATAAGAAGCGGCGGCAAACTTGTCCTGAGCCTCACGGGAAATGTCATACTTAGTAGCAACATTTTCTGAAGTGATACCCATGGGGATGGTGCACTTGGCAGCTTCAGGGTTGGCGAGAAGGGCAGCAGAGAAGGGAGCAGCAGATTTAGGTCCAAAGTTTGTACTCATGGATTCGACACCAGCACCAATGCCAATATCGATTTGGCCAGCACGGATCTTATTTGCAACATCATTAACCGCCATAAGGCCGGAAGAGCATTGACGATTAATTGCAACAAATGGGACAGAGTAAGGGATACCGGCGAGAAGGGCAGCAGCACGGTGTTCATTGGCACCTGCACCAGGGTTGAGAACATTGCCAACAACCACATCTCCAAGGATTTTAGGGTCGATTTTAGTTTTTTCAAGAAGGCCGGCAAGAAGGCCGGCGAGAATGTCGGAGGAAGCTGTATCCTTAAAGAGACCGCGGCCACCCTTGGTGAGTGCAGAACGGTAGGCGGCAATAATGACAACATCATCTGGGCTCTTACCAAAGAGTTTTTCGCGGTTAGAAGCAGAGGTAGCGTTAGGAGCGACCTGTTGAGAAATGGCAGAAAGGCGGTTCATTATGAGGGTATTTTTTTAATGTGTGTGTTGTGTGTATATATATATAAATATATAGGGAATATTAATTTTTTTTTTAATATAGAAAAAATATAATAATAAATATAAATAAATAATAATAATTAAAAAAAAAAAAAAAAGGAAATTTTAAGGGGAAAGGATGGGGTTTTATATATAAATTTGGTGGGGAAAAAAAAAAAAAAAAAAAAAAAAAAAAAAAAAAAGGAGGGGAGAGAAAGGCAAGAAAATTGATTTCTCCGAGGGAAGAAAAGAAGAAGAAGATTTCAATATTATTATTATTACACAACAATAAGATTGATTGATATAAGTTTTTTATTTATTTATTTATTTATTTATTTAGATGAAAAAGATGAAGATATATAATTAATATGATATTTACATTATATGATAATATGTTTTTAGGTATATTAGTTTATATTTGAGTATATATTAATTTATTTAGGTGTGTAGACATAATTATTTTTTTTTTTCATTTTTACATTTACATTTTCATAAGTATTTTTTTCTTAATTTAATATATAAAATGATGATTAAGAAGATGAAAATGAAGATGAAAATGAAGAAGATGAAAAAATGATGTTGAAAATGAAAATGAAAATGAAAATGATAGGAAGAAGAGCTTGTTATGGTTGTTTCTTTTTTTTTTTTCTTTTAGTACCTCGGCAATTAAAAAAAAAATTAAAATAAATTTATATTTTCAAGTTTAAAGTGTGAGTTTATGTGTGTGTGGACAAAATTAATACAATAATTCGTTTTTTTTTTTTTTTTTTTTTTTTTTTTTTTTTTTTTTTCGGGTCATGCGGATTTCATTTGAATAGAATATCAATTGTCAATTGGATATTTATAAAAAAATATATATAAATTCCATTTTTCATTAATTAATCATCTGTCTTGTAGTTTTAAAAAAAAAATGAAAAGAAAGAAAGAAAGAAAGAAAGTTTAAGGACATAAAGTAAATCTCCAGATGGTTCAAATGATTCAATCAATCAATCAATTAATTAATTAATAATAAATACTTGTAAAAGAATTAAAAAAAAATAGATGTATATACAGTAATAATAATAATAATAATAATAGTAGTAGTAAATATAATGATCTTATTTCTTAATTAATTTATTTATTTATTTATTTTTCAATGTTTTTTTTTAAAAAAGAAATCGGTATTCTATTTCGTTCTGTAAGTTTTTCATCACCTCGGTGTATTTCGGACTTGACGGAGACTTTAGCTAGTAGAGTAGAATTATTGGTATTGGTAGTGGGGGGGGCAAACTTTTATTTGAGCATAATAATTATTAAAAATAAATAAATTAAATTAAATTCTAAGTACTAAAGTATATTTATATATCACATGACTAATTGTGGGGTTAAACTGTGCCGAGGTTCCTTTTATTTTTTTTATTAAAAGAAAAAGAAAATATATATATATATATAATTGTTATTACATTTTTGTTACATTATAATGTCATAAATATATATGTGTAACAATATATAGATCCACGTGATACAACTGATCATCAGTTACCCTGTCTGTTTTAAATCTCTCGTTTTTTTTTTTTTTATTTTAAAAAAAAAATCTTTTCTTTTCTATATATATACATATAAATATATATATATATATATAAAAAATATATAAAAAAAATATAAAAATATATAAAAATATATTTAAAAGTAAAAATAAAAATAAAAAAAATAAATAAATAAATACCAACATTATTATTCAATCAAATACCCATTATAAATAAACTCATCTATTAAATTTCTTTAACTGTTGTTGTTGTTGTTGTTGTTGATGGAGTCATTATAATTACTACTTCTACTATTACAACTACTACTAGCTTTTATTTCTTTTTTTTTTTTTTTTTTTTTTTTTTTTTTTTTTTTTTTTTTTTTTAGATCACCAACAACTCTTTCTTTCTACTGTTTCTCTTTCTCTTTCTCTTTAAAAACCAAAACGAAACAATCAAACAAACAAAAAAAAAATGGGCAACGCCGCCACCAAAGAAATTCAGCAACAACAACAACATCATCATCATAATCATCACAGGCAAAGAGCTTCATCTCTCACAGGTTCGTCTACTCTATCAATCTCAAATAATAATAATAATAATAGAACTTGTTCTTCTTGTTCTTATTCTTCTTCAAATAGATTTAATAATAATCATAATAATAACTCATTTTCTTTATCAACTACCTTAGATCCAGATGATATCCTAAACTTTGCTTCTACTACTTCTGCTTCTGCTTCTTCTGCTGCTGTTGCTGGTTCTTCCTCTTCTTCGTCAACACCTTCAACTTCTTCTTCTTCTTCATCTCGCCGTAGAAGAGCTTCTTCTTCTGTAAATACAGATACTCTACAACATCATCATAGAAAGGGCAAATCTAAAAAACAACATCCTCCTCCTGAACCTGTCCAAATCTTGGTTTTAGACACTTCAGAAACTGTAGATGGAGGTTATTTACAACCACAAGGTGTTTATACTGGGCCTCAAGATTTTAAATATAAAGTAGTGCGACAACTTATTGTAAGTTTTTAGTTTTTTATTTTATTATTATTATTTTTATTTTTTAATTCATTAACACACAAAAAAAAAAAAAAAAAACAGATTGATAGGAAAATTGCACCCTTTTATAAAGGCCTAAATGATTATAAACAATCTTGGTCGGATAGACAGCTCTTGGCTGCTGTCCGTGGATTGCCCATTCCAGAAGATGCAAATTCAAATAACAGTACTAGTAATAACAATAAAAACAACCAACTTACTGAAGGATCTACTTTATCCCAAAATATCTCACAACAACAAGACACTGATAACGTTACAACAACAACTTCACAAACTTCCTTCTCCTCCTCTGGATCTTTGGCTGTACCATCCATATCAACAGCATCAACATCTCTAGATATCGACCTCCCAGTCCCAACTTCCATTGCTGAAGACTTGGTAGATTCTCCAGATGCCCTCATCCCTCTCATGCCAGCAACTTCATCTTCTGCTCCATCCCATAGTTTTATGCCAAAAGATTCACTCAATAATGTTTCGCATTCCACTTCTACATATACTTCTATAACACCACCACCACATGCCCATATTCACTATCAGCCCATTCATCAACCTTACAAGGATATTTCTACTAGTTCTAGTAGTAATAATACTAATACTAATACTACTACTACTACTAATACAAATACTAATACTAATACTACTACTACTATTAGCACAACAACTACTGCATCATCACCCCCTCTAACAATATCGCCTACTTCTGCTTCACCAATCACCCGCTCAAGAGCAAATACAACCTCCCGCTATGGTCCAAGCCCTCTAGGTGCTCCACAAAAACCTCCCACAGAAGTTCTCGTCTACCGTGGAGCCATTGAGTGTCCCATTTGCTTTCTCTACTATCCTAAATACCTCAACCTTACTCGTTGTTGTGCCCAACCAATCTGTACAGAATGCTTTGTCCAAATCAAGCGCCCTGACCCACACCCACCACATGATGATCACGAAAATAATGACAATAATAATACCTCATCAACTCCTAACCAAAATCTTCTTGCAGCAGAACCAATGCTCGTATCAGAACCAGCATGTTGTCCCTATTGTATGATTCCAGACTTTGGCATCACCTATACTCCATGTCCCTATCGCTCAGGCTTGGAACCTAAAAAACAACATTCAGGTCCTACAGGTGTTGCTAGTCTCTTACCTCTTGCAAATATCTTTTCTCTTAAAGACGATGCTTCTTCTGTTGCATTGGATGACTCGGCTATAGAAAGCTCTCCTTCCCCTGGTAATACTCCAGCCTCTTCTACATCGGCATTATCATCAACCTTGTCCTCCTGCTCCTCACCAACATCCACAGTCACTGCCACAAAACGCCGTGGCTCAATACCTGCAAACTCTCCAGATGTCGTTACAATTGATAGAATTAGACCCGACTGGAGTATCAAACTTGCAGCTGCACGAGCTCATGCTGCACGCAAAGCTGCACAGGCCACGGCTCTCCATGCCAGCGCATTTCTATTGGATAATAATCAACCAGACTCTACAAGTGGAGGCCGGTCACGAGGATCACGAGGAAGCACCAGCCGTGGGTTGGGATCAAGTGGAGGAAATAGACGACGAAGTTCAGCCAGTGCAAATAATGGTCGAGGGGGGTCAGCTGTAGAAAATAATCCTAGAATTCAGCAATTGGAAGATATTATGGTGATGGAGGCGATTCGGTTATCATTGATTGAGGAGGAAAGTCGGAAGCTGAAGGAGCAGCAGGCTAGCTCTGACGGCGCCCCGGCTGTAACAGGTCCATAAGAGAATAAAAAAAAATGTGCATAGATGGATTTCAAAAAAATAGGTGGAAAAAAAATAAAAAAAAATAATAAGAAGGATGAAATGAGGTGAATGAAATCAAATGAAATGAAGTGAAATGAAGTGAAATGAAATTAAATTAAATTAAATAAATGAAAATAAATGAAATGAAATAAAATTACAAAGGTTTTATTACAATATAGTACACGTGATTGAAGATTCACATATATATATACATAAATATTTGTATTACATGATTATTTTTATAAATGTGTTGTAACAATGAGATGTTTTATTTTTTTATACTTATGAAATAATAAGAAATAAATAAAAGCCGCACACTATTACGCCATTAGAACAGATCATTGCGATAATCAAGGCACGTGTAAAATAAAGTATGGCTTATGGGAGTTATTTCATTAATATATACTAACCATAACTAAATCATATAAAAGGACCAATATCTGCAAGTAAAAAATATTTATTTTTATATTGTATTTTTTTTTTTTTTTTTTTTTTCAAAAGAGAAATTGCTTTAATTATTAATACAAAAAAACAACTAAAATGAAGATCTACTACCACGACGACGACAATACCACTGATAAACAACTTCCTCATGAGACTTCGGAGACTGTTTCCGTTGAAGAGCTCAAAAAATTGGGAGTGTTGGCATATCATTACGACAATCTCGAGGATGTTGACAAGCTTGCATCTGAACGATCATATGTTTCTCGTGACGAGGTTCTAATTACACCTGAATCATTTGGTGCCGACCGAGCCATATATGAATCCAAGCTGACGAGTTTTTATGCAGAGCATTTACATGAGGATGAAGAGATTCGGTACATTCTTGATGGAGCTGGGTATTTTGATGTGCGGGACGCGTCTCAATCACGATGGATCCGGGCATTATTGGAAAAGGGAGATTTACTTATTCTTCCTGCAGGTATTTATCACCGCTTTACATTGACTACGGAAAATAATGTGAAAGCATTACGGTTGTTTAGAGAAGAACCTAAATGGATTGCTTATAATCGACCAGAGGCTGATGGCAATGTTTACAGAAACGAGTATCTCAAGGAAATTGGGGTTTAAAGAAGATTATAAAGAAGAAACTTATATATATATCTACTTATTTATTGATAAGGACTTTATTTATGAATAAAAAAAAATTGTTTTTTTTTCTAATTAGCATTCTAATAGAGATGATTGAATAATTTAGAATTATTGTTACAAATCAATGAAGATAATTGGATGAATTGAATGAAAAAAAAAAAAAAGGGTTGCAATTATTTAAAAAAACAAGTCTAGAAGGGAATTTGTATGGGAAGGGGGGATTTAAGTGAAAAAAAAAAAAATAAAGAGAGAAGGTTGAACCCCATAGTGCTGTGTGTGTGTGTGTGTGTAACTTTCCCTCGAGAAAAATAATAAGGATAGAAATGAAAGTGGTAACCCTTGTCCAGATGACTAATTATTTATAATAATTTTCAAAAAAACATAAAGGTCACATGATATGTTATATTTTATTATCAAAATATTTGTTACATATTCTTTAATATAATATATAGTTGTCCACACATGTCCATTTTTAATGATAAAATCTAAGCCGCATTTACCCTATTCAATCTACACTCACTATCATCTCTCTTTACAAAACCTTCATACAACCCAAACAAAAATTTTTTTTCCCACTCTGGAATTTTCCCTCCTTTCTTTCTTTTCCCTTTTTTTTTTTTTTTTTTTTTTTTTTCCCTCCCCCTCCTCTTTCTTTTAGTATCTTACTGACAGCCATCGTCTCCCCAGTAGTATCTACTTAACTCACACACATCAACAATGTCTTCCGAAGCTGCTGTTTCTTACGCTGCCCTCATCCTCGCTGATGCCGGTAGCGAGATCTCTGCCGACAACTTGCTTTCTCTTACCAAGGCTGCTGGTGTCAAGGTTGACAACGTACGTTTAGAAACAAGACCTTTACTACCAATTTTTTTTTCTCACTTAATTCACCAATTTTATATATATATATATATATATATATATACCCAAAATATGATATCAAACAGAATAAATAAAGAAGGAACTGTATTTCACGCGGTTAAGAAGATAATTAAGATAATAATAATGATTAAAAAGATTCAGCAATTGACAGATAATTTAATGATTGAAAAAAAAAAAAAAATTGGAAAAATTTTTCTTTGATTTGAATGGAAATTATATATTTTATTATTATTTCTTTTTTTTCATTATTGATCTGCGTGTTTGCACCAACTTTTGACTGTTTATGCCATTTTAAATTTACATTTTAAATTTACATTTATTTTTAACATTGATTTGTTTTAAACATTTGATTAACCATTTTTTTTTAGATCTGGGCTAATGTCTACGCTAAGGCTCTTGAGGGCAAGGACCTTAAGGAGCTCCTTTTCGCCTTTGGCGCTGCCGGCCCTGCTGCCGCTGCTGCTCCTGCTGCCGCTGCCGGTTCCTCTGAGGCTGCTCCTGCTGAGGAGAAGGCTGAGTCTGAGGCTGAGGAGTCTGATGACGATATGGGTTTCGGTCTTTTCGACTAAACAGTTTTGGTTTCATAATATAAAATTGAAATAATTTTTTTATGATTTTTTTAATGGTTTAGTACGGAATAATAATAATAAAAATAATGAACAAAAAAAATAGAAGAAAAATATATAAATATATTTAAACGGCCTTTTGTGTGTGAATTAAAAAAAAAAATAATAACTAAGGACCTTTTTTTTCCATTTTATTATTTATTCCATTAATAATAATAATGAATTGTTTTTAATGTTTTTTTTTTTATATATATTATTATAAAAATAATTTGTAGCTTTTTTTTTTTTTTTTTTTCTGTTGATGATAATAATGACTTGTGTGTAATAATACAAATAAAAATACAAAATTAAAAATGAAATATATTGTTTTAAATGTTTGTGCAATAAGTTAGTTCAAAGATTGAAATTTTTATTTTAGTTTTTATTTTTAAAAATTTATTATAGTATAATAATAATTATTGAAAAATTGTCTAAATCAAGTGTTTTCACTTTATGGATAACAAAATTATGGAGGTTTTGAATTACTTGTTTTGTATATTTCTTAATTAAAACCAAATATTTCATGGTAGTCAATTAAAAAAAATATAAAATAAAAAAAAAGAAAAAGCCCTAAAGCCCTAAATAATGTGACTATTTTTAAGATTTTTTCAGACTCAAATATACTGACAATAAATATTAGTGTGTGTAACTCAACCCACTCAATTTTTTTTCTTTTTTTATTTTTTAAAAAAAACAAAAAAAAAATAAAATAAAAAAAATAAAATAAAAAAAAATTAAAAAAATATAAATAAAAACATTTCATGCGGCTTTTTCTAGTTAAATTAATACAAAAAGTATTACATAATTAAATTAATATAATTAAAAATAGAATAGCCTTACACTCTCTGTATATATACTATATATACTATATAAACTAATTTTTATTTTTTTTTATATCTATATATTAATATAATTTAAAATTTTTTTCTCTGTTAATATAAAAACCCTCACCCTAACTATACGGAGGGCTTTCACACATATACACTCAAAAAATTTTTCTTTACCCTTACCCTACTACACTTTACCCACCACACACCTCTCCCCCCCTTTTTTTTTTTTTTTTTTTTTTCTCCCCCCTTTTCCCTCCCCTCTCTCTCTTGTGCGCGCTTGTTTGAACCTCTTTTTGAAGTTTCCCCTTCCCTTCTCCTCTCTTCTCTTCTTTTTTTTCCTACTTACACACAATCCACCCCCATCCTTCAGCAAGATGAGCGACTCTACTCCTGTTCCCAGCGTCCAGACTTTTGGCAAGAAGAAGACCGCCACCGCCGTTGCCCACGTTAAGGCCGGCAAGGGTCTCCTCAAGGTTAACGGTTCTCCCATCACCCTTGTTCAACCCGAGATTTTGCGCTTCAAGGTCTACGAGCCCCTCTTGATTGTTGGTCTCGACAAGTTTGCCAACATTGACATTAGAGTCAAGGTTTCCGGTGGTGGCCACGTGTCGCAGGTTTACGCCATTCGTCAGGCTATTGCCAAGGGCCTCATTGCTTACTACCAAAAGTATGTTGATGAGCAGTCCAAGAATGAGCTTAAGAAGGCTCTTATTTCTTACGACAGAACCCTGCTTATTGCCGATCCCAGAAGATGCGAGCCCAAGAAGTTTGGCGGTCCAGGTGCCCGTGCCAGATACCAAAAGTCTTACCGTTAAAGAAAAAAAGAAGAATTTTTTTTATATATATATTTTGGAAAGAAGGAAGCAAAAAAAAAAAAAATTGGATTGGTTTATTATTATTATATTTGGATTGATTTGAAGTTTTTATTGAGATGATTTGATAAGATTATAGAGAAATCTTTTATTTTCTTTCTAATTTTTTTTTTCATTTTTAACTTATTTTCATTCTTGTTGATTTGTATACTATCAAGTATTTTTTTTCTCTTTCTTTCTTTTCAATTTGTTGTATTTCCTTTTTTCTTTTTTTTTTTTTTAATTTGGTTTTTCTTTTTGTTATCTTTCTCTTCTTTAAAAATAAAAATATAAATATAAAAAAATTTGTCAAAAAAAAAAAAAAAAAACCCATTTTGTGTATTAATATATTGGATATGATATTTTTTTTTCCGTTAATTCATTTATTTATTTGATTTGATTTTTTAATGGTTTTTTAATAAAAAAAAAACTTTTTTCTTGATGTAATTTTTTTTTGATTTAAAATGATTGATTTGTAATAATTACTTTAAGATTATTAAGTATTACATAAAAACCGTTATTTATTTATTAGTTTATTACCTTTTAATTACATAAATTACATAAATTACATCTTCTCCGCATTTTTATATTATTTTATTTTATTTTATTTCGTTTTTACAAATAACTTGAACCTTTCATTTCCTTTCTTCATCATAAAAAAATTGCATATATTTTTTAAAAAAAAAAAAAAAAAAATGATTTAATAAAATCTTAATTCTGTTTTTAATCCGGCCAATTCTCGTCCGTTATTTCTTTCTAATTAATCTTGTATTAGTATTAGTATTAGTATTAGTATTAATAGTAATATAATAGTAATAATAATTGTATCATTATCAATTATATTAAACTTTTGTATTCCTTGTGATGTACCATTGAGTCTTTTATATATATATATATATATATTTATATTTTTTTTTAGTAATTGCCATATAATAATATCATATATATCAATATATTAATATAGATACTACAAAAATTAAAAATTAAAAAAAAAAAAACTTTAAAAACTTTCCTAAAGTTTTTTTAATATATATATATATTTAAATTGTTAATAGTATCGACTATGATAAAAATGCTAATCGTTATTATCAATTGGTATTTATTTATATATATTCAATTAATCTAGATCTTGTAATTTATAATTAAACTAATAATAATAATAATAATAGTAATAGTAAAAACAATATTTATTTTATATAAAATTCCCACGGGTCTTCTCTTCCATTATATATATATATAACCTTAAATCATTCTTTTAATTGTTCTCAAATGTTTGTTAATAATAATAATAATAATAATAATGATAAACCGGGTGGACCCGACCCATTTGTATTAAAGTCCGTTGTTGTTACTGTGTTGTTTTTCTTATATAAAAGGCCAAATACCCGTGGATCACCAACAATAATAAAAAAAAAAAAAAAAAAAAAAACAATTTTATTTTTATTTTTTTTTTTTACCCCGCCTTCGTTATGCCTCCAAATGTTTTTGTTAGTTTATTTGTTTGTTTGTTAATTTGTAAGTCAGAATTTTTTTTTTTCTTTTAAAAGGGGTATTGCTCGTGTTAAGAAAAAAATAAAAAAAAAAACACATGGGCCTTACATAATCATGTCAAAATTTTAATTAATCAATTAATTAATCAATTAAAAAAAAAAAATTTTTTTTTTTCTATGACTGTTTTTTTTCTTGTTGTCGTTGTTGCAATTTGATATAAAAACCTCCCAATTTCCGCTTTTCCTTTTTTAAAAAAAAAAAAAAAAAATCTTTTTTTTTTCCTCTTTTAAATACCTACAAAAAACAATCCATCTATATAGATATATTTTTTTTTCTATTTATCTATATATATATATACCTTATTTTCATATATTCCTAAAAGAAATATATATATATATATAAAATGACTTTTGCTGATATCGATACAAAGTCAATCAACACAATTCGCATTCTTGCGGTACGTCTAATATTACAATTCTTTCTTGAAAAAAAAAAAAAAAAAATCTCGCATCTTTTGATCATCAGCTAACTAATTTATCAAGATTGATGCCATTGCTGCCGCAAACTCTGGTCATCCCGGTGGTAAGTATTGCGCTATTTAACACATTTCTCTCTCTCTCTCTTCAATTCAAACTCTAATATCCTCCATTTTATTTTTAGCCCCCATGGGTCTCGCCCCCACTGCTCACATCCTCTTTAATAACTTTTTGAGATTCAACCCCAAGAACCCTGAATGGCTCAACAGAGACAGATTTGTTCTCTCCAATGGCCACGGCTGCATGCTCCAATACGCCCTTCTCCACCTTTACGGCTACGATTACTCTATTGATGATCTTAAGCATTTCAGAAAGCTCAACTCTAAAACCCCAGGCCACCCAGAAGCTGAACTCCCTGGTATCGAGGTCACAACTGGTCCCCTTGGCCAAGGTATCTCTAACGCTGTCGGTCTTGCTATTGGACAAAAACACTTTGCTGCCCGCTTCAACAAGCCCGGCTTTGACCTCTTCAACGGCTACACTTATGCCATTGCCGGTGATGGTTGTCTGATGGAGGGTGTTGCCTCTGAGGCTGCTTCCATTGCTGGCCACCTCCAGCTCAACAATCTCATTGTCTTTTACGACGATAACAAGATCACCATTGATGGTTCCACTGAAGTGGCCTTTACAGAAGATGTCGATGCCCGCTTCCGCTCTTATGGATGGGACACTATTGATGTCTCCAATGGTAACGAAGATCTCGATTCCATCTATGAGGCCATTGTCAAGGCTAAGCAGTCTACAAATAAGCCCACCCTCATCAAGGTCTCCACCATTATTGGTTTCGGCTCAAAGCTCCAGGGTACCCACACTGTCCACGGTGCTCCCCTCAAGGCTGACGATATTGCTGCCGTCAAGACCAAGTGGGGATTTAACCCTGAAAAGTCCTTTGACGTTTCCCAGGAAGTTTACGACTACTACGGTAAGACTGTCGCTAAGCACCAGCAGGAAGAGTCTGCTTGGGAAAAGCTCGTTGAAAAGTACATTGCCGAGTTCCCCGCCGAAGGTGCCGATCTTCAACGCCGCCTCAAGGGTGAGCTCCCCCTGGGCTGGGAAAAGGCCCTCCCCGTTTACAAGTCCTCAGATCCTGCCGTGGCTTCCAGAAAACTCTCTGAGATTGTTCTCACAAAGATTTTCGACGAGGTCCCAGAGCTCATTGGTGGCTCTGCCGATTTGACTGGCTCTAACCTGACGCGTGCTCCTGAATCTGTTGATCTTCAACCCCCCAGCACCAACCTTGGTACCTATGCCGGCCGCTACATTCGCTACGGTGTCCGTGAGCATGGTATGGGCGCCATCATCAATGGTCTTGCTGCCCACGGCGGTATCATCCCCTATGCCGGTACCTTTTTGAACTTTGTTTCTTATGCTGCCGGTGCTCTCCGTCTCTCTGCTCTTTCCCAGCACCAAGTCATTTGGGTCGGTACCCATGACTCTATTGGTCTCGGTGAGGATGGCCCTACCCACCAGCCTATTGAGACTTTGGCACACTTCCGTGCTATCCCCAACCTTCAGGTCTGGCGTCCTGCTGATGGTAACGAGACCTCAGCCGCTTACTACCAGGCCCTGACTACCAAGCACACTCCCTCCGTCATTGCCCTGACTCGCCAGAACCTGCCACAACTCGAGGGCTCTTCTATTGAAAAGGCCCGTGCCGGTGGTTACACTGTTTACACTGCCTCTGAGTCTCCTGACGCCATTATTGTCTCTACTGGTTCCGAGGTTTCTCTGTCAATTGACGCTGCTAAGCTGCTTGCCGAAAAGAAGGGTCTCAAGATTAACGTTGTGTCGCTTCCTGACTGGTTCACTTTTGACCAACAGCCCCTCGACTACCGTCTCTCTGTCTTGCCTGATGGCGTCCCTATTCTCTCTGTTGAAGTCATGTCGACTGTTGGCTGGGGCAAGTACGCTCACGAGAACTTTGGCATTAACCGTTTCGGTGCTTCTGGCCCTTACAAGGATGTTTACAAGTTCTTTGGCTTTACTCCTGAAGGAATTGCTGACAAGGCCGAAAAGGTTGTTGAGTTTTACAAGGGCAAGTCGGTCATTTCCCCTCTTAACCGTGCTATTTAAAACTGACTTTAATTCGTGTATTTTTTTTCTCACTCCCCCGTTAATAAAAATTTAATTTCAAGACTACATTTATTACTTATTATTATCTTAGTATATTGATTGATTGATTGATTGATTGATTGATTATACTCTTCTTTTATTGGACTCTTTAATGGCATGCTGAATCTTTTCATGCAAGTCTGGATGTACCGTTCTCACAAGCCAATAGTTGCGACGCACATGGAGTCGGACATCCGCCACACGATACTGCAGTGCACGCGCACAAATGTCAACAAATTGGTTTTCAAGTAGTGCATAGTTTTTAAGCAATGGCCGGTGGACAAGAGCCATGGCTACAAAAAGCATGTAGACAGAACTATTTTTGGCAGACTTTGACAAATGGGCCTGGCTCCAAATGTTATGGGCAAATCGCAATACTACAGCAGCATCACGTGGACCCTGAGGAAGTTGTAGACAAAGCACAGCAGATACTGTATCAAGCATAGAGCGCAGAAGCATAATATATCGATACGTTGGTTCATCGTAGCTATTAGAAGTGGTCATGGTAGTATTTGTAGGGCAGTAACCCGACAAGTAGGAGGTGGAAGTGGAGGTGGAGGTGGAGGTGGAGGAGGAAGAGACTGCACAAGGGACGATGCGCAAAAGGGTTTGGTAATGAGCGCGGCGGGTTTGATGGAGCCGTAAAATATAAAAATCGTATACTAGTTTGAGAAGCTGGACATTTGTAGATGGTACAAATGGCGGGACACTGGTGTCATTATTCCGGAGCGTATCCGGTGTGACTGGTGAGTCTGTGGATCCAGTTTCAGAGTCGAGTTCTACTTGTGTAACATTAACTTGAGGATGGCCTTCACATAAACCACACGCACAATAATTACCTGAGGAAGAAGCAAAAGTTCCAGAGGGACTTGAATAAATGGCTTCGGGAGCACCAAACGCAAGTAGGTCCATAAAGAAATGAAGTACGCTGAGTGAAGCATTACGGCTCTCAGCAAAAGCTGCAAATAAACGCCCCCGCGAAAGCACACACTTGAGTCCAAGACACGTCAAGATACGTCTTCTACGCAGGGCTTCCTTGTGATTCTCATCATTGTTATTGCCGGTGTTGTTGTTGTTCTTTTTCTTTTCAGACTCCAGGTTTGAGCACACACCACGGAGAGCCGCACGCAGCCGCGCCAAACAAATGGTTAACAAAACACTCTCCTCACGATCCAAAAGCCCTGCAACCCCAAGACCCTCGACCACAGGTGGCGACAAGGACAGGTCAGTTGAAAAAAAAGAGGCCTGATTGTTGTTGTTGTTGTTGTTGTTGTGGTGGTGGTGGTGGTGGTTGCGCAGGCCGAGACCAGGCGACATCACGCGGACCGAAGTGTAGTCGTCGGTGCTTATGCCGAGGTCTGTTTGGGCATGACAGTGGGGACATTTTTGGCATTTTGTAGTGGAGGGGTCATCATTGCAAAAGGTTTTTATTGAATTGTTTGCTTTTTTAGTCGGGTTCACCATGACATATCCTTCAACAGTGTTATCTTTATCGTTAAACAATGTTGTTGTTGTTGTTGTTGATCCGTCATGATTCTCATGACCATGCTTGAAATCCAAAATGGGACTCACGGTGGCCACAATTTCCTCAATAAAGGAATCAAACTGGGCTGCAGAATGGAACTTTTGCATGGGGAATTTTTGAATCTTAACATCCATGTATAAACCGATATCTTCTAGTCGTGCAAACGGGGTAAAATGGGGGACTCCAGGGAACGAGACGCGGCGAGCATCATGTTGGAACCGAAGTGCACGCAGAGCTACACGATCATAAACAAAATTATTTCGGTTGTTTACGGAAACACTTGGACAAGACAAACGAGGTGAACAAGAATGGGTTTGGGTGGGAGTTAATGGACTACTGGGGGGTTCTGGAGATAAGAAAAAGGAGGTAATAACTACAGGAAATGAGCCAGGAATGGTATCACGACAAGGTGGAGAAGGGTATTTTTGGTCAGGGGAATTTTTTAAAGAATCATTAGGAGAGTTGCATTCACCAAAACCAAGGGTATAGATTGGTGAGTATGATAATGATGATGATGATGATGATAATAGATTTGAGTGGAAAGATGATCCAAAAATAGCCCAGAGATCTGAGCAAAGAGTGGGCCAAAGGGTGACTATGTAAAGCACAGAGTTGACACATGTAACCAAAGCTGCAAAGCAAGCCCAAAGTTTGATTTCAAAGGCAGTCACATCACCCAGGACTGGAGTATCTAGAGTAAAGTTAGTTTAAAAAAGAGATGGACAAAAAGAAAAAAAGAAAAAAAAAAAGCAATTAATTGATTAATTGGTGGTGGTGTCATTAACAAGAGGTACCATCGTCCAAATGTCGCATGAAATAAGAAAGTGCAAATAGTGCATTAGTAGTTGAGCACGAAACGCTGAGCACAAATGTTTCCGGGCGGATCATCTTCAATGTTGGTGTTATATTGGTGGTGATAACAAAAGATTATCAAAAAAAAAATAAAAAAAAAAATTGAAATTCTGGGTTGACTGACTGACTGGTAATTTTTTTTTTTATTTGTAAAGATTTTGGACTTCATCAAAACTAATTGCTTGTTATAGATTTAATTTTAAAAGTAATTTCTTATGCTAGTTAAATTAAAATCACATATACTATTATGTAATTTAATATAAAGGCTTACTTAATGCTATGCTATACCTTCCTTTTCTTCCTGCTGTTTATATAAAAACAGCCTCACTGTAGGTCCCGTCCCTCTCCTCCCTCATCATACCCGTACCGGGACCCGGGTCCTTCTTTCCGTTCGTCATACACGCTCCCCAAATACCGACTTCTTCTTACTTGTCCCCGTCTTTCTTGTAGTGTTTCTTTATTTCCATGTCCCACAAACTTATCTATCACCATTTTTCTTATTCCTTTTTCTCCTTCTCCTCCTTCTCCTCTTCCTCTCTTTCTTTCTCCTCTAACTCCCTCTTGTTGGTCCCCGCACCAAGATCCATGTACCCTTGATCCTTGCGCAAATACCCGAACACGTTCATGAACCTGAGAAACCACGGAAAATAAACGTCCTGTGTGTCCGTGCACAAGACGACGGCCTAACGCGTGTCGAACGTCACTCACGTGTGTATTGCGTAATAAGCAATAGAAGCACATGAGCGATGGTCCCGAGCCCATTGTTCCACGGAATCCATTGTGCTGGTGACCACAATCCCTACTATCGGAACTTTGCACACCGTGCTCATGGGAATGACCATAACCATGACCATGAGAATGACTACTACCATGACCACTACCATTACCACTACCATTACCTACCTTGGACACTGATACAGTCGAAGTGGATGAACCGGCAGCCCATGTCACTGCACCCACCGCAGCGCGTGCTGTAGTGTTTACCCACGCAGCAACAACCACATACGATGCCACGGTTCCAGCGATACCTAGGACTGGCCAGGGATGGTCGCGTGCAGCCATGACAAGAGCTGCTGCCACAAATACAGCAACTGCACGGATCCTGGTAGCTATTTTCCTACTTCTGGCTTCGTTGGTCAATTGGTCCAAGGGTTTGATGGTACGCTTAATGATAAGCGGTTCTTCTACCAAGCCTATATTCATCAAGGGGAAAAAAGGGAAGAAAAAATGAGGGGGGATAAAAAAAAAAGGAATTACAGTCCAAGTGTAAGAAAGAAAGAAGAAAAGAAAAGAAAAGGGAAGGAAAGAAGATTTTGATTTTGGCAACAAAGATTTCATTCAAATTTAAGTTATAAAAGGTTCTTCCATCAATTGGTCCACATACATACACACACTCTACAGCTTTTCATACTCAAGCTTACCTTCAAGCTTCTTGGCTTCGGCCACCTTGCGAACAGCCTTCATCATGTCATTCTGTACAATGTAGTCACGATCGTCTCGAATTGCAAAGAACCCAGCTTCTGTCACCACGTTTCTGATATCTGCACCATTGAAACCATCACTTAGCTTGACGAGTGCTTCGTAGTCAAACTCACCTTGTTTCTGGACATTGGCCGAATGGATCTTGAAAATCTCCAAGCGCCCAATCTCATTAGGCAATGGAATCTCAATCTTGCGGTCGAGACGTCCAGCACGTAGCAGTGCAGGGTCCAGCGTATCGGGTCTATTTGTGGCCATGATGACTTTTGTCTGTCCCAAGTAATCAAATCCATCCATTTGGTTCAACAGTTCCATCAGTGTACGTTGAATTTCACGGTCTGCAGAGGTACCTTCGCTAAATCTGCGACCACCAATGGCATCGACCTCATCCATAAAGATGATACAGGGTGCATGTTCTTTGGCATATCCAAACATTTCACGAATAACACGCGCAGACTCACCAATATACTTATCGACAATGGCCGAAGCAGGTGAAAAGATAAAGTTGGCACCAATAGTTGCAGCAACAGCCTTTGCCAGCAAAGTTTTACCTGTACCAGGGGGGCCGTAGAGCAAAACACCCTTTGGAGGGTTGATTCCTACACGCTGAAACAGTTCTGGGTTTTTAAGCGGCAGTTCAATTACTTCACGCAATTCACGAATTTGTTCATTGAGACCACCAATGCCACCAAATGTCAGACTTCCAGGCTCAAATGTAGTCATGTTATAAACCAGTGGGTCCACTTCGCGTGGAAGAATACGCATTATTGTAAGCGTTGTCATGTCGAGCGCCACCCGTACACCTTGCTTGAGGCTTTCCTTTTTAATGCTATTGCGGCATCCCACAATGTATCGTGGGCCGTTTGAAGATTTGACAATGACTAGAGAGTTAGAAATAGGAAAAGAAAAAAAGTGATTTTTTTTTACTTACATCTCTCTTCATCCAGTTGCTTAAGGACTTCACCAATGATTTGACCCAGACTTTGTAATGCTTTGAGGTCCTTAACAAATGTTAGTTAATGACTACTAAATAATGATAATAATAATGATAATATAATACTTACATCTTCTGTCTTTTCATATTCCTTGTCAAGATCCTTAATGGTCAATCGCATTTCTTTAAGCTTAGCATCCCATTCACGATGTTCTTTTAGCTTACGCTTGAACCCATCCAGAGCCTTTTCACGTTCTGGGTCAACTGGGGCAGTGGCATCTGCAGTAGTATTAGCACCCAAAGACTCATCATCATCTTCAAGGGCTGCAAGAAGAGGATCTCTCTCATCTTCAACTGACATTTCAATGGTTATTTCTATAAATTATATTAATATTATTGAGTTGATATTTAAAAAATAAAAAAATTGTATTGTATTGTTTTTTTTTTTGAAAGATTTCTTATGGATGAGTTGGTTGTTGTTGTGGTTGTTATAATTTGAAAAAAAAAAGTTTGGTGGCGAACGTCTATTTTTTTAATTCTTTAATTTCTGGTAGTAGTGGTGGTGGAGAGAAAACAAAAAAAAAAAAAAAAAAAAAAAAAAAAAAAAATTAACCACAGTTTAAAGTCACATGATTATTATAATTTTTTTTTTTTTTTTAAAATTTTTTTTTTCTCTTTCAAACAACAACATTTTTTCAAACAAAAATCTCTCGGGACATTCGACTCAAAACAAAATAAAATAAAATAAAAAAATGGAATTCCATGCAATTGTCATGTGCGGTTCGGGCCGTAGGCTCAGTCCACTTACTACAGTCTCAGGAGGTACTTCTGGGGTTTCTAAAAAATCAGTTCCTAAAGCCCTTTTGCCTGTAGGTGATAAACCCATTCTAGCCCATTCACTCGGTTGGTGTGAACGAGGTGGATTCTCAGATATCACCATCATATGTTTGAATGATGTTCTGACAGAGATTAAGGCATATGTTACTGATAAATACCCAACAGATAGATTACAGATGAGTGGCAATAGCTCCAAATCATCTATCCCTATAGAAGTGATTGGTGTTGATGCACAAAATACTGAGACTCTTGTTCCACTTTTTAGAGAACGAATCAAACGAGACTTTGTGACCATCTCATCAGACTTTGTAACCGACATTGAAGCTTCCGAGCTTCTTGATTACCATCGAAATCGTAATCATGATACCATTCTTACAGGAATTTACTACAAAAATACAATAGAAGCTCTTGATAAGAAGGTTCTTCGCCCAAACATTGTTGTTCATTCATCTCTTCGCAATAAATCTCCATTGCTTCTTGACTGGTACCCACGTGAACATGTTGCCCAGAAAAAGGCTCTTATTCTGCGTGATGCCATGATCATTCGCCATGCAAATTCTGTCATCTCTACAAACATTCTACACTCTTCAATAAGTTTTTGCTCTCACAAACTCATTGAGATTTTAGACAGTTATGAGGGAATCTTGACATCGCCAGGATCTGATGAAGATGAAGAAGAAGAAGAAGAAGAAGAAGAATCAGTACCAAAATCTACTTCAACAATAGCCCAGGATTTCTCTAAACCCATCCATCCAGTGGCCACCCGTGGTCGTCCTTGGAACAAGGTGGTGCGTGACATTGCCCGTCGCTCATGGCAACACAGCAAACCTCTCGATACTGTTTCTATTGCAATTGTGGGTGATACTGATAAGACTTTTATCCGTGTCGAGTCTCTACCGTCTTATATGGAAGCCAACCGCTGGCTTATGAAGCTTAAAGCAAAGAACTCAGCACGACCCAGTGCACCGCCAGTCAAAGGTGCTGCTGTAATTGGTGTCGATTCATTTGTAGCTACTTCTACCAAGGTGGCTGAACGAACTAGTGTGAAGAAGACTGTTGTTGGTAACAATTGTATCATTGGCAAGCGATGTCGTTTGACTGGTAGCATTATTCTTGATGGTGTAACTATTGGTGATGATGTGACTTTAGAAAACTGCTTTATTGGTAAAAATGCCACCATTGGTACCAAGGCAAAACTTATTCATTGTACTGTTGAAGGTGGATACTCGGTTGATGATGAAATTGAGGCTAAGGAAGAGAAGTTTGAAGGGTTTGCAGAGGTTGACGAGGCAGAGGATCTTGTAAGTGATTTAGAAAGTGGAGATGAGGAAGGATCTGATGATGAAGGTGAAGATGAAGAAGAAGAAGAAGAAGAAGAAGAAGAAGAAGAAGATGATGATTATGATTCTGAGGAAGATGATGAAGATGAAGATCAGCTTTCTGACGATGGCTTTTTTGATCGGAGCTAGACCGGGTATTCACGTGACCATAGTAGTAGAATAGTAGTAGAATAGTAGAATATTTTATGTAACAAAATTGTTGTAACAATATAATAATAAACCCTAACCCTTTCATTATTATTATTATTATTATTATTATTATTATTAGATCTTTACTTTAACCGAATTGGGAACTTACCTTGTCAAAAAAAATATATATATATATATATGTATACTCACTCATTCAATCATTTCCAGGGTGATTTAGAAAAAAAAAAAAATAAAAAAATTTCAAACCGCCAAAAAAAAAAAAAAAAAAAAAAAAATCTTTTCTTTTACAATCACCAACTCTTTCCAATTAGCCTTCCCCCCCATCCAACCAGACCAACCTACTAACCATGTCGGCTGCTCCTGCTGCTCCTGCTCCGGCTGCTAAGCCTGAAGCAAAGACAATTGTCTTGGAAAATGTATGGTCCTTTTTTTTTTTTTTTTTTTTTTATTACAATATATATATATATATACATTTCAAATTACCCTCCTTACTTGCTTCAAAATGACTCATTCTAACAACACTACATAGACTGCCAGACGTGATGCTCTCATTGACATTGAGAAAAAGTACCAAAAGATTTGGGCCGACGAAAAGATCTTCGAGATTGATGCCCCCCAAGATTCTTCTCTTTCCGCTGCTGAGCTTCGTGCAAAGTACCCCAAGTTCATGGGTACCATGGCTTACCCTTACATGAATGGTGTCCTCCATGCAGGCCACTCCTTCACTCTCTCCAAGGTAGAGTTTGCTACTGGTTATGAGCGCTTGATTGGCAAAAAGGCCCTCTTCCCACTTGGTTTCCACTGTACTGGTATGCCTATCAAGGCCAGTTCTGATAAACTTATCCGTGAAATTGAACTCTTTGGCGAAAACTTTGAAAACGCTCCTAAAGATACCGAACCAGAACTTGAACCTGTTGCCGCTCAAAATAAACCAAAGGAAGATGTCGAAAAGTTTGTTTCCAAAAAATCAAAGGCCGTTGCCAAAACTGGCCGTGCTAAATACCAGTATGAAATTATGGAGCAACTCGGTATCCCCCTCGAAGACGTCAAGAAGTTTGCCGATCCTAATTACTGGCTTACCTATTTCCCTCCCCTTTGCCAAGAAGACTGCACAAACTTTGGTGCCAGAGTCGATTGGAGACGAAGCTTCATCACTACTGATGTTAATCCTTACTACGATGCCTTTGTCAGATGGCAAATGAACCGTCTCCACGAAAGCGGAAAGATTAAGTTTGGCGAACGATACACCATCTACTCGGCTAAGGACGGTCAACCCTGTATGGACCACGACCGTGCCTCTGGTGAAGGTGTGGGCCCCCAAGAATACACTGGTATTAAAATCGAAGTCAAGGAGTTCCCTGAAACTGCAAAGGAAGCCCTCAAGGATGTTGACTTGTCTAACAAGAAGGTTTACCTCGTTGCCGCTACCCTCCGTCCTGAAACCATGTACGGTCAAACATGCTGCTTTGTCAGCCCCAAAATCACCTACGGCCTCTTTGATGCCGGTAACAATGAATACTTCATCACTACCGAGCGTGCCTTCAAAAACATGTGCTTCCAAAAACTTACCCCTAAGCGCGGCGACTGGTCGTCCGTTGCCCAGATCCCTGGTTCTACCCTCATTGGTGCCGTTATTGACGCTCCCCTTGCCATTCTCAAGGACCTCCGCGTCTTGCCCATGGAAACTGTTCTTGCCAATAAGGGTACCGGTGTTGTTACCTGCGTCCCCTCTGATTCTCCTGACGATTACATCACCACCCTCGACCTTGCCAACAAGCCCGAATACTACAAGATCAACAAGGACTGGGTTAAGACTGAACCCGTTGCCATTATAACTACTCCTTCTTATGGAGATCTCACCGCAAAGACTCTGGTTGAACAGCTCAAGATCCGCTCTCCTAAGGACAAGGAACTCTTGACTAAGGCCAAGGAACTCGCATACAAGGAAGGCTTTTACCAAGGTGTCATGGTCATTGGTCCCTACAAGGGCGAAAAGGTTGAGGTTGCTAAGCCCAAGGTTAAGGCTGACTTGATTGCTGCCGGCCAGGCCTTTGTTTACAATGAGCCTGAAGGTGTTGTCATGTCGAGATCTGGCGACGAGTGTATTGTTTCCCTTGAAGACCAATGGTTTACTGATTACGGTGAGGAAAGCTGGAAGGCTGATGCTTCCAAGTGCCTTAAGAACATGAATACTTACTCCACCGAGACTCGCCACGCCTTTCAAAAAGTTCTCGACTGGCTCAACAACTGGGCTCTTTCCAGAAGTTATGGTCTTGGTACCAGAATCCCCTGGGACCCCAAGTTCCTTGTTGAGTCTCTTTCTGACTCCACCATCTACATGGCTTTCCAAGCTGTTGCCCACCTTCTCCAAGGTGACTTTTACGGCAAGGTCCCTGGCTCTCTTAATATCCAGCCCGAACAAATGACTGACGATGTCTGGGACTATGTCTTGCTCCACAAGGACGACATCAAGTCCGATATCCCCAAGGAGAAGCTTGACAAGCTCCGTAACGAGTTTGAATACTTTTACCCTCTGGATGTTAACATTTCCGGTAAGGATCTCATTGGTAACCATTTGACCTTCTTCATCTACTGCCACTGTGCTATCTTCCCCGAGGAGTACTGGCCCGCTGGTATCCGTGCCAATGGCCACTTGCTCTTGAACAATGAAAAGATGTCCAAGAGTACTGGTAACTTTATGACTCTCAAGCAGATTGTTGAAAAGTTTGGTGCTGATGCTTCCCGTATTGCTCTTGCCGATGCTGGTGACTCTCTTGAAGATGCCAACTTTGACGAAACTAATGCCAACGCTGCCATCCTGCGTCTCTACAATTTGAAGGAATGGGCTGTTGAACTTGTCAAGGACTCTGATAAGCTCCGCACTGGTCCCAAGGATTCCTTCTTTGACAAGGCCTTTGAAAATGAAATCAACGAGCTTATTGAGGAAACTAAAAAGGCTTACGATGAGGCCTTCTACAAGGTTGCTCTCAAGTATGGTCTTTTCGACTTGCAATCTGCCCGTGATTACTACCGTGACTCTACTGCCACCTCTGGCATTGGCATGCACAAGGACCTTGTTTTGCGATACATTGAGGTCCAGGCCTTGTTGCTGTCACCCATTGCCCCCCACTTTTGCGAGTACCTCTGGCGTGAGGTTCTTGGCCACAAGGAGAGCATCCAGAACGCTCGTTTCCCTGAAATTAGCGCACCTCTTGACAAGTCTCTTTCTGCTGCTTTGGAGTATGTCCGCAGCACTCAACGTGCCATTCGTGAGGCCGAGGGTGCCAGCATGAAGAAGAAGAAGGGTAAGGCTACAGCCACCACTTTTGACCCCAAGAAGCCTTCCAAGCTTAGTCTGTATGTTGCTCTGTCTTTCCCTGAATGGCAGGAGGCTTACATTGATCTTGTCAAGGATGCCTTTGAGAATCTTTCTCTTGACTTTACTCCTGATTTCCGTCAAAAGGTTTCCAAGCTTGGTGATGTCAAGCGTGGTATGCAATTTGTCAACTACCTTAAGATGCGTCTGACTGGCGGCGGCGAGTCCCCTGATGTTGTGTTCAACCGTAAGCTTGAGTTTGACGAGTCTGAGACTCTTAAGGGCGTTGTTCCTGTCCTCAAGCGTGCTCCTGCTGCAACCAATGTCGAAAAGGTTGAGCTTATTGCTCTTGACCCCAAGGATGCTACCAAGGGTACTGATCTTTTGACTGGTGAAGCTGTGACTGTTCCTACTGCCAAGGCTATCCAGGACGCCATTCCTGGCCAGCCTGGTATTACTCTTGTTAACTTGTAAAAAAAAAAAAAAGAAGGAAAGCGATGATAATAAAAGGTGGGAGTTGTTTAATGTAAAAAAATTTTTTTTTTTTTGATTATAAAAGTGTATTTGTAAAAAAGAGAGAATAAATAATAAAAAAAATGTTTTGCTTTTTAATAATAATGATGACGATAATAATAATAGGGATAATTTTGGTTAACTTTTAGGGGGGAGTTGAAGTTTAATCAAAAAGCTTTTATGGGACTGAATACACCTCAAAAAGGAAATGCGGAGTTTTTACTGATAACGTTATTTTCGTTATTAAGACGCTAAAGGGGGCTCTTTCTATATATTTTTTTTGTTTAAATATATATTATTAGAAATAAATAAGTTTGGATTTAACTGAGATTAATCAATCAATATTACGTATCTCCTGTAGTAATTATACTTGATATCAAGTAACAACTCATGAGTTTTTTTTTTTAAGAGATTAAGAGGATATTTTTTTTTTCTATTTTACAGTATGAATTTTAATGTAAGTAATTAATTAAAAAAAAGAAGCTATTATGGTCTATTAAAAACAACTTGAGTTAACATTTTTAAAAATATATATTTAAAAATTAAAATGTTCAAGTTGCTATTATTCTAACCTGACACATTAAAATTTGTCTGAATAGTAATAAACAGCTTCAAATCGTCATATATTATATATATATAAAATATAAGATATACCAAATCAAAATAAACTTAACAATGTAGACTGGAACCGCAATGCATTTAAAGCATAACTGAAGATTTATGTGAGTATTTCTTTTTTTTTTTTTTAAAAAAAAAACAAATTAAAAATTTTTAATGTACAAAAAGTTCTATAGCTATTTTTGATAATAAATTTAAGGGTTTCCTACATGGTACATCAACAAGAAACCTTTATAAAAATATATATTTTCATTCTGAAAATCATAATAATCTATAGCTACTGTTTTTAAATAATAATCAGACTCACTAATACTAGAGCTTAATAGATCTGATAAAAAATGGAAGGGGAGGCGGTTTAGCAATATTTGATATATATATATATTTCTGAATGGTTTAAAGGAAGCTTGATAAGATTTTAAAATGTTTTTTTTTCTTTTTGATATTGAGATTAGAAATGAATTACTGATGGACAAACTAGCTATCTATATACTTTTTTATAAGAAAAAAAATAGAGACAAATGAACAGAAAAAAAAAAAAAGAAAAAAAAAGAAAAAAATTATTGAAAAATTCATAAGATATTTAATATAAATAAAAAGAGTAACTCTTTTTTTAATAAATTTAGAAAAAAAAATGAATTCTTAAAAAAACAACTATTCTAATGTTTCACTATTAAGGCGGATAAAAAAACATTTAGAGTCTTAAAAATCTAATAATTTAATATATTAAATTATACTGAGGATGAAGCTTCATATTTTATTTTTATTTTTTAACTATTCATAATGATTACCAAATCACTTAAACGTCTATTGCATTAAACAAACTCTGTAACTTTTAAGCTTTTCAATCCTTTTGTATTGCTTATATTCAGCTTGCACCTATTCTATTCAATATGACTGCTGTAACACCAAAAAATTATCCTCTTCTTTTAATATTTTTTTCATCTTCATCAAACTAGCTAGTTTAAAAGAGTCTATAGACTCTTTTATTTCCAAAAAAAAAAAAAAAAAAAAAAAAATAAACATCTTTACTCATAAAAACGCCAAAACTTTAATGATATGATCCAAATACATTCCAATGTCTTTAAAAAATTGCAAAGAGTAATGATGTATTGTATATTCATATACACCAAATGATGGTCCACTTTTCAAAGGGATTCCACTAAGAAGCTTCACCTTCAATTAATAAAATTAGTATACTATGAATATTAAATTTTTTTTCCAAAAGCTTCTCGGATCACAATTAAAATTATTTTATTTTATTTTATTTTATTTTTTTTTTTCATCGCTTCAAATCGTTTCGGAATATTTTCATAAATTACATGAATATCTACCTAGACTTGTAGTTAGTTGGAATCAAATGCCCACATATAAAACTGCGCAACTTTTTCAGCTTTAAACTTAGAGGAGAGAAAAAAACAAAGTGTTTTGCAAAATGTTCGCAACAATAAAAATGAGGGGATGAGTGTGTGTGTGTGTGTGTTTCTGGTATCCGAGGCAATGCCTTTTTTGTTAATTTAATGGGCAGGACTTTATGATTGAAAAGAAAAAAAAAAATCTTCTTCTTTTATTAATAAAAATCCTTTTTAATTCTCCATTGTTTATTTGTTTATTTATTTATTATTTTTTTATTTCAATTGTGGCATTATTAATGATATCTACTATTTTTATATACTTTTTGTCTTCTGGTAGTTGAATAAACCTTAAGTTACCCTCAAAAGAAAAAATCCAAAAAAAAAAAATAAAAAAGAAAAAAGAAATAATACTTTCTAGAAGATATAATTTAAATATATATATATATATATATTTTCCGTAAAATAATAAATATATATATAATAATACATTTGGTTTTATTTTGTACAAATTGTTAAAGTTTACTTTACTAATTGTCATGACCATTTTTTTTAATCGTTTTTTATTTTACATACCGGTTTTAATATTAAATGAGATAATAGCTTAAATATTTTATTTTATTTTTTTTTAAAAATAAAAAAAAAAGAATATTTTTCACCCCCTTTTTTTAAAATCATCATAATCATTTCTTTTTCAATCAAATAGATTCAAAGCCTATATGCTTTGTAAATAAAAGCAAAGCTCAGTACAAACCACTTTTTTTTTTTTTTTACTATGACTCCATTGCAGGTTGCAATACTATTTTTGATGGTGTTTGTAAAGGACTTCTGTGCAACATGTAGCTGCCACTTATTATTTCTGTTGGATAAACTTATTACTGAGTTTTTTAACAAAGAGAAGATAGTTTTATACTAAACTTTTCCCTATATATATATCAACATAAAACAGAAGACAATTTCCAACGTTAAACCGGGTACCTCGGGGTTTAGTTTCCAGTAAATTGGTGAAGACGTTTAGATGTATTTGGAAACGGACTTGCAAGGAAGGTTTCTTTTTTTTTTTTTTTTTTTTTGGAATGTCGGGACTCCTTTATCCGTGACTTGTAGAATAAACCTACTGCAGCTTTATGGGAATTAATCACTATAACATACAACAACAACATTATCAGTGGGGGAGTTAGAAAAATCACTTTTCTTTTGAAATTTTTTTTTTTCTAATTGTAGTACATTTTAATTATTAAATATATATTTAAGGTGACTATCATTACAATTGAATTGAAACCCTTTCAAATATTATTTTTAATTTAATTTAATTTAATTTAATTTAATTTTTTCAACTACTATGATATCATAATAATAATTATTATGAGCCTCACAATCCCAAATTGGTATTTTATTTTTAATAGAATTGATTTGCGGCTAAAGGCTAATTATAATTATCTAATTAGATAAACAAAAAAAAAAAAAGGGTTAACACAGACGCATGAAATTACATAATATATACGCATTACCTAGGAAAAAAAAAAAAAAAAAATAAAACCCACCAAATTAATTTAAAACGTCAATTATCTACAGATTTTAAAAATCAAATTTAGTTATATTTTAAATACAATATAAATATAAATATATATATATATATATATATATATATATATATATATATATATATTACCTTCAGATTGATGTTTCTAAATTTTTTCCAAAATTTTTTTTATTTAGGTTGATAAATTTTTTTGAGTATATTGCAAAGACATGGGTGGTTTTTGATTTTGAATTTAAAGATTCCTCAATATTTCAATAATAGTTTATCCGGAAGATTTATTTTGGTGATGGTATATATATATAAATATATAAAAGTAAAGTCATAATTTTTCTAAGATTTGACAATCAAATTTTATACAATTTCTGAAGCATAACCTAAGGATAATCATATTAGATTTAAAAAAAAAAAAAAGAAGCTAATTTTATATAATAAATGATTCCTCGAGACAAAAAAAAAAAAAAAAAAAAAAATTAGCACAAGGGAATTATTGAATTGTTTAGTTTCATTTTTTATTTGGTCAATTATAATATAATAATACTAATACTAATCCTTGATATATATATATATATATATATATATATATAAATAAACAATTCCACTCTAAAATCCTTCAATTGATTTCTTTTCTTTTCTTTCCTTTTCCTTTTCCCTTTTTTTTTTTTTTTTCTATTTTTTTTTTTAAATATATATTTCAATCATTCAATATCAATTCTTTATCTTTATTCAATTAATCATTAATATCAATTCCAAATGCTACCACTTTTAGAATCACTTAGACGTCGATTTTCAAAACAAATTCTCTTGATTGTTGTTGGTCCTTTAGTATTATTTACATTAAGTGCACTACTATATTTAAATACTAAAACAACAACTATTTTTGGTTCCACTAGTGCAAAACAACAAACCACTGCAATTAATAACAATCCTAGCAGTGCTTCATTTTTAAACTCATCTAAGCGCCTCCTAAAGTCTCCTGCCAATTCCACTCTAGGATTTCAAAAACTTTTCTATATTAATCTTGATACACGCTATGATCTTGAAGATATGATACAATTACAATCCGATGTCGCTGGAATTACTCCAGATCTTTGGCCTGCCAGAAAAATTGAACCAAACTCTTTTAAAGGTCTTCCGCCAGCTTCGGATGATTGGCCGTCAAAAGTTGCCCTAGGGTTACTTGGATGTTTACGTTCTCATGCAGACATTTGGCGCGCCACTTTGAAGGAAAAATGGGAGACTGTATTAATTCTTGAAGCGGATGCAGCTTGGGATATTCACGTACGCGAAATGATGGCCCACTTTTCAAAGGGGTTTCAAGAAGCATTGCCAGCATTGAGTGCATTAAACATTACAGACTCTCCTATGGCTCCTCACGGTAAGCCAGGAGATTATGTTCCTACAGAAAATGATCCTTATATGGCCAAGCACTGGGATATTTTACAACTTGGTGGGTGCTTTGAAAAAAAGGAGCGAGCAGAATTTAAACATGTGTATTTTGATCCGACTGCTCACCGGAAACCTATCCCTTACGCCGATGGATCAGAACTTGGATCTCACGAGCGAGCAATTCGTTGGCAAAATGAACTCATGTGTACTACTGCATATGCAATCACTCCCACAGGTGCTCGGAAATTACTTTTGCGTATGTCACTACAACTCAATACTCCTGTTGATGGATTAATTTCTGAGTTAGTACGTGAAGACAAATTACGAGCTTATTCTACAACTCCCAATGTTTTTATTCAATGGCAATATCGTGATGGATTAGGTTCGAATAATAAAAATAGTGATATTTCCAAATTTAATCCAGGAGATGATGCATCTCAAGAAGCTCGAAATAGAATGTGGGCCTTGGCTCGTAAGGAAATGAAGATTTGGCAATACAATGGAATTTTTGGAATGTCGGGATTTCTACATCCAGCACTTGGAGGACAGGCGGAGCAGCTTTATGGTATCGTACCATCATGATGTTTTGTACCCAGTGATGAAATTAAAAAAAAAAAAGTTTAAGAGTTAGTTTTAGTGCATTTTTTTTTTAGTAAACTTTAAAAATGAGTTAAAGTATTTTGATAAATACTTTTTTTTTTTTTTTAAAATATATTTTTATTTAATATATATTATTACCTAATTTGTATATAAAATACTGAGTATATTTGAGTATTTTTTTTTTTTTTTTTTGAATAACTTGAAATTTTATATATATATATTCTAAATGATTTTTGCAAAAGAAATAATTAAAACTTTTTTCTTTTTTTTTATGAATTACAATTCAGTAACTGATTTTTTATTATTTTAAACAAAAGAAAAGAAAGAATTAAATAATTAAATAAAAAAAGAAATAAGGAATGCATATGTGCAGTATACAGCAAAAAAAAAAAAACTTAAATTCTTAGTACTGATGGTCATATATATATATATATATATATATATATATATGTATATATATATATATGATTCATATTAATAATAATAAAAATAATAAAAATATAATTCAAACAAAGAATGAAAACCAAACTTTTTTCTTTTTTTTTTTTTTTTTAAAATAAAACCTCGTTTTTTTCAATCATAAAAAAAAACAAAAAAAATAAGGAAAAAAGAAATCTTCATTAAATGATTTGAAAAAAAAAAAAAAAAAAAAAAAATTAAAGATATTAATTTGTAAATTTATTTATTTATTAATTTTTTAATATTTGATAAGATATCAAGTTGTAACTTAATGATACATCTAAATAAATTCCATATATGGAGATTTAAAATTAGAAATTCCAACAATGAAAAAAAAAAAAATAAAATAAAATAAAAAACCCTGAAGTGATTTTTTTTTTTTTTTTTTTTTTTTTGTTATCGCTTATTTTTTATTTTTATTATTTTTTTTTGGGGACATTTTCTTAAGGAGGTTTAACAAGAAGAATACCAAAAAAAAAAAATTCAATTTTTTATTTTTATTTTATTTTATTTTATTTTATTTTTTTTTTTTTTTTGGTTATTACCATATAGTAGTAAGTATTTATTGATAGGAAAGGTATTTTTTTTTCTTCGTAAATCTATAAAGCAACCAATTGTGACTTCAAAACCTTTTTCTTATATAAAATATAGAACAAATCCTCCTTTTTTTTTTTTTTTTTTTTTTAATTTTTTTTTACTTTTTTTACTTTTTTTACTTTTTTTTCTTTTTTTTTTTATTACTTTTTTTTTTTTTTTATTTCAACATTCTTCACATTCACTATCATCATGTCATATTTTGACTCAATCAAACATAAAGCATCAAGAAGACTTTTACTAATTGTGGGAATCTCAGTCTCCTTAATCATAACAATAGTCATTTGTCTTCATTCAACATCAGTTATTTTCCCATATAAATCTGAATCCTCTTCAAATGACCCTTCCAGCAGTAGTACCTCTTCTTCTTCTTCTTTCTCCCCCTTTTCTTCAAAAAAATCCTTAAAATCCCCAGCAAACACTACCCTCGGATTTCACAAGTTTTTTTATATCAACCTCGATACTCGTTACGATCTTGATGATATCATCCAACTCCAATCAGATGTTGCTGGAATCACTCCTGACCTTTGGCCTGCAATGAAAGTCTCAGATCTCACACTCAAAGGCCTTCCACCAAGTGCAGGCGAATGGCCAAAGGAACCAAGTGGAATGCTTGCATGTCTACGATCACACGCAAATATTTGGCGCCAAATGCTTAAAGAAAAATGGGGATCTGTTCTCATTCTTGAGGCAGATTCTGCCTGGGACGTTAATGTCCGCCAAATGATGGCCAATTTCGCAGACGCTTTACAAGATGCTTTACCTGCATTTAGTGCAATGAATATCACAAACTCAAAAGCTGCCCCCCATGGAAACCCCAAAGACTATGTTGCCACTGAAAATGATCCTTATATGGCCCAGCACTGGGATATTTTACAATTCGGTGGGTGCTTTGAAAAAAAGGAAAGAGCAAAATATAAGCATGTCTATTATGACCCAACTGCTCACAGAAAACCTATCCCTTACGCCGATGGATCAGAACTTGGACCTCACGAGCGAGCAATTCGTTGGCAAAATGAACTCATGTGTACTACTGCATATGCAATCACTCCCACAGGTGCTCGGAAATTACTTTTGCGTATGTCACTACAACTCAATACTCCTGTTGATGGATTAATTTCTGAGTTAGTACGTGAAGACAAATTACGAGCTTATTCTACAACTCCCAATGTTTTTATTCAATGGCAATATCGTGATGGATTAGGTTCGAATAATAAAAATAGTGATATTTCCAAATTTAAGCCAGGAGATGATGCATCTCAAGAAGCTCGAAATAAAATGTGGGCCTTGGCTCGTAAGGAAATGAAGATTTGGCAATACAATGGTTTATTTTCAACGTCTGGGTTTTTACATCCAGCTCTTGGAGGACAAGCAGAACAACTTTATGGTATCGTACCATCATGATTATTTCTGCATGTGTCTGTGTGAGGTTTAGAGTATTGATGAAGTCAAAGGATAATAAATGAATACATTGGAATTTTAGATTTATGAATAAAGGTTACAACGAAAACTAACCTTGGCTAGAATGAATGAATGAATGTATGACTGACTGACTGACTGACTGACTGACTGACTGACTGACTGACTGACTGACTGACTGACTGACTGACTTGACTATATTGGCTGAAAAAAAAAATTTTTTTTACGCTAAATGAAAAATAATGTATTTAATGGTACTTAATGATATTGCTATGCCTATTAATTTCTGTTTTGTTATAATAAGTTATATATATAATGATGTCATTTAATGATAGATGAAAGATAGTTTAATTGTAACTCGATTTTTTGTTGTTTTTATATTTTCAATTCAATTCAATTCAATTCAATTCAATTCAATTCAATTCAATTCAATTCAATTCAATTCAATTCAATTCAATTCAATTCAATTCAATTCAATTCAATTCAATTCAATTCAATTCAATTCAATTCAATTTAAATTAAATTAAATATAATTGATTTAAATTAGATTAGATTAGATTAAATTAAATTAGATTAAATTAGATTAGATTAAATTAAATTAGATTAGATTAAATTGTATTATAATACTAATTAGTTTAAGATGAAAGCCTTTCGTTCTCACGACATAAGAGATGTATGTTGTATACCATACAAGACTAACAAGTCTTGTGGAGGCGTGTTATTCCTTAACATGAAAAATCCACTTGTATAATTTAATTATTAAATTAAATTAAATTAAATCAAATTAAATCAAATTAAATCAAATTAAATCATTTTAAATTAAAATTAAAATAAATTAAAATAAATTAAAATAAATTAAAATAAATTAAAATAAATTAAAATAAATAAATTTTACAATAACCAGCTGGCAGTCTTTCATTTATTTTATTTTTATTTTTTATTTTTAGTAAAATAACTTTTAATTGCACTTTTAATTAATTTTAAGTTTTTTTATTTATTTTTTTTTTAAAAAAAAACCAACATCTTCTTTACACAAAAAACATCAACATCAACAACTTCATCATCATCATCATTATCATCATCAAATAAAACTTTTAACGGCGCTTGGAAGGAGGAACGTATTTGCTGCCACCAGAACTAGGTGTAGAAGTGCTGGACGGCGAGGGACGAGAAGCTCCGGAATCACGGTTGAGCTGCGATGGTGGCACATAAGAAGATCCTCCAGAAGGACGCGAGTAAGTTGAAGAAGATGAACCACCAGCGCCAGCATCGTGGCTACGCTGAGATGGAGGAACGTACTTAGAACCTCCTGCAGACGCACCTGCACCGGCACCTGCACTGGCAGATGCCCGACCTGTGGGAGGTCTGTAAGCACCGCTGGTGGAAGGAGCCGGAGCCGGGGCCGCAGTAGCTGCAGCGGCCGCCTCGGCGCGCTCGCGCTTGGCCTTCTCTTCCTCGTCGCGGATGCGCTTATTCTTTTCGCGCTGCAGACGGCTCTCCTCCTCCACACGAAGCTGCTCCTGCTCACGCTCAATAGCGCGCTGCTTCTTGGCAGCAGCCAGACGCTTGGCCTTCTCCTCCTCAAGCTTCTCAGCATTCTCCTTCTTGAGACGCTCAAACTCCTCCTTGCGAGCTGCATAGACAGTGTCCTTAAGCTCTTGGAAACTTGGAAGCAGTCTAATCAACCGCTTCTTAAGAGCAAGCTTCTCTTCATAGTCCTTCTTGCTGCTGGCCAAAAGAGCAACATATCTAGTTTGGTGAACCTTCTTGTCTGCTTCTTGCTGCTTCTTGGCCTCCTCTTGCCACTTGGCGGCCTCCTCAAGTCTGAGAGCACGCTCAATATGATCGTTGCGACGAGCCATCGACTTGAGCTTCTTGTTCAAGTCTTCGCTCACCTTGTTAAACTCCTTGATTTGCAGAGCCTTCATCTGATCACTATCCATCTCATCCAACTTAGTAACATCAATGCTAATGATACCCTTGGAATTGATGTCCTCGGCAAGACGTCGCTTTTCACGAGCCAAAATTTCATTTTCTTCACGCTTGCGACGTTCTTCTTCACGAGCGGCTGCCTCCTTGGCAAGACGCTGCTTCTCAGCTTCACGCTCTTCTTGCAACTTGCGACGGAGGGCACGGGATTCTTCTTCCTCAAGCTTAATCTGCTCCTCAATGGCAGCTTGCTGGCGGCGCTCAATAACCTTGATGCGCTCAAGAGTTTGCAGGTTCTCGTCATTCAAGCCGGCAAGAGCACGGTCAACGGCCTGCTTGCGAAGGAGAGCACGGCCCTCAATGTAGGAAACATCAACCTGGTTGATGACGCTGAAAAGAGTGGACCCAAGACGAGAAAGCTGAGTGCGCACAATCTCCGAGGGAGTCAACTGCAAAGAAGATGCAGAGGCAGCAATGCTGCTGTTGACAGAAGACTCGTCATAAATGCCATCTCTAAAAGTGATGGATCTGCTCTCGTGATCAATCGTAATGTTGAACTCGCCCTTGTGGCAGCCGCGCACAATAAACTTCTCAATAGAGACAGGAGTCGAGTCAAAGGGTGCAGGGAAAGTAGCCAAGTCAATCACAAAGTCAAACTTGACAGTCTCATAAACCTGCGAGAGTTGCTGAAAGAGACGAGTCAAAATGACATCGTAAAGAGGCTTGAAGTAAGGAGTATACTCCTTGTACTCGGCAATCTTGGAAATAACAGGAACAACGCGAGACTTGATGCCGAGAGGGTGGAAGTCAACCTCAAGAATGTTGTAAAGTTGGCGAATTTCAGGGCGGACATAACTCAACACATTCTTAGAAAGAGCCTGCTTCAAAAGAGCATCACGGGTAGGGTTCTTAGACAAGTTGAGGAGATTGGTAAGTCTGCTGTTGCGGTGACGTTGATCACCATCGTCCTGGGAGCTACGAAGCTGCTGAGATTGAGGGAAAGTGGGGATAGACAAAGTGGCAATCAAAAAGAAGGAAGCAACGCGAACAAGCTCCTCTTCACGAACATTGCGGGATTGAACAAGAAGACCCCAGTATCTGGACCAAGCAGTGGCATGGAAAAGGTAGTTACCAGAGACAAGGAAAATGCGAGCCAAGTTGTCGTAGTAGTTGGCCATCATGGCAGGCTTAGCAGGGCGCTTGGAAACACTCAAAAGGGTATGGACATCCTCAACAGAGCGGAAAGCTTCCTGCCAAAGCTCAAGTTCAACTGCAACCTCAAGTTGACGGAAGCGGGTGTCGAGGAAGCGTTGGAGAGTGTCGGGATCAGAAAGGTCAATGGGATGCTGAGCAGGGGAAGACTTTGCTTGTGAAGCATTGGAAAGGTGAAGACGCAAAATGTCACAAAGTCTGCGGAACTCAGTCTTTCTAGAGTACTTGACGCAAAAGTCAAAAGCCTGGGAAACAACCTTTTGGTAAAGAATCTCAAGCTTAGAGTTGTTGCGAAGAGCATCAAGAGAAATTCGGTAAGCTTCCCAGAGGAGCTTGAGCCAGGGGGTAACCACCTCACGGTCAGTTCTGTCCTTGGACTGCTCAGAAGACACCGTAGCCAAAAGAATGTCCTCAGGAGATTCAGTAGCTTCAAGATCATCATCAGCATCAAGGGTGATCTTATCAGCCTTGGCCTGAGCCTGAGCCACCTTATCCTCAGACAATTGAATGAACTTTTTAATGACAAGCTCAAGCGAGGAGATTGAGGTCGACTGAACAAGCTTCTTGTATTGGTAGAGACCATCACGGATGATCTTAGGCTTGTTGAGATCAACTGCAAGATCAATAAATCTCAAAACAATGGGCTCGAGGTTCTCAATGGTGACATTACGCGTGCGCTTGGATGTGAGAGTTTCGTAAAGTAACTCCAAAGCGGCAGTGGACTGGTCCACAGCGATGAGTTCATCGGCCCTCTAAGAGAAAAAAATAAAAGAAAAAAAAAAAACGGAAAAATTAGTAATTTAAAACTTGAAAAATAATTAAAATCAAATCGGACGTACCTTCAGGACATTTTCAGGACGGGCAGCAGGAGCCATCTTTGGTGTGATCGGTGGGAGATGACGGGACCTGGAATGGTGATGTTTTTGATGGTGGTGGTAATAAGAAAAAGGGAAGAACTAAAGCGGTGGTGAAAAATTTTTCCCAAGCTGGTTTGATGGTGGTTGTGACAAAAAAAAAAGACATTAATTCAAAATTAAGTTACAAAAGATTGTAATATATATAATAATTAGTAATAAATGAGTCAGTCGGTTTTCGGGTCATTTGTAAAGTTGTTCAAAACCCGATTAATGGATTATCATGTAAAGTCACATGATATTTTGCACTGTTTAACCACCCTCCAAAAGTTTTTTTTTTTTTTTTTTTTTTTAAAAAAAATCATTATAATTGACGGGTTTGTTTCAAATTACTGATACTCTGCAACCGATATCTATTCCACTTCTTTCAAATCTTTGATATTTTAATAACAATAACAATAATAACAATAATAATAATAATAATAATAATAATAATAATAATAATAATAATAATAATAATAATAATAATAATATACACTCTGTTGCGATCGAGTCCAGTTTATTTATCAAAACTTCCGTCAAAAAATAAAAACTTTCCCATCAAACTTAACCATGACCTTAGTTTGACCTGAGTTTTATCAGAATCTTATTTGTTCTTCTTCATTTTAATAAATAAAGCTTTCTTCAATAGACATATCTTCTTATTCTTCTTCTTCTTCTTCACCTAGAATCTTAGACTTTAGAAACTATACTTATCTTAAAATAAAAAAAAAACACTTTAAAATAGCATAGCATAGCAAGAAATAGTAATACCCACTCCATCCACATGGTAAGTCTGTCCAATCCTAAATCTTTCTACTCAAAAAAAAACCATCTTTTTTTTTTTTTTTATAAAATAAAAATTTCTTTTAATTTTTTTTCTTTTTTTTTTTTTTTTTTTTTTTACTTTGAAAATCAAATTTTCGTGTTTTCATTATTTTTCAAAATATTTCACAAACTTTATATACTCTTATTACCTACCTACCTACCTACCTACCTACCTACCTACCCCCTTTCCATTCTCTGCGTCCTACTACTAACTAACTAACCTTGTTTTATTTAAAGTTATCGCGCCATGTCTACAAAAATTCACCATTTACAGCCAAACTTTACCTTTCCTGAGAAACCTTCATCACAAACACAAACACAACCTTCGTCACAGCCACAACTAAAACCAACTACTGTTGATCCTTTGGCTTCTTCTTCTTCTTCTTCTTCTTCTTCTTCTGCTGCTGCTTTATGCACATCATCTATTTCTTCATCTTCATCTTCATCATCATTAACTTCTCCTTCTTCTTCAAATACTTCTCTTCTTTCACCAGCTGGTCTGGACCCTCCACCCCCTTGTATCACGTCCTTACCTACTACAAACGACAACAATATTTCTGCGTTACACTCCTCACAAGACACAATTACCACAAACACTCCTACAGCCGCTAGTAACATTAATAATAATAATAACAACAATAATAACAATAATCACAACAATGACATTCAATTCACTCACCTCACAGCAGATCAAAATAGCTTTTTATCTAGCTTTTCTGCACTGACTGTCGACACCTCTGCTTCATCTATAGCAACTTCCTCTTCATCCACCACTATTTTGCACCCCCAGCCATCTGTAAGTCATGGCCTCGGTCTGCACCAAACATTCCTGCAGCAGCCACAAGTATCATATGACAACACTAGCGTTACTACAGAAAACCAGCCGTTTCTCTCTCATCATCAACAACAACAACAGCCTCTCATCCCCGCATCTTCCCCTGTGGATTTATCTATGACTTATTCTGATAATTATTCTGTCAACACTGCTGCAGCTACTGCTGCAGCAGCTTTTCGTCACGTTTCTTCCCCAAATATTGCCCCTACTAGACAACCTGCCTATCCAACACTTATTTCCTCTCCTCCTCTTCCACCACCGTTGGCCTCACAGTCTCATTCACGCTCACAGTCTCATTCCCGATCGGTTTCACAAACTAGGCTGCTCCCCAGATCTTTGAGACATTCCGTTTCTCGCATACCTCTTAATCGGACATTTAGTAACAATGGCCAGCCTTTTAGAACTTCATCTCCTTTGGAACCATTTAAAGTTCCCTCTCTCGATTCTCTCATACAATTAGACATTCAACTAACCGTTGCAAGGAAAACTTCTCACGATACAGCGTCTCGCCTGGCAATGCTAGTCTTACGCTACAATATTTATAACCGTCTTCAAGCTTCTTTTCAAACCTTTTACTCAAACATGGCCCGAAAAGCATCTCTTGAGCCAAACAAGTTTGCTACTCCTTATGTTCAGTGTGTCGATGTGGCAACCTCTCTTTTACAAGATGATGGCGCATATGAAAAGCAAGTTGGATTTATGTCATTTCTCAAAACTTCCAACAGAGGTCTCTTAAACTCTTTTATCACACTCATTAAAACTTCACCTAGTTTCTTTTGTGCTTGTATATCTGTAATGAACGAACTTGCAATCAATGCTTTGTTCGAAACCCCTGCTGATTCAACTTCCCCGATGGACGACTTGGCTGCGCTTCACAGATCAAATTCACTCGACATCATCTTTTTTTCATTTTTTTCCCCACTCTCAACATCAAAACAACGAAATGATTACTTTTCATTTATTCTTGCTTTCGTTTTTGACATTGATAAAAATTCAAAGTATCATAAGCTCATCATTGCAATTCTTGACCGCATTATTTTTTCTGAAAAGTACGACTTTTCCGGTGTTGAGGAACTCGTCCTTGGAATGCTTCAAGACGGCCAGTTTTTACTCTCAACCAAAATTCAAAAGCCTGGCCTTTCACAACCATTCACTCACATACCTTCATCCAACCATTCCTCACCACCACAACCACAGCCTGCATCTCTTTCCAAGTCCTCTTTTATGAATACAACTCCAGTTACTTCATCATTCCCTTGTAATATTTCTCCCGTTGCTAGCTCAACGTCTACCAGCTACGTTTTTGCAACTCCAATCCCTACTGTAACTTCATCTTCATCCACACCAATGCTTTCGTTCTTTCCCTCCACTACGTCTGCACCAACTTCTACATATTCTTCTCCTGAGCTTCCTGCTATTCCTTCTTCAGCAATGGCTACCCCAACTTTTTCAACCCGTCCATCTCCTGCTGCATCTTCTCTCCAGCGCCTTAGCGCTTCATACCCCAAAAATTCAAAGCGAAGTCAATCACAGCCTCCTACTAACGCCTTTGCATCATCTATTGGACCAGAGCTTGAAAATTTAAGCAAAAAATTTATCACCACTTATGTAACTAAATTGCTCAACCATTTAAATAATACCCCAAATGAGAAGATGCCTAAAGAGTTTAAGGCTTTTGTTTCTTTAACTTTGTCAAAAGTCTCTGATCATTCACGAGATAAAGCTCTTAAGTTTATTTTTCACAGGTACTTTATTTCAAAGTACCTCCATGATATAGTGATCCATCCGGAGTCGTTTGGCCTATTGCATGACTTTTATATTTCTCAGAAACAACGCCAGAAAATCTTGACTACTGTTTTCCACCATCTTCAGCTCTATATTGAGGTTGTTCTTTTAGACCCTCTTTCTGATGCTTTGCATATTCCTTATGAAATCCAAACCCAAATTCTTATTCTTTACGACCAATTTAAGGCATTGGCAGCATCTGCATCTACATCAGCATCTACATCAGCATCAGCATCAGCATCAGCCCCAGCACCAGCACCAGCATCGGTTCCCACTAATACTGGTACAGGCCCCATTCCATTTAACAAGCCTGCTGAGGAGTCTTTTTCTGAGCCCTCTATTTCTCACTCACCACTTTCTAATGCTTCGGCAAATTTTGACTTAGATGAAAGCTTTATAAATTACCCATTTGAAGGTGGATCGTTTACTGGCCAGCTTATTATTCTTTCACCAGCTGACATTTACACTCTTTACACTTCACTGTTTGCTTCCTTCTTTTTGAAGCGTAAACCATCCATGCACACAGTCAATATAGACCGACATAGAAATTCACTGGGAAACATTTTGTCGACATCTGCGTCTAGTAGTCTTGTTGGGACATCACCATTTGATAGTGCCCCTTCATTTTATCTTCATCCAAATGCTGGAGGAAGTGCAGCTACACTTCCTGCTATTCATGTTAACTCTGGTCTTACCTGCTTAGAAGAAAGTCATTATCCAAATGAAGATGACCATGATCATGACCATGATCATGATTCATCTTCATCTTCTTTTGAACTTGATGATAGTGCATTTGAATGGAATCTTAATGATATTAAGAGTGACATAGAACCCGCTGCACAAGAACTTTTGGCGAAGTTCCCTTACCTACATTCTCGCTCTTCGAGTATGCCTGGTACGTCTTTTTCCAATACCCCCAATCGTTTACCACACCCATTTTTGGAGAACTGGCAAATTTTCCGTGTTTGTGACGACAATACTGTGACCAATGTTGATGAGAGTACAATTGCAGGTAGGCCCTTTAACTCTTTTCATGATGACCACTTTACCAAGATCTTGGATGAAACTTCTCATGATGATTATGAAGATTTGAATTTGTTCAATTTTTTTGATGCTGAAAAGTCTCCCATCCCTCCCGCAAACCGCATGTGTTTGGAACTTGTTGTCAAAGCTTTGTACAATATCATTTCCGAAAACTCGTCAGTTCTTTTTAACCCCAAGAAACATGAATCTTATAAAAAGAAGAGTGATTCTGATGACGATACAAACGTTGAAGATTGTGACAATGCAAATATGAGCTTTTCAACTTCTTTCTTTAATGCTGGCAATTCATCCTTTTCTTTCCAGTCTCCTTCTCTGCCTATGCCTTGGGAGCCTAGTAATAATACCCAATCTTACTGGCACGGCGATTTCAACAAACTTTCTGTAACTCCAAATAATAGTTGGTCTCATTTAAGTCCACAGTCTTCTAGATACCTTGTTCAGTTTTTGGTTGATTCAGAAAATAAAGCCACTGCTTTGAGAAACTATGTTCAAGCCTGTGAATACTTTAATGCTTCTAAGGCTTTGATCCAAATCTATAATGCTGTTGGACCCTCGTTGGGCTCGTCTTCTAGCACTTTAAACATCGCCATTCAGGAGGTTAATTACTACATTTTGCGTATCATTAAAAAGTCAAAGGAAAAAGCTCTTGACCTTGTTTCGGCAGACATTGATTGTTATGATTATATTGGTGGGCCATACCACGTTTTTTTGCAACAAAGTTTGAGTGTCTGCGACTTTTTCATGCATAACTTGAATGATCTTCGCATTAAGGCTTGGTATTCGACTGAAATTAGAACTACGTCCTTGTGGGCGCACTCCAAAGATGTCTCTACTGTTTTGCGCAAGGGGTCAACTGGCGAGTGCTATGATACTGAAGAAGAATTTGAAGAGCGGGAGATTTCAGATCCTCCACCACCATTCACTTCTATTCTTTCTTCTTCGCTTCGCGCAAATACTCTTAAGCGCAATAGTTCTACAACTTCATTGTCTTCAGCTGCTGCATACACATTTAAGCGGCTTACTGGCTCTTCTTCTTCTTCTTCTTCTTCTTCATCATCATCATCATCTAAGCGTGATTATTCCAACAAGCGTCATTCGATTGGCAATGCCACTCCCCCATCATCTTCATTTTCTACTGGCCTTTTTGATTCTATCTTCATTTCTAAAGAAAACTTTGGAATTCCTAAGAAGCTTAACGACAAGGAATCTGAAGCTACTGAAAAATGGCTTGAAGATAAACAGATACAAAATTTCTGTTCTGGTGAAGAGATTTTGCATCGCTTTTCTTTTGAAATTGACGACCTTGTGAAACGCATCATTGGCGATGCATTGACTGAGCATCCTAGCAAGGCAAATTCATATCTTACAACTTCGATACTTTTCCGAGCTGATCTGTGGAACTCAATTGTGAAGTTTGAAGGACTGGATGTCCATACTCTTCCACCGGCGCCACCGTCGATTAAAAAGAACTCAGGAGGAGGTGCTGGCGCTTCCCTCTCTGGTGCAGGTTCATTTTTGGGGTTTGGAGCAGGTGTGTTTTTTGGTCATTCTTCTAATAACTCTTCTTCTAAAAACGATGTTGAAAAAGATCTACGTCGTCGTGGCTCAATCGACTCTTTTCCTGATATGTACCGTCAATCTCACCACTCACGCAACAAAACTTTTAGTAGTACACAAGGTGAGATGAAACGTTCGTATAGTTTGCGGGGTCATCGCACTCTAAAGTCCTCTCCTAATCTGCTTGAGGTTTTCCCACCTTCTTTGCAATCTAAGTCATCCAATGAATGGAACCAAGAAGAGCCCAACTTTGATTTCAGCATCAATAGACCACATTCATCTGCTGCAGCAGCCCGCATCACTCCAGTTCCACCAGAAAAAAAACTTGGTCACCGGCGAAACAAGAGTTTGAATGAAGAGGTTTATATGCATGCTACTGCCTCTGGTAGCAGTCATAGTCTTAATACTGGGAGAGCAAAGGAAACTAGCAGCTTTTATATGCATCCGTCAATGTCTACACCTCACTCTCTTAACATGATGTTAAATCAACCTGTATCCCATCATTCGCAACAACCATCCACTTCTTCAACTGTTTTACCTCATCACATGAGATCGGGATCCTCATCATCAATTTCCATTCATTCTTCGTCACCATTTTTGGAGGACTCTATTCCGGCCCCACCTCCACGCATTCAACAAGCAACCAGCGTGGAGAACTCAAAAATGCGCGAGGCGTATAGACAGCTTGTTTTAAATATTCGCATGCGTCTCACTAGTCTCATTTATACGGATTTAGGACTTGAATCTTGGTCTACTGGTAAGTTTAAATTTTATTTTATTTTTTTTTGAATTAATACTAACTTTTTCATAGGATCTGAAACAGACATTTGGATTGCCTCTTCAGTTGTTTCCAAGGCAATTGAGTTAAATAATCCTCCCCACGGCAATGATCAAATATACGATGTCAATACTACAATTACCAACATTAACAAAATTGTTACAGATGTCTCATCTCCTCAGTACTCTTCTGGTGCCCCTGAGCTTAAAGAGATCGACTTACAGACTTTTTTTTCCAGCAACTTTGATTCAAGCAATTCCGCACAATTTCCTTATGAGGAAGTTTATGGTAATTTATTGTATCGAGCATCAGTCAGCCCTTCACCTATGGCCAAACTTAAGGCATTCTACGAGCTTGAAAAGCTTGTTGTTCTTTCTTTGCAGATGCAAGCATTTAACAATGTCCATATACTTAGTGCCTCTAATACCGTGCCTGCGACTAGCAATACAAGTTTTGCTGGCAATGCAAATAATTTGTCATCAATTATTGCTTATCCTCGTGTAAATTCTGCAGGACCTCCTTCTGTTATAGGGTCTGAAATCAACACGCCATTATTGTCGGCCACGCGGTTACAGCACAGTACAACGACTGCAGAAGCACCTTCCATTGGACTTGCAGAGTCTACGTATTGTGGAGGTGTTGCTGACAGTCGCCGAAATAGTATTTCTGGGATGACAAATCCAGATTCTGTGGTGTCGTCAACGCCATTTGCTAGCAATACTTATGCCCAACCAGTCTTGCACTCCCTAGATGGCCATTCCCAAGCTATATTGACTGGAACTTCTTCTTCAGCAGCAGCAGAGGCTGCAATCGCAATGATACCTAATACTGATGAAATTGCGGAAGAACTGCGTCGCATCTTCAAGTCTCACAGCAATTATACTCGAACTTTGTTTAGAGATTTGCAATTCATTGCTTCATTTGTTCCAAGCAACATTTTGGATTTGACGGATATGGGTAAGGCTTTTTGGGATGTAAGCCTGGCTGCACTGTCATTAAAGGAAGAGTATTTGGATGTTGTTATGTCTACTGCCTCGGATATTTTTAAGTACTGCACAGAGCCTAATGCTTTTGCACCCAGTACTCTGATGACTCCTGATAATAATAACAACATACCTGGAGTGGATACCAAATACAAGCAGTTTATTTCACAGTTTGGTATCAAAGATTGTGTGATGCTTTGGACTATTGCTGCCAAGGAAGGTGACACTAACGGACAACGCGAGCTTGCCATAATGTACATTTCTCAGCAACAAGTAGTTCCTCAAAAAGATTTAGTGCTTGCACCATTTGCGCGACCCAGTGATGTGATACCTACGAACCTTTTGCATGATTTAAAGAGATCATCGTCCTCCGGCAGTACGAGCAGTTGTGGTAGCAGTGGCAGCAATAATCACGGTGATGTGTTTGATTCGAATGAGAACTACTCGGCTAAGCGCGTTGACCCCTTGCGCATGGCTGTTGTTAAGCATTGGATGACCAATGCTGCTGTTTTAGGGGACAGCATTGCCAATGAATATCTTTCGCGCCACCAGCAAGATAGTGGGTATTATTCAAAGTAGAATTTATTTTATTTTTATTTTTATTTTTATTTATTTATTTAATTATTTATTTAATTATTTCATAGACGTTTATTCTCCATATAATAGGTATCTTGCATGATCTTTGTTCCAGTTTGAAAGCCATTCCTTGGCTTTGTTCTTGGGCACAACGTAAAGTCTAGGGACACTATCAATTATAGGGACGACGGGCTTTTCTAATGAGAAAACCTTAGCTAAAGTCGATGCTTTACCGACCTTGACGAGGCCACCAGAGTCAGTTTGAGCATAAACCTCAAGTGTTTTGATGTTGGAATAATCAGAAACGTTTTTATTATCCTCACAAACCCATGGAGGCAGCTCATCACCAAAGAGTTGTTGGAGGTATTCGTTGATGGTTGTCGAGTCCACATCAGCTTGTTGGATAATGTCAGATTGCATGTCGACAGGGTATAAGAACATTACTGGGACAATAAGAGTTGAAGCAGGGTTGAGATCGTCTTCCAAATGGATTCTGACATCTGATGGAAGCGGACTCGAGCTATCGTCTTCAGTGTTTGCGCTTTTGAGTAAGGTAAATTTATGAGCAGCAATAGAGGCTTCAAGGTTACGCTTCTTTGTTTGCTTAAGTTCTTCGGCTTCGCGACGCTTACGCTCTAGTTCAAGCTTGGTGTTATGTCTAGTAGTCAGAGTTTGTAGCAGCCCAGGAAGAGTTTTGCTATCCGGAACAACCTCAACACCGTACTGTAGCAGTTGCATTCCTTCATCGGCGCGATCCACACCCAAGTAAGCCTTGCCTGCTCTGAACAATGACTTTTCATGTGCCGGCTCAAACTGAGTAAGAACGATCTTACAGTCATTGATACACTGGCGGTAGTTCTTGAGTTCAAGATTGCAAGCAGCTCTATTGGAAAAACATGCCATTTTGATTTTGCGGCCTTCCTCTGGATCTTCGCCTTTTTCTCCGAGCCACTCGACGTTGATAGCTTTTGTGTAGAACTCAACAGCATCCTTGTACCGTTTCAGTTTGTATTGCTCATTACCCTGGGCTTTAAAGTTGGCAGCAACCTCTTCTGGTTCACCTTCATATGCGAGGGCTTTAAGAGCTTCAATCTGATTGCGTGAGTTTTCATCGTTTTCATCAACGTCATCGAGCTCAGTCATAAAAAAGGGCATTTTCTTAAGCTCTTCAGCAACTTCATCGACAGTTTTGTTGGAATCCTGATAAAGTTGTGGCGGCAATGCAGGCATTCCGGGACCCGGGACGTACCGCTGGGGCGGGATCCATTCTTTTTCTTTGCTTGACATTTTTTTCTCGGGTTGTGTGGCTTGTTGATTTCGGTTCTCTTCAAAGCCTTCAGAAAAAAAAAAAAGTTTTGACAGAAAAAAAAAATAAACCCCTAACCCACAAGTATTTAAATATTGAGGCTTTCCATCGGAACCCCCCAGCAAGCCATGAATGGCAACACCCAGCAGCAACAACCACCCAGCGCCTTCCCGGAGAATCCGGAGCAACCCTTGTTGACACCGCTCCCAGGGTACCCGGTCGGGTCCGTTCTTGATGGCTCGCCACTTGTACCACCGTTTGGTGTGTCAACAGGCTTTTACTCTGCCAAAGCACGCGCACTTCAGTACTTTGATCCACACGTTAATCCTGAAGGCAGTCGGTATGTCAAGCTCTACTACCACCTGTTTTATCGCAAGAACTTGACGCGCCGAGTATTTCACGATATTCTTGACCAGATGGGGTTTAAAAATGTGGCAGAGCACGAGCGCCAAATCAACCATTTTCTTCGGGCAATTCGTGCGAGCTCAGACCCTACCGGAGACGGTGCGCCTGAAATTCTCAACAGGATGTTTTCAACTCAGGTAAAGCGTGTTGCCGTTTGTGAAAACTTTTGCATTGCTTACACATATGGCGATTTTAAGGAGGGTGCACAGATACCCAAATACTCTTGCCCCAGATGTTTCTCCGAACGCGTGTCGTGGCTTGAATACCTATCTCCGCGTCTAATTATTTCCCACATGATGGGCTCTGCGCAAATGTCTCGCATGATAAAGACAGCTCCGTTTGTTTGTCCGGAGTCGTACCAGTTTACAAATTTTTTTACGGAAAACGCGCTTCGCCTTAAGAAAATGGGCATTCTCAACTCACCATATGACTTGTTATTTGCTCTTATTGTTGACGACTCCAACTCATTTGTCACTGACGATGTTGAGCTTATTCAGATAAACCTTGTGCTTTTAAATTTGCCACCGTCAGAGCGTGCAAAACAGGAAAATACCTTCCCTGTCTTTTTCATTCCAAAGGAAACCAAAAAAGGTGAACGTGTTATAGCTCATACTTACTACCAGACAATTGTTGATGACTTTAAAGCACTTGGAAATGAAGGTATGTGGGTTTATGACGCCGAAATTGAAAAATGGGTAGTCATTAGAGCCTTTCTTGGATTTGTTTCTGGCGACTTGATTTCCAGCAGCTTACAGATGGGATATGCCAATTTTTTTGGTGGCGACTGTCCATGCAAAGTCTGTGGCCTTAAGCGGTTTTTTCTTAAGAATATTACAAGCACGCACTATTCTGGGTTTTTCAGTTTCCATTTGATAAACTATCAACTGGTACGCACCCAGGCTTTTACGAAGAACCTTGAGTGGTACAACCGGGTTTGCAGTCAATATCCATTCGATGAACAGAATTGGAAGTTTCCCGACCAGCTCTGCAAGGAATATGGCATAACTGACAAGAATGTATTTCTAGAATTGCCTAATATTTCTCTTCCTGATTCATTCCCGTTTGATGTCATGAGCATCAGCTTAGACGGAGTGCTACGGACCATTATGAATCTTTTGTTTGGAGGTCCCAGCTGCTACGAACGCCTGGAACCAAAGTATTCTTGGAGTGAGATTGCAAAAACACGAGTTCGCGAGGTAGTTGGGTGGATTAACATTTCCAAAACATGGGGGTTTTCCGATGAGGACTTGTTTGTTGCGGACAATGTAATTAATGGCACTGTCAACTCCTTTAAGTTTGGACAACTTCGTGAGTTTTTTGAGCTCTTTTCTATTTTTTATTTTGAGATTTTCCGGGGCCGTGATATTGAAGACAAGCTTCTTTTGGAGCTCAACATTTTGCGCAGAATCGCAGCTTCGCGTAAATTAACCTCACGAACAGTTGATTTTCTCAAGGCCTCTTTTGAAAATGTGATCAAGAACCTTGAAATAGTCATTACGAGAAATTACTCCGTGACAAAAAACGCCACCATTTTTACCCTCTACATTCACTTGGTCGTCCACATCACTGAAGCCATTACCAAGTGCGGCGATCTTTCAGCTTTTGTGAGCCCTGAACGTGACAAATACACGCGTCTTATGAGGGGGTATAACCGGCCATGTTCGCACTACATCCGGGCCATTATGAATTACCGCACCAAGGCCATTGCTGTGCAAGCCCTCAATGAGGCCATCTTCACCTTTTCAATAGGCCACTGTTCGTTTGAGATGGAGCTTGATACCTTCCCACCACTTGAGCAGCAGCGAGCTTGGTCAACCAGCTCCATGAAGAACCCTCTTCGTGGTGATCAGACCTATGTTCTCAAGACGTTTTTGCAAATCAATCGACTTGTTTGGAATTATTTCAACAGGGGTGACAGTTTGATCCCTGATATTGAGCGGCTGTGTGTGATTGGAGCCAATGGGATCCCTGTGAGCTTCCCGCAAGAGCACACCATCTTTCTATTGCCTGAAGATTGCCGTCGATTCCAGTTTATCCAGTTTGCGTCACTGGATAAGCAGATACCTAATGGGTTTATTTTGCGACTAGAGTCGCGTGCTGGCCAACAGCCTTGGTATGTGTATGCACGAGAATATATTCGTGTGACTGTTCACATTTGCGATTTGAATGGGCAGAACGTGCGGGCCGTAACACGGGATTTTGTTCTCTTTACCAATCTGTCTTGTCTTGAGCGCAAGATTGAAAAGACAGCTTCTCTGTGCACAGAGCTCATTTTCCCACCATCTTATGATGTTACGGAAGCCGATCGCGACAAGACATATGTCAACTATGGATACTACTACAAGATTCCATTTACGAGCGAGACCAGACAGCAGCTCAAGACATCACACGCAATAGGGATGTTTGCTCCACTTGAAGAGACATGGGGATTAGTACCATTAGAACAGGTGTCAAACCCTGTATATTCTTTTGCGGTTGTAGATGAAAACGATAAGGACATGATCAATGTTCATTTGTACGACCCGAGGCTGGAGTGCACTGTGTTTGTAGATAAAAAGGAGGTGTTTATTGACGGAAATGTGGGTGAGTTTAATATTAATGCAGAGTATCATAATGCAATGAATGCGACAGTGTGAAGGTTGCAATAGAAATAGAGTTGATGTTAAAAATATATATAGGATATATATTTATTCCGAATTTAAGTTTTCAAAACTTTAAAATGTTCAATCTGGATATATAAGCGTGATTTTCCAGATTTGGTTCACGATTTGGAAAGTCTAGTTTTATTGAACACGTTTTATTTGTTAACCGTTTAAATATTTCAAGTTTTCCTTATTTTTTTTCTTCACATTAATATTGATTTTTTTTTTTTTAAATGACCCTTCACTTTGATTTGTTTTACGAATATGCACTTTTTAAGATTGCCCCAGGCCGGTACTTGGCTGGTGACTTCCACAGCTCACAGTCCAATACTCTTTTGACTTATCTGCGCGATATGTATACTGGGGATGAATCTTGGCGTCAAATGCACCGTTTCCATAAGCGGGACCCTGTGAAAGGACTTGAGGCGTATGTGGAACAATTTTTCGGGTACTACGTTGAAGGTTTGCCAGAAATCAAAATTAGTCTTGATACAAACGCAAACGACGACGAAGATGTGCGTGCATTCAAGTCAACAGCTCGTGCGTTTATAGTGTCCCCGTTTCCTTTAATTGTCGTGGGGACTGGGAAAGCATCACAACCCAATGTAATGTTGCTGGGAAAAGATATGGAATGCGAGGGAGTGCATGATTTTGGAATTGGGCCGGATGATATGCGGATTGCAGCCAATACTGCACGGGTGCAACGATATGTCGGGATCAAAGCACAACAAATGTTGGATTACTTTTTTGGTTTACCTAAAAAAAATAATATATTTGAAGATTTGAGATTGCTAGCGTCCATGCCTGATCCCAAGACTAATTTGCCTAAAAAGCAATTACCCAAATTATTGTTCAAATCTTTAGAAGAAGTTGCCACAGGGAAGGAGACGCTGTCAGTGAGTGATAAGGAAATTGAGGAACTGGCAAGAACATTGTCAAAAGTTTTTCATGAACGTATTCCAGAAGCAAACGCAAAAGGACCTCTTTATGCTCATTTGGCTTTGCAGTATTCGAAAGTCCGTGTAATTTTGAACAACCTCAAATCCCTTCAGTTGCCTTCACTCGGCCCACTTGTTGCTATACAGGCCTCAGCCACAATTACCACGTCTCAAAACCTTTCTTCCGAGGAACAGACAAAGCGGGCTGCGCTTGAAACTTTTATTTTAAGCGACAAGCCAACACATGCTTCTTCATCTTCCTTAAAAGCTGTGCCTAACGAAAATGATGGCCTTGTTTCTTGTGCCAACACGTTCTCGCCGCTGCTGTGTATTCGGTTTCTTCGACTCCTTCAGAAATATAACGCAGACAATGAAAACCCTGCCAGTGCGGTGGACGTTGACGAAAGCCAGTTTGACGAAAAGTCGGTAGACGGGTTGAATATGGAAACTGAAGAAGAGGATCTCAATGTGGAGCCATGGGGGAACCAAGCCAATGTTTTTTTTGAATGAATGAATGGAAAAAAAGAAATGAATACCACAATGTAGTGTAAAGTAAATAAATAAAAAAGTTAAACGATCCCGGTGAGGATTGAACTCACGATCTCACGATTAACAGTCGTGCGCCTTAGCCAGCTTGGCCACGGAGTCATTTTAATAATTTAAAAACCCAACTTAGAAGGGCTATTTAAAGTATGTCGGCTATATTAGTAAAGTATGCTAAATTTCTTTAAAGTTCAACATAAAAACCATGTCAGACCCCCCCAACAACACCCAAACCACGTTTAGTGGCGGCGACCCTCCTGCCGACAATAATTATACCGACAATAATAATGAACAGACTAATATTAATGATATGCAAAAAATTATTGCTGTTGAACTGAAGGAGAAAGAAAGTTCTCATTCCAGAGGACCTCATTCTCATGAAGCTCATCACATCAAACCCTCGACAAAAATCCAAAAAAATAATGAAAAACCAGACTCCCATAAAAAAATTGAAACTATCCACAAAAAGCTTGAATCGAATGATAAGCATAATGCTTCTTCAAACCACGAAACCCCCGTTGAAACCCCTATTGTGAATGTTGGTCCAACCTTGAACCCTACCTTTGACTCTTCACCAGATGGTGGTGATGTGGAAATTGACGCAACACCATCACGTGACATGGATGTTCTCATGCCGGATGCAAATCCATTTGGTGATAATTCTGAAGCCTGGGAATACATCTTAAAACTTAAGGATGTATTTCTGGTTGAATTGTCTATTGTTAAAGAAGACTTGAGTATTACAATTGAAGATTGGGAAATAAAATTTCAAAATCTTGAACTTAAAAACAATGAGTTAGCTAAACAACTCATTGCTTTGACCGAAAAGCTTAAGGCTTCAGAAGGACAAGTGAATTCTCTTCGCTCAGAACTTGATGTTTTGAGAAACAATCAGGTTCACACAGAAGTTAAACATGTAATGTTTGAAAAACTTAAAAGGAAGTTAAGGATAATAAGGATCATTGCGATAAAGTGAAACATAAAGCTGATGAAATAGCTAAGATGACTCTTCAAGATTTGTCTCAAGAAAAGCAAGAAACAAAAGAATTATCGACACTGAAATCAAGGAATTCAAAGAAATGACCAACAATCTTGAGAAAAGAGTTGATAATATGGAATACAAAGTTGGAACTATTTCAACTAAGGCTGATTTAACTACCAAAGAACTTAGCTACGCAAAAAGGAAATCAAGAGTGCGGTAAGAAAAGTCGACACTTTGCCTTTTGCTTTGACCCTAAAACTCCAAATGGAGCAACTCCAAAGTTGAAAGACATTATGAAGGCTCAAAAACAACACCGTGAAACTAAAGTTGATGAAGACAAACCCACTTTTAGAGTGTGCATAAGAATTCCAGATACCATGAAAAGAGTTAATATCCCTGCGATTGGAAAGAAAATTGATGCGGTTGCACAAAAGCCGGTGGCTCAGGAAATAGGCTATACTGTCAAAGGGCATTTATATGTTCAACTTAATGACAAAGATTTTGCTGATAAAGCTGCAGAATGGATCCCCAAAGTTGACCCTACTTATTCAGTGCTTGACACAGATTCTTGGTACAAGGCTGTACTTCAGGAAATACCTAATACGGCATCGATTGAAGACTTGAAAGAAACTCTCTACAATTTTAATGATTACCATATTGTTTTGAATACCGAACCCAAAATCATTAGCAGAAACCAATTTACCCAAACAGCATTGGTTTCATTCAGAAATGCCCAAGACTATGCAAAGTGTGCTGATAATCTTATTATCCAGTACACAAAAGTTAAAGTTAGACCTTTTATTAGCAGAAAAAAACTCCTGAAGAACTCCAAGCTATGCGTAATAAGATACGATTATTGAAAAATGAATCAGACAAAAAGGATAATGAGGCCCATCCTGTTTCCACTGACGACTCACAAGATGAACCGATGAAAGAAACAAATATTGAAGAACTAGATGAATCCAATGAGGAAGAAAACGAAAACAATTCTATTACATCCAATGAATTATAAAGTATTCCAACTCAATTGTCATAAATCGAAATCTATTACTGAAACTATCTTAGATAAAAAAGAACCTGATATCTTGTTATTACAAGAACCTTACTTTAACAACTATGGGCCCATTAAACATAAAGATTGGATCCCAATCTTTACAGAAACTGGAAAAGAAAAAAATAAATGCAGAGCAATTACTTACATTAGGTCTAACTCTGACTTACGAGCATTAACTACTAAAATTGAAAAGTTTACAAATCGAGATATGGTTACCATTTTGGTTAAAGACATTACAATTGTCAATGTCTATAATCAACCGAAACCATCCAAGAAATACCCTGAGCCACCGGTTTTTGAGTTTCTCAAACGGGAGATCAAGGAACAATACTCAAAGATTGTCATTGCAGGTGATTATAACTTACATCACAAGGAATGGGAGTCAAGGGCAGGTCCGAATACGGAAGCAGATGAAGTTGTTGAGTGGCTACATGAAAATGATATGATGTTAATTACTCCAAGAAATCAAAAAACATACAACAATAGAACCAATATTGATTTGGTTTATGGCTCAGTGGACTTACTTCATAGAATTTCATTTAGTGGAGTGGATGAAAATACACTAAGTGATCACTCAATTGTGGAGTGGGACATTTATATGTCTCAGAGTAAAAACAGGGATGAAGTTTTACTTCGGTGAAGAGATTGAATATTAAGAATGCAGATTGGGAAAAGTTTGACAAGGAGCTTTCTTCTGCCATTAAAGATTTTAATGTGCATAACAAAACTCTAAAATCAACTGACCAAATTGATGACCAAGCTAAAGTTCTTGAGGAGGTTGTAAAAAGAGCAATGGCAAAGTCGATGAAGGAAGTTAAGGTGATGAAAAAGTCCAAACGCTATTGGAATCAAGAATTAAGGGAGAAGTTAGAAAAAGCGCTAGAAGCTAAAAGGGAAGCCCGTCAAAGACAACCTTCTTTGGCTTTGAAACGACAAAAAATTGAAGAGGCGAAAAAAGCTAGAAAAATTTTGACCACAGTTTGCGTGAAGCAAGTACTGAGCAATGGAATAAATATTTGTCTAGTTTAGAAGGAAATGACATTTGGAAGATTTTGAAGTATATTAATCCAAAAAGCAATGATACCATTATACCACAAATTAGAAAAGAAGATGGAACTCTCACTACTACTGTTGACGAAAAAAGACATGAAATATGGAAGGCACTTCTACCTGAAATTGATCATGGTCTTGATAGAGAGTTTGAAATTGACGACGATTCTCGATGGCCAAAATTAGAGTTTGATGAAGTTGACTCTGCATTGGCTGATACCCCAAATGATAAAGCTCCAGGAGACGATGGAATTACTGGCAAAGTTTTAAAGATGGCATGGCTGAATAAAGACTTTAAGGAAAGGTTTTTCAAGCTTCTCCAAGCTTGTGTGAAGTTTGGATACCACCCAAAAGTCTGGAGACATGGCATTATTGTTGTTATACCTAAACCTAAGAAACCTGACTATTCAAAGCCAAGAGCATACCGACCAATTTCCTTACTTAAGATTCCATCTAAAGTACTGGAAAAAATTATACAAAAAGAATGACCAAGCTTACAACACACTTACTTCCACCAGAGCAATATGGGGAAGACAAGGTTATTGTGCTACTGATGCTGTTTTGGAACTTGTCCAAAGAATTGAAACTAGTAAAGAAAAATTTCAGCTATGCTCATTGATATTCAAGGAGCTTTTGATAATGTCAACAGAAATTTATTGGCAGACACAATGGAGGATATGAAACTACCCAAAGCACTTATAAACTGGACATACCAATTTGTAAGTGAAAGAGAAGCTAGTATGCTCATGGACCGAAGAAAGGATCAGTGCAAAAAATTAGTACTGGAATTCCGCAAGGCTCACCTATTTCACCACTACTTTTTTTGATATATTCCACACCAATGTATCATGCCATTAAAGAATGGGGTGGAACTCCTTTTGGCTTTATTGATGATGTGACTATTACCGTTGAAGGTAAAATTGAAGAAAATACCAAAAGCTTAAGCAACATATTAGAAAAATGTTGTAATTGGGCTAAATCAAGAATGACCAAAATTGATTTGGGTGATAAATTGGGTTTTATTCATTTTACAAAAAATGTGAAACCTAAAGATGAGAAAGTGCAACTTACTTTACCTAATGGAGAACTTCGTGAACCCCAGAAGGAAGTTAAATTGCTTGGAATTACTTTGAACAATCTGCTTGATTTTAAATCTCATATTTTGAATAAAATCAATAAAGCAAGAAAAGCTGTTGGTGCTATTTGGCATCTTGGTGGCGTGCAAAAAGGTATGCGAGGGTCTGCAGTCAGATCACTGTATATTGCTTGCGTGAGACCAATTGTTGAATATGGCTTAGAAATTTGGCATCATAAAATCTTGAAAGGAGAAATCCACAAGTTGGAAGTGATGCAGAACATGGCTTTAAGAAGAATTGTTGGTGCTTATCGCACAACTCCTATTGCGGTATTACAAAGGAAGCTGGTATTATGCCATATAGTATTAGGCTAAAATTTATGGTGGCACGAAAAGCTATTCGTTTACACCTAAATATTAGCAAAACTAATCCTATTAATGGTCATTTGTTAACATTGATTGAGAAATCTCCAATTGCAAAGCTAACCACGCTTTACATGTTGGCGAAAGATGATAGAGACTATATGATTAAAAGGATGAAAAACGAACATGCAAGAGGGTTGAACCTCTTACACTGAAACAACAACAAAATCAGACGATTGGAATTTTGAAGAAACAAGCAATGGAAGAATGGCAAGAAATGTATTGGAACAGCAGTAAGGATCTGTGGTATCATAATATCACAGTGGAGTCGAAATGTACTGATAATCTTTCCAAAATGGTTACAGGAGTGATCATGAAGAAAGATAGTCGAAGGATCTTGAGTAATATTACTCAGTTTCGCACAGGCCATGGCAACTTTGGCGCATGGTTTAAAAAGTTTGGAATTGAAAAGGATAGTTACAACTGCAAATGTGGAGAGCTGGAAACAGTTCATCACATTTTAGTTGAGTGTCCTTTGCTTGAAGAGGAAAGAAAAGGACTGAAACGGATATCTCCAGAGATGGACATGTCGACTCTCTTAAACAGTTTAACTGGCTTACAAGAGATTGTAAGCTTTATCTCTGCTTGGAGGGATTAAGAAATACAATTACAGCGTTGATGAAGACAAGTGGAGATAGGTTGGGAAGGTTTGGTTATTTTTAACCCCCTGTTCCTCGTAAGCTGGCATCAGGACTTATTTTCGGGCTGTTGGAGATGCAATGTTGAAGCCAAAATTAAAAGTTTATTATCAAAATGAAAAAATATATAGTATGGACAAGAAGGATAGCGCAGATGCTGATGTTATATAATTCTATAACCCTTGAATAAAAACAAACAAACAAACAATTAAAGTTCAACATATGGATGTTCTCATGCCGGATGCAAATCCATTTGGTGATAATTCTGAAGCCTGGGAATACATCTTAAAACTTAAGGATGTATTTCTGGTTGAATTGTCTATTGTTAAAGAAGACTTGAGTATTACAATTGAAGATTGGGAAATAAAATTTCAAAATCTTGAACTTAAAAACAATGAGTTAGCTAAACAACTCATTGCTTTGACCGAAAAGCTTAAAGTTTCAGAAGGACAAGTGAATTCTCTTCGCTCAGAACTTGATGTTTTAAGAAACAATCAGGTTCACACAGAAGTTAAACATGTGATGTTTGAAAAACTCAAAAAGGAAGTTAAGGATAATAAGGATCATTGCGATAAAGTGAAACATAAAGCTGATGAAATAGCTAAGATGACTCTTCAAGATTTGTCTCAAGAAAAAGCAAGAAACAAAAGAATTATCGACACTGAAATCAAGGAATTCAAAGAAATGACCAACAATCTTGAGAAAAGAGTTGATAATATGGAATACAAAGTTGGAACTATTTCAACTAAGGCTGATTTAACTACCAAAGAACTTAGCTACGCAAAAAAGGAAATCAAGAGCGCGGTAAGAAAAGTCGACACTTTGCCTTTTGCTTTGACCCCTAAAACTCCAAATGGAGCAACTCCAAAGTTGAAAGACATTATGAAGGCTCAAAAACAACACCGTGAAACTAAAGTCGATGACGATAAACCCACTTTTAGAGTGTGCATAAGAATTCCAGATACCATGAAAAGAGTTAATATCCCTGCGATTGGAAAGAAAATTGATGCGGTTGCACAAAAGTCGGTGGCTCAGGAAATAGGCTATACTGTCAAAGGGCATTTATATGTTCAACTTAATGACAAAGATTTTGCTGATAAAGCTGCAGAATGGATCCCCAAAGTTGACCCTACTTATTCAGTGCTTGACACAGATTCTTGGTACAAGGCTGTACTTCAGGAAATACCTAATACGGCATCGATTGAAGACTTGAAAGAAACTCTCTACAATTTTAATGATTACCATATTGTTTTGAATACCGAACCCAAAATCATTAGCAGAAACCAATTTACCCAAACAGCATTGGTTTCATTCAGAAATGCCCAAGACTATGCAAAGTGTGCTGATAATCTTATTATCCAGTACACAAAAGTTAAAGTTAGACCTTTTATTAGGAGGAAAAAAACTCCTGAAGAACTCCAAGCTATGCGTAATAAGATACGATTATTGAAAAATGAATCAGACAAAAAGGATAATGAGGCCCATCCTGTTTCCACTGACGACTCACAAGATGAACCGATGAAAGAAACAAATATTGAAGAACTAGACGAATCCAATGAGGAAGAAAACGAAAACAATTCTATTACATCCAATGAATTATAAAGTATTCCAACTCAATTGTCATAAATCGAAATCTATTACTGAAACTATCTTAGATAAAAAAGAACCTGATATCTTGTTATTACAAGAACCTTACTTTAACAACTATGGGCCCATTAAACATAAAGATTGGATCCCAATCTTTACAAAAACTGGAAAAGAAAAAAATAAATGCAGAGCAATTACTTACATTAGGTCTAACTCTGACTTACGAGCATTAACTACTAAAATTGAAAAGTTTACAAATCGAGATATGGTTACCATTTTGGTTAAAGACATTACAATTGTCAATGTCTATAATCAACCGAAACCATCCAAGAAATACCCTGAGCCACCGGTTTTTGAGTTTCTCAAACGGGAGATCAAGGAACAATACTCAAAGATTGTCATTGCAGGTGATTATAACTTACATCACAAGGAATGGGAGTCAAGGGCAGGTCCGAATACGGAAGCAGATGAAGTTGTTGGGTGGCTACATGAAAATGATATGATGTTAATTACTCCAAGAAATCAAAAAACATACAACAATAGAACCAATATTGATTTGGTTTATGGCTCAGTGGACTTACTTCATAGAATTTCATTTAGTGGAGTGGATGAAAATACACTAAGTGATCACTCAATTGTGGAGTGAGACATCTATATGTCTCAGAGTAAAAACGGGGATGAAGTTTCTACTTCGGTGAAGAGATTGAATATTAAGAATGCAGATTGGGAAAAGTTTGACAAGGAGCTTTCTTCTGCCATTAAAGATTTTAATGTGCATAACAAAACTCTAAAATCAACTGACCAAATTGATGACCAAGCTAAAGTTCTTGAGGAGGTTGTAAAAAGAGCAATGGCAAAGTCGATGAAGAAAGTTAAGGTGATGAAAAAGTCCAAACGCTATTGGAATCAAGAATTAAGGGAGAAGTTAGAAAAAGCGCTAGAAGCTAAAAGGGAAGCCCGTCAAAGGCAACCTTCTTTGGCTTTGAAACGACAAAAAATTGAAGAGGCGAAAAAAGCTAGAAAAATTTTTGACCACAGTTTGCGTGAAGCAAGTACTGAGCAATGGAATAAATATTTGTCTAGTTTAGAAGGAAATGACATTTGGAAGATTTTGAAGTACATTAATCCAAAAAGCAATGATACCATTATACCACAAATTAGAAAAGAAGATGGAACTCTCACTACTACTGTTGACGAAAAAAGACATGAAATATGGAAGGCACTTCTACCTGAAATTGATCATGGTCTTGATAGAGAGTTTGAAATTGATGACGATTCTCGATGGCCAAAATTAGAGTTTGATGAAGTTGACTCTGCATTGGCTGATACCCCAAATGATAAAGCTCCAGGAGACGATGGAATTACTGGCAAAGTTTTAAAGATGGCATGGCTGAATAAAGACTTTAAGGAAAGGTTTTTCAAGCTTCTCCAAGCTTGTGTGAAGTTTGGATACCACCCAAAAGTCTGGAGACATGGCATTATTGTTGTTATACCTAAACCTAAGAAACCTGACTATTCAAAGCCAAGAGCATACCGACCAATTTCCTTACTTAAGATTCCATCTAAAGTACTGGAAAAATTATACAAAAAAGAATGACCAAACTTACAACACACTTACTTCCACCAGAGCAATATGGGGAAGACAAGGTTATTGTGCTACTGATGCTGTTTTGGAACTTGTCCAAAGAATTGAAACTAGTAAAGAAAAAATTTCAGCTATGCTCATTGATATTCAAGGAGCTTTTGATAATGTTAACAGAAATATATTGGCACACACAATGAAGGATATGAAACTACCCAAAGCACTTATAAACTGGACGTACCAATTTGTAAGTGAAAGAGAAGCTAGTATGCTCATGGACCGAAGAAAAGGATCAGTGCAAAAAATTAGTACTGGAATTCCGCAAGGCTCACCTATTTCACCACTACTTTTTTTTGATATATTCCACACCAATGTATCATGCCATTAAAGAATGGGGTGAAACTCCTTTTGGCTTTATTGATGATGTGACTATTACCGTTGAAGGTAAAATTGAAGAAAATACCAAAAGCTTAAGCAACATATTGGAAAAATGTTGTAATTGGGCTAAATCAAGAATGACCAAAATTGATTTGGGTGATAAATTGGTTTTTATTCATTTTACAAAAAATGTGAAACCTAAAGATGAGAAAGTGCAACTTACTTTACCTAATGGAGAACTTTGTGAACCCCAGAAGGAAGTTAAATTGCTTGGAATTACTTTGAACAATCTGCTTGATTTTAAATCTCATATTTTGAATAAAATTAATAAAGCAAGAAAAGCTGTTGGTGCTATTTGGCATCTTGGTGGCGTGCAAAAAGGTATGCGAGGGTCTGCAGTCAGATCACTGTATATTGCTTGCGTGAGACCAATTGTCGAATATGGCTTAGAAATTTGGCATCATAAAATCTTGAAAGGAGAAATTCACAAGTTGGAAGTGATGCAGAACATGGCTTTAAGAAGAATTGTTGGTGCTTATCGCACGACTCCTATTGCGGTACTACAAAAGGAAGCTGGTATTATGCCATATAGTATTAGGCTAAAATTTATGGTGGCACGAAAAGCTATTCGTTTACACCTAAATATTAGCAAAACTAATCCTATTAATGGTCATTTGTTAACATTGATTGAGATATCTCCAATTGCAAAGCCAACCACGCTTTACTTTTTGGCGAAAGATGATGGAGACTACATGATTAAGAAGGATGAAAAATGAACATGCAAGAGGGTTGAACCTCTTACACTGAAGCAAGAACAAAATCAGATGATTGGAATTTTGAAGAAACAAGCAATGGAAGAATGGCAAGAAATATATTGGAATAGTAATAAGGATCTGGTATCATAATATTACAGTGGAGTCGAAATGTACTGATAATCTTTCCAAAATGGTTACGGGAGTGATCATGAAGAAAGATAGTCGAAGGATCTTGAGTAATATTACTCAGTTTCGCATAGGCTATGGCAAGTTGGAAGTGATGCATAATAAGACTTTGAGAAGAGTGGTTGATGTTTATCTCAGAATATACTTTGAAATATTAGAAAAAAAAGTGATATTAAACCATATTGTATTTTATTTGGTATATTAAAAATTAATACAATTGTATTTTTAAAAAGTATATGCCAATAGTTCAACTAATTATTTACATATACAACAATCAAATAGCTATCACAATAATGAGAATGGGGTTTCCATTTCAATACCGTTCAACAATCTTTTATAATGGTAACCACTATATTTATAATTTTTAGTAAATAGTGAACATTTCACAACTAGAACACACTAAACTTTATAACTGTTTACCTCAACATCTTTATTCAACTCTTTCAAAAATCTCACTCCAAGGCAAAAAAAAAAAAAAAAACCAAGTATAAAAAGATCTAAAAACACAAAAAAATAATGGTCTCTGGCGGGATCGAACCGCCGATCCTCGCGTATCACAAGGAAGTTGCTTGTTTATTAGCACGATGCCTTAACCAACTGGGCCAAGAGACCTTTTAACTTGTTGGAAGTGTGACCATTTCGATAAAAATAAGCTAACTGGGTTAGAAAAAGTAAATTTTGAGAATGCTGGCGGATTGTTTTGGGGAAAGGGCTGGATGGTGTAAAGGGTAACACGTTTGCTCGATAGCGGAAGATACTGGGTTCGATTCCCAGAATACCCCCTTTTCCTGAGGATGTGTACGGGAGTATACACCTAGACTGAAAACCATAGGCTACCCTGGTTACAGGAATGCCGACTCTTCCGTACAGTCTAAATAGCCTGCAGGTGATTGCGGGCCGTATCTCTGGCGGAAGAGATTAAGAAATACATGGGCGTCCGTGAAGATAAGTGGAAATGGGTTGGGAAGGTTTTGGGACCGACAGACTGGTTCTCCCTGTTCCTCGTAAGCTGGCATCAGGGCCCATCTTCCGGGCTACCGGAGACGCACAGAACAGAAACCACCCGTACTAAAAAGGTACAAATGAAAACCGGCAAGTCATATAGTCAGACAATAAAAGGATAGCGCAGATGCTGATGTTATATAGTTCTATAACCCTTGAAAAAAAAAAAAAAAAAAAAGGGGATTGTTTTTGTCTAATATGGCTTAGAAATTTGGCATTATAAAATCTTGAAAGGAGAAATTAACAAGTTGGAAGTGATGCAGAACATGGCTTTAAGAAGAATTGTTGGTGCTTATCGCACGACTCCTATTGCGGTACTACAAAAGGAAGCTGGTATTATGCCATATAGTATTAGGCTAAAATTTATGGTGGCACGAAAAGCTATTCGTTTACACCTAAATATTAGCAAAACTAATCCTATTAATGGTCATTTGTTAACATTGATTGAGATATCTCCAATTGCAAAGCCAACCACGCTTTACTTTTTGGCGAAAGATGATGGAGACTACATGATTAAGAAGGATGAAAAATGAACATGCAAGAGGGTTGAACCTCTTACACTGAAGCAAGAACAAAATCAGATGATTGGAATTTTGAAGAAACAAGCAATGGAAGAATGGCAGGAAATGTATTGGAACAGCAGTAAGGATCTGTGGTATCATAATATCACAGTGGAGTCGAAATGTACTGATAATCTTTCCAAAATGGTTACGGGAGTGATCATGAAGAAAGATAGTCGAAGGATCTTGAGTAATATTACTCAGTTTCGCACAGGCCATGGCAACTTTGGCGCATGGTTTAAAAAGTTTGGAATTGAAAAGGATAGTTACAACTGCAAATTTGGAGAGCTGGAAACAGCTCATCACATTTTAGTTGAGTGTCCTTTGCTTGAAGAGGAAAGAAAAGGACTGAAACGGATATCTCCAGAGATGGACATGTCGACTCTCTTAAACAGTTTAACTGGCTTACAAGAGATTGTAAGCTTTATCTCTGCTTGGAGGGATTAAGAAATACAATTACAGCGTTGATGAAGACAAGTGGAGATAGGTTGGGAAGGTTTGGTTATTTTTAACCCCCTGTTCCTCGTAAGCTGTCATCAGGACTTATTTTTGAGTTATTAAAGATGCTACGCTGAAATCAAATTAAAAAGTTTTTTCATGTAAACGAAAAGATATATATCTTTAAAAAGATAAATATATACTTTAGGAACAAAACTACTAACTATAGCGTTGATGCTAATGTTTTATAATTCTATAACCCTTAAAAAAAAACAAATAAATTAACCATTGAGTATAAGATTAATGGATTTTGATAAATTTGTCTATAAGTTGTTAAAACTTTTTTCAAAATTTTAAAATTTGACAAGATTCTTTACAAAAATTAATGTCCCCCCACAAAAGCCTCTTTAAAAATCTCATCATTCACATTACAATTAATAAACTCTCTAGCAATTTTTTCTTTTTTTTTTCAATCTTTATCAAAGTATACAATTTTCTCTTACATTACCTTCTATTAAAAATACAAGCATCTTTAATATAAATGGGCCTGACTCGAAAACGATGCAATTGACTCCAGCTCGTCATCTGTATCATCATCGTCATCATCCACAAGCACCCGTTGTCCGCGAATACCGGTGCTGCCACCCGCATTCAGACCACGCTTGCTGGGCCCCAGATCAAGACTACTGCTGCTCGGTGTCCCATTGCTGCTATTAGAATTGCTTCCTGATACACTCATCGAGTCAGTCTTATTGATAAGCTGATTCAGACGATCACCAAACGAACTACCAATTTGGCGCTGCTCTTCGACAGCTTGTGCAGCAACAGAAGAGGCTGAAAATGCAGATGCCTTTAGCTTTCGTTTATTATTAATCACAGCAGCTCGTTGGGCATTGGCGTTGAAGATTTGCGCCGCAGCCTTGGCCGCCCGTTCCATGTCGGCAGAGCTATTGTTGGTAGCAGTAGTAGGGATACCAGAGCCAATAGGCCCAGTATCCGAAGAAGGACCCAGTCGGGAAGAACGAATATTAGAAATAACATCGTCTTCATCATCGGAATCAGACTCGGACTCGTATTCACGAACAGTTTCTTCGCCATCATCTATAATCTCATCTGCGTGTTTGTGCAACATGTGGGACGAGGGAAGAGACCCAGTAGGGGCAGCAGCAGCAGCAGCAGCGGCGGCAGCAGCAGCAGCAGCAACACGACTAAGAGCTACAGGCATTCCAGCCATGTCCAAAGGATCACCAACTTGTGATTCAAGCTCCGAGCTAGATTCCATTCCAGAGTCACTTTCAGTTTCATGGAGGTAATCCGATTCCAATGAGGAGTCCTTTTCACTTGATGTTTCATCATGGGGGAGCATATCATTAAAGTAACGTTGGCCTGGTGGAGGGGGTCCACGTAAGGGTCCCAGGGCCTTGTTAGACAAACCACCATATTGTTGTTGAAGGGTGGGGCCAAAGGACTCACCAAAACGGTTGCCATTGATTTGCTGGATGAGGGAGTTTGGTGGTTGCGGGGGAAGCATGGGGTCGATAGGAGCCATGGGGGAGCTAGAACTTTGAGGTCCACTACCAGCCACTGAGAGCTTATTAACAATGTGAGCGTTGAGTTGTCTGGGTTTTGAAAGCTGAACGTTTGATGGTTGAAGACGCGAGAGAAGACCTTCAACAAGACAGCCCTTTTCACGGAAATGGGTGAGCAAGTGAAGCCAAAGCAAGTTTTTAGATAAGACTCTAGGGTTACCTAAAAGTACAAGGCCATACTTAGCACGCGTGAGGGCAACATTGAGACGGCGGGGGTCACTCAAGAAACCAATTCCTTGGTATTCATTTGAACGGACGCAGGAGACAATGATGTAGTCCTTTTCACGGCCCTGGAAAGCATCGACTGATTCGATTTCAACCTCGCGGTAAAGTTCGCGGTCCATGGTGCCATTAATAATCATGTGTTGATTGAGATAAGTACGTTGACCTTCATAAGGGGTAATGATACCAATTTGATCAGGTTTGACGCCAGCCTTGAAGAGACGGGTGACGACACGCTCACAGTTTGATGCTTCTGAGCGGTTGAGGTAAGAAGTACCAGAGGATGATATTTCCTCCTTGCCAAGAACACTCCAAAACATCATGGGTGTTTCTGGGACAGGCCATGGGAAGTTGATTTCTGGACGCATACGTTCCTGTTGGGTGATACCGTTTTGCAACGAGCCGTCGTAAAAGATATTTGATGGGAACTCTGAAAGACAAGGGTGCATACGATACTGAACAGTGAGACGGATGGGGGTATGACCGAGAACAATGAGACGTTCAAAGAGGGATTTGGCAAGGCCTGCTTTTGCGGCAGCTTTGCATCCAACAACGGGACCTAGTTGCTGATGGTCACCGACAAGTACAAGTTGTTTGCAACCATGGACAATGGGGATTAGGCACTCTGGCTCAGTAGCTTGGGTACTTTCGTCGATAAGAACAGTACGGAAGCGGACTCTGTGAAGACGGGGGTCACCAGCGGCAGCACAGGTGCAACAGACAACATCAGCATGCTGAAGGATTCTGTGTTCTGCGTCACGGAGCAGTTTAAAGTACTTATTTCTGTCAGATTGGGAAAGTTCACCAACATCATTTTTGAGCTGTTGGAGCTTGCGGAGGTCTTCTGGGGTATCTGCATCATTCATGATAATGTCGCCTAGGGTCATACTTTTAATGTCAGTATCTTGAAGGATAGTTTCGCGGGATTTGGCGACAAGACGGACGACTCTAAGGCCTGTACGTTGGAGACGGTCAGCAAGTTGGTCAGCGGCAACGTTTGAAGGAGCGCAGACAAGAACTGCTTCTTTAGTCATTTTCAAAATGTGGTAGACAATTGTTGTAGAAACGACGGTTTTACCGGTACCGGGGGGGCCTTGGATAAGAGAGAGGGGGTGACGAAGGACGGAGGCCACAGCAGCTGATTGAGAAGGGTTAAGTTCTGCAATTCCAGGAACACTAAAGTCAGGAGGGGGTTGGGTGCTAAAAACAATGTTTTTGACTTCGTGACCGAGGAGCTTATGGTAGAGGTAACCTGAGACGGAGGTTTCTTCTGTGGCGAATTCCTTGAGAGAGCTTTGGATACGGTCATAAGTGACGCCGGACCACATAAAGTTGATTATGAAGCCTTGGGTTATGTTTGTAGGAGGGTTGGCTCCAATGAGGAGTTCGAGGGTGATTTCCTCTGAGGAGCTATCTGGAATTTTAATTACGAAACCAGTTGAGCTCCATTCTGGTGCGCCTGAGGCTGAAGAAGAGTCAAGGCGGATAGCCATGACGTCGCCAATCATGACGCGGGTGCCTGTTGTATCAACATCTTGAAGGAAGAATGAGACGAGGTGGCGCCTACTGAGGCCGATATCCCAAGTGACAGAAACATTTGATTGAGTTTGGGCTTCCTTTTGGCGGCGGTCATAGTCAGCTTCGTACATGACTAAGGGGCTAAAGCAGCGTTGGTACTCGTAACCATCTTCATAGCGGAGGACAACGTGAGGGATGTTTTGTTCGAGGTCGGGTTTATCGAGGTCATCAACGGTAGCTTTAGGGGAGTCTCTCCACATTTCTTCTAATTTGGTCATTTGGGCAGGGGAGATTTTACGGGCACGGGCGACTTCCTCTTGGGAAGGGACAGAGACGAGCCAGTTTGTAAAGGATCTATCTGAGATGAGGGGGTCCCATTTTGATGAGTCCCAATTCATGTCTTTATTGATGGGGGTATTTGCACATGGGAAGCGGCAAAGAATGACAATAACTGATTCAGCTTTTGCAGAAATGAATCCGAGGACAAAGACATTTTGGTTACCGCAGTTATAGCATTCGAGGGTAGTTTCACCTAGTTCCGAGTCTTGGTGTAGAGCTACTACCTTGTGGCGAGAGCGGACTAAGTGATTGATTATATGAGAGGAAGAAGAGGAACCACGGGCATTGCAAAACCACTTGTTGCAAGTGACACAGCGGACAATAGAGGATGGGGAGTGAATACCACAGTAAGCGCATGCTGGTTTTTTTGTAAGTTCGTCATCATTGTCTACTGGGGGGTCAAAATCAGTGATGAGAAGGTCAGCTAAGGACTTGAGTTGGTTGGAGTGATTATGGTTGTGATTATTATTGTGGTCATGGTTATGGCTTGGGTCACTGACCAAAGAGACTGAGGAGGAATCAGAATCAGATTCGTCTTCTAGATCTGAAAGGGAATTTGTTGATGATAGAGGGATGATTCGGCGGTCATCGCCGTCGTAATAGTTAGAGGTGGAGTTATTCATTTCAGCGCATCGCTATTATGGAAAGGAGGGAGTGGTGTTTGTTTGTTTGTTTGTTTGTTTGTTTGTTTGTTTGTGGTGTATGTGTGGAAGTGGAAGTGGAAGTGGAAGTGGATGGATGGATGAATAAATAGATAGATGGATAGCTTTTAAAAATTTGGTTGTGGTGGTGGTGGTGGTTAGTGGTGGTTAGTGGTGGTTGTGACAAAAAAAAAAAAAAAAAATTGATTGTTGCGAAAGACAGAAAAAGTTCAGTTTGTTTGTTTGTTTGTTTGTTTGTGAAGACCAAAATGAGTTTTTATTTTTTTTATTTTTTTTATTTTTTTTAATTTTTTTTTATTATTAAAAATAAAATAAAATAAAATAAAATAAAAAAAGTTACCCGGATGATACGGCTTTAAATTTTTTTTTTTTTTTTTTTTTTTTTTTTTTTTTAAATTTTTTTTTTTTTTTTTTTTTTTTTTTTTTTTTTTTTAAATCATCAAACAAACAAATTATTTGATTGAAATAAACCAAAATACATAAAAATCATTAAAATTACCCAAATCATTAAAATCACCCAAATACATAAATACCCATAGAAATGCTCCGAAGGCAAGCAAGAGAACGACGGGAATTCTTGTACCGCAAGTCTCTGCAACTACAGGAGGCCCAACAAACCCTTAAAAGACAACAACTCCGAGCAGCTCTAGCCTCAGGCAAACCACTGCCACGTGAGTTACAAGAAGATGACCGCCTGCGCAATAGCTTCAAGTATGACGAATCCATTACCCCAAGTGACAAGGCTGTTAAAGTTACACGCGACAAAACATCAGGTAAACCAATTTATGTGGAAGATTCAACTGTCGACGACGAATACAGTGCACTAAGTGGAGTGGCAGACCCACGAGTCGTGGTAACTACCTCACGCAACCCATCTGTGCGTTTGCTGCAATTTGCCAAGGAAGTACGGATGCTTTTCCCCACAGGACTCAAACTGAACCGTGGTGCTGCTGTGCTGCCAACATTGGTAGGGGCATGCGAAGGTGCCGGAACATCAGATATTATAGTTTTGCACGAACACCGTGGTGTTCCCACTGCACTGACAGTTTCTCATTTCCCACATGGTCCCACGGCAAGTTTTTCTTTGCATAATGTAGTGATGCGGCACGATCTACCAAACGGTGGTGGCGGAAACATTTCTGAAGCATACCCGCATCTGATTTTCGACAACTTTACAAGTCCTCTGGGGAAGCGTGTGGAAACCATTCTTAAACACTTGTTCCCACCAGGAGCGAAAAAGGATAGTCCGCGCGTGGTGACCTTTGCCAATAAGGGAGACTACATTTCAGTGCGTCATCACGTGTATGTACGGACGAGCGACGGTAATGTGGAACTTGCTGAGGTGGGACCACGATTTGAGATGCGGTTATATGAGTTGAAACTGGGGACGATTGATAATAAGGATGCAGATATTGAATGGAAGTTACGTGGGTTTGTTCGTACTGCTAATAGAAAGGATTATCTTTAGAGAGAAAGGACGATGGTTGGTAAAACAGGTAATAATATATATATTTAATTAATAAATTTCACAAACAAGGTTTTTTTTTTCATATTTGATACATTGAAATATATTTAAATAAAATTAATCATTACGTTGCTTTTTTTTTTTTTTTTTAAGAATATAAGAAAAATTTAAAAATTAAAAAATTAAAAATATATATATATATATATATTTTTTTTTTCAAGAGACGTGTAAGATTAGGATTGGGCACTTTCTAAAGGTAAATCTCATCAGTGTTACGACGGAGGGTTTCTCCCAAGGAAGACATTTCCATTCCCTCGTCTGCAATTTCCGAATCGTAGCCACTGGCAGCAGCCACAGACTCATCTGAGAAGGAAAAGGAAAAAGATGATGCTTTCCTAGACGGGGCACGATTATGAGCAGGACCCAAAATGGGTACTGGGGAGGAGGAAGAAGAAGAGGAAGAGGGGAAAGAGGAGGAGGATGGTGGAGAGGAGGAAGATAGGAAAAGGTCTGGTGACATTGAGGCAGGTGAAGATAAGGAGAATGTGTCTGCAGTGGTGGTTGTAGCACTGGTTAAGGAGGAGGTAGAATGGTTCCCTCTAAGAAGATCTGAGGAGGAAGGATAGAGTGATGTGGCATTAGTGGTTGTAGTAGTTGTCGTAGTGGCAGCACTGGGAGCACTTGAAGCACTTGAAGCACTTGAAGCACTTGGAGCAGTGGAAGCAGCTTGTTGTGCATGTTGTTCAGTAGACATCAAGTCTGCAAAGGAACAAAAGCTCAAGACCCGCAGGTCTCTGGGTTGTCTTGCATCTTGTACCAGAGGAGGGTTTTGTTGGGTATGATGATCATGAGATGACGCTGAAGAGTATGAAGATGAAGAGTTTAAATGACCATGAAGGGTTTGCTGGTTGTTGCCGTTGTTGCCGTTGTTGCCGTTATTACTGCTATTGCTTCTACTGCTGTTGCTTCTACTAATACTATTACTGCTGTTGCTACTACTACTGCTACTGCTATTGCTACTGTTATGGTGTAAACCTCCAGAACTAAAGGGGATGACCTCTGCCGGGATGCTTCCACCTTTCCCAAAGGGATTGGTAAAAAGGCTATTATTGTTGTTTGTGTTATTATTATGACTGCATAATACTGGAGAAGATGACCGACAACAGACCGAACTGGATGGTACTGATCCTGCAGTAATGTAATGATGAGGAGTTGGACTTCCTGGAACGCTAGACCGTAAAGTATAAGATGCTGTAGAAGAAAAGGAGGCTCTGTTGGAAAGAGTTGGTCTGGGAGCTAAGTTAGTGCGGATAGGTGAGGATGCTAATGATGTTGTTCCTTTCCCACCAGTTGACGATATTGAAGAAGAGGAAACAACTGGAGTGATGATTGCCAGTTGCTGTTGCTGTTGCTGCTGTTGCTGTTCCGAAAGACTTAAGGAGCGCACCGAGGAGGGTCTACGGAGCGACTGTACAACAACGTATTCCGGGTCCACCCGGTCGTCCGCGAGTATTTCTGTAGAGGCTGTAAGAACAGGTGGAATGAAATCATCGGAGGCATAATGCTGTGGGATTTTATCTGAAACAGCTTTGAGATCTTGGACGGAGCGTTCAAATATGGAGGAAGAGATTGGTTTACTGGTAGAAGAAAATGAAGGAGAGGGGGATGTTGGTGGGTGAGAAGAGGGGGTTGATAAGGAAGACGAAAGGTGGAGCGGTGGGGCACAGGGCTCGGAGCCTGAGCGAGAGAGGGGGTTTCTTGGGGAGGAGGAGGAGGATGTTAGAGAAGGTGAAGGAAGAGAGACTGGAAGAGGATTATTAGAAGTAGTAGGTTGGATGATAATGGAGTTATTATTATTATTATTATTATTGTTGTTGTTGTTGTTGTTGTTATTTGAAGAAGAAGAAGAAGAATGAGTTTGAGAAGGACGTTTTTGCATGGCGATGAGAGCAGGTAGAGGTAATTTTGTAGGATTTTGGATGGGGTTTAGTGGTTTTGATGAGGTTTTTTTAAGGGTTGAAGAAGAAGAATTATCAAAAGTTGTAAGGATTGAAGAGGAAGAAGAGGGAAAAAATGAAGAAGAAGAAGAAGAAGAAGAAGAAGAATTCATTTGAGAAGGTAGCGGTGGAGGCATTTTAGAGAAAGTTTGATTGATTTGAAAAGAAGTTTTGGAGGAGGTTTTTGTTAAAGATGGATGATGGGAAGAAGGAAAGGATGAAATTGTTGAATTAGAATTAGAATTGGAGTTGAAATTATTAGAATTAGAATTGAAGTTGGAATTATTAGAATTAGAATTATAATAAGAATTGGAGTTTGGATTGGAATTGGAATTAAAATTGAAATTGAAATTGAAATTGAAAGACTTTGAACTTTTAGATTTGGACGTCTTCGCTTCAAAGGCTTTTGGTGAAGGCGGCAGTGGGGGGGTTTTGGAGAATTTAAAGTTATCACGCGGACCAAAAGGCGACCAAGACAATAAAGGATTATTATTATTATTATTATTATTATTATTATTATTATTATTATTATTATTATTATTATTATTATTATTATTATTATTATTATTATTATTATTATTATTATTATTATTATTATTATTATTATTATTATTATTATTATTATTATTATTATTATTATTATTATTATTATTATTATTATTATTATTATTATTATTATTATCATTATTATTATTATTATTATTATTAAAAGGTCCAGTAGGCCCATCATTCTTATTCTTATTATTATCATTATTATCATTATTATTATTATTATTATCATCATTATCATCATTATTATTATTATCATCATTATCATTATCATCATCACCTTCATCTTCTACTAATACCTCGGATGAAGATATACAACTATCAAAGTCTGGGCTACTCACATCACCACTGGTACTTTCAATAGTACTATTACCATTACCACTACCGCTACCACTACCACTACCACTACCACTACCACTACCACTACCACTACCACTACCACTACCACTACCACTACCACTACCACTACCACTACCACTACCACTACCACTACCACTACCACTACCACTACCACTACCACTACCACTACCACTACCACTACCACTACCACTACCACTACCACTACCACTACCACTACCACTACCACTACCACTACCACTACCACTACCACTACCACTACCACTACCACTATCACTACCATCAACATCAACATTAACAGTACCACTACTACTACCACTACCACTACTAGTACTAGTACCACCAACTACTGGACCCCTCAGAAACCGCTTGACAGATGACCGTCTTGAAACATTTCCATTAGCCAAAGGCAACGATACTGCACTCCCAGACCGTGGAGAAGACGATACAGATGTAGCCCCAGAAGAGGGACTAATCATTGGAGGAACAAGTGGCATAGAATTTGATAAAGATGAAGGAGAAACCAACAAGTCTTCAATAGTAGAATATCGGGAAGTACAAGGTTGCGAAGTCATAATAAGCTTACGGCCATTGGAATTAGGTGGTGTATTATTAGTAGCTGGACTGGGTTTAATAGAGCCTGGAGATGACTTTGTAAGAAATGGAAATGGTGAAGATGGTCGACGAGAAGGAGGTGCACTATGGATTGTAATGCCTCTAGATGATGATGATGCAGAAGAAGAAGAAGACGAATATGAAGAAGCCCTTCTTGAAGGTCCTCTTACTAGATGACCATTTGTTTCTGGTTCAGGTGTTGCTGCTAATACTTCTGCTGGAATTCTTGAAGAATTTGAATTTGAATTTGAATTTGAATTGGAATTGGAAGTGGAATTGGAATTGGAATTGGAATTAGGTAGATTAAAAGGATAATAAGCTTGTTGATAACGGTGGTTATGGCTATCGCCCACACTTAAAGCAGCAGTTTCGGCATCTGAGAGAGGTTCATCTCCTAAGAAAGAATCAAAGGGGATTTTATTGGAAGAAGATTGATTTGTAGACGAATTGGTGGATGCTGAAGAAGAAGAAGAAGAAGAGAAGGGGAACTTTTTGGATTTCTGGGCAGAAGAAGATTTACGCCGTTGAAAGATTGAAAGAAAGGTCATTTAAAGGATAGTAAAGAAAGAGGGAAATTGTGATAAATAAGAAGAAAGAAAGGATTTAATTTAGATTGGAGAGTATAAATTAAAAATTAAAAGAAAGAAAGAAAGAAAGAAAGAAATAATGGTGAGAAAAAGAAAAAGCAGATACAAATAAAATAAAATAAAATAAAAAAGCAACAGAGAAAGCAGCAGGCTGCAATTAATATAATAAATAGATAATATAATATATAAAAAAAATAAATTGAAAGAGAGAGAGAGAGAAAGAAATAAAGAGAGAAATAAAGACCAAACTGTTGTTTATTTTTTTTTTTTTTAAAAAAAAAAAAAAAAAAAAAAAAGCAGCAGCAACAGAAGCAGCAGCAGCAGCAGCAGCAGCAGCAGCAGCAGAAGCAGCAACAACATCATCAATCACCATCTTCATCTTCATCATCATCATCATCATCATCAACAACAACACTTTTAAGTAAATGTTTCTAATTTTTATTATTATTACGTATGTATTTTTTGAATTGAACTTGCTTCTTGTTCTTTTTATTTATTTTTTTTTTTTTTGGTTTTTATTACTATTTCTACATTCCTTTTATTATTATATCATTATTTGTAATAATCCAAGAAATCTCTAAAGAAACTTCTCTTTAATTCAAGTCCAATATTATCTCTCTCTATATAAATATATTCAAATATTATTCAACTTAAAAAAAACTTTGGTCTTATATATTTATACATATAAACCCCTTCCCCCCCCCCACCTCCAACCAAGACTTTTATAAACTTAATGTATATATATATATATATATATATTAACATTACGTCGTTTATTAAAATAATAATAAAAATATCACCACATTTTGAAAAAAAAAAAAAAAAAAAAAAAAAAAAAAAAAAACTAAATAATTAAATAATTAAATAAATAAATTCATTTAAATGAAAAGAAATTGACATATACGCGTGTTAATGGTGCGGCATTCTGTATCAAAAAAAAAAAAAAAATACAGCCACACACTCTTCTCGGTCTTCTTCCACTTCTTTATTTTTTTCAAAGATGGTTTAAATCAAATTTTGGGTTTTTTAATTACTCTAATAATATTATATATATAATATTTTGGTTGTCGATTAGTCGTTATTATTTTATTTTTATTTTTATTTTTTATTTAGCTACTGCTTTTGCTATTTTTGCTGCTTCTGTTGCTGCCTTTCTGTCTAGTATCTAGTACTATTTACCATTTACTATCGACTATCACTGATTGCTGCCTTTTTTTATTTTTTATTTTTTATTTTTTTTGTTTTTTTATATATTTATATAGCTCTGCACGTGCGAAATAGTCAAATAATGGAGAGAGTCGTACAAATCAATCCAAAAAAGGGATAGAGTAGGAATGTCTGTAGACCAAAAAGGGATATGAGAATAAAATAAAATAAAATAAAATAAATTAACAATAAATTAACAATAAAAAAATAAAAAAAATAAAAAAAAACCAACATCATTGGAAGGCCTCACTTAATTTTTTTTTAAATTTTTTTTAAATTTTTTTTCAATTTTTTTTAAATTTATTTTTTTATTATTTTGATGGGTGCATTGCGGGAAAAACTTCCCAAAACGGAAATTTAAAAAAAACTTTAAATATTAATAATTAGTCAGCTGATATGGAGAATCAATAGATAACAAAAAAAAAAATACTAAAATATCACATATCACATGACACATAAAATTACACATAAAATCACAATGTCTTTTATTTGAAAATATTTGAAAAAATGAAAATGCCTCAACTTTTTAAATTTATTTGATAAACATTACATAATATTTTCCTCAACTTGAGGTTACTTTGAAAATCCCCTCGGCTTTTCCTCCCAGAAGCCACCGCCACCTGCCTTTTTTTGTTCCAAGAAATTCTGGTATTTTTTTTTAATAATAAATTTAATAATAAATTAATAAATTAATTAATAAAACCACCACCACCAAATATATTTTTCAATTTCAAATATATATAGTATCATCTATTTATATTATTTAATAAATATATATATAAACACCTATACAATTATAACTCTTCCTTTACTTTTTTTTTTTTTATAAAAAAAAAACAATTTCTAAAATGTCTGCTCCACAAGGACCCCCGCCTCCTCAAGTGCCTCCTGGATGGATGGCCAAATTTGATTCTCGTTATAATACGTAAGTGGATGGATATAAATATGAAAATATGAAGCCAAAAAAAAAAAAAAAAAAAAAATTTAATAAAGACGTATTCAAAAATCAAAAAAAAAAAAAAAAAAAAAAAAAAAAAAAAATATAATATAATATAATAAAAATAAACAAATAAAATCTTGGCTGACGTTGTTGAATTTCTTAAAAAAAAAAAAACAATATATTGTTTATACAAATATTCCCCTTTTTTTTTTTTTTTTTTTTCCCTCTTTTCAATTATTTCATTCTTTTGTCAAATAAGATCTTTTTAATCTAACTAAATCTTCTTTCTAGCTATTACTACGTAAACCAACAAACAGGTGCTTCACAATGGGAAAAGCCTTCAGGCTTCCCAGGAAGTGCCGGGGACAACGAGTTCAATAGACCACCTCCCCCTCCTCCCCCTCCGCCATATGGCTCTGGTGGAGATCCAAGAGGTTATAACCAGGGAGGATACAATCAAGGTGGTTATAATCAAGGTGGTTATAATCAAGGTGGTCAAGGTGGTTATAATCAAAGTGGTCAAGGTGGTCAAGGTGGTTACAATCAAGGTGGTTACAATCAAGGTGGTCAAGGTGGTTACAATCAAAGTGGTTACAATCAAGGGTATAACCAAGGCGGTCCTAATAGAGGCTACGGCGGCGGCAATGGTGGCTATAACCAACCTCCACCATCGCAATACCAACAACAATACTACCCTCCTCAACAGCAACAGCAACCCGTTATTGTCCAGCAAGCTGCTCCGACCCAGAAAAAGAGCCGCTTTGGTGGTGCAGGTGGTATGATGCTGGGTGCAGGTGCCGGTCTTCTGGGCGGTGCCTTACTTGGCCACGCATTTTCCGATGGCAATGACACTACAGTAGTCAACAATTACTATGATGACGGTCCTGGTGATGGTGGTTTTGATGATGGTGGTTTTGATGATGGTGGATTTTAAGAAAAATGCCAGAAATGGAATTAAGTCCATAATACTACTTATTATTATTATTATTATTATTATTATTACATTTAATAGAAAAAACACAGTTTTTTTAATGTTTTCTGAATATAGCAACAAAAATATAATGCTTTATAGTTATAGTTATAGTTTTAAAATGATAATTATTATTATGATAATGAATGAATGAATAAATAAATAAATAAATAAATAAATAAAAATCTTGTCTTTACGTACATTTTGAAAATGGTATGAATCAATCGTATTTATGTAGCATTAATAATAATATACCTCCCATGAAATTAAACTGTGTTGTTTATTAATCAATTGCTTGTCATTAAATTAAACCAACGCCTTTCAATTTCTTTATAATTAATTAAATTATTAAATTATTAAATTATTAAATTATTAAATTATTAAATTATTAAATTAATTACTTAATGTAACACATTGTTATGACATTCTAGAAACTTTTTTTAAAAAATATATTTTTTTTGTTACATACAAAGTAACGTGATTATTACATGTCTATTGCTTACAAATTTTTTTTTTTTTTTTTTTTTTTTCCCACCAAATAGCCCAAAATTTCCAAAATTTCCATCTTACAAAAACTTCACCTTATACCCACATACTTAACCACCCTACCCTCTCTTTAATACCACCCCATATACCATGGCAGCTCAAACAGCCAGATACTACCTCGAACGGTCTCTTGTCGAGCTTGAAGACCTTCGTGAACAAGCTCTTTTTGACAAAAACGAGCTCAGCATCATTATGCGCCGCCGCACAGACTTTGAACACCGAATTGCGTCGCGTGCCACCAAGCCCAAGGACTTTCTCCGCTACGCAGAATATGAAATTAACGTGGAAAAACTGCGTCTTAAACGTGTTGCTCGTCTTGGAAAAGAAGCATCCGAAGAAGATCAAAACGATATCGAAGCAGAAGCTGCCGCTCAAGAAACTGGTACCATCAGAGATAAAAAACTCGGCAGAGGAATCTCCTCATACGCAGGCCCACGACGCATCTTCTTCATTTTTGACAGAGCAACTAAAAAATATCCTGCAGAAATAGCTCTCCTTTGGATCCCTTACCTTCGCTTCGCCAAATCTCAAGGTGCTATCTTTGTCCAGGCTAAAATTTATTCCCGTCTCTTACAACTTCACCCAACCTCTCCAGCCGTTTGGATCATGGCTGCAAAACACGAGCTCGACTCTCACAATGCTATCCGCTCTGCTCGCAGCATCATGCAACGCGGTCTTCGTTTCAATCCAACCAGTGCCGTAATGTGGCTCGAATACATGAAGCTCGAACTTATCTATGTCGCCCAGCTACTTGCTCGCCGTAAAGTCCTTGGCCTTGTCACAGAAGCCCAACAAAAACATGACGAATCACTCAACTCAATCGACTCCACTCAAGATAGTCTTACCTCCCAAAAAGATGTCATTGAAATTCCAGACTCCCATGACGCCGTTTTTGAACAAAAAGCTGCAAAGGAACTCAAAGCCCTTCCAGACGTCGATGTCAACATGCTTGGAGATCCCTCAACAAACCCAGCGCTACGCGGTGACATTGCTCTTCTTGTTTTTGACTCGGCTATTCCAGCTCTCGTCACTTATACCAATGACTCCAAGGAAAAACAAAAAATTCTTTTGGCCTTTGCCACCTCTGTTCTAGATCTTCTCGTCGACTTTGCAAAAACATCTCTCGATGTTCGTTATCTAGCCACTCATGTCATTAACTCTATGGCTTCCTCCTCTACCTCTTCTTCATCTTCATACCCTCTCCCGGCTATAGCCCTTTGGTCAACAATCTTGCCCATTCGTTACCTTTCCCCCACAGATCCTACATTTCCTGATAGTCTGCGTGAGGTCCTCGACGCTTATACAAAAACTTATATCCGTGGGGTATACGCCAAAGCCCCCCAGTCGGTCCGCATTGACTACGCCACTTCTCTTGCTTCATATCTTCATGCTCGGTTTCTCTTAGATCAAGAAAATGACAGAGAAACAACTACTGATGACGAGGGAGAAAACAATAAGGAATACGAAACAATTGACAATTCGAAAAGTGAGCTGGAACCTAACTTGAGACTCATTGTGAATAGTCTTGTCAAGAAGTGTGAAACTCAACAATGAGACTCAATAAGAAAAAAAATATTCATAAAATAATAGATTGGATAAAAAAATAAATTAAACAAAATATAGAAAAAAAATTAAACAAAATATAGAAAAAAAAATAGAACGTTAAAATCTAGTTTTTAAATTGAAAATTTAGCATTGTGGAATTAAGTATAAAAATGACTTCGAAACAATCCCCAAACAATAAAGAAAGTTTAAAAATAATCTTATACCACGGAAAACCTAAAAGTGTAATTTTGCGAATTTGTTCTTAGCGTTAAGATGGCTGATTTCACCCAATCTTTTCATCGCTGACAAAGCAGCTTTGGACCAAAATCGCACCCAATTCACGACGACAACAAACGTCAAGAATAGACCCTTAAACTCAATTATTAATGATGAAATTGATATATAAGATTAATATAATGATTTAAATGAAGACTAGACTATTAATTTACTTAAAAATTGAAAAAATTCACTTTTTGACTTTTGGCACCCATTTCACGACGACAAAAAACGTCAAAATGAGACCCTTAAGCCCAATTCTCAAGGATGTGAATCATAAACAAGGGTGATATGATGATTTAAACAAAGACTAGGCTATTAAATTTGTTTAAAAATTGATTAAGTTTCCATTCAATAGTCAGTCACACCCATGTCACGACAACAACAACCGTCAAAAATAGACTCTTAAACCCAATTATTAGAGATGAAAATGATTTATATGAGTAATATGATGATATAGATTACAACTAGACTATTGATTTTGTTAATATTAAAAAAAACCCATTCCAAGTGGAAACCGTGTATTTTCAATATGAAATTAATTTTCTTGTGAATGTTGTGTATAAAGGAGTTTGGACAGCCATTTCAACAACCAGAACACCAATTAAAGTGCAATTTTTTATAAATAAAAAAAGTGGTTGACGACAGAGTTAACAATGTTGATAAGAAGGTGAAACCGCTGCCAACACAACATTGACATGGCTAACACTTCTCTCTCAACACAACATTGACATGGCTGATTTTTACCAACCAACGCAACTTTAATATAGCTGATATTTACTAACCAACGCAACTTTCATAATAATGCCAAAAATCTGAATTGAAATCAAAATTAAAAGGGAATTTGAAATTTTTATTACAATTTACATATTACATAAAAACTTATAAATATTACATATTAATGATACTAATCAAAAGCATCCAATAGAAAAGAATCTTGATACTAAATCAAAGATATCCAATAAAAAAAGACTGGAACTCGAGTATTAAGTGCTTCCAAAGGGTTAGGGTTAAAAATTTTTCAACAAAGCTTCTTATTAAAGGGTTAGGGTTTGGAATTTTTTTGACGGAGCTTTTCAGCGTGGTAGCGTTAAAAGGGATTTCGACAGGGCTTCTTGGAGGCTTGCGTTTCGACGGGACTTCTAAATAGTTAGTGCTGAAATATATTAATGCTTGCTTACTGTTTTATCATCTTTGCTGTCTTTGTCGTTTTCGTCGTCTTTTTCACACTTTCACCAGTTTCTGTAAAATCGTGTCATCATTAGCGCTATGGTTATGAATGGTATATAAATTTTTTGCTGTAATTATTTCAACTGCCCTAAACCCATTTCCTAAACTCTGCCAGTTATTTAGTATATAAACATAGGCATGTATGAACACATCTACTTACTTCAATAACATCTCCCTTTTCAAATGGATCGCCACTTTTTAAAGCTGAATTTCCGATATTTATGCTGGTATCAAAATCGTAGTTATCCATAGTGGAATGTCTGTTTAATTAATAATTCATAATCATTGTCACCTATGGCCAATTAATATTAATTATAGTTTGATAGCCACTTTCATTTCTTGACAATAAAAATTTGGTTGAAAAATATGTAAGAAGAAAAGAGAATTAAAGGAGAAGAGAAAATTCCTGCCTATTTATAGTTTTTTTTCATATCATATTGAAATTACATAATTTATTATGCTAGCTGTGAAGGCTAGTGAATGCTGATGTTGTTTTTTTTTGGTAAGCTTGTTCTGTTAGGAATCCGCTAATAAAATCTTTAGACGTGAAAGACCTAATTATTCTTTTTGCAGAAATTACTGGTTTCATAAAGTGGCAGTCAATAGAAAATTAAAGTCAATGTAATTTTGTGAAAATGGAGGATTAGCTATTAAGTTGATTTACAAAACTTGGTAATTAAATATTCCGTGACTTTCAATTTTAATTCACAGGCTTCAGCACAAACGGGAATGTTAGAATGTTAGAATGCTAGAATGCTGAAGTTTGAAAAATAGACAAAACTAATATTAAGTTCATTTTAAAAATAAAATTGATCTAACAGTGAGGGGTCACCAAAAGACAGTAACTTGAACGTGTTGTGGTTCTTGAAATTCCCCTATTGGGAGGGCCATAGAACTATCTCAAGTAGATATTGAGCAAAAGAAAAATACCTCTAACATAGTGTTATTTGAGTTGTAATAAAAAAAAGTTATTTTTTTCTGATCCTGGTCTCTTCGTTTTGTATTTTTTCCATCAATATTTTTATACAATAATGGTTTTTTGAAATATTTTGAAACCATGTTTGAACTCTCTATTTTCATGTTTCCAATCCTTTCAAACAGAAAACGCTAACCAAGAGGCCAATTTATTTATTTTAATTAATTATGAGTATCACTGTTCTTTAGCTTTCGCATTTGTTTTGTACAGTCAAATTAATGATTTCTTTCAAATTATTTTTTACATGAGTCTGCTCATAGATCTAAGGAATATTTTTTGAAGTGGTATCTCAAAAGAGCCCGTATTTTAATTTAAGGGTCTACAAGCTATATATATATATATATATATATATATATATATATATAATCTTAGAGTATTTAAACAAAAAAATTACGTTCTATGCTGGCCTATTACTGATACTGTATCATTACCAAAAATTCTATCTTTTGATGATTGATTGAAGTTTAAAAAATTACATATACAAAATAGTGATAAAAGTTGTGGGGTTAAAAAAACTTTAAATGATATGGGCATATATGGGGCTTATGTATTATCTGATACCATCGATGGTATATTAAATTAGCTACAAAGTAAACCCTCCTATGGTAAAAATTGATTATCAATTTGAGGTTTTACTTGATATAGGAAGTTTCTCCTTTTAGGCCATGCTGGAGAAAATGGAATAAGAAAGCTACTTCTATTGAATATTTGAGTAAGTTAGTATTAACCATTGAATTTAAAATTTATAATTTTAATGTTTGTCTTTATTCGAGGGATATAGAATTATATAACATCATCATCTTCAGCTGACCGAAAATAAGTCCTGATACCAGCTTAAGAGGAGCTTAAGAGGAACAGGAGGGGGGAAGCAAAAAAGCCAAACCTTCCCAACTTATTTCCACTTGTCTTCATCAACGCTGTAATTGTATTTCTTAATCCCTTCAAGCATAGATACATCTTACAATCAAGCCAATTAAACTGCTTGAGAGTCGACATGTCCATTTCTGGAGATATCCGTTTTAATCCTTTGCTTTCTTCTTCAAGCAAAGGACACTTAACCAAATTGTGATGAACTGTTTCCAACTCTCCACATTTACAGCTGTAACATCCTTTTCAACTCGAAACTTAACAACTTATAATGGAAATTCTGGAGCATAATCTTTGTGGAGAAATGTTTTAATAATTTTGATATATTGGATCATAATATAAATTAAACCAAACAAGTTACCAATCTTATTCATATTGAGGTATTGGCTAATAATGATTTTTGTTCTTATTTGTTTACCAGGTTCAAATTTCAAACAACATTAATTAATTGTGACTACTTCGAGCTTTATTCAAATATTTCCAAGATAATCCAAGAAGGAAAATAAAAAAAAAGAAAACTATGTAAAGAGAAATTGTAATTAAAGAGCTCCCTATTTCTTCTTTGAAGTTAATTTTCAATTTTGACGATCAAGCCAAGTTAAGATAAATATCATTTATGATCATTGTATCAAACTTATTCCAGACAAAAACTTTTCTTAGAATTTTTTGGAAAGTATTGATCTTGTGTCAATTAAAAAAAGTTAATTGCAAATTTTCCTAGAGCAATATTTAATGAGAAATTTATTTGGAAAACAGCAAGTTGCAAAAAATAAATTCAAATTCTTAAGAAAAAAAGATCATTTAGTTAGAAGACTTGATGTTGCTGTTAGAAGTGTGCTGGACGTGGAGCTTAGTATACCATTTTGCGTAGGGGGTTTTTAAAAGAAAATCTAAGAAAAATATAAGAATAAAAACTTTTTTTTTGTAAATTTAAAGGGAAAACTAATGACAATTAAATATTTTCTATTATATTCATTTATTTTACTATATTCTCCCAAAAACACCATTTTCAAGAAGTTTGTTTTTTGTTTGGTTTTTTTTTTTGAAAAAGGTTGATCATTTTCTTAAGTTGCTTTGTCAGCAATGCGTGTTGGGATACAGAAATAACAGGTTAGGGTTTGGAAAAGAACACCAAAAATAAAGTGAAAATTTTATTTGTTTTCTTTCCTCATCCATATTATTGTTATTAAATTGGCTGTGCCCTTTTACTGCTGTTTACTCTAATCGACTATAATAGCTAACACAGAATTCCATTTAGAGCCCACGTAAATCCTAACAGATTAAGAGTCTCATTGACTACGAGTTTTAAACTTAAGAGATAGTATTTGTTTAGGTATTAGGTTAGAGTGCAAGCAAGCAGTAACTTTAAGCAAGTTTTTTTTTTTTCAGTAAAATAATTTGGTTCAACAAAAGTCATTAATTTAAGTTAAGATGGTTCAGCCAGGAATAGCTACAGCAACAAAAGGTTCAGCTGATAAAGTTGGGCAAGTTGGAAGTAAAACTGATAACTACGATTCGTCAATAAAAAATGATGGCAACAATAAAAATTTTCAAGGTGAAGAGTCAGGAAAGCGACTCCAATTTGAAGGAGTGGATAATGGTCCCTTTAGAGGAAGGTTTAGTCGTGAACTGAAAACTGGAGACTATTACTTGAACAGTGAATTAGTGGGAGTAAATGATAAAACTGGTGATGTCTTTATGAGACCAATTAGTGAAACTAAATCAGGCAGAATGATTCTTGATGAAATTCGACGACTAAAAATTGAATGCAATGGACAATTGAGATACCAAGAATTACAAAAGGTGTTGGACTGGACTGAGGAACAGGTTCCAGACACCTTTGAAAGCAAAGTAATTGAAGACTATCAGTCGACTGAGAAATTGCTGAATTTAGAATTGAGTTATTACTTTCGTGTGAAACTGAAAGGATCTGACGAGAGAGGTTTATATTGTAACAAGATTTCAATGCAAAAAAGGCTCGAAATGTTGTATGAACAATCACCAACAACAGAAACACCAGAATCTGAGATTTATAACATGGCAAAGGATTTGAGAGTACAGGTTTTGAGGGTGGATGATCCATATATCAAATGTGCTCTTGAAGTTTTTGATGCAGATATAAATAAAGGAGATGAAGCTGGTATTTTCTTAGTGTGTGAAGTTGTGCGACAAGTGTTACGTGTGAAACTAGCAAATTATGTGACTCAATTGATGTTGAAGGAATTCTCAGGATTGGTGACTGCAACAGACTCAAAGTCAATTAGAACAATCATGACTGAACTTCAGCATGCACTGGAGCAAAGTGTTGATCATGGGCTTGATTGTGCTAATAATCGTCTGATGGGTGTTGGATTTTCGTCGTTACAAGAGTATCCAGTATCTGAGTGGTTCACACCAGAGACAAGACCAACAAGAGTGTCAGCAGTTGTTGAAAACTTAAAGCGAGCAGTTCGGAACTATGAGAAGGATCATAAACAGAATACTGAGATGTTCCCAGATTCTTTAATGATGAATGTTCTCTATACTCAGCATTTGGCTGCATATCATTTATGTTTATCTATGAATGAGGTTTATCAGCCTGAGTTGAAAGAGTTTCGAGAGAAGTTTGAGAAGACAAAAAGTACTGCAACATTTTATCGAGAGTTTCATCCAAAGTACAGGAAGTTTTGTGAAGAAGGTAATTTACCAGAGAATTATCCAAACCCATATATTGCGTTTCTCAAGGAACTGACTAAGATTTTTGAAAAGAAAGAAAGTGAGGGTTTTGAAGCCCTCAGAGATTATCCATCTCCTTACTATGATGTGCCTGATACTGTGAGTGCTGGCATTGTAGTGAGGAATGATGCTCAAGTGCGCCAGGATTCAACTAATGGGGAATATGTGGTGTGCAAGAAGCTACACGTTGGTAGTTCATTGCCAGTGGGCCCAAGAGCATTAATGGTTGAAAAGCGACCAGCTGCAGAAGTTCGACCAAAGTCCGAAAATGAGTCAACAAAGAAGGTAAACAATATTCAGTATGTCTCAGCTGTCTTCCAAGTGAAGATAGATGAGCAGAAGTCAGAAAAGAAACCGTTCAGTGAAGTGTATGGTGATTTACCAACTGATATGGCCAAGTGGACTGAAGAGCAGATGTTTGATGGTTTTGAAAAATTACTTGATGCGTTTCCAGTGGATAAGTTTCTTATGCCATTGTTTAAACCTCAAGTAGATTTCCTGGTTAGAATGCATGGCAAAGATTATGCTGAGATTGATGAAGTACGCAAGATACTGAAGAGAGGAGAATTTACTGTTACTAGTAGGGCAGGGAGTTGTTGGAATATATGTCATGGTACTATCGTGTATTTCAACATTATCCCATAATATTTTTTTTTTCCCAATTACACTCTTTACATTGTTACATTATTCACTAGCAACTACTAGCCCATTACCATTGGAGTTACAATAATTGTTACAATCAAGACTCCCTATTGCTAAAGAAAATTTTCAAGATGCTCTTTTAAATTTTCTTCATTACAGAAACCTTTCTTGTTTTCTTTCTTTTCTTTTTCTCGCTACTCTAAATTTACGCAAAACTGTTTTTATTAAATACTCTTTCAGCTTTCAGCTTATCAATCGTATTTACTTATTAACTCTTGCTTTTAGGTATGATAGCGAACTTTTATTATTTTATTATTTTATTATTTTTATCATTTATATAATTCTTATATATACTCTAAATTTACGCAAAACTGTTTTTATTAAATACTCTTTCAGCTTTCAGCTTATCAATCGTATTTACTTATTAACTCTTGCTTTTAGGTATGATAGCGAACTTTTATTATTTTATTATTTTATTATTTTTATCATTTATATAATTCTTATATATACTCTAAATTTACGCAAAACTGTTTTTATTAAATACTCTTTCAGCTTTCAGCTTATCAATCGTATTTACTTATTAACTCTTGCTTTTAGTCTTCTCCGCTATGTCTAATCACGGAAACACTACAGGAGTCAATGAAGGACCCTCATCCTTCGAGTCAGCCAGCACTGGAAGTTCTGTTGCCCACTCAACATCTGAGACCCATTCAAAGAACAACGCCAGCTCTTATGAGACATTCGCCGATCTCCCTGTTCATCGTCAAATTGATCTCGCTGACCGTTCTGGATTTACCGTTAGACAATTAACCATTGCCAACATACCAGTTTGTTCCGAAGGATGTGAAGCTGAATTAAAAGTCTTAGCAGACTTGACAGCTTACATTAGAAACTCAAACTTCAAAGCTAGTCCTCCCCCATCTCAAAAGGCGCGGCTTTGCAAAATAAAATTTTCTCCACCACCACGAAATCTAAAAATTTTTCTTCGGCTACTAATTTATCACAGAAAGTAGTCTCAGAAAATTCGACTTCAAACTCCTCACCAAGATTGGAAAATGAAGCCTCAAATGGTTCTCCCACAACACCCTCTACCTCTGCTTCTTTGTCCTCGGAATCATCTGCACATTCGGAGCCAGTGGTTACATCACCAACCTCCTCTGCTGTGACGTCTCCCACATTAGAAAGTTCTTCTTCTCGTCGTGATCACCAAACCACTCCTCCCTCGTCATCGAATCGCATGCTGTCGATAGCACAACGCAATATCTTACGCAGTGCAGCTGAGGCCATCTCAAGAATCGACTTAGGAGCTTTGAGAAATCTGCGAAAAAGAAATCGCTCTACAAGCCCAACCACTACAGCATCGGGCTTACTTTGGGGCTCTCGCTCTTCCGACCGGCACAGTGACAAACTGAAACTCTCGAACTCTGAGTCAGCTTTGGACTCGGAATCTAGGTCACTGCTGCATGGTCTGCCAGCTCGTGAGGGTTCAACACTGAGAGCCCCACACGGCCACCTCCAGGGTACACCGAATCTTAGATTCAACCCCACTCCCGATGCGGTTCCCTTTCTTTCTCACACTCACTCGGCAACACACAATGTCCCTGCTACGTCAGCATCAGTAGATGAGGACTCAGTCGTTAGCACTGACTCGCAGTCCCACTCTCCCGCCTCCACAACCAGAAGCTGATGTTGAGGCTACAAGCGATGAAATCTCAATTGCAGCACCCTACAATTCTGACTCTCAGGGCTCATCAGAACACTTAGCTGACGGCATTGACTTCTTACATGAAACTTTTGTTTCTTCGCCTGCTGATGATGAAATTATTTTTGTTGATGAATCGGCAAGCCCATCAGGAGATCCGTCTGCCGGGGCTGTCGACGATGTCATTGGCATTGGCTGCATCTACTCGAACTCTGAAGAACCAACTGTGAAAGCCCGCATGGCGTCTGGAAGACTTGACACACTCAGCGCTATTAACATTAAGCTTCCAATTTTGAGGAATGACATCAAAGTGTTAGAATCTAGCAAACCAGGTCTCTGCTTTACGGCTCCTGATGTGGAGAATGTTAGAGCTCTTATCAGCGACAGAGATTGGGCAGATCTTAAGGACCGTCCTGCCTTCATTCGATTTCCGAATGTGGGAGTGGCGCTGCTCGACCCTGGCAAGAAGCTAAAAAGGGACCCACGGTCACTTGCGGAAGCCAACAACAGAGAAGATAAGCGCTTCTGGTTCGATGCGGCCTATTCGGAATTTGCTGCCATTGATGGCAATCATGTATACCAAGTTGTGCCCCTCCCGGCGGGTCGCAAAGCACTTGGCACCAAATGGGTGCTGAAGAAGAAACTCAACACGGATGGTTCAATTGACAAGTACAAGGCTCGTCTTGTTGTTCAGGGGTTTCGTCAAAAGTTTGGTGTTGACTATGTTGACACCTTTGCACCGGTAATGAGATTCAGCACTGTTCGTCTCATTTTCGCCCTGAGTGCGGCGAAGTGTTGGAATATATGTCATGGTACTATCGTGTATTTCAACATTATCCCATAATATTTTTTTTTTCCCAATTACACTCTCTACATTGTTACATTATTCACTAGCAACTACTAGCCCATTACCATTGGAGTTACAATAATTGTTACAATCAAGACTCCCTATTGCTAAAGAAAATTTTCAAGATGCTCTTTTAAATTTTCTTCATTACAGAAACCTTTCTTGTTTTCTTTCTCTTCTTTTTCTCGCTACTCTAAATTTACGCAAAACTGTTTTTATTAAATACTCTTTCAGCTTTCAGCTTATCAATCGTATTTACTTATTAACTCTTGCTTTTAGGTATGATAGCGAACTTTTATTATTTTATTATTTTATTATTTTATTATTTTATTATTTTATTATTTTATTATTTTTATCATTTTATATAATTCTTATATATACTCTAAATTTACGCAAAACTGTTTTTATTAAATACTCTTTCAGCTTTCAGCTTATCAATCGTATTTACTTATTAACTCTTGCTTTTAGTCTTCTCCGCTATGTCTAATCACGGAAACACTACAGGAGTCAATGAAGGACCCTCATCCTTCGAGTCAGCCAGCACTGGAAGTTCTGTTGCCCACTCAACATCTGAGACCCATTCAAAGAACAACGCCAGCTCTTATGAGACATTCGCCGATCTCCCTGTTCATCGTCAAATTGATCTCGCTGACCGTTCTGGATTTACCGTTAGACAATTAACCATTGCCAACATACCAGTTTGTTCCGAAGGATGTGAAGCTGAATTAAAAGTCTTAGCAGACTTGACAGCTTACATTAGAAACTCAAACTTCAAAGCTAGTCCTCCCCCATCTCAAAAGGTTATGAGCTCCTTTGACGCTCCTCAAGCGCCAAATTTCAAACAATTTCTCTACAAAAGTGAATTGGATTTTTGGATATACGGTCTTATTGGGCAAATTAACAGCTGCGGCCGGAGTTTTTGGAACAACTATATCTATAAGCCAATTGTTGGCCATACTGCCCTTCAGCTTGGTTACGGTATCAGGTTTGAGAGGGCCCTTGATGAACTACTCAAGGCTTACATTTTAAAAACCACGCCTGCAGCTAACCTGGCTGCAGCTGAACAGGCCCGGTGGGACACGTCGCCCGAGTTTCTAAAAACTCCACCTATGGATTCGGCGTCTGTGCGGGAAGAAGCCATGGGGGTCCTATTTGAACCTGGAAAAAGAATGGCTCGTATAGATCCTGAAATCCTAGAGCCCGCCGACCTGGGGCGAGTGCTCTCATTTTACCAACGTCTTAATCATATTGGTTTGCGCATATCCCCAAGCCCTGAGCTTAACATTGTATTTGCGATGACGCAAGCTATCTCAGTAGGAGTTCCAGGTCCTAGTTATTTCGCCGGGCTTACCAGCAGTGAAATTGAAACCAAAATACAAGCTACTGTTACTGAAGCTTCCAAGTGGGCCTCTGTAGTGGAGCAATATTTCTTTAACAACCCGGATGGCACCTTTCACCGTGACCTTATATTAGCAGTGCTGAATAACAACAAGGTTTCAGCAGCTGCTCGCGAAGATCCTCAGAGTCATCTCTGGGGGATTACCAAGTTTGTCGACATTTTCAAGTCAAGATCTGGAGGATGGAGCCCCTGTGATTCAGTTGAAATCCCAGCGCTAGTTGAAGCAACTTCTGCAGCCTTCGTAAAAGGTCGAAGAATTATTGACGGTTCGACAAAAGTGGTGCCAAAGCAGGAACCCAAGCAAGAACCCAAGCAGGAATCCAAGCAGGAATCTTCGAAGAAAGCTGGCCACTCTGATACCAAGCATGGAAAAGGGGAAGCAGTGGTCCAAGGGGTCCGGTGGCAACAAGAGGCGCAACAATGAAGACAAGCAAGCTAGAAAGTCGAACTCTGATGGTCAAAACAGAGTTGCTGCCTTGAAAGCTACCGAATACCTTGAGGTGGCTCGCGACGATGTTGAAACTCTTTGCTCTGTTGCTCGGGCTATCCAAGACATATTTGATAATGACGGCGGAAGCAGTGATTATTCGCCAGTTGCTTTTCTTCCACCTGCCAACCAAATCGCCTCTGTGGGTGAAACAAATCTTCCAAATGTTCTCGATTCTGAAATGCTACTGGTCACCTTATCTCAGACAACAGCTACTTTGTGTCGTATGAGAAATACAGCAGCCCCAAAACTATCAGCTCCTATGGTGGTTCCGACATCGTGTTAGAAGGGGAAGGTAAAATTGCTGTTGTATTAAAAGGTGACGGTGGCACCAATATTTGCCATATTGCTGACGCACTTTATTTTCCTGCTGGGTCTAGCAATTTGTTTTCTGATTCTGTCTGGCGCACGCACGATGTTTCTTTTCATACGGTCCCAAGTGGGGATTGTCTGGCCTATTTTGGTGAGGAAAAGGTTGGTAGGGTTGGCGGTGCCAGAGATGCCAAGTCTCACATTTGTGCCAACATTGTTCCGGTAAAGTTTACTAGGAATATCGTACCTCCAACTGGATCTTTCAAGTTCTCAGGAAATTCAATTGACTGGGATCAGATTTGCAGACAAGGACCAGAAGCTATGAGGAAGGTTGATAAATCAGCCTTCGCGGTTGGAAAGGGACTACCTGTCCTTTCACAGTCTCTCAAATTTATTGCAAAGGAGGCCGTGTTGAATTCGCAGGCACTTGACTGTCATGTTCGTTTTGCTCATTGCTCTTTGACTTCGGTGAAACATTTAGCCAAGCTTGCTGATCCTCCCTTTGAGGTGACCAAGCGTGACGAAGAATTGATCAAGGACTGTGTCATATGTGGCACGTCAAGAAGCATTAAGAGGTTCACTTCTCCGGATAAGCATATAGCTTCTGAATCCACGGCTCCGTTAGCCCAGATTCATGCTGATCTCGTCGGTCCCATAGGTCCTGCCTCTTCAGGGGCCAGGTACATGCTGAATATCATTGATGCATTTTCTGGTTACATCTATGCTTTTGCTCTGGAATCTAAGGATGAAGCTCCTGGGAAACTTATCCAGTTCTTTAAGCAGTTTGTGCCCAAAGCTGCTCGCCGTGCTGTTGACGGCAAGGCCACCAAGCTTATTACTGACAATGGTGGTGAATTTATCTCTGGGACACTTGGAAAATTTTTAGCAGACTGGGGCGTCATTCATATTTTAACTGCTCCTGATGAACACCAACAAAATGGGAAAATTGAGCGTGCCCACCGCACACTGCGTGAGATATCTACTAGAGCCTTGATGCAGTCGACACTCTGGGCCAATATCTACTGGGACTCTGCCTGGCTCTACGCTGTGCAGGTATATAATTTCTCCATAGTTAATAAAGCCGGTATCTCACCTTATGAAGCCTTTACGGGCAGAAAACCACCTATAGCACTAGTGCACACATTTGGCTGCCTAGTTTTTGTCATTAAATCTGAGTCTCAGAAACTCAAAGGGACCCTTCAGCCTCGGGGCGAGCCTGCTCTGTATTTGGGTCCCGACCCGTTAAATCCTAAGAATTTTCTATGCATTACGAGGAACAAGCGCATTCGGCGCTGTGTACACGGCAACTTTCGTGACCATGTCTTGCCTGGCGTTAAATTTTTTGGCGAAAAGCCAATTTACGAGGGTGACATTCTCATTGACTACAGTGAGGTTGGAAATCGTGACCCTGACTACAGTGACTCTTCCACTGATGAATCAGAAAGTGAAGATGAATCTGACTCTGACGACTACTCTCCCACTTCACTCTCTGGTGGTGGTGGTGGTGGTAACTTTGGCTGGACTTATGTGGGCTCTGAGGGAAGGAGCCACAGATCCAGCAGATTGGAGGACCAGGATTCTACTTCTACACCACCGACACCTATAACTGAAAACTCTTTTCAACCGTTGGAAGATGATGATGTGGAGCTGGTTGCAGATGAATCAATTAGTGTTGGTGACGACAAAGATACACTTCAGTCTGAGGACCATATATTGCTCGAAGATTCTGCTGTTGATGATGCTGATTTGAGATCGGTGAACTCCAACGTAGCTGGTCGCCCTGGTTCCGAAGATACTAACGAAGATTTTTCTCACGAAAATTCATTTTCTGAACATATGGTAAAGCTCCAGAAAGCCTTTTGCTCCAGGAACTCAGTCGCCCTCAGTGGTGGCTCATCAAACAAGTCCGGTGACTCTTCCCAAACAACTACACATTTTGGATGAGGATGACAGTGTGGATCTTGCGCTGTCTGGAACTGCTGAACTTACCCGCGAGGCTTCAGCTGTTGAAACCGCTAGCCAATCTGGTGATGACAATCAGGATGCGGTTGACTCAGAAACCAATGATGAAGACATGGATGGGTCTGTGGAACATATACTGGGTTTCGACGAATTGGAAGACTCATCAGATTCTGAATTTTCGTCTAGCGACGTTGTCATGGATTCCTCTACTAAGTTGGAGGAAGCTCCTGCGAGAGATGTCGGGGTGCCGCAAGGTTTAGGTGACACTCAAGGTACTGCTACAAGCACAAATAATCCTGCCAGCAATCAACTGGTTTTGGCGGCGGCGGAACTTGTACGGGCCACCACCGAGCTAGTAGAAACTACGACGTCTGCAAATCGGTCTGCCAGAATGGCTGAGGCGGGCGGTAGTAGGAAGAGGCATCTAAATTTAGCGAGATTAAAATCTGCGCTGGAACGTGCTGGTCAGCCAGAAAATCGTCGTTTACATGCCGGTAGGCGGAGCCAAGTGGCTGGCTCCTCAGGTATACGGCAGGAGCTACCGGAGCTACCCCCAGCGCCCTCCTCTGAGAGGCTGTTGCTGGGAGCTGGTGGTTCTGATACTGTTACTACTGCTGCATCTGGAAGTGGCAGTGAACTGAGAGACACTGCTGAGATTGATCGCCCACGCTTACCGCCTGCACCATCTACTCAGAGGCTCCTGCTAGAGTATGGGCGAGCAGGGATGCTACAAGCTTTGGGGACAATACAAGCGACGTGCGGCACAGCTCCGTGCAACAAAATCGACATATGCCACTTCCGGCTCCACCCTCGAGACGGTTGTTGTTGGCAGCTCTCTTCCGTCTTCTTCTGAACATGATTCGCAAACTGCTGGGCAAGTAGTTGTTCGACAAACAAGCCAACACTCAGCTCCGGCAGAAGCCCAACAGCCTCTTGCTAATACTGGAAGAATTACTAGGTCTGCTGCGGGTACTGCGGGTGCTGCGGGTGCTGCGGGTGCTGCGAGAGTGCCTGCTCCGTCGTCCAGACACCGTCATCGAGAAGCCTCTCGGGACACAGTTGTTGTTAACAAAAGATTAGCTGATTTGATTGAGCAAAATGGCTATTATGTTCCTAACAGTGCACTTCAGCGGCTGGCGCGAAAAGAAAATTCTTCATTAATTCTAAATCGCACAAATCTAATTACCCGGCCTACTGATAACCTTCCACTAGTAAGTGGCGCGGCTTTGCAAAATAAAATTTTCTCCACCACCACGAAATCTAAAAATTTTTCTTCGGCTACTAATTTATCACAGAAAGTAGTCTCAGAAAATTCGACTTCAAACTCCTCACCAAGATTGGAAAATGAAGCCTCAAATGGTTCTCCCACAACACCCTCTACCTCTGCTTCTTTGTCCTCGGAATCATCTGCAATTTCGGAGCCAGTGGTTACATCACCAACCTCCTCTGCTGTGACGTCTCCCACATTAGAAAGTTCTTCTTCTCGTCGTGATCACCAAACCACTCCTCCCTCGTCATCGAATCGCATGCTGTCGATAGCACAACGCAATATCTTACGCAGTGCAGCTGAGGCCATCTCAAGAATCGACTTAGGAGCTTTGAGAAATCTGCGAAAAGAAATCGCTCTACAAGCCCAACCACTACAGCATCGGGCTTACTTTGGGGCTCTCGCTCTTCCGACCGGCACAGTGACAAACTGAAACTCTCGAACTCTGAGTCAGCTTTGGACTCGGAATCTAGGTCACTGCTGCATGGTCTGCCAGCTCGTGAGGGTTCAACACTGAGAGCCCCACACGGCCACCTCCAGGGTACACCGAATCTTAGATTCAACCCCACTCCCGATGCGGTTCCCTTTCTTTCTCACACTCACTCGGCAACACACAATGTCCCTGCTACGTCAGCATCAGTAGATGAGGACTCAGTCGTTAGCACTGACTCGCAGTCCCACTCTCCCGCCTCCACAACCGAAGCTGATGTTGAGGCTACAAGCGATGAAATCTCAATTGCAGCACCCTACAATTCTGACTCTCAGGGCTCATCAGAACACTTAGCTGACGGCATTGACTTCTTACATGAAACTTTTGTTTCTTCGCCTGCTGATGATGAAATTATTTTTGTTGATGAATCGGCAAGCCCATCAGGAGATCCGTCTGCCGGGGCTGTCGACGATGTCATTGGCATTGGCTGCATCTACTCGAACTCCTGAAGAACCAACTGTGAAAGCCCGCATGGCGTCTGGAAGACTTGACACACTCAGCGCTATTAACATTAAGCTTCCAATTTTGAGGAATGACATCAAAGTGTTAGAATCTAGCAAACCAGGTCTCTGCTTTACGGCTCCTGATGTGGAGAATGTTAGAGCTCTTATCAGCGACAGAGATTGGGCAGATCTTAAGGACCGTCCTGCCTTCATTCGATTTCCGAATGTGGGGTGGCGCTGCTCGACCCTGGCAAGAAGCTAAAAGGGACCCACGGTCACTTGCGGAAAGCCAACAACAGAGAAGATAAGCGCTTCTGGTTCGATGCGGCCTATTCGGAATTTGCTGCCATTGATGGCAATCATGTATACCAAGTTGTGCCCCCCGGCGGGTCGCAAAGCACTTGGCACCAAATGGGTGCTGAAGAAGAAACTCAACACGGATGGTTCAATTGGACAAGTACAAGGCTCGTCTTGTTGTTCAGGGGTTTTCGTCAAAGTTTGGTGTTGACTATGTTGACACCTTTGCACCGGTAATGAGATTCAGCACTGTTCGTCTCATTTTCGCCCTGAGTGCGGCGAAGTGTTGGAATATATGTCATGGTACTATCGTGTATTTTTCAACATTATCCCATAATATTTTTTTTCCCAATTACACTCTCTACATTGTTACATTATTCACTAGCAACTACTAGCCCATTACCATTGGAGTTACAATAATTGTTACAATCAAGACTCCCCTATTGCTAAAGAAAATTTTCAAGATGCTCTTTTAAATTTTCTTCATTACAGAAACCTTTCTTGTTTTTCTTTCTCTTCTTTTCTCGCTGCTCTAAATTTACGCAAAACTGTTTTTATTAAATACTCTTTCAGCTTTCAGCTTATCAATCGTATTTACTTATTAACTCTTGCTTTTTAGGTATGATAGCGAACTTTATTATTTTATTATTTTATTATTTTATTATTTTATTATTTTATTATTTTATTATTTTTATCATTTTATATAATTCTTATATATACTCTAAATTTACGCAAAACTGTTTTATTAAATACTCTTTCAGCTTTCAGCTTATCAATCGTATTTACTTATTAACTCTTGCTTTTAGTCTTCTCCGCTATGTCTAATCACGGAAACACTACAGGAGTCAATGAAGGACCCTCATCCTTCGAGTCAGCCAGCACTGGAAGTTCTGTTGCCCACTCAACATCTGAGACCCATTCAAAGAACAACGCCAGCTCTTATGAGACATTCGCCCGATCTCCTGTTCATCGTCAAATTGATCTCGCTGACCGTTCTGATTTACCGTTAGACAATTAACCATTGCCAACATACCAGTTTGTTCCGAAGGATGAAGCTGAATTAAAAGTCTTAGCAGACTTGACAGCTTACATTAGAAACTCAAACTTCAAAGCTAGTCCTCCCCATCTCAAAGGTTATGAGCTCCTTTGACGCTCCTCAAGCGCCAAATTTCAAACAATTTCTCTACAAAAGTGAATTGGATTTTTGGATATACGGTCTTATTGGGCAAATTAACAGCTGCGGCCGGAGTTTTTGGAACAACTATATCTATAAGCCAATTGTTGGCCATACTGCCCTTCAGCTTGGTTACGGGTATCAGGTTTGAGAGGGCCCTTGATGAACTACTCAAGGCTTACATTTTAAAACCACGCCTGCAGCTAACCTGGCTGCAGCTGAACAGGCCCGGTGGGACACGTCGCCCGAGTTTCTAAAAACTCCACCTATGGATTCGGCGTCTGTGCGGGAAGAAGCCATGGGGGTCCTATTTGAACCTGGAAAAAGAATGGCTCGTATAGATCCTGAAATCCTAGAGCCCGCCGACCTGGGGCGAGTGCTCTCATTTTACCAACGTCTTAATCATATTGGTTTGCGCATATCCCTAAGCCCTGAGCTTAACATTGTATTTGCGATGACGCAAGCTATCTCAGTAGGGGAGTTCCAGGTCCCTAGTTATTTCGCCGGGCTTTACCAGCAGTGAAATTGAAACCAAAATACAAGCTACTGTTACTGGAAGCTTCCAAGTGGGCCTCTGTGGTGGAGCAATATTTCTTTAACAACCCGGATGGCACCTTTCACCGTGACCTTATATTAGCAGTGCTGAATAACAACAAGGTTTCAGCAGCTGCTCGCGAAGATCCTCAGAGTCATCTCTGGGGATTACCAAGTTTGTCGACATTTTCAAATCAAGATCTGGAGGATGGAGCCTGTGATTCAGTTGAAATCCCAGCGCTAGTTGAAGCAACTTCTGCAGCCTTCGTAAAAGGTCGAAGAATTATTGACGGTTCGACAAAGTGGTGCCAAAGCAGGAACCCAAGCAAGAACCAAGCAGGAATCCAAGCAGGAATCTTCGAAGAAAGCTGGCCACTCTCTGATACCAAGCATGGAAAAGGGAAGCAGTGGTCCAAGGGGTCCGGTGGCAACAAGAGGCGCAACAATGAAGACAAGCAAGCTAGAAAGTCGAACTCTGATGGTCAAAACAGAGTTGCTGCCTTGAAAGCTACCGAATACCTTGAGGTGGCTCGCGACGATGTTGAAACTTTTGCTCTGTTGCTCGGGCTATCAAGACATATTTGATAATGACGGCGGAAGCAGTGATTATTCGCCAGTTGCTTTTCTTCCACCTGCCAACCAAATCGCCTCTGTGGGTGAAACAAATCTTCCAAATGTTCTCGATTCTGAAATGCTACTGGTCACCTTATCTCAGACAACAGCTACTTTGTGTCGTATGAGAAATACAGCAGCCCCAAAACTATCAGCCCTATGGTGGTTCCGACATCGTGTTAGAAGGGAAGGTAAAATTGCTGTTGTATTAAAGGTGACGGTGGCACCAATATTTGCCATATTGCTGACGCACTTATTTTCCCGCTGGGTCTAGCAATTTGTTTTCTGATTCTGTCTGGCGCACGCACGATGTTTCTTTTCATACGGTCCCAAGTGGGGATTGTCTGGCCTATTTTGGTGAGGAAAAGGTTGGTAGGGTTGGCGGTGCCAGAGATGCCAAGTCTCACATTTGTGCCAACATTGTTCCGGTAAAGTTTACTAGGAATATCGTACCTCCAACTGGATCTTTCAAGTTCTCAGGAAATTCAATTGACTGGGATCAGATTTGCAGACAAGGACCAGAAGCTATGAGGAAGGTTGATAAATCAGCCTTCGCGGTTGGAAAGGGACTACCTGTCCTTTCACAGTCTCTCAAATTTATTGCAAAGGAGGCCGTGTTGAATTCGCAGGCACTTGACTGTCATGTTCGTTTTGCTCATTGCTCTTTGACTTCGGTGAAACATTTAGCCAAGCTTGCTGATCCTCCCTTTGAGGTGACCAAGCGTGACGAAGAATTGATCAAGGACTGTGTCATATGTGGCACGTCAAGAAGCATTAAGAGGTTCACTTCTCCGGATAAGATATAGCTTCTGAATCCACGGCTCCGTTAGCCCAGATTCATGCTGATCTCGTCGGTCCCATAGGTCCTGCCTCTTCAGGGGCCAGGTACATGCTGAATATCATTGATGCATTTTCTGGTTACATCTATGCTTTTGCTCTGGAATCTAAGGATGAAGCTCTGGGAAACTTATCCAGTTCTTTAAAAGCAGTTTGTGCCCAAACTGCCTCGCCGTGCTGTTGACGGCAAGGCCACCAAACTTATTACTGACAATGGTGGTGAATTTATCTCTGGGACACTTGGAAAATTTTTAGCAGACTGGGGCGTCATTCATATTTTAACTGCTCCCGATGAACACCAACAAAATGGGAAAATTGAGCGTGCCCCCGCACCGGGTGAGATATCTCTAGAGCCTTGATGCAGTCGAATTGGGCCAATATCTACTGGGATCTGCCTGGCTCTACGCTGTGCAGGTATATAATTTCTCCATAGTTAATAAAGCCGGTATCTCACCTTATGAAACCTTTACGGGCAGAAAACCACCTATAGCACTAGTGCACACATTTGCTGCCTAGTTTTTCATTAAATCTGAGTCTCGAAACTCAAGGGACCCCTTCAGCCTCGGGGCGAGCCTGCTCTGTATTTGGGTCCCGACCCGTTAAATCCTAAGAATTTTCTACATTGAGGAACAAGCGCATTCGGCGCTTTTGTACACGGCAACTTTCGTGACCATGTCTTGCCTGGCGTTAAATTTTTGGCGAAAAGCCAATTTACGGGGGTGACATTTCATTGACTACAGTGAGGTTGGAAATCGTGACCCTGACTAATGACTCTTCCACTGATGAATCAGAAAGTGAAGATGAATCTGACTCTGACGATACTCTCCCACTTCACCTCTGGTGGTGGTGGTGGTGGTAACTTGGCTGGACTTATGTGGGCTCTGGGGGAAGGAGCCACAGATCCAGCAGATTGGAGGACCAGGATTCTACTTCTACACCCCCGGGCACCTATAACTGAAAACTTTTCAACCGTTGGAAGATGATGATGTGGAGCTGGTTGCAGATGAACAATAGTGTTGGTGACGACAAAGAACACTTCAGTCTGGGGGACCATATATTGCTCGAAGTTTCTGCTGTATGATGCTGATTTGAGATCGGTGAACTCAACGTAGCTGGTCGCCCGGGTTTCCCGAAGATACTAACGAAGATTTTTCTCACGAAAATTCATTTTCTGAACATAGGTAAATCCAGAAAGCCTTTGCCCCGGGAAACCCTCAGTCGCCCCAGTGGTGGCTCATCAAACAAGCCCGGTGACTCTTCCCAAACAACTACACATTTTGGATGAGGATGACAGTGTGGATCTTGCGCTGTCTGGAACTGCTGAACTTACCCGCGAGGCTTCAGCTGTTGAAACCGCTAGCCAATCTGGTGATGACAATCAGGATGCGGTTGACTCGAAACCAATGATGAAGACATGGATGGGTCTGGAACATATACTGGGTTTCGACGAATTGGAAGACTCATCAGATTCTGAATTTTCGCCCAGCGACGTTGTCATGGATTCCTCTACCAAGTTGGAGGAAGCTCCTGCGAGATGTCGGGGTGCCCGCAAAGGTTTAGTGACACTCAAGGTACTGCCAAGGGGCACAAATAATCCTGCCAACAATCAACTGGCTTTGGCGGCGGCGGAACTTGTACGGGCCACCACCGAGCTAGTAGAAACTACGACGTCTGCAAAATCGGTCTGCCAGAATGGCTGAGGCGGGCGGTAGTAGGAAGAGGCATCTAAATTTAGCGAGATTAAAATCTGCGCTGGAACGTGCTGGTCAGCCAGAAAAATCGTCGTTTACATGCCGGTAGGCGGAGCCAAGTGGCTGGCTCCTCAGGTATACGGCAGGAGCTACCGAGGCCTCCCCAGCGCCCTCCTCTGAGAGGCTGTTGCTGGGAGCTGGTGGTTCTGATACTCGTTACTACTGCTGCATCTGGAAGTGGCAGTGAACTGAGAGACACTGCTGAGATTGATCGCCCACGCTTACCGCCTGCACCATCTACTCAGAGGCTCCTGCTAGAGTATGGGCGAGCAGGGGATGCTACAAGCTTTGGGGACAATACAAGCGACGTGCGGCACAGCTCCGTGCAACAAAATCGACATATGCCACTTCCGGCTCCACCCTCGAGACGGTTGTTGTTGGCAGCTCCTCTTCCGTCTTCTTCTGAACATGATTCGCAAACTGCTGGGCAAGTAGTTGTTCGACAAACAAGCCAACACTCAGCCCGGCAGAAGCCCAACAGCCTCTTGCTAATACTGGAAGAATTACTAGGTCTGCTGCGGGTACTGCGGGTGCTGGGTGCTGCCCGGGTGCTGCGGGAGAGTGCCTGCTCCGTCGTCCAGACACCGTCATCGAGAAGCCTCTCAGGACACAGTTGTTGTTAACAAAAGATTAGCTGATTTGATTGAGCAAAATGGCTATTATGTTCCTAACAGTGCACTTCAGCGGCTGGCGCGAAAAGAAAATTCTTCATTAATTCTAAATCGCACAAATCTAATTACCCGGCCTACTGATAACCTTCCACTAGTAAGTGGCGCGGCTTTGCAAAATAAAATTTTCTCACCACCACGAAATCTAAAAATTTTTCTTCGGCTACTAATTTATCACAGAAAGTAGTCTCAGAAAATTCGACTTCAAACTCCTCACCAAGATTGGAAAATGAAGCCTCAAATGGTTCTCCCACAACACCCTCTACCTCTGCTTCTTTGTCCTCGGAATCATCTGCACATTCGAGCCAGTGGTTACATCACCAACCTCCTCTGCTGTGACGTCTCCCACATTAGAAAGTTCTTCTTCTCGTCGTGATCACCAAACCACTCCTCCCTCGTCATCGAATCGCATGCTGTCGATAGCACAACGCAATATCTTACGCAGTGCAGCTGAGGCCATCTCAAGAATCGACTTAGAGCTTTGAGAAATCTGCGAAAAGAAATCGCTCTACAAGCCCAACCACTACAGCATCGGGCTTACTTTGGGGCTCTCGCTCTTCCGACCGGCACAGTGACAAACTGAAACCTCGAACTCTGAGTCAGCTTTGGACTCGGAATCTAGGTCACTGCTGCATGGTCTGCCAGCTCGTGAGGGTTCAACACTGAGAGCCCCACACGGCCACCTCCAGGGTACACCGAATCTTAGATTCAACCCCACCCTGATGGTTCCCTTTCTTTCTCACACTCACTCGGCAACACAAATGTCCCTGCTACGTCAGCATCAGTAGATGAGGACTCAGTCGTTAGCACTGACTCGCAGTCCCACTCTCCCGCCTCCACAACCGAAGCTGATGTTGAGGCTACAAGCGATGAAATCTCAATTGCAGCACCCTACAATTCTGACTCTCAGGGCTCATCAGAACACTTAGCTGACGGCATTGACTTCTTTACATGAAACTTTTGTTTCTTCGCCTGCTGATGATGAAATTATTTTGTTGATGAATCGGCAAGCCCATCAGGAGATCCGTCTGCCGGGGCTGTCGACGATGTCATTGGCATTGGCTGCATCTACTCGAACTCTGAAGAACCAACTGTGAAAGCTCCGCATGGCGTCTGGAAGACTTGACACACTCAGCGCTATTAACATTAAGCTTCCAATTTTGAGGAATGACATCAAAGTGTTAGAATCTAGCAAACCAGGTCTCTGCTTTACGGCTCCTGATGTGGAGAATGTTAGAGCTCTTATCAGCGACAGAGATTGGGCAGATCTTAAGGACTGTCCTGCCTTCATTCGATTTCCGAATGTGGGAGTGGCGCTGCTCGACCCCGGCAAGAAGCTAAAAGGGACCCACGGTCACTTGCGGAAGCCAACAACAGAGAAGATAAGCGCTTCTGGTTCGATGCGGCCTATTCGGAATTTGCTGCCATTGATGGCAATCATGTATACCAAGTTGTGCTCCTCCCGGCGGGTCGCAAAGCACTTGGCACCAAATGGGTGCTGAAGAAGAAACTCAACACGGATGGTTCAATTGACAAGTACAAGGCTCGTGTCTTGTTGTTCAGGGGTTTCGTCAAAAGTTTGGTGTTGACTATGTTGACACCTTTGCACCGGTAATGAGATTCAGCACTGTTCGTCTCCATTTTCGCCCTGAGTGCGGCGAAGTGTTGGAATATATGTCATGGTACTATCGTGTATTTCAACATTATCCCATAATATTTTTTTTTTTCCCAATTACACTCTCTACATTGTTACATTATTCACTAGCAACTACTAGCCCATTACCATTGAGTTAATAATTGTTACAATCAAGACTCCCTATTGCTAAAGAAAATTTTCAAGATGCTCTTTTAAATTTTCTTCATTACAGAAACCTTCTTGTTTTCTTTTCTTTTTTCTCGCTACTCTAAATTTACGCAAAACTGTTTTATTAAATACTCTTTCAGCTTTCAGCTTATCAATCGTATTTACTTATTAACTCTTGCTTTTTAGGTATGATAGCGAACTTTTATTATTTTATTATTTTATTATTTTATTATTTTATTATTTTATTATTTTATTATTTTTATCATTTTATATAATTCTTATATATACTCTAAATTTACGCAAAACTGTTTTATTAAATACTCTTTCAGCTTTCAGCTTATCAATCGTATTTACTTTATTAACTCTTGCTTTTAGTCTTCTCCGCTATGTCTAATCACGGAAACACTACAGGAGTCAATGAAGGACCCTCATCCTTCGAGTCAGCCAGCACTGGAAGTTCTGTTGCCCACTCAACATCTGAGACCCATTCAAAGAACAACGCCAGCTCTTATGAGACATTCGCCGATCTCCCTGTTCATCGTCAAATTGATCTGCTGACTGTTCTGGATTTACCGTTAGACAATTAACCATTGCCAACATACCAGTTTGTTCCGAAGGATGTGAAGTTGAATTAAAAGTCTTAGCAGACTTGACAGCTACATTAGAAACTCAAACTTCAAAGCTAGTCCTCCCCCATCTCAAGGTTATGAGCTCCTTGACGCCCTCAAGCGCCAAATTTCAAACAATTTCTACAAAAGTGAATTGGATTTTGGATATACGGTCTTATTGGGCAAATTAACAGCTGCGGCCGGAGTTTTTGGAACAACTATATCTATAAGCCAATTGTTGGCCATACTGCCCTTCAGCTTGGTTACGGTATCAGGTTTGAGAGGGCCCTTGATGAACTACTCAAGGCTTACATTTTAAAACCACGCCTGCAGCTAACCTGGCTGCAGCTGAACAGGCCCGGTGGGACACGTCGCCCGAGTTTCTAAAACTCCACCTATGGATTCGGCGTCTGTGCGGGAAGAAGCCATGGGGTCCTATTTGAACCTGGAAAAAAATGGCTCGTATAGATCCTGAAATCCTAGAGCCCGCCGACCTGGGGCGAGGCTCTCATTTTACCAACGTCTTAATCATATTGGTTTGCGCATATCCCCAAGCCCTGAGCTTAACATTGTATTTGCGATGACGCAAGCTATCTCAGTAGGAGTTCCAGGTCCTAGTTATTTCGCCGGGCTTACCAGCAGTGAAATTGAAACCAAAATACAAGCTACTGTTACTGAAGCTTCCAAGTGGGCCTCTGTAGTGGAGCAATATTTCTTTAACAACCCGGATGGCACCTTTCACTGTGATCTTATATTAGCAGTGCTGAATAACAACAAGGTTTCAGCAGCTGCTCGCGAAGATCCTCAGAGTCATCTCTGGGGATTACCAAGTTTGTCGACATTTTCAAGTCAAGATCTGAGGATGGAGCCCCCAGTGATTCAGTTGAAATCCCAGCGCTAGTTGAAGCAACTTCTGCAGCCTTCGTAAAAGGTCGAAGAATTATTGACGGTTCGACAAAAGTGGTGCCAAAGCAGGAACCCAAGCAAGAACCCAAGCAGGAATCCAAGCAGGAATCTTCGAAGAAAGCTACCACTCTGATACCAAGCATGGAAAAGGGAAGCAGTGGTCCAAGGGGTCCGGTGGCAACAAGAGGCGCAACAATGAAGACAAGCAAGCTAGAAAGTCGAACTCTGATGGTCAAAACAGAGTTGCGCCTTGAAAGCTACCGAATACCTTGAGGTGGCTCGCGACGATGTTGAAACTTTTGCTCTGTTGCTCGGGCTATCCAAGACATATTTGATAATGACGGCGGAAGCAGTGATTATTCGCCAGTTGCTTTTCTTCCACCTGCCAACCAAATCGCCTCTGTGGGTGAAACAAATCTTCCAAATGTTCTCGATTCTGAAATGCTACTGGTCACCTTATCTCAGACAACAGCTACTTTGTGTCGTATGAGAAATACAGCAGCCCCAAAACTATCAGCTCCTATGGTGGTTCCGACATCGTGTTAGAAGGGGAAGGTAAAATTGCTGTTGTATTAAAAGGTGACGGTGGCACCAATATTTTGCCATTGCTGACGCACTTTTATTTTCCTGCTGGGTCTAGCAATTTGTTTTCTGATTCTGTCTGGCGCACGCACGATGTTTCTTTTCATACGGTCCCAAGTGGGATTGTCTGGCCTATTTTGGTGAGGAAAAGGTTGGTAGGGTTGGCGGTGCCAGAGATGCCAAGTCTCACATTTGTGCCAACATTGTTCCGGTAAAGTTTACTAGGAATATCGTACCCAACTGGATCTTCAAGTTCTCAGGAAATTCAATTGACTGGGATCAGATTTGCAGACAAGGACCAGAAGCTATGAGGAAGGTTGATAAATCAGCCTTCGCGGTTGGAAAGGACCACCTGTCCTTTCACAGTCTCTCAAATTTATTGCAAAGGAGGCCGTGTTGAATTCGCAGGCACTTGACTGTCATGTTCGTTTTGCTCATTGCTCTTTGACTTCGGTGAAACATTTAGCCAAGCTTGCTTGATCCTCCCTTTGAGGTGACCAAGCGTGACGAAGAATTGATCAAGGACTGTGTCATATGTGGCACGTCAAGAAGCATTAAGAGGTTCACTTCTCCGGATAAGCATATAGCTTCTGAATCCACGGCCCGTTAGCCCAGATTCATGCTGATCTCGTCGGTCCCATAGGTCCTGCCTCTTCAGGGGCCAGGTACATGCTGAATATCATTGATGCATTTTCTGGTTACATCTATGCTTTTGCTCTGGAATCTAAGGATGAAGCCCTGGGAAACTTATCCAGTTCTTTAAGCAGTTTGTGCCCAAAGCTGCTCGCCGTGCTGTTGACGGCAAGGCCACCAAGCTTATTACTGACAATGGTGGTGAATTTATCTCTGGGACACTTGGAAAATTTTTAGCAGACTGGGGCGTCATTCATATTTTAACTGCTCCTGATGAACACCAACAAAATGGGAAAATTGAGCGTGCCCACCGCACACTGCGTGAGATATCTACTAGAGCCTTGATGCAGTCGACACTCTGGGCCAATATCTACTGGGACTCTGCCTGGCTCTACGCTGTGCAGGTATATAATTTCTCCATAGTTAATAAAAGCCGGTATCTCACCTTATGAAGCCTTTTACGGGCAGAAAAAAACCACCTATAGCACTAGTGCACACATTTGGCTGCCTAGTTTTTGTCATTAAATCTGAGTCTCAGAAAACTCAAAAGGGACCCTTCAGCCTCGGGCGAGCCTGCTCTGTATTTGGGTCCCGACCCGTTAAATCCTAAGAATTTCTATGCATTACGAGGAACAAGCGCATTCGGCGCTGTGTACACGGCAACTTTCGTGACCATGTCTTGCCTGGCGTTAAATTTTTGGCGAAAAGCCAATTTACGAGGGTGACATTCTCATTGACTACAGTGAGGTTGGAAATCGTGACCCTGACTACAGTGACTCTTTCCACTGATGAATCAGAAAGTGAAGATGAATCTGACTCTGACGACTACTCTCCCACTTCACTCTCTGGTGGTGGTGGTGGTGGTAACTTTGGCTGGACTTATGTGGGCTCTGAGGAAGGAGCCACAGATCCAGCAGATTGAGGACCAGGATTCTACTTCTACACCACCGACACCTATAACTGAAAACTCTTTTCAACCGTTGGAAGATGATGATGTGGAGCTGGTTGCAGATGAATCAATTAGTGTTGGTGACGACAAAGATACACTTCCAGTCTGAGGACCATATATTGCTCGAAGATTCTGCTGTTGATGATGCTGATTTGAGATCGGTGAACTCCAACGTAGCTGGTCGCCCTGGTTCCGAAGATACTAACGAAGATTTTTCTCACGAAAATTCATTTTCTGAACATATGGTAAAGCTCCAGAAAGCCTTTGCTCCAGGAACTCAGTCGCCCTCAGTGGTGGCTCATCAAACAAGTCCGGTGACTCTTCCCAAACAACTACACATTTTGGATGAGGATGACAGTGTGGATCTTGCGCTGTCTGGAACTGCTGAACTTACCCGCGAGGCTTCAGCTGTTGAAACCGCTAGCCAATCTGGTGATGACAATCAGGATGCGGTTGACTCAGAAACCAATGATGAAGACATGGATGGGTCTGTGGAACATATACTGGGTTTCGACGAATTGGAAGACTCATCAGATTCTGAATTTTCGTCTAGCGACGTTGTCATGGGATTCCTCTACTGTTGGAGGAAGCTCCTGCGAGAGATGTCGGGGTGCCGCAAGGTTTAGGTGACACTCAAGGTACTGCTACAAGCACAAAATAATCCTGCCAGCAATCAACTGGTTTTGGCGGCGGCGGAACTTGTACGGGCCACCACCGAGCCAGTAGAAACTACGACGTCTGCAAATCGGTCTGCCAGAATGGCTGAGGCGGGCGGTAGTAGGAAGAGGTATCTAAATTTAGCGAGATTAAAATCTGCGCTGGAACGTGCTGGTCAGCCAGAAAATCGTCGTTTACATGCCGGTAGGCGGAGCCAAGTGGCTGGCCCTCAGGTATACGGCAGGAGCTACCGGAGCTACCCCCAGCGCCCTCCTCTCTGAGAGGCTGTTGCTGGGAGCTGGTGGTTCTGATACTGTTACTACTGCTGCATCTGGAAGTGGCAGTGAACTGAGAGACACTGCTGAGATTGATCGCCCACGCTTACCGCCTGCACCATCTACTCAGAGGCTCCTGCTAGAGTATGGGCGAGCAGGGGATGCTACAAGCTTTGGGGACAATACAAGCGACGTGCGGCACAGCCCGTGCAACAAAATCGACATATGCCACTTCCGGCTCCACCCTCGAGACGGTTGTTGTTGGCAGCTCCTCTTCCGTCTTCTTCTGAACATGATTCGCAAACTGCTGGGCAAGTAGTTGTTCGACAAACAAGCCAACACTCAGCTCCGGCAGAAGCCCAACAGCCTCTTGCTAATACTGGAAGAATTACTAGGTCTGCTGCGGGTACTGCGGGTGCTGCGGGTGCTGGTGCTGCGAGAGTGCCTGCTCCGTCGTCCAGACACCGTCATCGAGAAGCCTCGGGACACAGTTGTTGTTAACAAAAAGATTAGCTGATTTGATTGAGCAAAATGGCTATTATGTTCCTAACAGTGCACTTCAGCGGCTGGCGCGAAAAAGAAAATTCTTCATTAATTCTAAATCGCACAAATCTAATTACCCGGCCTACTGATAACCTTCCACTAGTAAGTGGCGCGGCTTTGCAAAATAAAAATTTTCTCCACCACCACGAAATCTAAAAATTTTTCTTCGGCTACCAATTTATCACAGAAAGTAGTCTCAGAAAATTGACTTCAAACTCCTCACCAAGATTGGAAAATGAAGCCTCAAATGGTTCTCCCACAACACCCTACCTCTGCTTTTTGTCCTCGGAATCATCTGCACATTCGGAGCCAGTGGTTACATCACCAACCTCCTCTGCTGTGACGTCTCCCACATTAGAAAGTTCTTCTTCCTCGTCGTGATCACCAAACCACTCCTCCCTCGTCATCGAATCGCATGCTGTCGATAGCACAACGCAATATCTTACGCAGTGCAGCTGAGGCCATCTCAAGAATCGACTTAGGAGCTTTGAGAAATCTGCGAAAAAGAATCGCTCTACAAGCCCAACCACTACAGCATCGGGCTTACTTTGGGGCTCTCGCTCTTCCGACCGGCACAGTGACAAACTGAACTCTCGAACTCTGAGTCAGCTTTGGACTCGGAATCTAGGTCACTGCTGCATGGTCTGCCAGCTCGTGAGGGTTCAACACTGAGAGCCCCACACGGCCACCTCCAGGGTACACCGAATCTTAGATTCAACCCCACCCCGATGCGGTTCCCCTTTCTTCACACTCACTGGCAACACACAATGTCCCTGCTACGTCAGCATCAGTAGATGAGGACTCAGTCGTTAGCACTGACTCGCAGTCCCACTCTCCCGCCTCCACAACCGAAGCTGATGTTGAGGCTACAAGCGATGAAATCTCAATTGCAGCACCCTACAATTCTGACTCTCAGGGCTCATCAGAACACTTAGCTGACGGCATTGACTTACATGAAACTTTTGTTTCTTCGCCTGCTGATGATGAAATTATTTTTGTTGATGAATCGGCAAGCCCATCAGGAGATCCGTCTGCCGGGGCTGTCGACGATGTCATTGGTATTGGCTGCATCTACTGAACTCTGAAGAACCAACTGTGAAAGCCCGCATGGCGTCTGGAAGACTTGACACACTCAGCGCTATTAACATTAAGCTTCCAATTTTGAGGAATGACATCAAAGTGTTAGAATCTAGCAAACCAGGTCTCTGCTTTACGGCCCCTGATGTGGAGAATGTTAGAGCTCTTATCAGCGACAGAGATTGGGCAGATCTTAAGGACCGTCCTGCCTTCATTCGATTTCCGAATGTGGAGTGGCGCTGCTCGACCCTGGCAAAGAAGCTAAAAAGGACCCACGGTCACTTGCGGAAGCCAACAACAGAGAAGATAAGCGCTTCTGGTTCGATGCGGCCTATTCGGGAATTTGCTGCCATTGATGGCAATCATGTATACCAAGTTGTGCCTCCCGGCGGTCGCAAAGCACTTGGCACCAAATGGGTGCTGAAGAAGAAACTCAACACGGATGGTTCAATTGACAAGTACAAGGCTCGTCTTGTTGTTCAGGGTTTCTGTCAAAAGTTTGGTGTTGACTATGCTTGACACCTTTGCACCGGTAATGAGATTCAGCACTGTTCGTCTCATTTTCGCCCTGAGTGCGGCGAAGAACTGCGAAATGCACCACGTCGATGTTAAAAATGCTTTCTTTGAATGGAGATCTAGAAGAAGACATCTATGTCAAGCCACCAACAGGAATTGACCATAATACCCCTCCTGGCATGGTCTGGAAGCTGAATAAAGCTTATATGGACTGAAGCAAGCCCCTGTGTTGGAACAAGAAGCTTGTTGACAAGTTGGAAGCTCTAGGTTACAAAGCTGCCAAGAAAGAACCCTGTCTTTTACAAGATTAATGGCAAAGACTTCAGTATTATAGGTCTTTATGTTGACGACATCTTAACGGCGTCAAACGTACCGGGAGAATTCGAGCGGTTTTTCAAGGGCCTATCTGGTTACTTTGCCATCAAAGATGAAGGTGGTGTTAACAAATTCTTGGGAATCAGAGTCCAAGACTCCGACAGGACGATATCTCTGATCTGGAACACTATATTGCTGACATGATTGAGGTTTTCAAATTGGGTGATCAAACAGCTAAGTCGATACCGCTGCCCAAGAAACATGGCCTTGATTTCCACAGGGCCTCTCGATGCTCGTCCAGCTAACCAATCGCTATATCGCAGCATTCTTGGCAAGCTACAGTTTGCTGCTCAGACGGCTCGTCCAGACATTGCCTATGCTACAGGCAAGCTTGCTCAGTATTCGAGTGACCCTAGAGCCATTCATATGGATAGAGCTTATCATGTTCTGAGCTACCTCAAAGGCACTAAGGACCCGGCAATTGTCTATCACAAAATGTACCAGGCGCCTCCGCGGCTTCTGAGAGGCTGGTCAGATGCCGATTGGGCAAACGATCCTGACAGGAAGTCTATCTCAGGCTTTGCATTCTCACGGTCCTTCAACCTTCTTTTGAAGTCGGCCAAACAGAAGCTGACAGCAACTTCCACAACCGAGGCTGAGCTGATTGCCGCTTTTTCTGCCACGTGTGAGGCAGTTTACTGAGATCTTTGGAAGAACTTGGTGAATCTCAACCAACGACTGTCATCATGGAGGACAACAAAGGTGTCCTGGATCTCACGAAGGACAAAAAAACATCACGAGCGGACTAAACATATTGATACCCAAGTACATGCGCACCAGAGACCATGTCAAAGCCGGCGATACCCGTCTTGAAGCTGCTGCTTCAGCAGATAATGTGGCAGACATTTTACCAAAGCTCTGGCTAAGCCGCAGTTTTTATATTTTGAGGAATCTTCTGGGTATGAGTACCCGTCCTCAAGTTGAGGGGGGGAATGGACTTGATGCAGTGCTCGTCTCGTCAAATAATACCTCCATCGTTACGCCGCAGTCATTTTGAAGACTCGACGACGCAAAGATCAAGAGATTGAATCTTGATAACGGGCTATTGCTGCAGGGGGGCTGTTGGAATATATGTCATGGTACTATCGTGCATTTCAACATTATCCCATAATATTTTTTTTTTCCAATTACACTCTCTACATTGTTACATTATTCACTAGCAACTACTAGCCCATTACCATTGAGTTACAATAATTGTTACAAGCAAGACTTTATTGCTAAAGAAAATTTTCAAGATGCTCTTTAAATTTTCTTCATTACAGAAACCTTTCTTGTTTTCTTTCTCTTCTTTTCTCCTTCTCTAAATTTACGCAAAACTGTTTTTATTAAATACTCTTTCAGCTTTCAGCTTATCAATCGTATTTACTTATTAACTCTTGCTTTTAGGCATGATAGCGAACTTTTATTATTTTATTATTTTATTATTTTTATCATTTATATAATTCTTATATACCTAAATTTACGCAAAACTGTTTTATTAAATACCTTTCAGCTTCAGCTTATCAATCGTATTTACTTATTAACCCTTGCTTTAGTCTTCCGCTATGTCTAATCACGGAAACACTACAGGAGTCAATGAAGGACCCTCATCCTTCGAGTCAGCCAGCACTGGAAGTGTTGAACTGTGACACGGGAAGTCATGATAATAATAGAAAATATTATCCAAGAAAAGTATATATTGAAATATATAAGATAAAACAGTTATATAAGAAGAAAGAAAAGGAAAAGAAAAATTATAAAGTTGGGAAAGAAACCTTCCTTATATACCCAAGAAAAGAAAAATTTGCAGTGGTGAAAATTTTTTCATTTGGAGTTTGTCCCAAAGTTGAGTGGGTTTGTATTACACTTCAACTTTGTAACAAATTAAGGAGGGTAACCACAGTCACATAAGGGCTTAAACCTAATGCGGCTAAAACTAAAATAAACATAGGTTATCAACCATAGTTTCCCACCCAAACTCACGTGCATTATCAACTGCACTAGTCTGCGACAACATTGCATGCTCAACACCTCCCTTGTCGCAGAATCACCTACCGCCTTCATACCAAGTAGTCCCTCAATGTCTCAAACTTCACACGACCAAGATTCTTAGTAAACATATCTGCCAACATCACTTGAGTATCAAGATACTCCAGATGAATCACTCCACTGAATATAGTGACGGACAACATGATACCGAACATCAATATGCTTGGTGCGACGATGAAACACTGATTCTGAGCCAATGCAATACATCCCTCGATTGTCTCAAACATATCACTGGCAACGGAACAGGAATCTTGCAAAGAGACAACAACTGATTAATCCAGAAGCATTTCATTAGACGCATCAGACAATGACATGTACTCAGACTCGACGCTGGACGATGCAGGACTAACTTGCTTTCGACAAGCCCAAGTAATGGGGACCACCAGACAGAATAAAAACATACCCAGTAAAGGACTTTACGGTCCTGCTTTGTCCTTGCATAATCGGTATCACTATAGCCAACAAGCTTGTAGACTTTCTGAGCTCGATATTCAAGACCAAGTTCAGCAGTACCCTTAAGATAACGAAGAGTATGCTTAGCAGCTTCCATATGAATAGACTTAGGACCTGCATATATCGACAAAGAAAGCCAATGGTTAACAGCAAGATCAGGACGAGCACAATTAGCAGCATAAATCAGTTTACCAATAATACTGCGATACATGGAGGCATCGGTAGAGTCAGACTCGAAAAATCAGAAAGATCACGAGTGGGTAAAGGAGTCTTGACAATTCTGAACAATTCTGCATACCAAACCCTCCAACATATCAAAAAAATATAACGTGAAACATCCACAGTAATATGGGTAAGATGACTGCTTAACTCTCATGCCAAGGAACTGTTTCGACTGGGCCCAGTCTTTCATCTTAAACATAGATGACAAAGAAGACTTGGTTTTGGCAATGACTTCAGAAGAATTGCCAGAAATAAGTAAATCATCAACATACAGTGCAATAATAAACTTCATGGTAGACCCAGATCCTTTGGTACACACCGTAGTCACTTTCATTACGAATAAACCCAAGTTTGACAAGAGCACCATGAATCTTCATTCCAACACAAAGGAGCTTGCTTTAAACCATAAAGACTTCTTCAAATGACACTTTAGATTCTGACCTTTGACAACAAAGCCTTTAGGTTGTCTCATATAAATATCTTCTTTGAGATCAACATTAAGAAATGCAGTCTCGACATCCATATGATGAACCTGGAACCCAAACTGAGCAGCAATATAAAGAACAATCCTCACAGTCTCGTAACGAACAACGAGCAAAGTTTCAGTATAATCAATACCTTCAACTTGAAAATCCAATACACACTAGACGAGATTTGTAACGTTCAATTGAACCGTCAGCTTTGCGCTTAACTTTAAACACCCATTTGCTATTGATAGCCTTGCGACCAGGTGGGAGATCAAATCAATTCCCAATTGCGCATTGCGTTTTAAGAGACGACATTTCAATAACACAGGGCTTCCAAGCCAAAACTCAGCTTCTTCACTAGACATAGCTTCTTCAAAAACTACTAGGATCTGTAAAAACAAGTAAAGCCACATCATCATACTCAAAGCGGAGAGATTTGAGACGACGATAAGAAATACACTCTTCTTCAGCTGACGTTTTGCAGGTGTTGCAGAACATTGGAGATTGTTTCAAAGAATTTTCACAAAGGTGTTTAGAAGGAGGTGAAACAATGTCATCAGAACTCGGGCGTTTGGCAGGAGTTATAGAAGGTAAACGAACAGCAACAACACGAGATCGAGATTTAGGGCAAAACAGCTTGAGTATCATCCTTAGTGACAACACTAACACCAGCTTGGTCAAGAGAATTAACAAGATCAGACGAAGGAGATTCTTGACTAAGGCACTACTTCCAATTCAACAGAAGGTGGTGGGAGGGGAGACGAAGCAATGATAGACGGTTGAAACCCAATATCACCCCCTCGTTTGAGATCCCAGAATCACCTGAAATATCAGATTCATTAATAGATGGACCAGTTCAGATAAGTCTAATTGTGAAGGAATATATTCCGAAGAAGAAATAATAGGACTAGAGTCAGGAGAGATAGAGACATCATGATCTGAAGGTGGAAGAATAGGAGAACTAGAAGAGATGGAACTGAAGCAATAGAAGGAAGAGTAGGAAGAGTAGGAGACAAGAGGAGCAGAAGGTGTAGACAAAATGCGACGAACAGAACGAGGCTTATGAACAATAATGAGAAGAAGAAGAAGAAGAGGCGGCGACGGAGAATGAGACGGGAGAAGAAGACGGAGATTTGAGACGGTATTAGCACAAATAGAACCAGAACCAGAACCAGATGAGGATGCTGGAAGATCTATGAGACCCAAAACTAGAACCAGAACTTGAATCAGAACTAGCAATAGAATTAACCCTAACATTAGATCCTAAACCAGTCCCCTTAGAATCAAAACAAGGTCCTGACATGGACCCTGAACCAGAACCAACACTAAACCCAACACCAGTACCATTAATAGACAAGTCCTTATCACTTTTCATAAATGGAAACTTGACTCATCAAATAAAGTAAACACTTGGCTTCAACAATGCTTGAATCAAGAAGAACTCGATAAGCTGCACGATCCAAAGAATACCCAACAAAACACCAGCTTCAGTATTTGAACTTAACTTAGATTCTCTTTAGCACCAGGAAGAACAACTGTAGCTTGACAACCAAATACTTTCATATGGTGATAACTAGGAGGTTTACCCGTCCAAAGTTGAAGAGGTGCAACACCACCAGTGGTACGACTAGGAAGACGGTTCCTAATATAGTTAGCAGACTTGACAGCTTCACCCCATAAGTATTCAGGAGCATGAGCATATAAAAGCATAGACTTGGCTTTCTCAAATAATGTGCGATTCAATCGCTCAGCAACACCATTTTGTTGAGGAGTATGAGGAACTGTATAAGTATGCTTGATACCCTTAGACACAAAGAACTGCTCCAGGTCTTTGGAAATGTATTCGCCGCCATTATCAGAATGAAAATATGCAACTCGATCACCAGCAGAATCACCAGAAAAATAAGATTCACACCTAGCAATAAAGTTACGAATGGCAAGACTTGCATCACTTTTCCTAACCAATAACTCCACATAAGAGTACCTGGAATAATAATCCATAATGGTTAAGACATAACGATGACCCACAGGGGTAGCGACATGAGGACCGCTTAAATCAGAAACAAATAACTCAAAGGACGACTAGTTTTTCTGTGGTACCATTAAATGGCAATGCTGTGGCTTTTACACCCGCAAGCGTCACACTTATGACTATCCACAACCTCAAAATGAGTAGGCTTGACAGAAAGTGACTTAGATAATTTCCGAGAACGTCCACACTGGCGTGACCGTCGCTTGTGCCAAAGATTGGCAGACGACTCAACAGCAAACACCTCATGAACTGGCTTGGAAGGCAAAACAACTCGAAAAACGACAAAAGTACAAGTCACTGGCGGCAATGGCGTGGACTCGAGTTTTGCCATTTTCAACAGCAGAAATATGGTTAAGGTCTTGAATGAACCGACAACCACCAGCAGTAGCTCGACGAGCAGCAAAAAATTGCGAGGAATCTTAGAACATATAAAACATCTCGAAGAACAACGCGGTCACAAAGGCTGGTCATCTTTACCAAGAAGATCAACGACAATGTCGCCAAACCCAGCAGTAAAGCAGAACCAAGACCACGAATGGTAGCCGAAGTGGGACGAAGAGAAGAAAATATGAGATGTTATTGCAATGTGACTGGTAGCACCGGTATCATGGATAAAGTCAAAGAATCAGACCCAACAACTGTTGGCCTCAGCAGAAGTAGTAGATTCAGCAACAAAACGTGATGGACTGAATGACTTAAATCCAAGATTGAAGAAGGATGCCAGACGACAATTAAAATCAAGGAAAACAACATGATGGTAACAAAGATAAGTAAAGAATGGAGAAAACGGGATTTTGGTGTAACAATAGGTTTAACAATAGGCGGAGAAGGTTCAGTAATTGAATCCACCCAAAAATCAAAAGAAGGTAAGACAATATCATCATCAGAACCGACCAACGGTTTAGAATCAGAACAAGAATAAGAGAAGAACCGACCAACGGTTCAGAATCAGAACAAGAAATAAAAAGAAGAACCGACCAACGGTTCAGAATCAAAAGGAACAATATCCGAATCGACCAACGATTTAGAATCAAACAAATAGGAGCCGAACTGACACACGGTTCAGACTCCAAACAACAACAACAGTAGAACCGACATACGGTTCAGAAATAAAACAAGAATCATCAGTGGAACCAAACGGTTTACCAACTGAATCAATATCAAGTCCTGAGCTTTTGAACAATACTCAGAAACTTGACCAACAAAACAATCTTCATCGCCGACACACGGCTCAGAAGAATCAAAAGTTCGATTCCAAATCATCAAACGACTCGGGCAACTGTTACCAAACTTTTCAGAAACAACAGATGTCTCGGACACAAAAGCGGAACTCACAAATGGATCATCATCAACTATCTCAGAAAAATTCATCAATAGTCTCAGCAAACCAACCTCTTGAGGTTTTAGCCTCTTTAGATTCCTTGTCATCCTTATTATCTTGGCGAGCAGCCTGAACCTCTTCCCAAGAGACATGACAATTGTTGAAGTATGACCACGCCTCTTACAACGAAAACATTTGATACCATCACCCTTAGATTTGTTATTGTACTTTCTTTGATGAAAAACGAACGCTTCAGTCGAAAGAGTAGCAGGGGTCCAGTAATCTTCAACAACTTGGCCCATTTATCAGTGTTCCGATGAAGTTGTTGATATCAAGGTTGTCAGCATTGTTACTATCAAAGCGGTGCTCCAAGGCGTACTGATGAAGCGCTCACAATTGGGACCCATTGAGGCCAAAGCGTTGAAGGCCACAACCGAATCAGGCGACAATGATTGGTAGATGGAAACGCCAGGTAGCAACATAAGAACGAACAGAAGAAACAAACTTTGGACCAACATCAATATTGCCAGCATAGAGGATTTCTAGGGTGAGATGACATCGGCGGGTTGAAGTTGACTATAATTCCTGATGAAGATAAAGCCAGAGGTCACGGCCTCTAATGGCCATAAGATCATTAACATGTTCGATCAACTCAGGAGAAATGTTGTTGAGGATAACATCATGGACGACGGTGTCAAGCGAGGCGGGTGAGGTCTTCGAGGATTCATTGGCAGCTGGATTGACAGTACCAGCTTCGACACAAAAGATGGACACCATTATTCATTGCACGAAGACCCAAAGGATCTTGGTAGCCCAGACATGATAGTTGAGAGGAGTGAGTTTTTCAGAGGAAGTAAGATTAATATAAGCCGAAGTGCGGCCCATAACCTGTTGAACTGTGACACGGGAAGTCATGATAATAATAGAAAATATTATCCAAGAAAAGTATATATTGAAATATATAAGATAAAACAGTTATATAAGAAGAAAGAAAAAGGAAAAGAAAAATTATAAAAGTTTGGGAAGAAACCTTCCTTAAATATCTGAGGGAAAGAAAAATTTGCAGTGGTGAAAATTTTTCATTTGGGTTTGTCCCAAAGTTGAGTGGGTTTGTATTACACTTCAACTTTGTAACAAATTAAGGAGGGTAACCACAGTCACATAAGGGCTTAAACCTCATGCGGCTGTAACTAAAATAAACATAGATTGTCAACCATAGTTTCCCACCCAAACTCACGTGCATTATCAACTGCACTAGTCTGCGACAACATTTTTGAGATGGGGGAGGACTAGCTTTGAAGTTTGAGTTTCTAATGTAAGCTGTCAAGTCTGCTAAGACTTTTAATTCAGCTTCACATCCTTCGGAACAAACTGGCACGTTGGCAATGGTTAATTGTCTAACGGTAAATCCAGAACGGTCAGCGAGATCAATTTGACGATGAACAGGGAGATCGGCGAATGTCTCATAAGAGCTGGCGTTGTTCTTTGAATGGGTCTCAGATGTTGAGTGGGCAACAGAACTTCCTGTTGAGCATGCAATGTTGTCGCAGACTAGTGCAGTTGATAATGCACGTGAGTTTGGGTGGGAAACTATGGTTGATAACCTATGTTTATTTTAGTTTTAGCCGCATTAGGTTTAAGCCCTTATGTGACTGTGGTTACCCTCCTTAATTTGTTACAAAGTTGAAGTGTAATACAAACCCACTCAACTTTGGGACAAACCCAAATGAAAAATTTTCACCACTGCAAATTTTTCTTTCCCTCAGATATTTAAGGAAGGTTTCTTCCCAAACTTTTATAATTTTTCTTTTCCTTTTTCTTTCTTCTTATATAACTGTTTTATCTTATATATTTCAATATATACTTTTCTTGGATAATATTTTCTATTATTATCATGACTTCCCGTGTCACAGTTCAACAGGTTATGGGCCGCACTTCGGCTTATATTAATCTTACTTCCTCTGAAAAACTCACTTCCTCTCAACTATCATGTCTGGGCTACCAAAATTTTTTGGGTCTTCAAAGCTATGAATAATGGTGTCCATCTTTATGTCGAAGCTGGTACTGTCAATCCAGCTGCTAATGAATCCCTCGAAGACCTCACCGCCTCGCTTGACACCGTCGTCCATGATGTCATCCTCAACAATATTTCTCCTGAGTTGATCGAACATGTTAATGATGTGGCCATTAGAGGCCGTGACCTCTGGCTTTATCTTCATCAGGAGTATAGTCAACTTCAACCCGCCGATGTCATCTCTTATGAAACTCTATGCTGGCAATATTGATGTTGGTCCAAAGTTTGTTTCTTCTGTTCGCTCTTATGTTGCTACGTGGCGTTCCATCTACCAATCATTGTCGCCTGATTCGGTTGTGGCCTTCAACGCTTTGGCTTCAATGGGTCCCAATTGTGAGCGCTTCATCCAGTATGTTGAACTGTGACACGGGAAGTCATGATAATAATAGAAAATATTATCCAAGAAAAGTATATATTGAAATATATAAGATAAAACAGTTATATAAGAAGAAAGAAAAAGGAAAAGAAAAATTATAAAAGTTGGGGAAGAAACCTTCCTTAAATATCTGAGGGAAAGAAAAATTTGCAGTGGTGAAAATTTTTCATTTGGGTTTGTCCCAAAGTTGAGTGGGTTTGTATTACACTTCAACTTTGTAACAAATTAAGGAGGGTAACCACAGTCACATAAGGGCTTAAACCTAATGCGGCTAAAACTAAAATAAACATAGATTGTCAACCATAGTTTCCCACCCAAACTCACGTGCATTATCAACTGCACTAGTCTGCGACAACATTGCATGCTCAACACAGTACGCCTTGGAGCACCGCTTTGATAGTAACAACAATACTGACAACCTTGATATCAACAACTTCATCCGGAACACTGATAAATGGGCCAAGTTGTTGAAGATTACTGGACCCCCTGCTACTCTTTCGACTGAAGCGTTCGTTGCTTCATCAAAGAAGTACAATAACAAATCTAAGGGTGATGGTATCAAATGTTTTCGTTGTAAGAGGCGTGGTCATACTTCCAACAATTGTCATGTCTCTTGGGAAGAGGTTCAGGCTGCTCGCCAAGATAATAAGGATGACAAGGAATCTAAAGAGGCTAAAACCTCAAGAGGTTGGTTTGCTGAGACTATTGACGAATTTTCTGAGATAGTTGATGATGATCCATTTGTGAGTTCCGCTTTTGTGTCCGAGACATCTGTTGTTTCTGAAAAGTTTGGTAACAGTTGCTCCGAGTCGTTTGATGATTTGGAATCCGAACTTTTTGATTCTTCTGAGCCGTGTGTCGGCGATGAAGATTGTTTTGTTGGTCAAGTTTCTGAGTATTGTTCAAACTCAGGACTTGATATTGATTCAGTTGGTAAACCGTTTGTTAGTTCCACTGATGATTCTTGTTTTAATTCTGAACCGTATGTCGGTTCTACTGTTGTTTGTTTGGAGTCTGAACCGTGTGTCAGTTCAGCTCCTATTTGTTTTGATTCTGAATCGTTGGTCGATTCGGATGTTGTTCCTTTTGATTCTGAACCGTTGGTCGGTTCTTCTTTTATTTCTTGTTCTGATTCTAAACCGTTGGTCGGTTCTGATGATGATATTGTCTTTACCTTCTTTTGATTTTTTTTTGGATTCAATTACTGAACCTTCTCCGCCTATTGTTAAACCTATTGTTACACCAAAAAATCCCGTTTTCTCCATTCTTTTACTTATCTTTTTGTTACCATCATGTTGTTTTCCTTGATTTTAATTGTCGTCTGGCATCCTTCTTCAATCTTGGATTTAAGTCATTCAGTCCATCACGTTTTTGTTGCTGAATCTACTACTTCTGCTGAGGCCAACTCAGTTGTTGGGTCTGATTCTTTTGACTTTATCCATGATACCGGTGCTACCAGTCACATTTGCAATAACATCTCATATTTTTCTTCTCTTCGTCCCACTTCGGCTACCATTCGTGGTCTTGGTTCTGCTACTGCTGAGGGGTTGGCGACATTGTCGTTGATCTTCTTGGTAAAGATGACCAGCCTTGTGACCGCGTTGTTCTTCGAGATGTTTTATATGTTCCTAAGATTCCTCGCAATTTATTTGCTGCTCGTCGAGCTACTGCTGGTGGTTGTCGGTTCATTCAAGACCTTAACCATATTTCTGCTGTTGAAAATGGCAAAACTCGAGTCCACGCTACATTGCCATGGGTGACTTGTACTTTGTCGTTTCTGAGTTGTTTTGCCTTCCAAGCCAGTTCATGAGGTGTTTGCTGTTGAGTCGTCTGCCAATCTTTGGCATAAGCGACTTGGTCACGCCAGTGTGGACGTTCTCAAGAAATTATCTAAGTCACTTTCTGTCAAGCCTACTCATTTTGAGGTTGTGGATAGTCATAAGTGTGACGCTTGTTTGGGTGGCAAAGCCACAGCATTGCTATTTAATGGTACCACAGAAAAAGCTAGTCGTCCTTTGGAGTTATTTGTTTCTGATTTAAGCGGTCCTCATGTCGCTACCCCTGTGGGTCATCGTTATGTCTTAACCATTATGGATTATTATTCCAGGTACTCTTATGTGGAGTTGTTGGTTAGGAAAAGTGATGCAAGTCTTGCCATTCGTAACTTTATTGCTAGGTGTGAATCTTATTTTTCTGGTGATTCTGCTGGTGATCGAGTTGCATATTTTCATTCTGATAATGGCGGCGAATACATTTCCAAAGACCTGGAGCAGTTCTTTGTGTCTAAGGGTATCAAGCATACTTATACAGTTCCTCATACTCCTCAACAAAATGGTGTTGCTGAGCGATTGAATCGCACATTATTTGAGAAAGCCAAGTCTATGCTTTTATATGCTCATGCTCCTGAATACTTATGGGGTGAAGCTGTCAAGTCTGCTAATTATATTAGGAACCGTCTTCCTAGTCGTACCACTGGTGGTGTTGCACCTCTTCAACTTTGGACTGGTAAACCTCCTAGTTATCATCATATGAAAGTATTTGGTTGTCAAGCTACAGTTGTTCTTCCTGGTGCTAAAAGAGAATCCAAGTTAAGTTCAAATACTGAAGCTGGTGTTTTTGTTGGGTATTCTTTGGATCGTACAGCTTATCGAGTTCTTCTTGATTCAAGCATTGTTGAAGCCAGGAGTGTTTACTTTGATGAGTCCAAGTTTCCATTTATGAAAAGTGATAAAGACTTGTCTATTAATGGTACTGGTGTTGGGTTTAGTGTTGGTTCTGGTTCAGGGTCCATGTCAGGGCCTTGTTTTGATTCTAAGGGGTCTGGTTTAGGATCTAATGTTAGGGTTAATTCTATTGCTAGTTCTGATTCAAGTTCTGGTTCTAGTTTTGGGTCTCTCATAGATCTTTACCAGCATCCCTCATCTGGTTCTGGTTCTGGTTCTATTTGTGTTTTACCGTCTCCGTCTCCGTCTTCTTCTCCGTCTCATTCTCCGTCGCCACCTCCTCCTTCTTCTTCTTCTTCTATTATTGTTCATAAGCCTCGTTCTGTTCGTCGCATTTTGTCTACACCTTCTGCTCCTCTTGAGTCTCCTACTCTTCCTACTCTTCCTTCTATTCCTTCTGTTCCATCTCTTCCTAGTTCTCCTATTCTTCCACCTTCAGATCATGATGTCTCTATCTCTCCTGACTCAAGTCCTATTGTTTCTTCTTCGGAATATATTCCTTCACAATTAGACTTATCTGAAGCTGGTCCATCTATTAATGAATCTGATATTTCAGGTGATTCTGGGATCTCGCAACGAGGGGGTGATATTGGGTTTCAACCGTCTATCATTGCTTCGTCTCCCACTCCACCACCTTCTGTTGAATTGGAAGTAGTGCCACTTAGTCAAGAATCTCCTTCGCCTGATCTTGTTAATTCTCTTGACCTGTTGAGCATGCAATGTTGTCGCAGACTAGTGCAGTTGATAATGCACGTGAGTTTGGGTGGGAAACTATGGTTGACAATCTATGTTTATTTTAGTTTTAGCCGCATTAGGTTTAAGCCCTTATATGACTGTGGTTACCCTCCTTAATTTGTTACAAAGTTGAAGTGTAATACAAACCCACTCAACTTTGGGACAAACCCAAATGAAAAATTTTCACCACTGCAAATTTTTTCTTTCCTTTGCATATATAGGGAAAGTTTCTTCCCAACTTTTATAATTTTTCTTTTCCTTTTCTTTCTTCTTATATAACTGTTTTATCTTTATATATTTCAATATATACTTTTCTTGGATAATATTTTCTATTATTATCATGACTTCCCGTGTCACAGTTCAACAGGTTATGGGCCGCACTTCGGCTTATATTAATCTTACTTCCTCTGAAAAACTCACTCCTCTCAACTATCATGTCTGGGCTACTAAGATCCTTTTGGGTCTTCGTGCAATGAATAATGGTGTCCATCTTTATGTCGAAGCTGGTACTGTCAATCCAGCTGCTAATGAATCCCTCGAAGACCTCACCGCCTCGCTTGACACCGTCGTCCATGATGTTATCCTCAACAATATTTCTCCTGAGTTGATCGAACATGTTAATGATGTGGCCATTAGAGGCCGTGACCTCTGGCTTTATCTTCATCAGGGAGTATAGTCAACTTCAACCCGCCGATGTCATCTCAATTATGAAATCCCTCTATGCTGGCAATATTGATGTTGGTCCAAAGTTTGTTTCTTCTGTTCGTTCTTATGTTGCTACATGGCGTTCCATCTACCAATCATTGTCGCCTGATTCGGTTGTGGCCTTCAACGCTTTGGCCTCAATGGGTCCCAATTGTGAGCGCTTCATCCAGTACGCCTTGGAGCACCGCTTTGATAGTAAATAATGCTGACAACCTTTGATATCAACAACTTCATCCGAACACTGATAAATGGGCCAAGTTGTTGAAGATTACTGACCCCCTGCTACTCTTTCGACTGAAGCGTTCGCTGCTTCATCAAAGAAGTACAATAACAAATCGAAGGGTGATGGTATTAAATGTTTCCGTTGTAAGAGGCGTGGTCATACTTCCAACAATTGTCATGTCTCTTGGGAAGAGGTTCAGGCTGCTCGCCAAGATAATAAGGATGACAAGGAATCTAAGGAGGCTAAAACCTCAAGAGGTTGGTTTGCTGAGACTATTGATGAATTTTCTGAGATAGTTGATGATGATCCATTTGTGAGTTCCGCTTTTGTGTCCGAGACATCTGTTGTTTCTGAAAAGTTTGGTAACAGTTGCTCCGAGTCGTTTGATGATTTGGAATCCGAACTTTTTGATTCTTCTGAGCCGTGTGTCGGCGATGAAGATTGTTTTGTTGGTCAAGTTTCTGAGTATTGTTCAAACTCAGAACTTGATATTGATTCAGTTGGTAAACCGTTTGTTGGTTCCACTGATGATTCTTGTTTTATTTCTGAACCGTATGTCGGTTCTACTGTTGTTTGTTTGGGAGTCTGAACCGTGTGTCAGTTCAGCTCCTATTTGTTTTGATTCTGAATCGTTGGTCGATTCGGATATTGTTCCTTTTGATTCTGGAACCGTTGGTCGGTTCTTCTTTTATTTCTTGTTCTGATTCTAAACCGTTGGTCGGTTCTGATGATGATATTGTCTTACCTTCTTTTGATTTTTTGGTGGATTCAATTACTGAACCTTCTCCACTTATTGTTAAACCAATTGTTACACCAAAATCCCGTTTTTCCCATTCTTTTACTTATCTTTTGTTACCATCATGTTGTTTTCCTTGATTTTAATTGTCGTCTGGCATCCTTCTTCAATCTTGGATTTAAGTCATTCAGTACATCACGTTTTGTTGCTGAATCTACTACTTCTGCTGAGGCCAACTTAGTTGTTGGGTCTGATTCTTTTGACTTTATCCATGATACCGGTGCTACCAGTCACATTTGCAATAACATCTCATATTTTTCTTCTCTCGTCCCACTTCGGCTACCATTCGTGGTCTTGGTTCTGCTACTGCTGAGGGGGTTGGCGACATTGTCGTTGATCTTCTTGGTAAAGATGACCAGCCTTGTGACCGCGTTGTTCTTCGAGATGTTTTATATGTTCCTAAGATTCCTCGCAATTTATTTGCTGCTCGTCGAGCTACTGCTGGTGGTTGTAGGTTCATTCAAGACCTTAACCATATTTCTGCTGTTGAAAAATGGCAAAACTCGAGTCCACGCCATTGCCATGGGTGACTTGTACTTTGTCGTTTCCGAGTTGTTTTGCCTTCCAAGCCAGTCCATGAGGTGTTTGTTGTTGAGTCGTCTGCCAATCTTTGGCACAAGCGACTTGGTCACGCCAGTGTGGACGTTCTCAAGAAATTATCTAAGTCACTTTCTGTCAAGCCTACTCATTTTGAGGTTGTGGATAGTCATAAGTGTGACGCTTGTTTGGGTGGCAAAGCCACAGCATTGCCATTTAATGGTACCACAGAAAAAGCTAGTCGTCCTTTGGAATTATTTGTTTCTGATTTGAGTGGTCCTCATGTCGCTACCCCTGTGGGTCATCGTTATGTCTTAACCATTATGGATTATTATTCCAGGTACTCTTATGTGGAGTTGTTGGTTAGGAAAAGTGATGCAAGTCTTGCCATTCGTAACTTTATTGCTAGGTGTGAATCTTATTTTCTGGTGATTCTGCTGGTGATCGAGTTGCATATTTTCATTCTGATAATGGCGGCGAATACATTTCCAAAGACCTGGAGCAGTTCTTTGTGTCTAAGGGTATCAAGCATACTTATACAGTTCCTCATACTCCTCAACAAAATGGTGTTGCTGAGCGATTGAATCGCACATTATTTGAGAAAGCCAAGTCTATGCTTTATATGCTCATGCTCCTGAATACTTATGGGGTGAAGCTGTCAAGTCTGCAATTATATTAGGAACCGTCTTCCTAGTCGTACCACTGGTGGTGTTGCACCTCTTCAACTTTGGACTGGTAAACCTCCTAGTTATCACCATATGAAAGTATTTGGTTGTCAAGCTACAGTTGTTCTTCCTGGTGCTAAAAGAGAATCTAAGTTAAGTTCAAATACTGAAGCTGGTGTTTTGTTGGGTATTCTTTGATCGTACAGCTTATCGAGTTCTTCTTGATTCAAGCATTGTTGAAGCCAGGAGTGTTTACTTTGATGAGTCCAAGTTTCCATTTATGAAAAGTGATAAGGACTTGTCTATTAATGGTACTGGTGTTGGGTTTAGTGTTGGTTCTGGTTCAGGGTCCATGTCAGGACCTTTGTTTTGATTCTAAGGGGACTGGTTTAGGATCTAATGTTAGGTTAATTCTATTGCTAGTTCTGATTTAAGTTCTGGTTCTAGTTTTGGGTCTCATAGATCTTTACCAGCATCCTCATCTGGTTCTGGTTCTGGTTCTGGTTCTGGTTCTGGTTCTATTTGTGCTTTTACCGTCTCCGTCTCCGTCTTCTTCTCCGTCTCATCTCCGTCGCCGCCTCCTTCTTCTTCTTCTTCTATTATTGTTCATAAGCCCCCGTTCTGTTCGTCGCATTTTGTCTACACCTTCTGCCCTCTTGAGTCTCCTACTCTTCCTTCTATTGCTTCAGTTCCATCTCTTCCTAGTTCTCCCATTCTTCCACCTTCAGATCATGATGTCTCTATCTCTCCTGACTCTAGTCCTATTATTTCTTCTTCGGAATATATTCCCTTCACAATTAGACTTATCTGAAACTGGTCCATCTATTAATGAATCTGATATTTCAGGTGATTCTGGGATCTCGCAACGAGGGGTGATATTGGGTTTCAACCCGTCTATCATTGCTTCGTCTCCCACTCCACCACCTTCTGTTGAATTGGAAGTAGTGCCACTTAGTCAAGAATCTCCTTCGTCTGATCTTGTTAATTCTCTTGACCAAGCTGGTGTTAGTGTTGTCACTAAGGATGATACTCAAGCTGTTTTGCCTAAATCTCGATCTCGTGTTGTTGCTGTTCGTTTACCTTCTATAACTCCTGCCAAACGCCCGAGTTCTGATGACATTGTTTCACCTCCTTCTAAACACCTTTGTGAAAATTCTTTGAAACAATCTCCAGTGTCTGCAACACCTGCAAAACGTCCAGCTGAAGAAGAGTGTATTTCTTATCGTCGTCTCAAATCTCCGCTTTGAGTATGATGATGTGGCTTTTACTTGTTTTACAGATCCTAGTAGTTTTGAAGAAGCTATGTCTAGTGAAGAAGCTGAGTTTTGGCTTGAAGCCTGTGTTATTGAAATGTCGTCTCTAAACGCAATGGTACTTGGGAATTGGTTGATCTCCCACCTGGTCACAAGGCTATCAATAGCAAATGGGTGTTTAAAGTTAAGCGCAAAGCTGACGGTTCAATTGAACGTTACAAAGCTCGTCTCGTGTGTATTGGATTTTCGCAAGTTGAAGGTATTGATTATACTGAAACTTTTGGTTCTGTTGTTCGTTACGAGACTGTGAGGATTGTTCTTGCTATTGCTGCTCAGTTTGGGTTCCAGGTTCATCATATGGATGTCGAGACTGCATTTTTAATGGTGATCTCAAAGAAGATATTTATATGAGACAACCTAAAGGCTTTGTTGTCAAAGGTCAGGAATCTAAAGTGTGTCATTTGAAGAAGTCTTTGTATGGTTTAAAGCAAGCTCCTTTGTGTTGGAATGAGAAGATTCATGGTGCTCTTTGTCAAACTTGGGTTTATTCGTAATGAAAGTGACTACGGCGTGTATACCAAAGGATCTGGGTCTACCATGGTCATTATTGCACTGTATGTTGATGATTTACTTATTTCTGGCAATTCTTCTGAAGTCATTGCCAAAACCAAGTCTTCTTTTGTCATCTATGTTTAAGATGAAAGACTTGGGCCCAGTCGAGCAGTTCCTTGGCATGAGAGTTAAGCAGTCACCTTACCATATTACTGTGGATGTTTCTGCGTTATATTTTTGATATGTTGGAAGAGTTTGGTATGCAGAACTGTTCAAGTGTCAAGACTCCTTTACCCACTCGTGATCTTTCTGATTTTTCCGAGTCTGACTCTGCTACCGATGCCTCCATGTATCGCAGTATTATTGGTAAGCTGATTTATGCTGCTAATTGTGCTCGTCCTGATCTTGCTGTTGCTGTTAGCTTTCTTTGTCGATATATGCAGAGTCCTAAGTCTATTCATATGGAAGCTGCTAAGCATACTCTTCGTTATCTTAAGGGTACTGCTGAACTTGGTCTTGAATATCGAGCTCAGAAAGTCTACAAGCTTGTTGGTTATAGTGATGCCGACTATGCACAGGACAAGCAGGACCGTAAGTCATTTACTGGGTATGTTTTCATTCTGTCTGGTGGTCCCATTACTTGGGCTTGTCGAAAGCAAGTTAGTCCTGCATCGTCCAGCGTCGAGTCTGAGTACATGTCATTGTCTGATGCGTCTAAGGAATGCTTCTGGATTAATCAGTTGTTGTCCCTTTGCAAGATTCCTGTTCCGTTGCCAGTGACTATGTTTGAGGACAATCAGGGATGTATTGCTTTGGCTCAGAACCCAGTGTTTCATCGTCGCACCAAGCATATTGATGTTCGGTATCATGTTGTGCGTCACTATATTCGCAGTGGAGGATTCATCTGGAGTATCTTGATACTCAAGTGATGTTGGCAGATATGTTTACTAAGAATCTTGGTCGTGAAGTTTGAGACATTGAGGGGACTACTTGGTATGAAGGCAGTAGGTGATTCTGCGACAAGGGGAGGTGTTGAGCATGCAATGTTGTCGCAGACTAGTGCAGTTGATAATGCACGTGAGTTTGGGTGGGAAACTATGGTTGACAATCTATGTTTATTTTAGTTTTAGCCGCATTAGGTTTAAGCCCTTATGTGACTGTGGTTACCCTCCTTAATTTGTTACAAAGTTGAAGTGTAATACAAACCCACTCAACTTTGGGACAAACCCAAATGAAAAATTTTCACCACTGCAAATTTTTCTTTTCCTTGGGTATATAAGGAAGGTTTCTTCCCCAACTTTTATAATTTTTCTTTTCCTTTTTCTTTCTTCTTATATAACTGTTTTATCTTATATATTTCAATATATACTTTTCTTGGATAATATTTTCTATTATTATCATGACTTCCCGTGTCACAGTTCAACACAGTCAAGTGCCTGCGAATTCAACACGGCCTCCTTTGCAATAAATTTGAGAGACTGTGAAAGGACAGGTAGTCCCTTTCCAACCGCGAAGGCTGATTTATCAACCTTCCTCATAGCTTCTGGTCCTTGTCTGCAAATCTGATCCCAGTCAATTGAATTTCCTGAGAACTTGAAAGATCCAGTTGGAGGTACGATATTCCTAGTAAACTTTACCGGAACAATGTTGGCACAAATGTGAGACTTGGCATCTCTGGCACCGCCAACCCTACCAACCTTTTCCTCACCAAAATAGGCCAGACAATCCCCACTTGGGACCGTATGAAAAGAAACATCGTGCGTGCGCCAGACAGAATCAGAAAACAAATTGCTAGACCCAGCAGGAAAATAAAGTGCGTCAGCAATATGGCAAATATTGGTGCCACCGTCACCTTTTAATACAACAGCAATTTTACCTTCCCCTTCTAACACGATGTCGGAACCACCATAGGAGCTGATAGTTTTGGGGCTGCTGTATTTCTCATACGACACAAAGTAGCTGTTGTCTGAGATAAGGTGACCAGTAGCATTTCCAGAATCGAGAACATTTGGAAGATTTGTTTCACCCACAGAGGCGATTTGGTTGGCAGGTGGAAGAAAAGCAACTGGCGAATAATCACTGCTTCCGCCGTCATTATCAAATATGTCTTGATAGCCCGAGCAACAGAGCAAAGAGTTTCAACATCGTCGCGAGCCACCTCAAGGTATTCGGTAGCTTTCAAGGCAGCAACTCTGTTTTGACCATCAGAGTTCGACTTTCTAGCTTGCTTGTCTTCATTGTTGCGCCTCTTGTTGCCACCGGACCCCTTGGACCACTGCTTCCCTTTTCCATGCTTGGTATCAGAGTGGCCAGCTTTCTTCGAAGATTCCTGCTTGGATTCCTGCTTGGGTTCTTGCTTGGTTCCTGCTTTGGCACCACTTTTGTCGAACCGTCAATAATTCTTCGACCTTTTTACGAAGGCTGCAGAAGTTGCTTCAACTAGCGCTGGGATTTCAACTGAATCACAGGGGCTCCATCCTCCAGATCTTGACTTGAAAATGTCGACAAACTTGGTAATCCCCCAGAGATGACTCTGAGGATCTTCGCGAGCAGCTGCTGAAACCTTGTTGTTATTCAGCACTGCTAATATAAGGTCACGGTGAAAGGTGCCATCCGGGTTGTTAAAGAAATATTGCTCCACTACAGAGGCCCACTTGGAAGCTTCAGTAACAGTAGCTTGTATTTTGGTTTCAATTTCACTGCTGGTAAGCCCGGCGAAATAACTAGGACCTGGAACTCCTACTGAGATAGCTTGCGTCATCGCAAATACAATGTTAAGCTCAGGGCTTGGGGATATGCGCAAACCAATATGATTAAGACGTTGGTAAAATGAGAGCACTCGCCCCAGGTCGGCGGGCTCTAGGATTTCAGGATCTATACGAGCCATTCTTTTTCCAGGTTCAAATAGGACCCCCATGGCTTCTTCCCGCACAGACGCCGAATCCATAGGTGGAGTTTTAGAAACTCGGGCGACGTGTCCCACCGGGCCTGTTCAGCTGCAGCCAGGTTAGCTGCAGGCGTGGTTTTAAAATGTAAGCCTTGAGTAGTTCATCAAGGGCCCTCTCAAACCTGATACCGTAAACCAAGCTGAAGGGCAGTATGGCCAACAATTGGCTTATAGATATAGTTGTTCCAAAACCCGGCCGCAGCTGTTAATTTGCCCAATAAGACCGTATATCCAAAAATCCAATTCACTTTTTTTAGAGAAATTGTTTGAAATTTGGCGCTTGAGGAGCGTCAAAGGAGCTCATAACCTTTTGAGATGGGGGAGGACTAGCTTTGAAGTTTGAGTTTCTAATGTAAGCTGTCAAGTCTGCTAAGACTTTTAATTCAGCTTCACATCCTTCGGAACAAACTGGTATGTTGGCAATGGTTAATTGTCTAACGGTAAATCCAGAACGGTCAGCGAGATCAATTTGACGATGAACAGGGAGATCGGCGAATGTCTCATAAGAGCTGGCGTTGTTCTTTGAATGGGTCTCAGATGTTGAGTGGGCAACAGAACTTCCAGTGCTGGCTGACTCGAAGGATGAGGGTCCTTCATTGACTCCTGTAGTGTTTCCGTGATTAGACATAGCGGAGAAGACTAAAAGCGAGAGTTAATAAGTAAATACGATTGATAAGCTGAAAGCTGAAAGAGTATTTAATAAAAACAGTTTTGCGTAAATTTAGAGTAGCTATTGTTGAGCATGCAATGTTGTCGCAGACTAGTGCAGTTGATAATGCACGTGAGTTTGGGTGGGAAACTATGGTTGACAATCTATGTTTATTTTAGTTTTAGCCGCATTAGGTTTAAGCCCTTATGTGACTGTGGTTACCCTCCTTAATTTGTTACAAAGTTGAAGTGTAATACAAACCCACTCAACTTTGGGACAAACCCAAATGAAAAATTTTCACCACTGCAAATTTTTCTTTCCCTCAGATATTTAAGGAAGGTTTCTTCCCAACTTTTATAATTTTTTTTTTTCCTTTTCTTTCTTCTTATATAACTGTTTTATCTTATATATTTCAATATATACTTTTCTTGGATAATATTTTCTATTATTATCATGACTTCCCGTGTCACAGTTCAACAGGTTATGGGCCGCACTTCGGCTTATATTAATCTTACTTCCTCTGAAAACTCACTCCTCTCAACTATCATGTCTGGGCTACCAAAATTCTTTTGGTCTTCGTGCTATGAATAATGGTGTCCACCTTTATGTCGAAGCTGGTACTGTCAATCCAGCTGCCAATGAATCCCTTTGAAGACCTCACCGCCTCGCTTGATACCGTCGTCCATGATGTCATCCTCAACAATATTTCTCCTGAGTTGATCGAACATGTTAATGATGTGGCCATTAGAGGCCGTGACCTCTGGCTTTACCTTCATCAGGAGTATAGTCAACTCCAACCCGCCGATGTCATCTCTTATGAAATCCTCTATGCTGGCAATATTGATGTTGGTCCAAAGTTTGTTTCTTCTGTTCGTTCATATGTTGCTACATGGCGTTCCATCTACCAATCATTGTCGCCTGATTCGGTTGTGGCCTTCAACGCTTTGGCCTCAATGGGTCCCAATTGTGAGCGCTTCATCCAGTACGCCTTGGAGCACCGCTTTGATAGTAACAACAATACTGACAACCTTGATATTAACAACTTCATCCGGAACACTGATAAATGGGCCAAGTTGTTGAAGATTACTGGACCTCCAGCTACTCTTTCGACTGAAGCGTTCGTTGCTTCATCAAAGAAGTACAATAACAAATCTAAGGGTGATGGTATCAAATGTTTCCGTTGTAAGAGGCGTGGTCATACTTCCAACAATTGTCATGTCTCTTGGGAAGAGGTTCAGGCTGCTCGCCAAGATAATAAGGATGACAAGGAATCTAAGGAGGCTAAACCCTCAAGAGGTTGGTTTGCTGAGACTATTGATGAATTTTCTGAGATAGTTGATGATGATCCATTTGTGAGTTCCGCTTTTGTGTCCGAGACATCTGTTGTTTCTGAAAAGTTTGGTAACAGTTGCTCCGAGTCGTTTGATGATTTGGAATCCGAACTTTTTGATTCTTCTGAGCCGTGTGTCGGCGATGAAGATTGTTTTGTTGGTCAAGTTTCTGAGTATTGTTCAAACTCAGGACTTGATATTGATTCAGTTGGTAAACCGTTTGTTGGTTCCACTGATGATTCTTGTTTTATTTCTGAACCGTATGTCGGTTCTACTGTTGTTTGTTTGGAGTCTGAACCGTGTGTCAGTTCAGCTCCTATTTGTTTTGATTCTGAATCGTTGGTCGATTCGGATATTGTTCCTTTGATTCTGAAACCGTTGGTCGGTTCTTCTTTTATTTCTTGTTCTGATTCTAAACCGTTGGTCGGTTCTGATGATGATATTGTCTTACCTTCTTTTGATTTTTTGGTGGATTCAATTACTGAACCTTCTCCGCCTATTGTTAAACCTATTGTTACACCAAAATCCCGTTTTTCTCCATTCTTTTACTTATCTTTGTTACCATCATGTTGTTTTCCTTGATTTTAATTGTCGTCTGGCATCCTTCTTCAATCTTGGATTTAAGTCATTCAGTCCATCATGTTTTTGTTGCTGAATCTACTACTTCTGCTGAGGCCAACTTAGTTGTTGGGTCTGATTCTTTTGACTTTATCCATGATACCGGTGCTACCAGTCACATTTGCAATAACATCTCATATTTTTCTTCTCTCGTCCCACTTCGGCTACCATTCGTGGTCTTGGTTCTGCTACTGCTGAGGGGTTGGCGACATTGTCGTCGATCTTCTTGGTAAAGATGACCAGCCTTGTGACCGCGTTGTTCTTCGAGATGTTTTATATGTTCCTAAGATTCCTCGCAATTTATTTGCTGCTCGTCGAGCTACTGCTGGTGGTTGTCGGTTCATTCAAGACCTTAACCATATTTCTGCTGTCGAAAATGGCAAAACTCGAGTCCACGCCATTGCCATGGGTGACTTGTACTTTTGTCGTTTCCGAGTTGTTTTGCCTTCCAAGCCAGTTCATGAGGTGTTTGCTGTTGAGTCGTCTGCCAATCTTTGGCACAAGCGACTTGGTCACGCCAGTGTGGACGTTCTCAAGAAATTATCTAAGTCACTTTCTGTCAAGCCTACTCATTTTGAGGTTGTGGATAGTCATAAGTGTGACGCTTGCTTGGGTGGCAAAGCCACAGCATTGCCATTTAATGGTACCACAGAAAAAGCTAGTCGTCCTTTGGAGTTATTTGTTTCTGATTTAAGCGGTCCTCATGTCGCTACCCCTGTGGGTCATCGTTATGTCTTAACCATTATGGATTATTATTCCAGGTACTCTTATGTGGAGTTGTTGGTTAGGAAAAGTGATGCAAGTCTTGCCATTCGTAACTTTATTGCTAGGTGTGAATCTTATTTTTCTGGTGATTCTGCTGGTGATCGAGTTGCATATTTTCATTCTGATAATGGCGGCGAATACATTTCCAAAGACCTGGAGCAGTTCTTTGTGTCTAAGGGTATCAAGTGTTGAGCATGCAATGTTGTCGCAGACTAGTGCAGTTGATAATGCACGTGAGTTTGGGTGGGAAACTATGGTTGACAATCTATGTTTATTTTAGTTTTAGCCGCATTAGGTTTAAGCCCTTATATGACTGTGGTTACCCTCCTTAATTTGTTACAAAGTTGAAGTGTAATACAAACCCACTCAACTTTGGGACAAACCCAAATGAAAAATTTTCACCACTGCAAATTTTTCTTTCCCTTGGGTATATAAGGAAAGTTTCTTCCCCAACTTTTATAATTTTTCTTTTCCTTTTTCTTTCTTCTTATATAACTGTTTTATCTTATATATTTCAATATATACTTTTCTTGGATAATATTTTCTATTATTATCATGACTTCCCGTGTCACAGTTCAACATCAAGCATACTTATACAGTTCCTCATACTCCTCAACAAAATGGTGTTGCTGAGCGATTGAATCGCACATTATTTGAGAAAGCCAAGTCTATGCTTTTATATGCTCATGCTCCTGAATACTTATGGGGTGAAGCTGTCAAGTCTGCTAATTATATTAGGAACCGTCTTCCTAGTCGTACCACTGGTGGTGTTGCACCTCTTCAACTTTGGACTGGTAAACCTCCTAGTTATCATCATATGAAAGTATTTGGTTGTCAAGCTACAGTTGTTCTTCCTGGTGCTAAAAGAGAATCTAAGTTAAGTTCAAATACTGAAGCTGGTGTTTTTGTTGGGTATTCTTTGGATCGTACAGCTTATCGAGTTCTTCTTGATTCAAGCATTGTTGAAGCCAGGAGTGTTTACTTTGATGAGTCCAAGTTTCCATTTATGAAAAGTGATAAGGACTTGTCTATTAATGGTACTGGTGTTGGGTTTAGTGTTGGTTCTGGTTCAGGGTCCATGTCAGGACCTTGTTTTGATTCTAAGGGACTGGTTTAGGATCTAATGTTAGGGTTAATTCTATTGCTAGTTCTGATTTAAGTTCTGGTTCTAGTTTTGGGTCTCATAGATCTTTACCAGCATCCTCATCTGGTTCTGGTTCTGGTTCTATTTGTGCTTTACCGTCTCCGTCTCCGTCTTCTTCACCGTCTCATTCTCCGTCGCCGCCTCCTTCTTCTTCTTCTTCTATTATTGTTAATATGCCTCGTTCTGTTCGTCGCATTTTGTCTACACCTTCTGCTCCTCTTGAGTCTCCTACTCTTCCTACTCTTCCTTCTATTGCTTCAGTTCCATCTCTTCCTAGTTCTCCTATTCTTCCACCTTCAGATCATGATGTCTCTATCTCTCCTGACTCAAGTCCAATTGTTTCTTCTTCGGAATATATTCCTTCACAATTAGACTTATCTGAAGCTGGTCCATCTATTAATGAATCTGATATTTCAGGTGATTCTGGGATCTCGCAACGAGGGGGTGATATTGGGTTTCAACCGTCTATCATTGCTTCGTCTCCCACTCCACCACCTTTTGTTGAGTTGGAAGTAGTGCCACTTAGTCAAGAATCTCCTTCGTCTGATCTTGTTAATTCTCTTGACCAAGCTGGTGTTAGTGTTGTCACTAAGGATGATACTCAAGCTGTTTTGCCTAAATCTCGATCTCGTGTTGTTGCTGTTCGTTTACCTTCTATAACTCCTGCCAAACGCCCGAGTTCAGATGACATTGTTTCACCTCCTTCTAAACACCTTTTGTGAAAATTCTTTGAAACAATCTCCAGTGTCTGCAACACCTGCAAAACGTCCAGCTGAAGAAGAGTGTATTTCTTATCGTCGTCTCAAATCTCTCCGCTTTGAGTATGATGATGTGGCTTTACTTGTTTTTACAGATCCTAGTAGTTTTGAAGAAGCTATGTCTAGTGAAGAAGCTGAGTTTTGGCTTGAAGCCTGTGTTATTGAAATGTCGTCTCTTAAACGCAATGGTACTTGGGAATTGGTTGATCTCCCACCTGGTCGCAAGGCTATCAATAGCAAATGGGTGTTTAAAGTTAAGCGCAAAGCTGACGGTTCAATTGAACGTTACAAAGCTCGTCTCGTGTGTATTGGATTTTCGCAAGTTGAAGGTATTGATTATACTGAAACTTTTGCTCCCGTTGTTCGTTACGAGACTGTGAGGATTGTTCTTGCTATTGCTGCTCAGTTTGGGTTCCAGGTTCATCATATGGATGTCGAGACTGCATTTCTTAATGGTGATCTCAAAGAAGATATTTATATGAGACAACCTAAAGGCTTTGTTGTCAAAGGTCAGGAATCTAAAGTGTGTCATTTGAAGAAGTCTTTATATGGTTTAAAGCAAGCTCCTTTGTGTTGGAATGAGAAGATTCATGGTGCTCTTGTCAAACTTGGGTTTATTCGTAATGAAAGTGACTACGGTGTGTATACCAAAGGATCTGGGTCTACCATTGTTGAACTGTGACACGGGAAGTCATGATAATAATAGAAAATATTATCCTAGAAAAGTATATATTGAAATATATAAGATAAAACAGTTGTATAAGAAGAAAGAAAAAGGAAAAGAAAAATTATAAAAGTTGGGAAAGAAACCTTCCTTATATACCCAAGGAAAAGAAAAATTTGCAGTGGTGAAAATTTTTCATTTGGGTTTGTCCCAAAGTTGAGTGGGTTTGTATTACACTTCAACTTTGTAACAAATTAAGGAGGGTAACCACAGTCACATAAGGGCTTAAACCTAATGCGGCTAAAACTAAAATAAACATAGGTTATCAACCATAGTTTCCCACCCAAACTCACGTGCATTATCAACTGCACTAGTCTGCGACAACATTGCATGCTCAACACAATGCTTGAATCAAGAAGAACTCGATAAGCTGTACGATCCAAAGAATACCCAACAAAAACACCAGCTTCAGTATTTGAACTTAACTTAGATTCTCTTTTAGCACCAGGAAGAACAACTGTAGCTTGACAACCAAATACTTTCATATGGTGATAACTAGGAGGTTTACCCGTCCAAAGTTGAAGAGGTGCAACACCACCAGTGGTACGACTAGGAAGACGGTTCCTAATATAATTAGCAGACTTGACAGCTTCACCCCATAAATACTCAGGAGCATGAGCATATAAAAGCATAGACTTGGCTTTTTCAAATAATGTGCGATTCAATCGCTCAGCAACACCATTTTGCTGAGGAGTATGAGGAACTGTATAAGTATGCTTGATACCCTTAGACACAAAGAACTGCTCCAGGTCTTTGGAAATGTATTCGCCGCCATTATCAGAATGAAAATATGCAACTCGATCACCAGCAGAATCACCAGAAAAATAAGATTCACACCTAGCAATAAAGTTACGAATGGCAAGACTTGCATCACTTTTCCTAACCAACAACTCCACATAAGAGTACCTGGAATAATAATCCATAATGGTTAAGACATAACGATGACCCACAGGGTAGCGACATGAGGACCGCTCAAATCAGAAACAAATAATTCCAAAGGACGACTAGCTTTTTCTGTGGTACCATTAAATGGCAATGCTGTGGCTTTTGCCACCCAAGCAAGCGTCACACTTATGACTATCCACAACCTCAAAATGAGTAGGCTTGACAGAAAGTGACTTAGATAATTTCTTGAGAACGTCCACACTGGCGTGACCAAGTCGCTTGTGCCAAAGATTGGCAGACGACTCAACAGCAAACACCTCATGGACAGGCTTGGAAGGCAAAACAACTCGAAACGACAAAAAGTACAAGTCACCCATGGCAATGGCGTGGACTCGAGTTTTGCCATTTTCGACAGCAGAAATATGGTTAAGGTCTTGAATGAACCGACAACCACCAGCAGTAGCTCGACGAGCGGCAAATAAATTGCGAGGAATCTTAGGAACATATAAAACATCTCGAAGAACAACGCGGTCACAAGGCTGGTCATCTTTACCAAGAAGATCAACGACAATGTCGCCAACCCCCTCAGCAGTAGCAGAACCAAGACCACGAATGGTAGCCGAAGTGGGACGAAGAGAAGAAAAATATGAGATGTTATTGCAAATGTGACTGGTAGCACCGGTATCATGGATAAAGTCAAAAGAATCAGACCCAACAACTAAGTTGGCCTCAGCAGAAGTAGTAGATTCAGCAACAAAAACGTGATGGACTGAATGACTTAAATCCAAGATTGAAAAAGGATGCCAGACGACAATTAAAATCAAGGAAAACAACATGATGGTAACAAAAGATAAGTAAAAGAATGGAGAAAAACGGGATTTTGGTGTAACAATAGGTTTAACAATAGGCGGAGAAGGTTCAGTAATTGAATCCACCAAAAAATCAAAAGAAGGTAAGACAATATCATCATCAGAACCGACCAACGGTTTAGAATCAGAACAAGAAATAAAAGAAGAACCGACCAACGGTTTGTTGAGCATGCAATGTTGTCGCAGACTAGTGCAGTTGATAATGCACGTGAGTTTGGGTGGGAAACTATGGTTGACAATCTATGTTTATTTTAGTTTTAGCCGCATTAGGTTTAAGCCCTTATGTGACTGTGGTTACCCTCCTTAATTTGTTACAAAGTTGAAGTGTAATACAAACCCACTCAACTTTGGGACAAACCCAAATGAAAAATTTTCACCACTGCAAATTTTTCTTTCCCTCAGATATTTAAGGAAGGTTTCTTCCCCAACTTTTATAATTTTTCTTTTCCTTTTCTTTCTTCTTATATAACTGTTTTATCTTATATATTTCAATATATACTTTTCTTGGATAATATTTTCTATTATTATCATGACTTCCCGTGTCACAGTTCAACAGGTTATGGGCCGCACTTCGGCTTATATTAATCTTACTTCCTCTGAAAAACTCACTCCTCTCAACTATCATGTCTGGGCTACCAAAATTCTTTTGGGTCTTCGTGCTATGAATAATGGTGTCCATCTTTATGTCGAAGCTGGTACTGTCAATCCAGCTGCTAATGAATCCCTCGAAGACCTCACCGCCTCGCTTGATACCGTCGTCCATGATGTCATCCTCAACAACATTTCTCCTGAGTTGATCGAACATGTTAATGATGTGGCCATTAGAGGCCGTGACCTCTGGCTTTATCTTCATCAGGAGTATAGTCAACTTCAACCCGCCGATGTCATCTCACTTATGAAATCCCTCTATGCTGGCAATATTGATGTTGGTCCAAAGTTTGTTTCTTCTGTTCGTTCTTATGTTGCTACCTGGCGTTCCATCTACCAATCATTGTCGCCTGATTCGGTTGTGGCCTTCAACGCTTTGGCCTCAATGGGTCCCAATTGTGAGCGCTTCATCCAGTACGCCTTGGAGCACCGCTTTGATAGTAACAACAATACTGACAACCTTGATATCAACAACTTCATCCGGAACACTGATAAATGGGCCAAGTTGTTGAAGATTACTGACCCCTGCTACTCTTTCGACTGAAGCGTTCGTTGCTTCATCAAAGAAGTACAATAACAAATCTAAGGGTGATGGTATCAAATGTTTTCGTTGTAAGAGGCGTGGTCATACTTCCAACAATTGTCATGTCTCTTGGGAAGAGGTTCAGGCTGCTCGCCAAGATAATAAGGATGACAAGGAATCTAAGGAGGCTAAAACCTCAAGAGGTTGGTTTGCTGAGACTATTGATGAATTTTCTGAGATAGTTGATGATGATCCATTTGTGAGTTCCGCTTTTGTGTCCGAGACATCTGTTGTTTCTGAAAAGTTTGGTAACAGTTGTCCGAGTCGTTTGATGATTTGGAATCCGAACTTTTGATTCTTCTGAGCCGTGTGTCGGCGATGAAGATTGTTTTGTTGGTCAAGTTTCTGCGTATTGTTCAAACTCAGGACTTGATATTGATTCAGTTGGTAAACCGTTTGTTGGTTCCACTGATGATTCTTGTTTTATTTCTGAACCGTATGTCGGTTCTACTGTTGTTTGTTTGGAGTCTGAACCGTGTGTCAGTTCAGCTCCTATTTGTTTTGATTCTGAATCGTTGGTCGATTCGGATATTGTTCCTTTTGATTCTGAACCGTTGGTCGGTTCTTCTTTTATTTCTTGTTCTGATTCTAAACCGTTGGTCGGTTCTGATGATGATATTGTCTTACCTTCTTTTGATTTTTTGGTGGATTCAATTACTGAACCTTCTCCGCCTATTGTTAAACCTATTGTTACACCAAAATCCCGTTTTTTGTTGAACAGCTAAAATAGGAAGCTAAGCTGGACAACCATAAAAGAACGGCACTACGGGGGATCGAACCCCAGTCTCACTCATATGGCCTGAGTGCGTGTTACCACTACACCACAGAGCCTACTTATTGTTAAGTAGTAACTCTTTCATGATGTTACTGGGAAAATCTCGTGATACACAAACGGTGGATAGTGTTGGAACTGGACCCTACACTCAACAGGTCTCAACACGACACACGTATATTCCAACACCTCCCCTTATCACGAGATCCCATCACGTGTGTAATACAGTGCGCTCTTCTATGTTGTCCCAACCCTCAGGGCTCATAACCTGTTGAACAGCTAAAATAGGAAGCTAAGCTGGACAACCATAAAAGAACGGCACTACGGGGGATCGAACCCCAGTCTCACTCATATGGCCTGAGTGCGTGTTACCACTACACCACAGAGCCTACTTATTGTTAAGTAGTAACTCTTTCATGATGTTACTGGGAAAATCTCGTGATACACAAACGGTGGATAGTGTTGGAACTGGACCCTACACTCAACAGGTCTCAACACGACACACGTATATTCCAACATTTTTCTCCATTCTTTTACTTATCTTTTGTTACCATCATGTTGTTTTCCTTGATTTTAATTGTCGTCTGGCATCCTTCTTCAATCTTGGATTTAAGTCATTCAGTCCATCATGTTTTTGTTGCTGAATCTACTACTTCTGCTGAGGCCAACTTAGTTGTTGGGTCTGATTCTTTTGACTTTATCCATGATACCGGTGCTACCAGTCACATTTGCAATAACATCTCATATTTTTCTTCTCTTCGTCCCACTTCGGCTACCATTCGTGGTCTTGGTTCTGCTACTGCTGAGGGGGTTGGCGACATTGTCGTCGATCTTCTTGGTAAAGATGACCAGCCTTGTGACCGCGTTGTTCTTCGAGATGTTTTATATGTTCCTAAGATTCCTCGCAATTTATTTGCTGCTCGTCGAGCTACTGCTGGTGGTTGTCGGTTCATTCAAGACCTTAACCATATTTCTGCTGTCGAAAATGGCAAAACTCGAGTCCACGCCATTGCCATGGGTGACTTGTACTTTGTCGTTTCCGAGTTGTTTTGCCTTCCAAGCCAGTTCATGAGGTGTTTGCTGTTGAGTCGTCTGCCAATCTTTGGCACAAGCGACTTGGTCACGCCAGTGTGGACGTTCTCAAGAAATTATCTAAGTCACTTTCTGTCAAGCCTACTCATTTTGAGGTTGTGGATAGTCATAAGTGTGACGCTTGTTTGGGTGGCAAAGCCACAGCATTGCCATTTAATGGTACCACAGAAAAAGCTAGTCGTCCTTTGGAGTTATTTGTTTCTGATTTAAGCGGTCCTCATGTCGCTACCCCTGTGGGTCATCGTTATGTCTTAACCATTATGGATTATTATTCCAGGTACTCTTATGTGGAGTTGTTGGTTAGGAAAAGTGATGCAAGTCTTGCCATTCGTAACTTTATTGCTAGGTGTGAATCTTATTTTTCTGGTGATTCTGCTGGTGATCGAGTTGCATATTTTCATTCTGATAATGGCGGCGAATACATTTCCAAAGACCTGGAGCAGTTCTTTGTGTCTAAGGGTATCAAGCATACTTATACAGTTCCTCATACTCCTCAACAAAATGGTGTTGCTGAGCGATTGAATCGCACATTATTTGAGAAAGCCAAGTCTATGCTTTTATATGCTCATGCTCCTGAATACTTATGGGGTGAAGCTGTCAAGTCTGCTAATTATATTAGGAACCGTCTTCCTAGTCGTACCACTGGTGGTGTTGCACCTCTTCAACTTTGGACGGGTAAACCTCCTAGTTATCACCATATGAAAGTATTTGGTTGTCAAGCTACAGTTGTTCTTCCTGGTGCTAAAAGAGAATCTAAGTTAAGTTCAAATACTGAAGCTGGTGTTTTTGTTGGGTATTCTTTGGATCGTACAGCTTATCGAGTTCTTCTTGATTCAAGCATTGTTGAAGCCAGGAGTGTTTACTTTGATGAGTCCAAGTTTCCATTTATGAAAAGTGATAAGGACTTGTCTATTAATGGTACTGGTGTTGGGTTTAGTGTTGGTTCTGGTTCAGGGTCCATGTCAGGACCTTGTTTTGATTCTAAGGGGACTGGTTTAGGATCTAATGTTAGGGTTAATTCTATTGCTAGTTCTGATTTAAGTTCTGGTTCTAGTTTTGGGTCTCATAGATCTTTACCAGCATCCTCATCTGGTTCTGGTTCTGGTTCTATTTGTGCTTTTACCGTCTCCGTCTCCGTCTTCTTCACCGTCTCATTCTCCGTCGCCGCCTCCTTCTTCTTCTTCTTCTATTATTGTTAATATGCCTCGTTCTGTTCGTCGCATTTTGTCTACACCTTCTGCTCCTCTTGAGTCTCCTACTCTTCCTACTCTTCCTTCTATTGCTTCAGTTCCATCTCTTCCTAGTTCTCCTATTCTTCCACCTTCAGATCATGATGTCTCTATCTCTCCTGACTCAAGTCCAATTGTTTCTTCTTCGGAATATATTCCTTCACAATTAGACTTATCTGAAGCTGGTCCATCTATTAATGAATCTGATATTTCAGGTGATTCTGGGATCTCGCAACGAGGGGGTGATATTGGGTTTCAACCGTCTATCATTGCTTCGTCTCCCACTCCACCACCTTTGTTGAGTTGGAAGTAGTGCCACTTAGTCAAGAATCTCCTTCGTCTGATCTTGTTAATTCTCTTGACCAAGCTGGTGTTAGTGTTGTCACTAAGGATGATACTCAAGCTGTTTTGCCTAAATCTCGATCTCGTGTTGTTGCTGTTCGTTTACCTTCTATAACTCCTGCCAAACGCCCGAGTTCAGATGACATTGTTTCACCTCCTTCTAAACACCTTTGTGAAAATTCTTTGAAACAATCTCCAGTGTCTGCAACACCTGCAAAACGTCCAGCTGAAGAAGAGTGTATTTCTTATCGTCGTCTCAAATCTCTCCGCTTTGAGTATGATGATGTGGCTTTACTTGTTTTACAGATCCTAGTAGTTTTGAAGAAGCTATGTCTAGTGAAGAAGCTGAGTTTTGGCTTGAAGCCTGTGTTATTGAAATGTCGTCTCTTAAACGCAATGGTACTTGGGAATTGGTTGATCTCCCACCTGGTCGCAAGGCTATCAATAGCAAATGGGTGTTTAAAGTTAAGCGCAAAGCTGACGGTTCAATTGAACGTTACAAAGCTCGTCTCGTGTGTATTGGATTTTCGCAAGTTGAAGGTATTGATTATACTGAAACTTTTGCTCCCGTTGTTCGTTACGAGACTGTGAGGATTGTTCTTGCTATTGCTGCTCAGTTTGGGTTCCAGGTTCATCATATGGATGTCGAGACTGCATTTCTTAATGGTGATCTCAAAGAAGATATTTATATGAGACAACCTAAAGGCTTTGTTGTCAAAGGTCAGGAATCTAAAGTGTGTCATTTGAAGAAGTCTTTATATGGTTTAAAGCAAGCTCCTTTGTGTTGGAATGAGAAGATTCATGGTGCTCTTGTCAAACTTGGGTTTATTCGTAATGAAAGTGACTACGGTGTGTATACCAAAGGATCTGGGTCTACCATGGTCATTATTGCACTGTATGTTGATGATTTACTTATTTCTGGCAATTCTTCTGAAGTCATTGCCAAAACCAAGTCTTCTTTGTCATCTATGTTTAAGATGAAAGACTTGGGCCCAGTCGAGCAGTTCCTTGGCATGAGAGTTAAGCAGTCACCTTACCATATTACTGTGGATGTTTCACGTTATATTTTTGACGTGTTGGAGGAGTTTGGTATGCAGAATTGTTCAAGTGTCAAGACTCCTTTACCCACTCGTGATCTTTCTGATTTTTCCGAGTCTGACTCTGCTACCGATGCCTCCATGTATCGCAGTATTATTGGTAAGCTGATTTATGCTGCTAATTGTGCTCGTCCTGATCTTGCTGTTGCTGTTAGCTTTCTTTGTCGATATATGCAGAGTCCTAAGTCTATTCATATGGAAGCTGCTAAGCATACTCTTCGTTATCTTAAGGGTACTGCTGAACTTGGTCTTGAATATCGAGCTCAGAAAGTCTACAAGCTTGTTGGCTATAGTGATGCCGATTATGCACAGGACAAGCAGGACCGTAAGTCCTTTACTGGGTATGTTTTTATTCTGTCTGGTGGTCCCATTACTTGGGCTTGTCGAAAGCAAGTTAGTCCTGCATCGTCCAGCGTCGAGTCTGAGTATATGTCATTGTCTGATGCGTCTAAGGAATGCTTCTGGATTAATCAGTTGTTGTCTCTTTGCAAGATTCCTGTTCCGTTGCCAGTGACTATGTTTGAGGACAATCAGGGATGTATTGCTTTGGCTCAGAACCCAGTGTTTCATCGTCGCACCAAGCATATTGATGTTCGGTATCATGTTGTCCGTCACTATATTCGCAGTGGAGTGATTCATCTGGAGTATCTTGATACTCAAGTGATGTTGGCAGATATGTTTACTAAGAATCTTGGTCGTGTGAAGTTTGAGACATTGAGGGGACTACTTGGTATGAAGGCAGTAGGTGATTCTGCGACAAGGGGAGGTGTTGAGCATGCAATGTTGTCGCAGACTAGTGCAGTTGATAATGCACGAGTTTGGGTGGGAAACTATGGTTGACAATCTATGTTTATTTTAGTTTTAGCCGCATTAGGTTTAAGCCCTTATGTGACTGTGGTTACCCTCCTTAATTTGTTACAAAGTTGAAGTGTAATACAAACCCACTCAACTTTGGGACAAACCCAAATGAAAAATTTTCACCACTGCAAATTTTTCTTTCCCTCAGATATTTAAGGAAGGTTTCTTCCCCAACTTTTATAATTTTTCTTTTCCTTTTTTCTTTCTTCTTATATAACTGTTTTATCTTATATATTTCAATATATACTTTTCTTGGATAATATTTTCTATTATTATCATGACTTCCCGTGTCACAGTTCAACAGGTTATGGGCCGCACTTCGGCTTATATTAATCTTACTTCCTCTGAAAAACTCCTCCTCTCAACTATCATGTCTGGGCTACCAAAATTTTTTTGGGTCTTCGTGCTATGAATAATGGTGTCCATCTTTATGTCGAAGCTGGTACTGTCAATCCAGCTGCTAATGAATCCCTCGAAGACCTCACCGCCTCGCTTGATACCGTCGTCCATGATGTCATCCTCAACAACATTTCTCCTGAGTTGATCGAACATGTTAATGATGTGGCCATTAGAGGCCGTGACCTCTGGCTTTATCTTCATCAGGAGTATAGTCAACTTCAACCCGCCGATGTCATCTCACTTATGAAATCCCTCTATGCTGGCAATATTGATGTTGGTCCAAAGTTTGTTTCTTCTGTTCGTTCTTATGTTGCTACCTGGCGTTCCATCTACCAATCATTGTCGCCTGATTCGGTTGTGGCCTTCAACGCTTTGGCCTCAATGGGTCCCAATTGTGAGCGCTTCATCCAGTACGCCTTGGAGCACCGCTTTGATAGTAACAACAATACTGACAACCTTGATATCAACAACTTCATCCGGAACACTGATAAATGGGCCAAGTTGTTGAAGATTACTGGACCCCCTGCTACTCTTTCGACTGAAGCGTTCGTTGCTTCATCAAAGAAGTACAATAACAAATCTAAGGGTGATGGTATCAAATGTTTTCGTTGTAAGAGGCGTGGTCATACTTCCAACAATTGTCATGTCTCTTGGGAAGAGGTTCAGGCTGCTCGCCAAGATAATAAGGATGACAAGGAATCTAAGGAGGCTAAAACCTCAAGAGGTTGGTTTGCTGAGACTATTGATGAATTTTCTGAGATAGTTGATGATGATCCATTTGTGAGTTCCGCTTTTGTGTCCGAGACATCTGTTGTTTCTGAAAAGTTTGGTAACAGTTGCTCCGAGTCGTTTGATGATTTGGAATCCGAACTTTTTGATTCTTCTGAGCCGTGTGTCGGCGATGAAGATTGTTTTGTTGGTCAAGTTTCTGCGTATTGTTCAAACTCAGGACTTGATATTGATTCAGTTGGTAAACCGTTTGTTGGTTCCACTGATGATTCTTGTTTTATTTCTGAACCGTATGTCGGTTCTACTGTTGTTTGTTTGGAGTCTGAACCGTGTGTCAGTTCAGCTCCTATTTGTTTTGATTCTGAATCGTTGGTCGATTCGGATATTGTTCCTTTTGATTCTGAACCGTTGGTCGGTTCTTCTTTTATTCTTGTTCTGATTCTAAACCGTTGGTCGGTTCTGATGATGATATTGTCTTACCTTCTTTTGATTTTTTGGTGGATTCAATTACTGAACCTTCTCCGCCTATTGTTAAACCTATTGTTACACCAAAATCCCGTTTTTTGTTGAACAGCTAAAATAGGAAGCTAAGCTGGACAACCATAAAAGAACGGCACTACGGGGGATCGAACCCCAGTCTCACTCATATGGCCTGAGTGCGTGTTACCACTACACCACAGAGCCTACTTATTGTTAAGTAGTAACTCTTTCATGATGTTACTGGGAAAATCTCGTGATACACAAACGGTGGATAGTGTTGGAACTGGACCCTACACTCAACAGGTCTCAACACGACACACGTATATTCCAACACCTCCCCTTATCACGAGATCCCATCACGTGTGTAATACAGTGCGCTCTTCTATGTTGTCCCAACCCTCAGGGCTCATAACCTGTTGAACAGCTAAAATAGGAAGCTAAGCTGGACAACCATAAAAGAACGGCACTACGGGGGATCGAACCCCAGTCTCACTCATATGGCCTGAGTGCGTGTTACCACTACACCACAGAGCCTACTTATTGTTAAGTAGTAACTCTTTCATGATGTTACTGGGAAAATCTCGTGATACACAAACGGTGGATAGTGTTGGAACTGGACCCTACACTCAACAGGTCTCAACACGACACACGTATATTCCAACATTTTTCCATTCTTTTACTTATCTTTTGTTACCATCATGTTGTTTTCCTTGATTTTAATTGTCGTCTGGCATCCTTCTTCAATCTTGGATTTAAGTCATTCAGTCCATCATGTTTTTGTTGCTGAATCTACTACTTCTGCTGAGGCCAACTTAGTTGTTGGGTCTGATTCTTTTGACTTTATCCATGATACCGGTGCTACCAGTCACATTTGCAATAACATCTCATATTTTTCTTCTCTTCGTCCCACTTCGGCTACCATTCGTGGTCTTGGTTCTGCTACTGCTGAGGGGGTTGGCGACATTGTCGTCGATCTTCTTGGTAAAGATGACCAGCCTTGTGACCGCGTTGTTCTTCGAGATGTTTTATATGTTCCTAAGATTCCTCGCAATTTATTTGCTGCTCGTCGAGCTACTGCTGGTGGTTGTCGGTTCATTCAAGACCTTAACCATATTTCTGCTGTCGAAAATGGCAAAACTCGAGTCCACGCCATTGCCATGGGTGACTTGTACTTTTGTCGTTTCCGAGTTGTTTTGCCTTCCAAGCCAGTTCATGAGGTGTTTGCTGTTGAGTCGTCTGCCAATCTTTGGCACAAGCGACTTGGTCACGCCAGTGTGGACGTTCTCAAGAAATTATCTAAGTCACTTTCTGTCAAGCCTACTCATTTTGAGGTTGTGGATAGTCATAAGTGTGACGCTTGTTTGGGTGGCAAAGCCACAGCATTGCCATTTAATGGTACCACAGAAAAAGCTAGTCGTCCTTTGGAGTTATTTGTTTCTGATTTAAGCGGTCCTCATGTCGCTACCCCTGTGGGTCATCGTTATGTCTTAACCATTATGGATTATTATTCCAGGTACTCTTATGTGGAGTTGTTGGTTAGGAAAAGTGATGCAAGTCTTGCCATTCGTAACTTTATTGCTAGGTGTGAATCTTATTTTTCTGGTGATTCTGCTGGTGATCGAGTTGCATATTTTCATTCTGATAATGGCGGCGAATACATTTCCAAAGACCTGGAGCAGTTCTTTGTGTCTAAGGGTATCAAGCATACTTATACAGTTCCTCATACTCCTCAACAAAATGGTGTTGCTGAGCGATTGAATCGCACATTATTTGAGAAAGCCAAGTCTATGCTTTTATATGCTCATGCTCCTGAATACTTATGGGGTGAAGCTGTCAAGTCTGCTAATTATATTAGGAACCGTCTTCCTAGTCGTACCACTGGTGGTGTTGCACCTCTTCAACTTTGGACGGGTAAACCTCCTAGTTATCACCATATGAAAGTATTTGGTTGTCAAGCTACAGTTGTTCTTCCTGGTGCTAAAAAGAGAATCTAAGTTAAGTTCAAATACTGAAGCTGGTGTTTTGTTGGGTATTCTTTGGATCGTACAGCTTATCGAGTTCTTCTTGATTCAAGCATTGTTGAAGCCAGGAGTGTTTACTTTGATGAGTCCAAGTTTCCATTTATGAAAAGTGATAAGGACTTGTCTATTAATGGTACTGGTGTTGGGTTTAGTGTTGGTTCTGGTTCAGGGTCCATGTCAGGACCTTGTTTTGATTCTAAGGGGACTGGTTTAGGATCTAATGTTAGGGTTAATTCTATTGCTAGTTCTGATTTAAGTTCTGGTTCTAGTTTTGGGTCTCATAGATCTTTACCAGCATCCTCATCTGGTTCTGGTTCTGGTTCTATTTGTGCTTTACCGTCTCCGTCTCCGTCTTCTTCACCGTCTCATTCTCCGTCGCCGCCTCCTTCTTCTTCTTCTTCTATTATTGTTAATATGCCTCGTTCTGTTCGTCGCATTTTGTCTACACCTTCTGCTCCTCTTGAGTCTCCTACTCTTCCTACTCTTCCTTCTATTGCTTCAGTTCCATCTCTTCCTAGTTCTCCTATTCTTCCACCTTCAGATCATGATGTCTCTATCTCTCCTGACTCAAGTCCAATTGTTTCTTCTTCGGAATATATTCCTTCACAATTAGACTTATCTGAAGCTGGTCCATCTATTAATGAATCTGATATTTCAGGTGATTCTGGGATCTCGCAACGAGGGGGTGATATTGGGTTTCAACCGTCTATCATTGCTTCGTCTCCCACTCCACCACCTTTTGTTGAGTTGGAAGTAGTGCCACTTAGTCAAGAATCTCCTTCGTCTGATCTTGTTAATTCTCTTGACCAAGCTGGTGTTAGTGTTGTCACTAAGGATGATACTCAAGCTGTTTTGCCTAAATCTCGATCTCGTGTTGTTGCTGTTCGTTTACCTTCTATAACTCCTGCCAAACGCCCGAGTTCAGATGACATTGTTTCACCTCCTTCTAAACACCTTTGTGAAAATTCTTTGAAACAATCTCCAGTGTCTGCAACACCTGCAAAACGTCCAGCTGAAGAAGAGTGTATTTCTTATCGTCGTCTCAAATCTCTCCGCTTTGAGTATGATGATGTGGCTTTACTTGTTTTACAGATCCTAGTAGTTTTGAAGAAGCTATGTCTAGTGAAGAAGCTGAGTTTTGGCTTGAAGCCTGTGTTATTGAAATGTCGTCTCTTAAACGCAATGGTACTTGGGAATTGGTTGATCTCCCACCTGGTCGCAAGGCTATCAATAGCAAATGGGTGTTTAAAGTTAAGCGCAAAGCTGACGGTTCAATTGAACGTTACAAAGCTCGTCTCGTGTGTATTGGATTTTCGCAAGTTGAAGGTATTGATTATACTGAAACTTTTGCTCCCGTTGTTCGTTACGAGACTGTGAGGATTGTTCTTGCTATTGCTGCTCAGTTTGGGTTCCAGGTTCATCATATGGATGTCGAGACTGCATTTCTTAATGGTGATCTCAAAGAAGATATTTATATGAGACAACCTAAAGGCTTTGTTGTCAAAGGTCAGGAATCTAAAGTGTGTCATTTGAAGAAGTCTTTATATGGTTTAAAGCAAGCTCCTTTGTGTTGGAATGAGAAGATTCATGGTGCTCTTGTCAAACTTGGGTTTATTCGTAATGAAAGTGACTACGGTGTGTATACCAAAGGATCTGGGTCTACCATGGTCATTATTGCACTGTATGTTGATGATTTACTTATTTCTGGCAATTCTTCTGAAGTCATTGCCAAAACCAAGTCTTCTTGTCATCTATGTTTAAGATGAAAGACTTGGGCCCAGTCGAGCAGTTCCTTGGCATGAGAGTTAAGCAGTCACCTTACCATATTACTGTGGATGTTTCACGTTATATTTTTGACGTGTTGGAGGAGTTTGGTATGCAGAATTGTTCAAGTGTCAAGACTCCTTTACCCACTCGTGATCTTTCTGATTTTTCCGAGTCTGACTCTGCTACCGATGCCTCCATGTATCGCAGTATTATTGGTAAGCTGATTTATGCTGCTAATTGTGCTCGTCCTGATCTTGCTGTTGCTGTTAGCTTTCTTTGTCGATATATGCAGAGTCCTAAGTCTATTCATATGGAAGCTGCTAAGCATACTCTTCGTTATCTTAAGGGTACTGCTGAACTTGGTCTTGAATATCGAGCTCAGAAAGTCTACAAGCTTGTTGGCTATAGTGATGCCGATTATGCACAGGACAAGCAGGACCGTAAGTCCTTTACTGGGTATGTTTTTATTCTGTCTGGTGGTCCCATTACTTGGGCTTGTCGAAAGCAAGTTAGTCCTGCATCGTCCAGCGTCGAGTCTGAGTATATGTCATTGTCTGATGCGTCTAAGGAATGCTTCTGGATTAATCAGTTGTTGTCTCTTTGCAAGATTCCTGTTCCGTTGCCAGTGACTATGTTTGAGGACAATCAGGGATGTATTGCTTTGGCTCAGAACCCAGTGTTTCATCGTCGCACCAAGCATATTGATGTTCGGTATCATGTTGTCCGTCACTATATTCGCAGTGGAGTGATTCATCTGGAGTATCTTGATACTCAAGTGATGTTGGCAGATATGTTTACTAAGAATCTTGGTCGTGTGAAGTTTGAGACATTGAGGGGACTACTTGGTATGAAGGCAGTAGGTGATTCTGCGACAAGGGGAGGTGTTGAGCATGCAATGTTGTCGCAGACTAGTGCAGTTGATAATGCACGTGAGTTTGGGTGGGAAACTATGGTTGACAATCTATGTTTATTTTAGTTTTAGCCGCATTAGGTTTAAGCCCTTATGTGACTGTGGTTACCCTCCTTAATTTGTTACAAAGTTGAAGTGTAATACAAACCCACTCAACTTTGGGACAAACCCAAATGAAAAATTTTCACCACTGCAAATTTTTCTTTCCCTCAGATATTTAAGGAAGGTTTCTTCCCCAACTTTTATAATTTTTCTTTTCCTTTTTCTTTCTTCTTATATAACTGTTTTATCTTATATATTTCAATATATACTTTTCTTGGATAATATTTTCTATTATTATCATGACTTCCCGTGTCACAGTTCAACACGGTTCAGAATCAAAAGGAACAATATCCGAATCGACCAACGATTCAGAATCAAAACAAATAGGAGCTGAACTGACACACGGTTCAGACTCCAAACAAACAACAGTAGAACCGACATACGGTTCAGAAATAAAACAAGAATCATCAGTGGAACCAACAAACGGTTTACCAACTGAATCAATATCAAGTCCTGAGTTTGAACAATACGCAGAAACTTGACCAACAAAACAATCTTCATCGCCGACACACGGCTCAGAAGAATCAAAAAGTTCGGATTCCAAATCATCAAACGACTCGGAGCAACTGTTACCAAACTTTTCAGAAACAACAGATGTCTCGGACACAAAAGCGGAACTCACAAATGGATCATCATCAACTATCTCAGAAAATTCATCAATAGTCTCAGCAAACCAACCTCTTGAGGTTTTAGCCTCCTTAGATTCCTTGTCATCCTTATTATCTTGGCGAGCAGCCTGAACCTCTTCCCAAGAGACATGACAATTGTTGGAAGTATGACCACGCCTCTTACAACGAAAACATTTGATACCATCACCCTTAGATTTGTTATTGTACTTCTTTGATGAAGCAACGAACGCTTCAGTCGAAAGAGTAGCAGGGGGTCCAGTAATCTTCAACAACTTGGCCCATTTATCAGTGTTCCGGATGAAGTTGTTGATATCAAGGTTGTCAGTATTGTTGTTACTATCAAAGCGGTGCTCCAAGGCGTACTGGATGAAGCGCTCACAATTGGGGACCCATTGAGGCCAAAGCGTTGAAGGCCACAACCGAATCAGGCGACAATGATTGGTAGATGGAACGCCAGGTAGCAACATAAGAACGAACAGAAGAAACAAACTTTGGACCAACATCAATATTGCCAGCATAGAGGGATTTCATAAGTGAGATGACATCGGCGGGTTGAAGTTGACTATACTCCTGATGAAGATAAAGCCAGAGGTCACGGCCTCTAATGGCCACATCATTAACATGTTCGATCAACTCAGGAGAAATGTTGTTGAGGATGACATCATGGACGACGGTATCAAGCGAGGCGGTGAGGTCTTCGAGGGATTCATTAGCAGCTGGATTGACAGTACCAGCTTCGACATAAAGATGGACACCATTATTCATAGCACGAAGACCCAAAAGAATTTTGGTAGCCCAGACATGATAGTTGAGAGGAGTGAGTTTTTCAGAGGAAGTAAGATTAATATAAGCCGAAGTGCGGCCCATAACCTGTTGAACTGTGACACGGGAAGTCATGATAATAATAGAAAATATTATCCAAGAAAAGTATATATTGAAATATATAAGATAAAACAGTTATATAAGAAGAAAGAAAAAGGAAAAGAAAAATTATAAAAGTTGGGGAAGAAACCTTCCTTAAATATCTGAGGGAAAGAAAAATTTGCAGTGGTGAAAATTTTTCATTTGGGTTTGTCCCAAAGTTGAGTGGGTTTGTATTACACTTCAACTTTGTAACAAATTAAGGAGGGTAACCACAGTCACATAAGGGCTTAAACCTAATGCGGCTAAAACTAAAATAAACATAGATTGTCAACCATAGTTTCCCACCCAAACTCACGTGCATTATCAACTGCACTAGTCTGCGACAACATTGCATGCTCAACAACCATGGTTATTATTGCACTGTATGTTGATGATTTACTTATTTCTGGCAATTCTTCTGAGGTCATTGCCAAAACCAAGTCTTCTTTGTCATCTATGTTTAAGATGAAAGACTTGGGCCCAGTCGAGCAGTTCCTTGGCATGAGAGTTAAGCAGTCACCGTACCATATTACTGTGGATGTTTCACGTTATATTTTTGATATGTTGGAAGAGTTTGGTATGCAGAACTGTTCAAGTGTCAAGACTCCTTTACCCACTCGTGATCTTTCTGATTTTTCCGAGTCTGACTCTGCTACCGATGCCTCCATGTATCGCAGTATTATTGGTAAGCTGATTTATGCTGCTAATTGTGCTCGTCCTGATCTTGCTGTTGCTGTTAGCTTTCTTTGTCGATATATGCAGAGTCCGAAGTCTATTCATATGGAAGCTGCTAAGCATACTCTTCGTTATCTTAAGGGTACTGCTGAACTTGGTCTTGAATATCGAGCTCAGAAAGTCTACAAGCTTGTTGGCTATAGTGATGCCGATTATGCACAGGACAAACAGGACCGTAAGTCCTTTACTGGGTATGTTTTTATTCTGTCTGGTGGTCCCATTACTTGGGCTTGTCGAAAGCAAGTTAGTCCTGCATCGTCCAGCGTCGAGTCTGAGTACATGTCATTGTCTGATGCGTCTAAGGAATGCTTCTGGATTAATCAGTTGTTGTCTCTTTGCAAGATTCCTGTTCCGTTGCCAGTGACTATGTTTGAGGACAATCAGGGATGTATTGCATTGGCTCAGAACCCAGTGTTTCATCGTCGCACCAAGCATATTGATGTTCGTTATCATGTTGTGCGTCACTATATTCGCAGTGGAGTGATTCATCTGGAGTATCTTGATACTCTAGTGATGTTGGCAGATATGTTCACTAAGAATCTTGGTCGTGTGAAGTTTGAGACATTGAGGGGACTACTTGGTATGAAGGCAGTAGGTGATTCTGCGACAAGGGGAGGTGTTGAGCATGCAATGTTGTCGCAGACTAGTGCAGTTGATAATGCACGTGAGTTTGGGTGGGAAACTATGGTTGACAATCTATGTTTATTTTAGTTTTAGCCGCATTAGGTTTAAGCCCTTATATGACTGTGGTTACCCTCCTTAATTTGTTACAAAATTGAAGTGTAATACAAACCCACTCAACTTTGGGACAAACCCAAATGAAAAATTTTCACCACTGCAAATTTTTCTTTCCCTTGGGTATATAAGGAAAGTTTCTTCCCCAACTTTTATAATTTTTCTTTTCCTTTTTCTTTCTTCTTATATAACTGTTTTATCTTATATATTTCAATATATACTTTTCTTGGATAATATTTTCTATTATTATCATGACTTCCCGTGTCACAGTTCAACATGGTTTGCTGAGACTATTGATGAATTTTCTGAGATAGTTGATGATGATCCATTTGTGAGTTCCGCTTTTGTGTCCGAGACATCTGTTGTTTCTGAAAAGTTTGGTAACAGTTGCTCCGAGTCGTTTGATGATTTGGAATCCGAACTTTTTGATTCTTCTGAGCCGTGTGTCGGCGATGAAGATTGTTTTGTTGGTCAAGTTTCTGAGTATTGTTCAAACTCAGGACTTGATATTGATTCAGTTGGTAAACCGTTTGTTAGTTCCACTGATGATTCTTGTTTTAATTCTGAACCGTATGTCGGTTCTACTGTTGTTTGTTTGGAGTCTGAACCGTGTGTCAGTTCAGCTCCTATTTGTTTTGATTCTGAATCGTTGGTCGATTCGGATGTTGTTCCTTTTGATTCTGAACCGTTGGTCGGTTCTTCTTTTATTTTTTGTTCTGATTCTAAACCGTTGGTCGGTTCTGATGATGATATTGCCTTACCTTCTTTTGATTTTTTGGTGGATTCAATTACTGAACCTTCTCCGCCTATTGTTAAACCTATTGTTACACCAAAATCCCGTTTTTCTCCATTCTTTTTCTTATCTTTTGTTACCATCATGTTGTTTTCCTTGACCTTAATTGTCGTCTGGCATCCTTCTTCAATCTTGGATTTAAGTCATTCAGTACATCATGTTTTTGTTGCTGAATCTACTACTTCTGCTGAGGCCAACTTAGTTGTTGGGTCTGATTCTTTTGACTTTATCCATGACACTGGTGCTACCAGTCACATTTGCAATAACATCTCATATTTTTCTTCTCTTCGTCCCACTTCGGCTACCATTCGTGGTCTTGGTTCTGCTACTGCTGAGGGGGTTGGCGACATTGTCGTCGATCTTCTTGGTAAAGATGACCAGCCTTGTGACCGCGTTGTTCTTCGAGATGTTTTATATGTTCCTAAGATTCCTCGCAATTTATTTGCTGCTCGTCGAGCTACTGCTGGTGGTTGTCGGTTCATTCAAGACCTTAACCATATTTCTGCTGTTGAAAATGGCAAAACTCGAGTCCACGCCATTGCCATGGGTGACTTGTACTTTTGTCGTTTCCGAGTTGTTTTGCCTTCCAAGCCAGTTCATGAGGTGTTTGCTGTTGAGTCGTCTGCCAATCTTTGGCACAAGCGACTTGGTCACGCCAGTGTGGACGTTCTCAAGAAATTATCTAAGTCACTTTCTGTCAAGCCTACTCATTTTGAGGTTGTGGATAGTCATAAGTGTGACGCTTGCTTGGGTGGCAAAGCCACAGCATTGCCATTTAATGGTACCACAGAAAAAGCTAGTCGTCCTTTGGAGTTATTTGTTTCTGATTTAAGCGGTCCTCATGTCGCTACCCCTGTGGGTCATCGTTATGTCTTAACCATTATGGATTATTATTCCAGGTACTCTTATGTGGAGTTGTTGGTTAGGAAAAGTGATGCAAGTCTTGCCATTCGTAACTTTATTGCTAGGTGTGAATCTTATTTTCTGGTGATTCTGCTGGTGATCGAGTTGCATATTTTCATTCTGATAATGGCGGCGAATACATTTCCAAAGACCTGGAGCAGTTCTTTGTGTCTAAGGGTATCAAGCATACTTATACAGTTCCTCATACTCCTCAGCAAAATGGTGTTGCTGAGCGATTGAATCGCACATTATTTGAAAAAGCCAAGTCTATGCTTTTATATGCTCATGCTCCTGAGTATTTATGGGGTGAAGCTGTCAAGTCTGCTAATTATATTAGGAACCGTCTTCCTAGTCGTACCACTGGTGGTGTTGCACCTCTTCAACTTTGGACTGGTAAACCTCCTAGTTATCACCATATGAAAGTATTTGGTTGTCAAGCTACAGTTGTTCTTCCTGGTGCTAAAAGAGAATCTAAGTTAAGTTCAAATACTGAAGCTGGTGTTTTTGTTGGGTATTCTTTGGATCGTACAGCTTATCGAGTTCTTCTTGATTCAAGCATTGTTGAAGCCAGGAGTGTTTACTTTGATGAGTCCAAGTTTCCATTTATGAAAAGTGATAAGGACTTGTCTATTAATGGTACTGGTGTTGGGTTTAGTGTTGGTTCTGGTTCAGGGTCCATGTCAGGGCCTTGTTTTGATTCTAAGGGGTCTGGTTTAGGATCTAATGTTAGGGTTAATTCTATTGCTAGTTCTGATTCAAGTTCTGGTTCTAGTTTTGGGTCTCATAGATCTTTACCAGCATCCTCATCTGGTTCTGGTTCTGGTTCTGGTTCTGGTTCTATTTGTGCTTTACCGTCTCCGTCTCTGTCTTCTTCTCCGTCTCATTCTCCGTCGCCGCCTCCTTCTTCTTCTTCTTCTATTATTGTTCATAAGCCTCGTTCTGTTCGTCGCATTTTGTCTACACCTTCTGCTCCTCTTGAGTCTCCTACTCTTCCTACTCTTCCTTCTATTTCTTCAGTTCCATCTCTTCCTAGTTCTCCTATTCTTCCACCTTCAGATCATGATGTCTCTATATCTTCTGACTCTAGTCCTATTGTTTCTTCTTCGGAATATATTCCTTCACAATTAGACTTATCTGAAGCTGGTCCATCTATTAATGAATCTGATATTTCTGGTGATTCTGGGATCTCGCAACGAGGGGGTGATATTGGGTTTCAACCGTCTATCATTGCTTCGTCTCCCACTCCACCACCTTCTGTTGAATTGGAAGTAGTGCCACTTAGTCAAGAATCTCCTTCGCCTGATCTTGTTAATTCTCTTGACCAAGCTGGTGTTAGTGTTGTCACTAAGGATGATACTCAAGCTGTTTTGCCTAAATCTCGATCTCGTGTTGTTGCTGTTCGTTTACCTTCTATAACTCCTGCCAAACGCCCGAGTTCTGATGACATTGTTTCACCTCCTTCTAAACATCTTTGTGAAAATTCTTTGAAACAATCTCCAGTGTCTGCAACACCTGCAAAACGTCCAGCTGAAGAAGAGTGTATTTCTTATCGTCGTCTCAAATCTCTCCGCTTTGAGTATGATGATGTGGCTTTACTTGTTTTACAGATCCTAGTAGTTTTGAAGAAGCTATGTCTAGTGAAGAAGCTGAGTTTTGGCAAGCCTGTGTTATTGAAATGTCGTCTCTTAAACGCAATGGTACCTTGGGAATTGGTTGATCTCCCACCTGGTCGCAAGGCTATCAATAGCAAATGGGTGTTTAAAGTTAAGCGCAAAGCTGACGGTTCAATTGAACGTTACAAAGCTCGTCTCGTGTGTATTGGATTTTCGCAAGTTGAAGGTATTGATTATACTGAAACTTTTGCTCCCGTTGTTCGTTACGAGACTGTAAGGATTGTTCTTGCTATTGCTGCTCAGTTTGGGTTCCAGGTTCATCATATGGATGTCGAGACTGCATTTCTTAATGGTGATCTCAAAGAAGATATTTATATGAGACAACCTAAAGGCTTTGTTGTCAAAGGCCAGGAATCTAAAGTGTGTCATTTGAAGAAGTCTTTATATGGTTTAAAGCAAGCTCCTTTGTGTTGGAATGAGAAGATTCATGGTGCTCTTGTCAAACTTGGGTTTATTCGTAATGAAAGTGACTACGGTGTGTATACCAAAGGATCTGGGTCTACCATGGTCATTATTGCACTGTATGTTGATGATTTACTTATTTCTGGCAATTCTTCTGAAGTCATTGCCAAAACCAAGTCTTCTTTGTCATCTATGTTTAAGATGAAAGACTTGGGCCCAGTCGAGCAGTTCCTTGGCATGAGAGTTAAGCAGTCACCTTACCATATTACTGTGGATGTTTCACGTTATATTTTTGACATGTTGGAGGAGTTTGGTATGCAGAATTGTTCAAGTGTCAAGACTCCTTTACCCACTCGTGATCTTTCTGATTTTTCCGAGTCTGACTCTGCTACCGATGCCTCCATGTATCGCAGTATTATTGGTAAGCTGATTTATGCTGCTAATTGTGCTCGTCCTGATCTTGCTGTTGCTGTTAGCTTTCTTTGTCGATATATGCAGAATCCTAAGTCTATTCATATATGGAAGCTGCTAAGCATACTCTTCGTTATCTTAAGGGTACTGCTGAACTTGGTCTTGAATATCGAGCTCAGAAAGTCTACAAGCTTGTTGGTTATAGTGATGCCGACTATGCACAGGACAAAGCAGGGACCGTAAGTCATTTACTGGGTATGTTTTCATTCTGTCTGGTGGTCCCATTACTTGGGCTTGTCGAAAGCAAGTTAGTCCTGCATCGTCCAGCGTCGAGTCTGAGTACATGTCATTGTCTGATGCGTCTAAGGAATGCTTCTGGATTAATCAGTTGTTGTCCCTTGCAAGATTCCTGTTCCGTTGCCAGTGACTATGTTTGAGGACAATCAGGGATGTATTGCATTGGCTCAGAACCCAGTGTTTCATCGTCGCACCAAGCATATTGATGTTCGTTATCATGTTGTCCGTCACTATATTCGCAGTGGAGTGATTCATCTGGAGTATCTTGATACTCAAGTGATGTTGGCAGATATGTTTACTAAGAATCTTGGTCGTGTGAAGTTTGAGACATTGAGGGGACTACTTGGTATGAAGGCAGTAGGTGATTCTGCGACAAGGGGAGGTGTTGAGCATGCAATGTTGTCGCAGACTAGTGCAGTTGATAATGCACGTGAGTTTGGGTGGGAAACTATGGTTGACAATCTATGTTTATTTTAGTTTTAGCCGCATTAGGTTTAAGCCCTTATGTGACTGTGGTTACCCTCCTTAATTTGTTACAAAGTTGAAGTGTAATACAAACCCACTCAACTTTGGGACAAACCCAAATGAAAAATTTTCACCACTGCAAATTTTTCTTTCCCTTGGGTATATAAGGAAGGTTTCTTCCCCAACTTTTATAATTTTTCTTTGTTGAACTGTGACACGGGAAGTCATGATAATAATAGAAAATATTATCCAAGAAAAGTATATATTGAAATATATAAGATAAAACAGTTATATAAGAAGAAAGAAAAAGGAAAAGAAAAATTATAAAAGTTGGGGAAGAAACCTTCCTTAAATATCCAAGGGAAAGAAAAATTTGCAGTGGTGAAAATTTTTCATTTGGGTTTGTCCCAAAGTTGAGTGGGTTTGTATTACACTTCAACTTTGTAACAAATTAAGGAGGGTAACCACAGTCACATAAGGGCTTAAACCTAATGCGGCTAAAACTAAAATAAACATAGATTGTCAACCATAGTTTCCCACCCAAACTCACGTGCATTATCAACTGCACTAGTCTGCGACAACATTGCATGCTCAACACCTCCCCTTGTCGCAGAATCACCTACTGCCTTCATACCAAGTAGTCCCCTTAATGTCTCAAACTTCACACGACCAAGATTCTTAGTAAACATATCTGCCAACATCACTTGAGTATCAAGATACTCCAGATGAATCACTCCACTGCGAATATAGTGACGCACAACATGATAACGAACATCAATATGCTTGGTGCGACGATGAAACACTGGGTTCTGAGCCAAAGCAATACATCCCTGATTGTCCTCAAACATAGTCACTGGCAACGGAATAGGAATCTTGCAAAGGGACAACAACTGATTAATCCAGAAGCATTCCTTAGACGCATCAGACAATGACATATACTCAGACTCGACGCTGGACGATGCAGGACTAACTTGCTTTCGGCAAGCCCAAGTAATGGGACCACCAGACAGAATAAAAACATACCCAGTAAAGGACTTACGGTCCTGCTTGTCCTGTGCATAGTCGGCATCACTATAGCCAACAAGCTTGTAGACTTTCTGAGCTCGATATTCAAGACCAAGTTCAGCAGTACCCTTAAGATAACGAAGAGTATGCTTAGCAGCTTCCATATGAATAGACTTAGGATTCTGCATATATCGACAAAGAAAGCTAACAGCAACAGCAAGATCAGGACGAGCACAATTAGCAGCATAAATCAGCTTACCAATAATACTGCGATACATGGAGGCATCGGTAGCAGAGTCAGACTCGGAAAAATCAGAAAGATCACGAGTGGGTAAAGGAGTCTTGACACTTGAACAATTCTGCATACCAAACTCCTCCAACATGTCAAAAAATATAACGTGAAACATCCACAGTAATATGGTAAGGTGACTGCTTAACTCTCATGCCAAGGAACTGCTCGACTGGGCCCAAGTCTTTCATCTTAAACATAGATGACAAAGAAGACTTGGTTTTGGCAATGACTTCAGAAGAATTGCCAGAAATAAGTAAATCATCAACATACAGTGCAATAATGACCATGGTAGACCCAGATCCTTTGGTATACACACCGTAGTCACTTTCATTACGAATAAACCCAAGTTTGACAAGAGCACCATGAATCTTCTCATTCCAACACAAAGGAGCTTGCTTTAAACCATATAAAGACTTCTTCAAATGACACACTTTAGATTCCTGGCCTTTGACAACAAAGCCTTTAGGGTTGTCTCATATAAATATCTTCTTTGAGATCACCATTAAGAAATGCAGTCTCGACATCCATATGATGAACCTGGAACCCAAACTGAGCAGCAATAGCAAGAACAATCCTCACAGTCTCGTAACGAACAACGGGAGCAAAAGTTTCAGTATAATCAATACCTTCAACTTGCGAAAATCCAATACACACGAGACGAGCTTTGTAACGTTCAATTGAACCGTCAGCTTTGCGCTTAACTTTAAACACCCATTTGCTATTGATAGCCTTGCGACCAGGTGGGAGATCAACCAATTCCCAAGTACCATTGCGTTTAAGAGACGACATTTCAATAACACAGGCTTCAAGCCAAAACTCAGCTTCTTCACTAGACATAGCTTCTTCAAAACTACTAGGATCTGTAAAAACAAGTAAAGCCACATCATCATACTCAAAGCGGAGAGATTTGAGACGACGATAAGAAATACACTCTTCTTCAGCTGGACGTTTTGCAGGTGTTGCAGACACTGGAGATTGTTTCAAAGAATTTTCACAAAGGTGTTTAGAAGGAGGTGAAACAATGTCATCAGAACTCGGGCGTTTGGCAGGAGTTATAGAAGGTAAACGAACAGCAACAACACGAGATCGAGATTTAGGCAAAACAGCTTGAGTATCATCCTTAGTGACAACACTAACACCAGCTTGGTCAAGAGAATTAACAAGATCAGACGAAGGAGATTCTTGACTAAGTGGCACTACTTCCAATTCAACAGAAGGTGGTGGAGTGGGAGACGAAGCAATGATAGACGGTTGAAACCCAATATCACCCCCTCGTTGCGAGATCCCAGAATCACCTGAAATATCAGATTCATTAATAGATGGACCAGTTTCAGATAAGTCTAATTGTGAAGGAATATATTCCGAAGAAGAAATAATAGGACTAGAGTCAGGAGAGATAGAGACATCATGATCTGAAGGTGGAAGAATAGGAGAACTAGGAAGAGATGGAACAGAAGCAATAGAAGGAAGAGTAGGAGACTCAAGAGGAGCAGAAGGTGTAGACAAAATGCGACGAACAGAACGAGGCTTATGAACAATAATAGAAGAAGAAGAAGAAGAAGGAGGCGGCGACGGAGAATGAGACGGAGAAGAAGACGGAGACGGAGACGGTAAAGCACAAATAGAACCAGAACCAGAACCAGATGAGGATGCTGGTAAAGATCTATGAGACCCAAAACTAGAACCAGAACTTAAATCAGAACTAGCAATAGAATTAACCCTAACATTAGATCCTAAACCAGTCCCCTTAGAATCAAAACAAGGTCCTGACATGGACCCTGAACCAGAACCAACACTAAACCCAACACCAGTAGCATTAATAGACAAGTCCTTATCACTTTTCATAAATGGAAACTTGGACTCATCAAAGTAAACACTCCTGGCTTCAACAATGCTTGAATCAAGAAGAACTCGATAAGCTGTACGATCCAAAGAATACCCAACAAAAACACCAGCTTCAGTATTTGAACTTAACTTAGATTCTCTTTTAGCACCAGGAAGAACAACTGTAGCTTGACAACCAAATACTTTCATATGATGATAACTAGGAGGTTTACCAGTCCAAAGTTGAAGAGGTGCAACACCACCAGTGGTACGACTAGGAAGACGGTTCCTAATATAATTAGCAGACTTGACAGCTTCACCCCATAAATACTCAGGAGCATGAGCATATAAAAGCATAGACTTGGCTTTCTCAAATAATGTGCGATTCAATCGCTCAGCAACACCATTTTGTTGAGGAGTATGAGGAACTGTATAAGTATGCTTGATACCCTTAGACACAAAGAACTGCTCCAGGTCTTTGGAAATGTATTCGCCGCCATTATCAGAATGAAAATATGCAACTCGATCACCAGCAGAATCACCAGAAAAATAAGATTCACACCTAGCAATAAAGTTACGAATGGCAAGACTTGCATCACTTTTCCTAACCAACAACTCCACATAAGAGTACCTGGAATAATAATCCATAATGGTTAAGACATAACGATGACCCACAGGGGTAGCGACATGAGGACCGCTTAAATCAGAAACAAATAACTCCAAAGGACGACTAGCTTTTTCTGTGGTACCATTAAATGGCAATGCTGTGGCTTTGCCACCCAAGCAAGCGTCACACTTATGACTATCCACAACCTCAAAATGAGTAGGCTTGACAGAAAGTGACTTAGATAATTTCTTGAGAACGTCCACACTGGCGTGACCAAGTCGCTTGTGCCAAAGATTGGCAGACGACTCAACAGCAAACACCTCATGGACTGGCTTGGAAGGCAAAACAACTCGGAAACGACAAAAGTACAAGTCACCCATGGCAATGGCGTGGACTCGAGTTTTGCCATTTTCAACAGCAGAAATATGGTTAAGGTCTTGAATGAACCTACAACCACCAGCAGTAGCTCGACGAGCAGCAAATAAATTGCGAGGAATCTTAGGAACATATAAAACATCTCGAAGAACAACGCGGTCACAAGGCTGGTCATCTTTACCAAGAAGATCAACGACAATGTCGCCAACCCCCTCAGCAGTAGCAGAACCAAGACCACGAATGGTAGCCGAAGTGGGACGAAGAGAAGAAAAATATGAGATGTTATTGCAAATGTGACTGGTAGCACCAGTATCATGGATAAAGTCAAAAGAATCAGACCCAACAACTAAGTTGGCCTCAGCAGAAGTAGTAGATTCAGCAACAAAAACATGATGGACTGAATGACTTAAATCCAAGATTGAAGAAGGATGCCAGACGACAATTAAGATCAAGGAAAACAACATGATGGTAACAAAAGATAAGTAAAAGAATGGAGAAAAACGGGATTTTGGTGTAACAATAGGTTTAACAATAGGCGGAGAAGGTTCAGTAATTGAATCCACCAAAAAATCAAAAGAAGGTAAGACAATATCATCATCAGAACCGACCAACGGTTTAGAATCAGAACAAGAAATAAAGAAGAACCGACCAACGGTTCAGAATCAAAAGAAACAACATCCGAATCGACCAACGATTCAGAATCAAAACAAATAGGAGCTGAACTGACACACGGTTCAGACTCCAAACAAACAACAGTAGAACCGACATACGGTTCAGAATTAAAACAAGAATCATCAGTGGAACCAACTGAATCAATATCAAGTCCTGAGTTTGAACAATACTCAGAAACTTGACCAACAAAACAATCTTCATCGCCGACACACGGCTCAGAAGAATCAAAAAGTTCGGATTCCAAATCATCAAACGACTCGGAGCAACTGTTACCAAACTTTTCAGAAACAACAGATGTCTCGGACACAAAAGCGGAACTCACAAATGGATCATCATCAACTATCTCAGAAAATTCATCAATAGTCTCAGCAAACCAACCTCTTGAGGTTTTAGCCTCTTTAGATTCCTTGTCATCCTTATTATCTTGGCGAGCAGCCTGAACCTCTTCCCAAGAGACATGACAATTGTTGGAAGTATGACCACGCCTCTTACAACGAAAACATTTGATACCATCACCCTTAGATTTGTTATTGTACTTCTTTGATGAAGCAACGAACGCTTCAGTCGAAAGAGTAGCAGGGGTCCAGTAATCTTCAACAACTTGGCCCATTTATCAGTGTTCCGGATAAAGTTATTGATATCAAGGTTGTCAGTATTGTTGTTACTATCAAAGCGGTGCTCCAAGGCATACTGGATGAAGCGCTCACAGTTGGGACCCATTGAGGCCAAAGCGTTGAAGGCCACAACCGAATCAGGCGACAATGATTGGTAGATGGAACGCCACGTAGCAACATAAGAGCGAACAGAAGAAACAAACTTTGGACCAACATCAATATTGCCAGCATAGAGGGATTTCATAAGAGAGATGACATCGGCGGGTTGAAGTTGACTATACTCCTGATGAAGATAAAGCCAGAGGTCACGGCCTCTAATGGCCACATCATTAACATGTTCGATCAACTCAGGAGAAATATTGTTGAGGATGACATCATGGACGACGGTATCAAGCGAGGCGGTGAGGTCTTCGAGGGATTCATTGGCAGCTGGATTGACAGTACCAGCTTCGACATAAAGGTGGACACCATTATTCATAGCACGAAGACCCAAAAGAATTTTGGTAGCCCAGACATGATAGTTGAGAGGAGTGAGTTTTTCAGAGGAAGTAAGATTAATATAAGCCGAAGTGCGGCCCATAACCTGTTGAACTGTGACACGGGAAGTCATGATAATAATAGAAAATATTATCCAAGAAAAGTATATATTGAAATATATAAGATAAAACAGTTATATAAGAAGAAAGAAAAAGGAAAAGAAAAATTATAAAAGTTGGGGAAGAAACCTTCCTTAAATATCCAAGGGAAAGAAAAATTTGCAGTGGTGAAAATTTTTCATTTGGGTTTGTCCCAAAGTTGAGTGGGTTTGTATTACACTTCAACTTTGTAACAAATTAAGGAGGGTAACCACAGTCACATAAGGGCTTAAACCTAATGCGGCTAAAACTAAAATAAACATAGATTGTCAACCATAGTTTCCCACCCAAACTCACGTGCATTATCAACTGCACTAGTCTGCGACAACATTGCATGCTCAACATTCTTTTCCTTTTTCTTTCTTCTTATATAACTGTTTTATCTTATATATTTCAATATATACTTTTCTTGGATAATATTTTCTATTATTATCATGACTTCCCGTGTCACAGTTCAACACAATACTCAGAAACTTGACCAACAAAACAATCTTCATCGCCGACACACGGCTCAGAAGAATCAAAAAGTTCGGATTCCAAATCATCAAACGACTCGGAGCAACTGTTACCAAACTTTTCAGAAACAACAGATGTCTCGGACACAAAAGCGGAACTCACAAATGGATCATCATCAACTATCTCAGAAAATTCATCAATAGTCTCAGCAAACCAACCTCTTGAGGTTTTAGCCTCTTTAGATTCCTTGTCATCCTTATTATCTTGGCGAGCAGCCTGAACCTCTTCCCAAGAGACATGACAATTGTTGGAAGTATGACCACGCCTCTTACAACGGAAACATTTAATACCATCACCCTTAGATTTGTTATTGTACTTCTTTGATGAAGCAACGAACGCTTCAGTCGAAAGAGTAGCAGGGGGTCCAGTAATCTTCAACAACTTGGCCCATTTATCAGTGTTCCGGATGAAGTTGTTGATATCAAGGTTGTCAGCATTGTTACTATCAAAGCGGTGCTCCAAGGCGTACTGGATGAAGCGCTCACAATTGGGACCCATTGAGGCCAAAGCGTTGAAGGCCACAACCGAATCAGGCGACAATGATTGGTAGATGGAACGCCACGTAGCAACATATGAACGAACAGAAGAAACAAACTTTGGACCAACATCAATATTGCCAGCATAGAGGGATTTCATAAGTGAGATGACATCGGCGGGTTGAAGTTGACTATACTCCTGATGAAGATAAAGCCAGAGGTCACGGCCTCTAATGGCCACATCATTAACATGTTCGATCAACTCAGGAGAAATATTGTTGAGGATAACATCATGGACGACGGTGTCAAGCGAGGCGGTGAGGTCTTCGAGGGATTCATTAGCAGCTGGATTGACAGTACCAGCTTCGACATAAAGATGGACACCATTATTCATTGCACGAAGACCCAAAAGGATCTTGGTAGCCCAGACATGATAGTTGAGAGGAGTGAGTTTTTCAGAGGAAGTAAGATTAATATAAGCCGAAGTGCGGCCCATAACCTGTTGAACTGTGACACGGGAAGTCATGATAATAATAGAAAATATTATCCAAGAAAAGTATATATTGAAATATATAAGATAAAACAGTTATATAAGAAGAAAGAAAAAGGAAAAGAAAAATTATAAAAGTTGGGGAAGAAACCTTCCTTAAATATCTGAGGGAAAGAAAAATTTGCAGTGGTGAAAATTTTTCATTTGGGTTTGTCCCAAAGTTGAGTGGGTTTGTATTACACTTCAACTTTGTAACAAATTAAGGAGGGTAACCACAGTCACATAAGGGCTTAAACCTAATGCGGCTAAAACTAAAATAAACATAGATTGTCAACCATAGTTTCCCACCCAAACTCACGTGCATTATCAACTGCACTAGTCTGCGACAACATTGCATGCTCAACATACAGCTCACCACCAGCCACATCCTGAATAAAAAGCTTTGCCATTCGCACTTTTTCAACACCTTGAGCCAGAGGCTTCCTACCACGCTTTTCCTTCAACGGCTTCTTCGGGTCCTTAATCCAACCTTTCCCTTCAATTTTCTTCACCCTTTCAATCCAAGCACTAAAATTTCCTACTCTCTCAAATTCCTTTCTCTTTCTTTCCTTTTCTTCCTCCTCTTTCTCTTTCTCAATTTCTTTATGCAGTGCCACAATCTCTCGCATCTCTCTTTTTATTCTTTCATCATCAGTCTCATCATCATACACAAAGTCCGGTCTTCGTGCACTTTTCTCTAACCTCGACGATCTTCGCAGCACTCTCGCAGCTTCACCAGTTTCTTTTCCAATTCTTGCTGCTTCTTCGATTTTATCCAACACAGTCTTTTTAGTACTTCCTTTGGGCCTACCACGACCTCTCTTTACCTTTGGCACATCTTCTCCTTCCTCACCACTGTCTTCCTTTCTTTCAGACTCCTGTTTTCCTTTTTCTTCAGACTCTTGCCTATCTTTTTCTTTAGACTCGTGCTTTTCCTTTTCTCTAGACTCTTGCTCTTTGATCTCATTAGTGACTCTTTTTCTTTTGAGAATACTTTTAGTCCTCTCTTCTACTTCTTCCTTCTTCATTTCTTGCTCAGCCAACGGATTCTCTTCAACTTCAGCATAAATGTTGGCTTCCTTCTCATCACTTCTTTGTTCATCCAGCTCCATCACTAACTTCGGCAACAAGTCTATATCCTCCTCCATACCTTCATCCTCATCACCTTCAACCGCACTTTCAAATAAATCATCATCAGACTCTGAATCAGCAGAAGCATTCACACTCAACGCAGGAAACCCATTTATTACACCATTACTCAAACTCGCCTGAACACCTGCACCTCCTCCAACAGCAGCATTAGCAACAAGCTGATCGCTACTGTTCATCAACGGCGATAAAATCTGTTCAGCCATGTTCGACGATAACGGCGCAACCTCGTCACCCACATCCACGCTACCACTACCTTCTGTTTCACCAGCTGGCAAAACCATAACTGGAGCAGAAAAATTACTCACACCATCACCAATATCAGCATCTGCTCCAACAACGACACCATCAACAATACCACTAATAGTACTATCAACTGCCTTACCATGCTTCCTCTGCACCAAATCCTCAGTATTTGCCACCTCTTGCACATGAGTTTGAGGCATCGCCAGCAATGCTGACTCTCGCTTTTTACTCACTTCAGATGGAAATGACAATGTTTCCGGATCAAATGCATGAAACACAGATGGAACACCAATATCAGTAACGGCATTAGCAACGTTACCAAGCACACGAGTTGTATCATTAACAGCAACATCAGGAATATCCTTCTGCACTGCTCTTAGCTCATTGGAGCCAGGAAGACGCACAAACTCAATCTGCTTAAATGGATTTTCAGCAACAGGCTTTGAAGTCTTTAGCACCGCAGGGAAATCGCTCACCAATGGATCTGGCTTTTTAGTAGTTTCTTGACTCTGTTGAGCATTGTCAATTAGTGCTCCTCCAGACCCTCCAACTACACCATCTCCTCCACGCTGCTTCAGCACAGTATCTCCTCCAGGCCTCTTAGAAACAGGATTGCTTCCAAAGAAACTTGACGATGGCAACTGCGACGACGACTTTATGCCCATACCAATAAGACTTCTCTTAGGCTGCTTGTAACTGGCTGGCGCAGAAGGGATGACTACAGGAACTAGCATTGGATCTGCCATCCTCACATCTGGAACTGACATTGGATCTGTCATTTCTACATCAGAAACCAACTGCGATTAAGGCTCAAAAACCACATCACAATCAACTTCATCCATAAAATTCCCAATATGGTCATCCAACTTATATGTACCATTTTTGCACAACGCCATCTGAGAGAAACTCTCACGATAAACCTTGAACGACTGAGCAACCACAACACGGTTTCTGCTTGGGCAAAAGAACAAGCCACCAGGGCGGCCCTGTGGATGTCCCAAAAATATACCAGAAACAGCACGTGGTTCCAGCGTTGTACCCGGCTTACGCTGATCTGTTGGAATCCAAATAGAAGCATCACAACCAAAAGGAGGACAAGCATCTGTCCTTACCCTTCTGCCACTCAATACTTGTTCTGCAACCATGACTTTACGCGTAACAACCTCATTACCGTTAACATCAACAGAGTAAATGAGAATATCTCTAGGAATCAGATTGTTCATAGCAAAAGCTACATACTGCATGCAGTACGGCCAAAACGCATGATGACCACCACACGCATGAAGCGCAGCTCTCACATAAGAGAAAACAACTCTGATATTAGCCTCAGCAATACCATTATGTTGATGCACATACGGAACTGAGTACTGATGAATAATCCCTTTTCCTTTCAGAAAAGCTTCAAACTGGTTTGAAGTAAATTCACCACCATTGTCAGTACGCAAAACCTTTGGCTTCCACCCCAACTGATTTTCCAGAAGACTTACCAAGTAACCAATCTCTAACACTGCAGCGCTCTTCTGCTTCAATGGAAACGTCCAAACATAGTGCGAGAACTTGTCAACAATGATCAATGCGTTTTCTTCACCGTACAAACCTTTCGGCAACTTCACCTTTAAATCAGCAGACAGCTGATCACCAGGCTTCTTCACCACTTTTGCACTTAATGGGTGATACACATCTTTCATCTTGCTCATATGACAAGTGGTACAATGCGGCAACATTGGTAAAATACCTTCCAGCAAACTAGGGTCTTTAGAATAATCATAAGACACTTGATAAAGCCCATTCTTCAACCCATCAATAATAGCTCCATAATTGATATGCGCTATATCATGAATGCTCATAATGTCAGAAATAACACGTTCAGTACGGCGCAGTTCAGTCGCAAGTGAAACCCGAGCAAACTTGACTGTCTCAAGCATACCCTCTTTTGCAACAAAGTCTTCCACGCTCTTATAACTAACCATGTACCTCTTCATAAACTCTGGATCTTCAAACTGACGCTCAGTAAACGACTCATCAAGATACGCATATGACATATCCTGAACAATAACGGGTCTGAAAACTTTTGCCCGCGGTTTGTTCGTAAGCAATCCCGTTATTAGCCACATAGATGAGTCTGCATCACTGCAAATCTTGTTTTCTCTGGCAACCTTTGACGTTACTATAGCAGCGTCCTTACCAGAGGTTCTGGTGAGGTAAATGGGTGCAACCACGATATGCTCAAACCCAGGAATCAGCAGAACATTGCGCAACATCACTCCATTATCCTTATCTAACCAGATATCACCTGCTTTTGATGCATGTATCTTCGTCACATCATCACCCAGAATCACATTCACATTGGTAGGTCTTATACTTCCTTGAATGAACAGTCTGTCATCACCACAAATATGACGACCACTGCCAGAATCAATAAGAAGTAAACGGCTCTTCAAATAGTCCATTCCACTTTTTTCCTTGTTATCATAGCTCAGCTTTGTGTATTTAGTTTTGATGATATCACTTTCAGCACTGTTGGAATATATGTCATGGTACTATCGTGTATTTCAACATTATCCCATAATATTTTTTTTTTCCCAATTACACTCTCTACATTGTTACATTTTTTGAGATGGGGGAGGACTAGCTTTGAAGTTTGAGTTTCTAATGTAAGCTGTCAAGTCTGCTAAGACTTTTAATTCAGCTTCACATCCTTCGGAACAAACTGGCACGTTGGCAATGGTTAATTGTCTAACGGTAAATCCAGAACGGTCAGCGAGATCAATTTGACGATGAACAGGGAGATCGGCGAATGTCTCATAAGAGCTGGCGTTGTTCTTTGAATGGGTCTCAGATGTTGAGTGGGCAACAGAACTTCCAGTGCTGGCTGACTCGAAGGATGAGGGTCCTTCATTGACTCCTGTAGTGTTTCCGTGATTAGACATAGCGGAGAAGACTAAAAGCAAGAGTTAATAAGTAAATACGATTGATAAGCTGAAAGCTGAAAGAGTATTTAATAAAAACAGTTTTGCGTAAATTTAGAGTATATATAAGAATTATATAAAATGATAAAAATAATAAAATAATAAAATAATAAAATAATAAAATAATAAAATAATAAAATAATAAAAGTTCGCTATCATACCTAAAAGCAAGAGTTAATAAGTAAATACGATTGATAAGCTGAAAGCTGAAAGAGTATTTAATAAAAACAGTTTTATGTAAATTTAGAGTATATATAAGAATTATATAAAATGATAAAAATAATAAAATAATAAAATAATAAAATAATAAAATAATAAAATAATAAAATAATAAAAGTTCGCTATCATACCTAAAAGCAAGAGTTAATAAGTAAATACGATTGATAAGCTGAAAGCTGAAAGAGTATTTAATAAAAACAGTTTTGCGTAAATTTAGAGTAGCGAGAAAAAGAAGAGAAAGAAAACAAGAAAGGTTTCTGTAATGAAGAAAATTTAAAAGAGCATCTTGAAAATTTTCTTTAGCAATAGGGAGTCTTGATTGTAACAATTATTGTAACTCCAATGGTAATGGGCTAGTAGTTGCTAGTGAATAATGTAACAATGTAGAGAGTGTAATTGGGAAAAAAAAAATATTATGGGATAATGTTGAAATACACGATAGTACCATGACATATATTCCAACACTTCGCCGCACTCAGGGCGAAAATGAGACGAACAGTGCTGAATCTCATTACCGGTGCAAAGGTGTCAACATAGTCAACACCAAACTTTTGACGAAACCCCCTGAACAACAAGACGAGCCTTGTAATTTGTCAATTGAACCATCCGTGTTGAGTTTCTTCTTCAGCACCCATTTGGTGCCAAGTGCTTTGCGACCCGCCGGGAGGGGCACAACTTGGTATACATGATTGCCATCAATGGCAGCAAATTCCGAATAGGCCGCATCGAACCAGAAGCGCTTATCTTCTCTGTTGTTGGCTTCCGCAAGTGACCGTGGGTCCCTTTTTAGCTTCTTGCCAGGGTCGAGCAGCGCCACTCCCACATTCGGAAATCGAATGAAGGCAGGACGGTCCTTAAGATCTGCCCAATCTCTGTCGCTGATAAGAGCTCTAACATTCTCCACATCAGGAGCCGTAAAGCAGAGACCTGGTTTGCTAGATTCTAACACTTTGATGTCATTCCTCAAAATTGGAAGCTTAATGTTAATAGCGCTGAGTGTGTCAAGTCTTCCAGACGCCATGCGGGCTTTCACAGTTGGTTCTTCAGAGTTCGAGTAGATGCAGCCAATGCCAATGACATCGTCGACAGCCCCGGCAGACGGATCTCCTGATGGGCTTGCCGATTCATCAACAAAAATAATTTCATCATCAGCAGGCGAAGAAACAAAAGTTTCATGTAAGAAGTCAATGCCGTCAGCTAAGTGTTCTGATGAGCCCTGAGAGTCAGAATTGTAGGGTGCTGCAATTGAGATTTCATCGCTTGTAGCCTCAACATCAGCTTCGGTTGTGGAGGCGGGAGAGTGGGACTGCGAGTCAGTGCTAACGACTGAGTCCTCATCTACTGATGCTGACGTAGCAGGGACATTGTGTGTTGCCGAGTGAGTGTGAGAAAGAAAGGGAACCGCATCGGGAGTGGGGTTGAATCTAAGATTCGGTGTACCCTGGAGGTGGCCGTGTGGGCTCTCAGTGTTGAACCCTCACGAGCTGGCAGACCATGCAGCAGTGACCTAGATTCCGAGTCCAAAGCTGACTCAGAGTTCGAGAGTTTCAGTTTGTCACTGTGCCGGTCGGAAGAGCGAGAGCCCCAAAGTAAGCCCGATGCTGTAGTGGTTGGGCTTGTAGAGCGATTTCTTTTTCGCAGATTTCTCAAAGCTCCTAAGTCGATTCTTGAGATGGCCTCAGCTGCACTGCGTAAGATATTGCGTTGTGCTATCGACAGCATGCGATTCGATGACGAGGGAGGAGTGGTTTGGTGATCACGACGAGAAGAAGAACTTTCTAATGTGGGAGACGTCACAGCAGAGGAGGTTGGTGATGTAACCACTGGCTCCGAATGTACAGATGATTCCGAGGACAAAGAAGCAGAGGTAGAGGGTGTTGTGGGAGAACCATTTGAGGCTTCATTTTCCAATCTTGGTGAGGAGTTTGAAGTCGAATTTTCTGAGACTACTTTCTGTGATAAATTAGTAGCCGAAGAAAAATTTTTAGATTTCGTGGTGGTGGAGAAAATTTTATTTTGCAAAGCCGCGCCACTTACTAGTGGAAGGTTATCAGTAGGCCGGGTAATTAGATTTGTGCGATTTAGAATTAATGAAGAATTTTCTTTTCGCGCCAGCCGCTGAAGTGCACTGTTAGGAACATAATAGCCATTTTGCTCAATCAAATCAGCTAATCTTTTGTTAACAACAACTGTGTCCCGAGAGGCTTCTCGATGACGGTGTCTGGACGACGGAGCAGGCACTCTCGCAGCACCCGCAGCACCCGCAGCACCCGCAGTACCCGCAGCAGACCTAGTAATTCTTCCAGTATTAGCAAGAGGCTGTTGGGCTTCTGCCGGAGCTGAGTGTTGGCTTGTTTGTCGAACAACTACTTGCCCAGCAGTTTGCGAATCATGTTCAGAAGAAGACGGAGGAGGAGCTGCCAACAACAACCGTCTCGAAGGTGGAGCCGGAAGTGGCATATGTCGATTTTGTTGCACGGAGCTGTGCCGCACGTCGCTTGTATTGTCCCCAAAGCTTGTAGCATCCCCTGCTCGCCCATACTCTAGCAGGAGCCTCTGAGTAGATGGTGCAGGCGGTAAGCGTGGGCGATCATTCTCAGCAGTGTCTCTCAGTTCACTGCCACTTCCAGATGCAGCAGTAGTAACAGTATCAGAACCACCAGCTCCCAGCAACAGCCTCTCAGAGGAGGGCGCTGGGGTAGCTCCGGTAGCTCCTGCCGTATACCTGAGGAGCCAGCCACTTGGCTCCGCCTACCGGCATGTAAACGACGATTTTCTGGCTGACCAGCACGTTCCAGCGCAGATTTTAATCTCGCTAAATTTAGATGCCTCTTCCTACTACCGCCCGCCTCAGCCATTCTGGCAGACCGATTTGCAGACGTCGTAGTTTCTACTAGCTCGGTGGTGGCCCGTACAAGTTCCGCCGCCGCCAAAACCAGTTGATTGCTGGCAGGATTATTTGTGCTTGTAGCAGTACCTTGAGTGTCACCTAAACCTTGCGGCACCCCGACATCTCGCAGGAGCTTCCTCCAACTTAGTAGAGGAATCCATGACAACGTCGCTAGACGAAAATTCAGAATCTGATGAGTCTTCCAATTCGTCGAAACCCAGTATATGTTCCACAGACCCATCCATGTCTTCATCATTGGTTTCTGAGTCAACCGCATCCTGATTGTCATCACCAGATTGGCTAGCGGTTTCAACAGCTGAAGCCTCGCGGGTAAGTTCAGCAGTTCCAGACAGCGCAAGATCCACACTGTCATCCTCATCCAAAATGTGTAGTTGTTTGGGAAGAGTCACCGGACTTGTTTGATGAGCCACCACTGAGGGCGACTGAGTTCCTGGAGCAAAGGCTTTCTGGAGCTTTACCATATGTTCAGAAAATGAATTTTCGTGAGAAAAATCTTCGTTAGTATCTTCGGAACCAGGGCGACCAGCTACGTTGGAGTTCACCGATCTCAAATCAGCATCATCAACAGCAGAATCTTCGAGCAATATATGGTCCTCAGACTGAAGTGTATCTTTGTCGTCAACAACACTAATTGATTCATCTGCAACCAGCTCCACATCATCATCTTCCAACGGTTGAAAAGAGTTTTCAGTTATAGGTGTGGGTGGTGTAGAAGTAGAATCCTGGTCCTCCAATCTGCTGGATCTGTGGCTCCTTCCCTCAGAGCCCACATAAGTCCAGCCAAAGTTACCACCACCACCACCACCAGAGAGTGAAGTGGGAGAGTAGTCGTCAGAGTCAGATTCATCTTCACTTTCTGATTCATCAGTGGAAGAGTCACTGTAGTCAGGGTCACGATTTCCAACCTCACTGTAGTCAATGAGAATGTCACCCTCGTGAATTGGCTTTTCGCCAAAAAATTTAACGCCAGGCAAGACATGGTCACGAAAGTTGCCGTGTACACAGCGCCGAATGCGCTTGTTCCTCGTAATGCATAGAAAATTCTTAGGATTTAACGGGTCGGGACCCAAATACAGAGCAGGCTCGCCCCGAGGCTGAAGGGTCCCTTTGAGTTTCTGAGACTCAGATTTAATGACAAAAACTAGGCAGCCAAATGTGTGCACTAGTGCTATAGGTGGTTTTCTGCCCGTAAAGGCTTCATAAGGTGAGATACCGGCTTTATTAACTATGGAGAAATTATATACCTGCACAGCGTAGAGCCAGGCAGAGTCCCAGTAGATATTGGCCCAGAGTGTCGACTGCATCAAGGCTCTAGTAGATATCTCACGCAGTGTGCGGTGGGCACGCTCAATTTTCCAATTTTGTTGGTGTTCATCAGGAGCAGTTAAAATATGAATGACGCCCCAGTCTGCTAAAAATTTTCCAAGTGTCCCAGAGATAAATTCACCACCATTGTCAGTAATAAGTTTGGTGGCCTTGCCGTCAACAGCACGGCGAGCAGCTTTGGGCACAAACTGCTTAAAGAACTGGATAAGTTTCCCAGGAGCTTCATCCTTAGATTCCAGAGCAAAAGCATAGATGTAACCAGAAAATGCATCAATGATATTCAGCATGTACCTGGCCCCTGAAGAGGCAGGACCTATGGGACCGACGAGATCAGCATGAATCTGGGCTAACGGAGCCGTGGATTCAGAAGCTATATGCTTATCCGGAGAAGTGAACCTCTTAATGCTTCTTGACGTGCCACATATGACACAGTCCTTGATCAATTCTTCGTCACGCTTGGTCACCTCAAAGGGAGGATCAGCAAGCTTGGCTAAATGTTTCACCGAAGTCAAAGAGCAATGAGCAAAACGAACATGACAGTCAAGTGCCTGCGAATTCAACACGGCCTCCTTTGCAATAAATTTGAGAGACTGTGAAAGGACAGGTAGTCCCTTTCCAACCGCGAAGGCTGATTTATCAACCTTCCTCATAGCTTCTGGTCCTTGTCTGCAAATCTGATCCCAGTCAATTGAATTTCCTGAGAACTTGAAAGATCCAGTTGGAGGTACGATATTCCTAGTAAACTTTACCGGAACAATGTTGGCACAAATGTGAGACTTGGTATCTTTGGCACCACCAACCCTACCAACCTTTTCCTCACCAAAATAGGCCAGACAATCCCCACTTGGGACCGTATGAAAAGAAACATCGTGCGTGCGCCAGACAGAATCAGAAAACAAATTGCTAGACCCAGCAGGAAAATAAAGTGCGTCAGCAATATGGCAAATATTGGTGCCACCGTCACCTTTTAATACAACAGCAATTTTACCTTCCCCTTCTAACACGATGTCGGAACCACCATAGGAGCTGATGGTTTTGGGGCTGCTGTATTTCTCATACGACACAAAGTAGCTGTTGTCTGAGATAAGGTGACCAGTAGCATTTCCAGAATCGAGAACATTTGGAAGATTTGTTTCACCCACAGAGGCGATTTGGTTGGCAGGTGGAAGAAAAGCAACTGGCGAATAATCACTGCTTCCGCCGTCATTATCAAATACGTCTTGGATAGCCCGAGCAACAGAGCAAAGAGTTTCAACATCGTCGCGAGCCACCTCAAGATATTCGGTAGCTTTCAAGGCAGCAACTCTGTTTTGACCATCAGAGTTCGACTTTCTAGCTTGCTTGTCTTCATTGTTGCGCCTCTTGTTGCCACCGGACCCCTTGGACCACTGCTTCCCTTTTCCATGCTTGGTATCAGAGTGGCCAGCTTTCTTCGAAGTTTCCTGCTTGGATTCCTGCTTGGGTTCTTGCTTGGGTTCCTGCTTTGGCACCACTTTTGTCGAACCGTCAATAATTCTTCGACCTTTTACGAAGGCTGCAGAAGTTGCTTCAACTAGCGCTGGGATTTCAACTGAATCACAGGGGCTCCATCCTCCAGATCTTGACTTGAAAATGTCGACAAACTTGGTAATCCCCCCAGAGATGACTCTGAGGATCTTCGCGAGCAGCTGCTGAAACCTTGTTGTTATTCAGCACTGCTAATATAAGGTCACGGTGAAAGGTGCCATCCGGGTTGTTAAAGAAATATTGCTCCACTACAGAGGCCCACTTGGAAGCTTCAGTAACAGTAGCTTGTATTTTGGTTTCAATTTCACTGCTGGTAAGCCCGGCGAAATAACTAGGACCTGGAACTCCTACTGAGATAGCTTGCGTCATCGCAAATACAATGTTAAGCTCAGGGCTTGGGGATATGCGCAAACCAATATGATTAAGACGTTGGTAAAATGAGAGCACTCGCCCCAGGTCAGCGGGCTCTAGAATTTCAGGATCTATACGAGCCATTCTTTTTCCAGGTTCAAATAGGACCCCCATGGCTTCTTCCCGCACAGACGCCGAATCCATAGGTGGAGTTTTTAGAAACTCGGGCGACGTGTCCCACCGGGCCTGTTCAGCTGCAGCCAGGTTAGCTGCAGGCGTGGTTTTTAAAATGTAAACCTTGAGTAGTTCATCAAGGGCCCTCTCAAACCTGATACCGTAACCAAGCTGAAGGGCAGTATGGCCAACAATTGGCTTATAGATATAGTTGTTCCAAAAACTCCGGCCGCAGCTGTTAATTTGCCCAATAAGACCGTATATCCAAAAATCCAATTCACTTTTGTAGAGAAATTGTTTGAAATTTGGCGCTTGAGAAGCGTCAAAGGAGCTCATAACCTTTGAGATGGGGAGGACTAGCTTTGAAGTTTGAGTTTCTAATGTAAGCTGTCAAGTCTGCTAAGACTTTTAATTCAGCTTCACATCCTTCGGAACAAACTGGCACGTTGGCAATGGTTAATTGTCTAACGGTAAATCCAGAACGGTCAGCGAGATCAATTTGACGATGAACAGGGAGATCGGCGAATGTCTCATAAGAGCTGGCGTTGTTCTTTGAATGGGTCTCAGATGTTGAGTGGGCAACAGAACTTCCAGTGCTGGCTGACTCGAAGGATGAGGGTCCTTCATTGACTCCTGTAGTGTTTCCGTGATTAGACATAGCGGAGAAGACTAAAAGCAAGAGTTAATAAGTAAATACGATTGATAAGCTGAAAGCTGAAAGAGTATTTAATAAAAACAGTTTTGCGTAAATTTAGAGTATATATAAGAATTATATAAAATGATAAAAATAATAAAATAATAAAATAATAAAAGTTCGCTATCATACCTAAAAGCAAGAGTTAATAAGTAAATACGATTGATAAGCTGAAAGCTGAAAGAGTATTTAATAAAAACAGTTTTGCGTAAATTTAGAGTAGCGAGAAAAAGAAGAGAAAGAAAACAAGAAAGGTTTCTGTAATGAAGAAAATTTAAAAGAGCATCTTGAAAATTTTCTTTAGCAATAGGGAGTCTTGATTGTAACAATTATTGTAACCCCAATGGTAATGGGCTAGTAGTTGCTAGTGAATAATGTAACAATGTAAAGAGTGTAATTGGGAAAAAAAAAATATTATGGGATAATGTTGAAATACACGATAGTACCATGACATATATTCCAACAAATTTGTCTTGGTGAGGAGGTTTCTGCCAGGTATTGTCCTACCCTGCGATTACAGGATGCAATTTTTTAATGACAGTAGCAATATCAGATATACGACAATTGGCTATTATATTGAGAAAAAAGAATTCATTACCACTCCTGAAAACTTTTTTGAGACAGATAGCTACTTGGTACTCGTAAGAGATATCATTTGTCCTGTTTGGTTGATTAATGATGGCGATCTTTCGATAGTTGTTGATCCATCTTTTGTGGAGGAATACAGGACAAAAGACGGTAAAGTTGTAAGGACTGAAGAGTATGATGACGAAGAGGATTATAATAACGTGTGTAAACCATATATGAACATTTAAATAGGTCAGATTATAATAATATATTTAATAACATTTTATAATAATTTTTATCACATAATAAAAGTCCTTTTAGATATAAGGGAGATTTATTTGGAGTTGCAAATGGGTTTTCTGAGCACTGGTAAAGCGTAAAATGGAAGTAGATTCAGAAATGGGTGGCGTGGCTGTTTGTTTAGTTGAAGATAATAAGATGGAATTTCGTGGTAGTTGTCAATGTTGAAAAAAAAAATTTTTTTTTGACGTTTTGTTGATTTAGCTTCAGTGAGAAAAAGGTGTTTGTGCTGTTGTGTTGGTGATATGAAAAGTGGGATGTTTTTGTTGTTGTTAATGTTGAACAAGAAAGATTTTATTAATGGAACTGAAATTCCCCAACATTAAGAAAGTTGAGAAATTTTTTTGTTGTTGTTGTTTTTCCTAAATTTTTAACATAAAGGAAATTTGTTGTTGTTTTTAAAAATGTTAAGAAAAAATTTTTTAGATTTTGTGACTTTAAATTTTTTCCAAAGTTTTTTCTTTCATCTCAACTATAAGATTAAAAAAAATTCAACTACATCTTTACGTAAAGAAGAGGTGGCGCCCAAATTTGTTTTGTTAACGTCAACAACACGTACTTTCGGCTCTCATCTTTCTGATAGACAACATAACATCAACAAAAGAATACGAAAATCGCAGAATTTAGTTTACCGTGTTGTAATAAAAGTTTTAAATTCCATTTTAATTTTGATTATTATGAAAGTTGCGTTGGTTGGTGAAAAACAGCCATGTCAATGTTGTGTTGAGAGAGAAATATCAGCCATGTGAATGTTGCGTTGAGAGAGAAGTGTCAGCCATGTGAATGTTGTGTCGGCAGCGATTTCACCTTCTTATCAACATTATTAACTCTGTCGTCAACCACTTTTTTTATTTATAAAAAATTGCATTTTAATCGGTGTTCTGGTTGTTGAAAAGGCTGTCCAAACTCCTTTATACACAACATTCACAAGAAAATTAATTTCATATTGAAATTACACGGTTTCCACTTGGGATGGGTTTTTTTAATATTAACAAAATCAATAGTCTAGTTGTAATCTATATCATCATATTACTCATATAAATCATTTTCATCTCTAATAATTGGGTTTAAGAGTCTATTTTTGACGGTTGTTGTTGTCGTGACATGGGTGCGACTGACTATTGAATGGAAACTTAATCAATTTTTAAACAAATTTAATAGCCTAGTCTTTATTTAAATCATCATATCACCCTTGTTTATGATTCACATCCTTGAGAATTGGGCTTAAGGGTCTCATTTTGACGTTTTTTGTCGTCGTGAAATGGGTGCCAAAAGTCAAAAAGTGAATTTTTTTCAATTTTTAAGTAAATTAATAGTCTAGTCTTCATTTAAATCATTATATTAATCATATATATCAATTTCATCATTAATAATTGAGTTTAAGGGTCTATTCTTGACGTTTGTTGTCGTCGTGAATTGGGTGCGATTTTGGTCCAAAGCTGCTTTGTCAGCGATGAAAAGATTGGGTAAAATCAGTTATCTTAACGCTAAGAACAAATTCGCAAAATTACACTTTTAGGTTTTCCGTGACTATTACTTAATTGCGAATAGCACTAATACTTAATAGCCAATACCAGTAACATTTGATTGAGAATAGCAATAACATTTAATTACGAATAGCAATAGCATTTAAATTACGAACAGCAGTAGCACGGGTCACTTGTTCTTTTTTACATTTCACAAAAAAAATTTCGATCCATTACTACAAGATGACTAATCTTCCCCCAGTTTTTTTCTCTTCTTTTCAACCTGTATAAACTGTACATTTTTTAGGGTAACCCCCAAAAAATTCATGGTAATATCCCGAAATATTACATTTCCAAAGAAAAAAGATTACTTTCTGACTGAAAGATGACTAATTATTATTTCCCCAGCTTTTTCTCTTTTTCTTCTCTTTTCTTCAACCTGTATATATATATATATTGTCAACCGCACTATTACTTAATTGCGAATCGCAGTTACGAATAGCAGTAGCACGGGTAAATAGCAGTAATATTTAATTACAAATAGCAGTAACACTTAATTGCAAATTATTGTAGCACGGGTATAACTTGTAATCTATAAAACTAAATAAATATCACGAAAAACCTACCTATTATTGGAAAGTTCAAACCAAACAAGTATTAATACATAAAAAACAAAATTTTGAAAAAAAAGTTGTACAAAAATATAAAACCAAAAAACAGTAAAAAACATTAAAAGACATTAAAAAAAAATTAAAAACAATGAAAACAGTAAAAAACGTAAAAAAAATTCAAGTAATTAAGCGTCATCACATCATAAAAAGAAGCAAAATCATAACTAGAGCCAAACTAAGATTCACAGGTGCAATATTTGTCTGGGCTGAATTAACTTGCTCAACTCCACCTGAGCTAGAATTGGGTTGGTATTGGGACGGGAGAGAAGAAGAAACAGCTGGCAATGTATTTTGGGTGTTCACCAGAGCAACTGAGGACTGGGAAGTCGAAGTCGAAGTCGAGGTCGAAACTGAAAGAGAAGAACTAGTCGACTCGGTAGTAGGGTGATTTTCCACAAAACTCTCCGTCAATGTAAGAGTGACACCCTCAGTAACAATAGTGAAGGTTGTGTAAGACGACAACTCCAGAGATCCAGAAGATGATGTCGCAGAAGAAATAAGTGATGAAGAACCCTCATTAATAGAAGGCGAGGATGCAACAGATGTAGACAATGAAGGAGTTTCTGGAATTGAAGATGAAGCAGAAACAATGCCAGATAGCAAGGAATTTTCAAATGTGAATGTCTCAAGGGAAGACACAATCTCAGAGCCAGAACCAGAGACAAATTGAAAAGAAACAAAAGATGATTCATGAACAGAAAGTGTTCCAGTTTTAGATTCAGCGGTAATTGATGTTATTTCAGAACCAAGAATATTGGTTGAAACTAAAGAACTGCTGCTTGGTTGTGCTTCAGAAACTGCACTAGAATAAATACTTGAAACAATTTCAACTCCAGAGCTAATAGGAATGCTAGACACAGAAATAACAGGAGCAGATTCCTGTGAAGCTGTCATGATAACTGTAGTTTCGCCAATAACAGACGTAAATGTTATAAAGGACGAGGACTTAACAGAAATTTCAGAAACCGCACTAGAATAAATACCTGAAACAGTTTCAACTCCAGAGCTAATAGGGATGCTAGACACAGAAATAACAGGAGCAGATTCCTGTGAAGCTGTCATGATAACTGTAGTTTCGCCAATAACAGACGTAAATGTTATAAAGGACGAGGACTTAACAGAATTTGAAGCTGCCTCAGATAAAGTAGTAACTTCTGTTGATTGTTCAGGAAGATTAGTACCAGTTTCGGATGTCAAGAAAGTAGCCTTCGATGGAGCGGTATTTGCTGAAATAGTAAACAAGGAAGACTCTGAACCAGAAAAAATCAGGGTTTCCGAAGATTCAATAAGACTAAAAGTAGTACCACTATTGACGGTTGTAAAACCTGTGATGATAGGAGATGTAACGAAAGGTTGGGAAGGAGTAGATTCGCTGGACTCGGTGACAGTCTTGGTCTCACCACCAATAATTGTTGTATATGTATTGTATTGGGAATAAGAACTTGACGGAGTAGTAGCTGTGCAATCTTCACAAGGAATAGTAACAGTAAGAGTCTGAGAACCGATGACTGTCGTATAAGTGGTGAATTCAGTGTGAAAACTTGTCGAAGAAACAGAACTTGTTTCAGAAGAAGTAGAGATACATTTCTCACAAGGCTCCGTAACAGTAGTAGTCTCTCCACCGACGACCGTGGTATACGTAGTGTATTCGGTGTGTGAGTCTATTGAAGAGATAGTGAATTCCGTGGAAGATGTTGCCGTACATTTCTCACAAGGCTCTGTGACAATGGTAGTTTCACCAGAAATAACAGTTGTATAGGTGGTGTATCCTGTGTAAGAGCTTGTCGAAGTAATAGGGGTACAATCATCACAAGGAATAGTAACAGTGAGAGTCTGAGATCCAATTACCGTAGTATATGAAGTAAAGGAAGTTTGTGTGGCAACAGATGTAATGGTAGAACTTGGTGACTGAGGGCCAATACCAGAGGTACTAGAACTGGAAACTGAAGTTGTGAAGGTGGAATTCCAAGAGGGCTTCGTCGAAGGAGTAAAGACAAAAGTCGAAGACAAAGACAAAGATAAAGAAGTTTCAAGAGATTCCGACTCAAAGTAAGTAGAAGACTCTGAAATCTCTACAGAAAATGATGATGATAAGGAACTTGAAAATAGAGATTCAGAGCCAGCCTCAGAAGTGCCCTCGAATGAAGACAAAGAAGGTGAAGGAGAAGATTCAACTTCGGATGCTGTAAATGAAGACATTCCAGTTTCTCCAGTTTCAAGAGGAACACTGAAAGATGAGGATTCAGTTGAATCTTCAGGACACCAAACGATAATTTCAAGATCGCAATCTTCAAATGCAGTAATGACTGATTGACTGAGATCAAGACCGGAATCGTAGATTGACAGACATTGATAACAAACTGAGTAAGCATCAACAATCGAAGACAAAACAGGGCAGGAATCACCATGATCTTCAACAGTACTAGACACAACACCACAAGCTGATAAACAGGAATCATAAGAAGCATCACGTTTCATGGGTAGAATACAGTAAATCGAGGCCGCTGAAGAAATAGGTACAGAAAATTTTTCTGTTAAAGTCGAACCTTCAGTGATAGATTGAGAAAGAGATAATTCAGAAATGGATAAAGATTCAGAAAACTCAGAAACAGAAACAGAAGTGGATTCAGAAGATTCAGAAATAGAAACAGATTGAGAAGATTCAAAAACAGATTTAGAAGCAGAAACAGGTTCAGAAGATTCCGAAATAGAAACGGGTACAGATTCAGAAACAGAAACAGAAGCAGATTCTGAAGATTCTAATTCCGAAAATTCTGAAATAGAAACAGATTCAGAAGAAGATTCAGAAACAGAAACAGAAGCAGATTCTGAAGATTCTAATTCCGAAAATTCTGAAATAGAAACAGATTCAGAAGAAGATTCAGAAACTGAGGCCGAGGCAGAAGATTCCAAAATAGAAACAGAAGCAGATTCTGATTCTGAAGATACAGAAACTGAAGATTGAGAAACTAAATCTGAGACAGAAGATTCCGAAATAGAAACGGATTCTGATCCAGAAACTGAGACTGGGGCAGATGATTCAGAAATAGAAACAGAATCCGATTCTGATTCTGAAGATTCAGAAACTGAAGATTCAGAAACTAAATCTGAGGCAGAAGATTCCGAAATAGAATCAGATTCCGATTCAGAAACTGAGACTGAGGGAGATGATTCCAAAATAGAAACAGAAACAGATTCTGATTCTGAAGAAACAGAAATTGAAGATTCAGAAACTAAATCTGAGGCAGAAAATTCCATAATAGAAACGGATTCTGATCCAGAAACTGAGACTGGGGCAGATGATTCAGAAATAGAAACAGAATCCGATTCTGATTCTGAAGATTCAGAAACTGAAGATTCAGAAACTAAATCTGAGGCAGAAGATTCCGAAATAGAATCAGATTCCGATTCAGAAACTGAGACTGAGGGAGATGATTCCAAAATAGAAACAGAAACAGATTCTGATTCTGAAGAAACAGAAATTGAAGATTCAGAAACTAAATCTGAGGCAGAAAATTCCATAATAGAAACGGATTCTGATCCAGAAACTGAGACTGGGGCAGATGATTCAGAAATAGAAACAGATTCCGATTCAGAAACTAAGGCCGAGGCAGAAGATTCCAAAATAGAAACAGATACAGATTCTGATTCTGAAGATACAGAAATTGAAGATTCAGAAACTAAATCTGACGCAGAAGATTTCGAAATAGAAACAGATTCCGATTCAGAAACTGAGACTGAGGCAGATGATTCAGAAATAGAAAGAGAATCTGATTCTGAAATAAAAGGAGAAGACTCTGAATCAGATTTAAAAGATTCCGAAATGGAAGCAGATTCAGAAAACAAAGATAAAGAAGCACCATCAGCAACATCCTCATAAGAGGAAGAGGAGTCATCGGCAGCTTCCTCAGACGAGGACGAAGCACCATCAGCTACGGCTACAGATGAAGATAAAGCATCATCTGCGGCGGCTTTAGAAGATGAAGAAGCATCATCAGCAGCAGCTTCGGATGAAGAAGAAGCATCATCAGCTGCGGGTTCAGAAGATAAAGAAGCATCATCTGCGGCGGCTACGTAAGAAGAAGAGGCATCATCAGCGGCTGCTTCAGAAGATGAAGAGGCATCATCAGCGGCCGCTTCGGAAGAAGAAGAACCATCATCAGCAGCGTCCTCAGAAGAAGAAGAGGCATCATCAGCAGCGTCCTCAGAAGATGAAGAAGCATCATCAGCGGCGGCTTCGGAAGAAGAAGAAGCATCATCAGCGGCCGCTTCAGAAGAAGACGAGGCATCATCAGCGGCCGCTTCGGAAGAAGAAGAAGCATCATCAGCAGCGTCCTGAGAAGAAGAAGAGGCATCATCAGCGGCGGCTTCAGAAGAAGACGAGGCATCATCAGCAGCGTCCTCAGAAGATGAAGAAGCATCATCAGCGGCCGCTTCAGAAGAAGAAGAAGCATCATCAGCAGCGTCCTCAGAAGAAGACGAGGCATCATCAGCGGCGTCCTCAGACGAAGAAGAAGCGTCATCAGCGGCGACCTCAGAAGAAGAAGAGGCATCATCAGCGGCGGCTTCAGACGAAGAAGAAGCATCATCAGCGGCGGCTTCAGAAGATGAAGAGGCATCATCAGCGGCGTCCTCAGACGAAGAAGAAGCATCATCAGCAGCGTCCTCAGAAGAAGAAGAGGCATCATCAGCGGCGGCTTCGGAAGAAGAAGAAGCATCATCAGCTGCGTCCTCAGAAGATGATGAAGCATCATCAGCGGCGTCCTCAGAAGAAGACGAGGCATCATCAGCGGCGGCTTCGGAAGAAGAAGAACCATCATCAGCAGCGTCCTCAGAAGAAGACGAGGCATCATCAGCAGCGTCCTCAGAAGAAGACGAGGCATCATCAGCGGCCGCTTCGGAAGAAGAAGAAGCATCATCAGCAGCGTCCTCAGAAGAAGACGAGGCATCATCAGCGGCGGCTTCAGAAGAAGACGAGGCATCATCAGCAGCGTCCTCAGAAGAAGACGAGGCATCATCAGCGGCGGCTTCAGAAGAAGACGAGGCATCATCAGTAGCGTCCTCAGAAGAAGACGAGGCATCATCAGCGGCCGCTTCGGAAGAAGAAGAAGCATCATCAGCAGCGTCCTCAGAAGAAGACGAGGCATCATCAGCGGCCGCTTCGGAAGAAGAAGAAGCATCATCAGCGGCGGCTTCAGAAGAAGAAGAGGCATCATCAGCTGCGTCCTCAGAAGATGAAGAGGCATCATCAGCAGCATCCTCAGAAGATGATGAAGCATCATCAGCGGCGGCTTCAGAAGAAGAAGAACCATCATCAGCAGCGTCCTCAGAAGAAGAAGAGGCATCATCAGCAGCGTCCTCAGAAGAAGAAGAGGCATCATCAGCGGCCGCTTCAGAAGAAGAAGAGGCATCATCAGCGGCGGCTTCGGAAGAAGAAGAAGCATCATCAGCTGCGTCCTCAGAAGATGATGAAGCATCATCAGCGGCCGCTTCAGAAGATGATGAAGCATCATCAGCGGCCGCTTCAGAAGAAGACGAGGCATCATCAGCAGCGTCCTCAGAAGAAGACGAGGCATCATCAGCGGCGTCCTCAGAAGAAGACGAGGCATCATCAGCGGCCGCTTCAGAAGAAGAAGAGGCATCATCAGCGGCGGCTTCGGAAGAAGAAGAAGCATCATCAGCAGCGTCTTCAGAAGAAGAAGAAGCATCATCAGCGGCGGCTTCAGAAGATGATGAAGCATCATCAGCGGCCGCTTCAGAAGAAGACGAGGCATCATCAGCAGCGTCCTCAGAAGATGATGAAGCATCATCAGCGGCCGCTTCGGAAGAAGACGAGGCATCATCAGCAGCGTCCTCAGAAGAAGACGAGGCATCATCAGCGGCGGCTTCGGAAGAAGAAGAACCATCATCAGCAGCATCCTCAGAAGAAGAAGAGGCATCATCAGCAGCGTCCTCAGAAGAAGAAGAGGCATCATCAGCAGCATCCTCAGAAGATGATGAAGCATCATCAGCGGCCGCTTCTGAAGAAGAAGAAGCATCATCAGCGGCGTCCTCAGAAGAAGAAGAAGCATCATCAGCGGCGGCTTCGGAAGAAGAAGAAGCATCATCAGCAGCGTCCTCAGAAGAAGACGAGGCATCATCAGCGGCGGCTTCAGAAGAAGACGAGGCATCATCAGCAGCGTCCTCAGAAGAAGAAGAGGCATCATCAGCGGCGGCTTCGGAAGAAGAAGAAGCATCATCAGCAGCGTCCTCAGAAGAAGACGAGGCATCATCAGCAGCGTCCTCAGAAGAAGACGAGGCATCATCAGCGGCGGCTTCAGAAGAAGACGAGGCATCATCAGCGGCGGCTTCGGAAGAAGAAGAGGCATCATCAGCAGCGTCATCAGAAGAAGAAGAAGCATCATCAGCGGCGGCTTCAGAAGATGAAGAGGCATCATCAGCAGCGTCCTCAGAAGAAGACGAGGCATCATCAGCGGCGGCTTCGGAAGAAGAAGAACCATCATCAGCAGCGTCCTCAGAAGAAGACGAGGCATCATCAGCGGCGGCTTCAGAAGAAGACGAGGCATCATCAGCAGCGTCCTCAGAAGAAGAAGAGGCATCATCAGCAGCATCCTCAGAAGATGATGAAGCATCATCAGCGGCCGCTTCTGAAGAAGAAGAAGCATCATCAGCGGCGTCCTCAGAAGAAGAAGAAGCATCATCAGCGGCGGCTTCGGAAGAAGAAGAAGCATCATCAGCAGCGTCCTCAGAAGAAGACGAGGCATCATCAGCGGCGGCTTCGGAAGAAGAAGAAGCATCATCAGCAGCGTCCTCAGAAGAAGAAGAGGCATCATCAGCGGCGGCTTCGGAAGAAGAAGAAGCATCATCAGCAGCGTCCTCAGAAGAAGACGAGGCATCATCAGCGGCGGCTTCGGAAGAAGAAGAAGCTTTATCAGCAGCGTCCTCAGAAGATGATGAAGCATCATCAGCGGCGGCTTCGGAAGATGAAGAGGCATCATCAGCGGCGTCCTCAGAAGAAGACGAGGCATCATCAGCGGCGGCTTCGGAAGAAGAAGAACCATCATCAGCAGCGTCCTCAGAAGAAGACGAGGCATCATCAGCGGCCGCTTCGGAAGAAGAAGAGGCATCATCAGCAGCGTCCTCAGAAGAAGACGAGGCATCATCAGCGGCGGCATCAGAAGATGAAGAGGCATCATCAGCGGCCGCTTCTGAAGAAGAAGAAGCATCATCAGCGGCGTCCTCAGAAGAAGACGAGGCATCATCAGCGGCCGCTTCAGAAGATGATGAAGCATCATCAGCGGCCGCTTCAGAAGAAGACGAGGCATCATCAGCAGCGTCCTCAGAAGAAGACGAGGCATCATCAGCGGCGTCCTCAGAAGAAGAAGAAGCATCATCAGCAGCGTCCTCAGAAGAAGACGAGGCATCATCAGCAGCGTCCTCAGAAGAAGAAGAGGCATCATCAGCGGCGGCTTCGGAAGAAGAAGAAGCATCATCAGTAGCGTCCTCAGAAGATGAAGAAGCATCATCAGCGGCCGCTTCTGAAGAAGACGAGGCATCATCAGCAGCGTCCTCAGAAGATGAAGAAGCATCATCAGCAGCATCCTCAGAAGAAGAAGAAGCATCATCAGCGGCGGCTTCAGAAGAAGACGAGGCATCATCAGCGGCGGCTTCGGAAGAAGAAGAAGCATCATCAGCTGCGTCCTCAGAAGATGAAGAAGCATCATCAGCGGCGGCTTCGGAAGAAGAAGAAGCATCATCAGCTGCGTCCTCAGAAGAAGACGAGGCATCATCAGCGGCGTCCTCAGAAGAAGAAGAAGCATCATCAGCTGCGTCCTCAGAAGATGAAGAGGCATCATCAGCGGCGGCTTCGGAAGAAGAAGAGGCATCATCAGCGGCGTCCTCAGAAGAAGACGAGGCATCATCAGCGGCGTCCTCAGAAGAAGAAGAGGCATCATCAGCGGCGGCTTCAGAAGAAGAAGAGGCATCATCAGCGGCGGCTTCGGAAGAAGAAGAAGCATCATCAGCAGCGGCTTCGGAAGAAGAAGAAGCATCATCAGCAGCGTCCTCAGAAGAAGACGAGGCATCATCAGCGGCGGCTTCAGAAGAAGACGAGGCATCATCAGCAGCGTCCTCAGAAGAAGAAGAAGCATCATCAGCGGCGGCTTCAGAAGAAGAAGACGCATCATCAGCAGCGTCCTCAGAAGAAGACGAGGCATCATCAGCGGCGGCTTCAGAAGAAGACGAGGCATCATCAGCAGCGTCCTCAGAAGATGAAGAAGCATCATCAGCGGCCGCTTCGGAAGAAGAAGAAGCATCATCAGCTGCGTCCTCAGAAGATGATGAAGCATCATCAGCGGCGGCTTCAGAAGATGAAGAGGCATCATCAGCTGCGTCTTCAGAAGAAGACGAGGCATCATCAGCGGCGTCTTCAGACGAAGAAGAAGCGTCATCAGCGGCGTCCTCAGAAGATGATGAAGCATCATCAGCGGCGTCCTCAGAAGAAGAAGAGGCATCATCAGCAGCGTCCTCAGAAGAAGACGAGGCATCATCAGCGGCCGCTTCGGAAGAAGAAGAAGCATCATCAGCAGCGTCTTCAGAAGAAGACGAGGCATCATCAGCGGCGGCTTCAGAAGAAGAAGAGGCATCATCAGCGGCGTCCTCAGAAGAAGAAGAAGCATCATCAGCTGCGTCCTCAGAAGATGAAGAGGCATCATCAGCGGCGGCTTCGGAAGAAGAAGAGGCATCATCAGCGGCGTCCTCAGAAGAAGACGAGGCATCATCAGCGGCGTCCTCAGAAGAAGACGAGGCATCATCAGCGGCGTCCTCAGACGAAGAAGAAGCGTCATCAGCGGCGTCCTCAGAAGATGAAGAAGCATCATCAGCGGCCGCTTCGGAAGAAGACGAGGCATCATCAGCGGCCGCTTCTGAAGAAGACGAGGCATCATCAGCAGCGTCCTCAGAAGAAGACGAGGCATCATCAGCGGCGGCTTCGGAAGAAGAAGAAGCATCATCAGCTGCGTCCTCAGAAGAAGACGAGGCATCATCAGCGGCGGCTTCGGAAGAAGAAGAAGCATCATCAGCTGCGTCCTCAGAAGAAGACGAGGCATCATCAGCGGCGGCTTCAGAAGATGAAGAGGCATCATCAGCAGCGTCCTCAGAAGATGAAGAAGCATCATCAGCGGCCGCTTCGGAAGAAGAAGAGGCATCATCAGCAGCGTCCTCAGAAGAAGACGAGGCATCATCAGCGGCGGCTTCAGAAGAAGACGAGGCATCATCAGCGGCCGCTTCAGAAGATGAAGAGGCATCATCAGCGGCGGCTTCGGAAGAAGAAGAAGCATCATCAGCAGCGGCTTCGGAAGAAGAAGAAGCATCATCAGCAGCGTCCTCAGAAGAAGACGAGGCATCATCAGCGGCGGCTTCAGAAGAAGACGAGGCATCATCAGCGGCGGCTTCAGAAGAAGACGAGGCATCATCAGCGGCGGCTTCAGAAGATGAAGAGGCATCATCAGCGGCGGCTTCGGAAGAAGAAGAAGCATCATCAGCAGCGTCCTCAGAAGAAGAAGAAGCGTCATCAGCGGCGTCCTCAGAAGATGATGAAGCATCATCAGCGGCCGCTTCGGAAGAAGAAGAAGCATCATCAGCGGCCGCTTCGGAAGAAGAAGAAGCATCATCAGCTGCGTCCTCAGAAGAAGAAGAGGCATCATTAGCAGCGTCCTCAGAAGATGATGAAGCATCATCAGCGGCCGCTTCGGAAGAAGAGGAGGCATCATCAGCGGCGTCCTCAGAAGAAGAAGAAGCATCATCAGCGGCGGCTTCGGAAGAAGAAGAAGCATCATCAGCAGCGTCCTCAGAAGAAGACGAGGCATCATCAGCGGCGGCTTCGGAAGAAGAAGAAGCATCATCAGCAGCGTACTCAGAAGAAGACGAGGCATCATCAGCGGCGGCTTCTGAAGAAGACGAGGCATCATCAGCAGCGTCCTCAGAAGAAGACGAGGCATCATCAGCGGCGGCTTCGGAAGAAGAAGAAGCATCATCAGCTGCGTCCTCAGAAGAAGACGAGGCATCATCAGCGGCGGCTTCGGAAGAAGAAGAAGCATCATCAGCTGCGTCCTCAGAAGAAGACGAGGCATCATCAGCGGCGGCTTCAGAAGATGAAGAGGCATCATCAGCAGCGTCCTCAGAAGAAGAAGAAGCATCATCAGCGGCGGCTTCAGAAGAAGAAGAGGCATCATCAGCAGCGTCCTCAGAAGATGAAGAAGCATCATCAGCGGCGGCTTCAGAAGATGAAGAGGCATCATCAGCTGCGTCCTCAGAAGAAGAAGAGGCATCATCAGCGGCGGCTTCGGAAGAAGAAGAGGCATCATCAGCAGCGTCCTCAGAAGAAGAAGAGGCATCATCAGCGGCGGCTTCAGAAGATGAAGAGGCATCATCAGCGGCGGCTTCAGAAGAAGACGAGGCATCATCAGCGGCGGCTTTCCAGAAGAAGACGAGGCATCATCAGCAGCGTCCTCAGAAGAAGACGAGGCATCATCAGCGGCGGCTTCAGAAGATGAAGAGGCATCATCAGCAGCATCCTCAGAAGATGATGAAGCATCATCAGCGGCGTCCTCAGAAGATGATGAAGCATCATCAGCGGCGGCTTCAGAAGATGAAGAAGCATCATCAGCTGCGTCTTCAGAAGATGATGAAGCATCATCAGCGGCGGCTTCGGAAGAAGAAGAAGCATCATCAGCTGCGTCCTCAGAAGATGAAGAAGCATCATCAGCGGCCGCTTCTGAAGAAGACGAGGCATCATCAGCAGCGTCCTCAGAAGATGAAGAAGCATCATCAGCAGCATCCTCAGAAGAAGAAGAAGCGTCATCAGCGGCGTCCTCAGAAGATGATGAAGCATCATCAGCGGCGTCCTCAGAAGAAGAAGAGGCATCATCAGCGGCGTCCTCAGAAGAAGAAGAGGCATCATCAGCGGCGGCTTCGGAAGAAGAAGAGGCATCATCAGCAGCGTCCTCAGAAGAAGAAGAGGCATCATCAGCGGCGGCTTCAGAAGATGAAGAGGCATCATCAGCGGCGGCTTCGGAAGAAGAAGAAGCATCATCAGCGGCGGCTTCAGAAGATGAAGAGGCATCATCAGCGGCGTCCTCAGACGAAGAAGAAGCATCATCAGCAGCGTCCTCAGAAGAAGAAGAGGCATCATCAGCGGCGGCTTCGGAAGAAGAAGAAGCATCATCAGCTGCGTCCTCAGAAGAAGAAGAGGCATCATCAGCGGCGTCTTCAGAAGAAGAAGAAGCATCATCAGCGGCCGCTTCAGAAGATGATGAAGCATCATCAGCGGCCGCTTCGGAAGAAGACGAGGCATCATCAGCAGCGTCCTCAGAAGAAGACGAGGCATCATCAGCGGCGGCTTCGGAAGAAGAAGAGGCATCATCAGCAGCATCCTCAGAAGAAGAAGAGGCATCATCAGCAGCGTCCTCAGAAGAAGAAGAGGCATCATCAGCAGCATCCTCAGAAGATGATGAAGCATCATCAGCGGCCGCTTCTGAAGAAGAAGAAGCATCATCAGCGGCGTCCTCAGAAGAAGAAGAAGCATCATCAGCGGCGGCTTCGGAAGAAGAAGAAGCATCATCAGCAGCGTCCTCAGAAGAAGACGAGGCATCATCAGCGGCGGCTTCAGAAGAAGACGAGGCATCATCAGCAGCGTCCTCAGAAGAAGAAGAGGCATCATCAGCGGCGGCTTCGGAAGAAGAAGAAGCATCATCAGCAGCGTCCTCAGAAGAAGACGAGGCATCATCAGCAGCGTCCTCAGAAGAAGACGAGGCATCATCAGCGGCGGCTTCAGAAGAAGACGAGGCATCATCAGCGGCGGCTTCGGAAGAAGAAGAGGCATCATCAGCAGCGTCTTCAGAAGAAGACGAGGCATCATCAGCGGCGGCTTCAGAAGATGAAGAGGCATCATCAGCGGCGGCTTCGGAAGAAGAAGAAGCATCATCAGCGGCGGCTTCAGAAGATGAAGAGGCATCATCAGCGGCCGCTTCAGAAGATGAAGAGGCATCATCAGCGGCGGCTTCGGAAGAAGAAGAAGCATCATCAGCAGCGGCTTCGGAAGAAGAAGAAGCATCATCAGCAGCGTCCTCAGAAGAAGACGAGGCATCATCAGCGGCGGCTTCAGAAGAAGACGAGGCATCATCAGCGGCGGCTTCAGAAGAAGACGAGGCATCATCAGCGGCGGCTTCAGAAGATGAAGAGGCATCATCAGCGGCGGCTTCGGAAGAAGAAGAAGCATCATCAGCAGCGTCCTCAGAAGAAGAAGAAGCGTCATCAGCGGCGTCCTCAGAAGATGATGAAGCATCATCAGCGGCCGCTTCGGAAGAAGAAGAAGCATCATCAGCGGCCGCTTCGGAAGAAGAAGAAGCATCATCAGCTGCGTCCTCAGAAGAAGAAGAGGCATCATTAGCAGCGTCCTCAGAAGATGATGAAGCATCATCAGCGGCCGCTTCGGAAGAAGAGGAGGCATCATCAGCGGCGTCCTCAGAAGAAGAAGAAGCATCATCAGCGGCGGCTTCGGAAGAAGAAGAAGCATCATCAGCAGCGTCCTCAGAAGAAGACGAGGCATCATCAGCGGCGGCTTCAGAAGAAGACGAGGCATCATCAGCAGCGTCCTCAGAAGAAGAAGAGGCATCATCAGCGGCGGCTTCGGAAGAAGAAGAAGCATCATCAGCAGCGTCCTCAGAAGATGAAGAAGCATCATCAGCGGCGTCCTCAGAAGAAGAAGAAGCATCATCAGCAGCGTCCTCAGAAGAAGAAGAGGCATCATCAGCGGCGTCCTCAGACGAAGAAGAAGCGTCATCAGCGGCGTCCTCAGAAGATGATGAAGCATCATCAGCGGCCGCTTCGGAAGAAGAAGAAGCATCATCAGCGGCGTCCTCAGACGAAGAAGAAGCATCATCAGCAGCGTCCTCAGAAGAAGAAGAGGCATCATCAGCGGCGGCTTCGGAAGAAGAAGAAGCATCATCAGCTGCGTCTTCAGAAGAAGAAGAGGCATCATTAGCAGCGTCCTCAGAAGATGATGAAGCATCATCAGCGGCGGCTTCGGAAGAAGAAGAGGCATCATCAGCGGCGTCCTCAGAAGAAGACGAGGCATCATCAGCGGCGTCCTCAGAAGAAGAAGAGGCATCATCAGCGGCGGCTTCAGAAGAAGAAGAGGCATCATCAGCGGCGGCTTCGGAAGAAGAAGAAGCATCATCAGCAGCGGCTTCGGAAGAAGAAGAAGCATCATCAGCAGCGTCCTCAGAAGAAGACGAGGCATCATCAGCGGCGGCTTCAGAAGATGAAGAGGCATCATCAGCAGCGGCTTCAGAAGAAGAAGAAGCATCATCAGCGGCGTCTTCAGACGAAGAAGAAGCGTCATCAGCGGCGTCCTCAGAAGAAGACGAGGCATCATCAGCGGCGCCTTCAGATGAAGAAGAGGCATCATCAGCGGCGTCCTCAGAAGAAGACGAGGCATCATCAGCGGCCGCTTCAGAAGATGAAGAGGCATCATCAGCGGCGGCTTCGGAAGAAGAAGAGGCATCATCAGCGGCGTCCTCAGAAGATGAAGAAGCATCATCAGCGGCCGCTTCGGAAGAAGAAGAAGCATCATCAGCAGCGTCCTCAGAAGAAGAAGAGGCATCATCAGCGGCGTCCTCAGAAGATGAAGAAGCATCATCAGCGGCGGCTTCAGAAGAAGAAGAGGCATCATCAGCGGCGTCTTCAGACGAAGAAGAAGCGTCATCAGCGGCGTCCTCAGAAGATGAAGAAGCATCATCAGCGGCCGCTTCGGAAGAAGAAGAGGCATCATCAGCTGCGTCTTCAGAAGATGAAGAGGCATCATCAGCGGCCGCTTCGGAAGAAGAAGAAGCATCATCAGCAGCATCCTCAGAAGATGAAGAAGCCTCATCAGCGGCGGCTTCGGAAGAAGAAGAGGCATCATCAGCTGCGTCTTCAGAAGATGAAGAGGCATCATCAGCGGCCGCTTCGGAAGAAGAAGAAGCATCATCAGCAGCGTCCTCAGAAGAAGAAGAGGCATCATCAGCGGCGTCCTCAGAAGATGAAGAAGCATCATCAGCAGCGTCCTCAGAAGAAGACGAGGCATCATCAGCGGCGGCTTCAGAAGAAGACGAGGCATCATCAGCAGCGTCCTCAGAAGATGAAGATGCATCATCAGCTGCGTCTTCAGAAGATGAAGAGGCATCATCAGCGGCGTCCTCAGACGAAGAAGAAGCGTCATCAGCGGCGTCCTCAGAAGATGATGAAGCATCATCAGCGGCGTCCTCAGAAGAAGAAGAGGCATCATCAGCGGCGTCCTCAGAAGAAGAAGAGGCATCATCAGCGGCGGCTTCGGAAGAAGAAGAGGCATCATCAGCAGCGTCCTCAGAAGAAGAAGAGGCATCATCAGCAGCGTCCTCAGAAGATGAAGATGCATCATCAGCGGCCGCTTCGGAAGAAGAAGAGGCATCATCAGCAGCATCCTCAGAAGATGAAGAAGCATCATCAGCGGCCGCTTCGGAAGAAGAAGAAGCATCATCAGCAGCATCCTCAGAAGATGAAGAAGCCTCATCAGCGGCGGCTTCAGAAGAAGACGAGGCATCATCAGCGGCGGCTTCGGAAGAAGAAGAGGCATCATCAGCAGCGGCTTCGGAAGAAGAAGAAGCATCATCAGCAGCGTCCTCAGAAGAAGACGAGGCATCATCAGCGGCGGCTTCAGAAGATGAAGAGGCATCATCAGCAGCGTCCTCAGAAGAAGAAGAAGCATCATCAGCGGCGGCTTCAGAAGAAGAAGAGGCATCATCAGCAGCGTCCTCAGAAGAAGACGAGGCATCATCAGCGGCGGCTTCGGAAGAAGAAGAAGCATCATCAGCAGCGTCCTCAGAAGAAGACGAGGCATCATCAGCGGCGGCTTCAGAAGAAGACGAGGCATCATCAGCGGCGGCTTCAGAAGAAGACGAGGCATCATCAGCGGCGGCTTCGGAAGAAGAAGAAGCATCATCAGCTGCGTCCTCAGAAGAAGAAGAGGCATCATCAGCGGCGTCCTCAGACGAAGAAGAAGCGTCATCAGCGGCGTCCTCAGAAGATGAAGAAGCATCATCAGCGGCCGCTTCAGAAGAAGACGAGGCATCATCAACAGCGTCCTCAGAAGATGATGAAGCATCATCAGCGGCGGCTTCGGAAGAAGAAGAAGCATCATCAGCTGCGTCCTCAGAAGAAGAAGAGGCATCATCAGCGGCGTCCTCAGACGAAGAAGAAGCGTCATCAGCGGCGTCCTCAGAAGATGATGAAGCATCATCAGCGGCCGCTTCGGAAGAAGAAGAAGCATCATCAGCGGCCGCTTCAGAAGAAGACGAGGCATCATCAGCGGCGGCTTCAGAAGAAGACGAGGCATCATCAGCGGCGGCTTCAGAAGAAGACGAGGCATCATCAGCAGCGTCCTCAGAAGAAGACGAGGCATCATCAGCGGCGGCTTCAGAAGATGAAGAGGCATCATCAGCTGCGTCTTCAGAAGAAGACGAGGCATCATCAGCGGCGGCATCAGAAGATGAAGAGGCATCATCAGCAGCATCCTCAGAAGATGATGAAGCATCATCAGCGGCGTCCTCAGAAGATGATGAAGCATCATCAGCGGCGGCTTCAGAAGATGAAGAAGCATCATCAGCTGCGTCCTCAGAAGATGATGAAGCATCATCAGCGGCGGCTTCGGAAGAAGAAGAAGCATCATCAGCTGCGTCCTCAGAAGATGAAGAAGCATCATCAGCGGCCGCTTCTGAAGAAGACGAGGCATCATCAGCAGCGTCCTCAGAAGATGAAGAAGCATCATCAGCAGCATCCTCAGAAGAAGAAGAAGCATCATCAGCGGCGGCTTCAGAAGAAGACGAGGCATCATCAGCGGCGGCTTCGGAAGAAGAAGAAGCATCATCAGCTGCGTCCTCAGAAGATGAAGAAGCATCATCAGCGGCGGCTTCGGAAGAAGAAGAAGCATCATCAGCTGCGTCCTCAGAAGATGATGAAGCATCATCAGCGGCGGCTTCGGAAGAAGAAGAAGCATCATCAGCAGCGTCCTCAGAAGATGAAGAAGCATCATCAGCGGCGGCTTCAGAAGAAGACGAGGCATCATCAGCAGCATCCTCAGAAGAAGAAGAGGCATCATCAGCGGCGGCTTCAGAAGAAGACGAGGCATCATCAGCGGCGGCTTCAGAAGATGAAGAGGCATCATCAGCGGCGGCTTCGGAAGAAGAAGAAGCATCATCAGCGGCGGCTTCAGAAGATGAAGAGGCATCATCAGCGGCGTCCTCAGACGAAGAAGAAGCATCATCAGCAGCGTCCTCAGAAGAAGAAGAGGCATCATCAGCAGCGTCCTCAGAAGATGAAGAAGCATCATCAGCGGCGGCTTCGGAAGAAGAAGAAGCATCATCAGCAGCGTCCTCAGAAGAAGAAGAGGCATCATCAGCGGCGTCCTCAGAAGAAGAAGAGGCATCATCAGCGGCGGCTTCGGAAGAAGAAGAGGCATCATCAGCAGCGTCCTCAGAAGAAGAAGAGGCATCATCAGCAGCGTCCTCAGAAGATGAAGATGCATCATCAGCGGCCGCTTCGGAAGAAGAAGAGGCATCATCAGCAGCATCCTCAGAAGATGAAGAAGCATCATCAGCGGCCGCTTCTGAAGAAGACGAGGCATCATCAGCAGCGTCCTCAGAAGAAGACGAGGCATCATCAGCGGCGGCTTCGGAAGAAGAAGAAGCATCATCAGCTGCGTCCTCAGAAGAAGACGAGGCATCATCAGCGGCGGCTTCAGAAGAAGACGAGGCATCATCAGCGGCGGCTTCAGAAGATGAAGAGGCATCATCAGCAGCGGCTTCGGAAGAAGAAGAAGCATCATCAGCTGCGTCCTCAGAAGATGATGAAGCATCATCAGCGGCGGCTTCAGAAGATGAAGAGGCATCATCAGCAGCGTCCTCAGAAGATGAAGAAGCATCATCAGCGGCGGCTTCGGAAGAAGAAGAAGCATCATCAGCAGCGTCCTCAGAAGAAGACGAGGCATCATCAGCGGCGCCTTCAGATGAAGAAGAGGCATCATCAGCGGCGTCCTCAGAAGAAGACGAGGCATCATCAGCGGCCGCTTCAGAAGAAGACGAGGCATCATCAGCGGCGGCTTCGGAAGAAGAAGAGGCATCATCAGCGGCGTCCTCAGAAGAAGAAGAAGCATCATCAGCTGCGTCCTCAGAAGATGAAGAGGCATCATCAGCGGCGGCTTCGGAAGAAGAAGAAGCATCATCAGCAGCGTCCTCAGAAGAAGAAGAAGCATCATCAGCGGCGGCTTCAGAAGAAGAAGAAGCATCATCAGCAGCGTCCTCAGAAGAAGAAGAGGCATCATCAGCGGCGTCCTCAGAAGATGAAGAAGCATCATCAGCGGCCGCTTCGGAAGAAGAAGAGGCATCATCAGCTGCGTCTTCAGAAGATGAAGAGGCATCATCAGCGGCCGCTTCAGAAGATGAAGAGGCATCATCAGCTGCGTCTTCAGAAGATGAAGAGGCATCATCAGCGGCGTCCTCAGACGAAGAAGAAGCGTCATCAGCGGCGTCCTCAGAAGATGAAGAAGCATCATCAGCGGCCGCTTCGGAAGAAGAAGAGGCATCATCAGCTGCGTCTTCAGAAGATGAAGAGGCATCATCAGCGGCCGCTTCAGAAGATGAAGAGGCATCATCAGCTGCGTCTTCAGAAGATGAAGAGGCATCATCAGCGGCGTCCTCAGACGAAGAAGAAGCGTCATCAGCGGCGTCCTCAGAAGATGATGAAGCATCATCAGCGGCGTCCTCAGAAGAAGAAGAGGCATCATCAGCGGCGTCCTCAGAAGAAGAAGAGGCATCATCAGCGGCGGCTTCGGAAGAAGAAGAGGCATCATCAGCAGCGTCCTCAGAAGAAGAAGAGGCATCATCAGCAGCGTCCTCAGAAGATGAAGATGCATCATCAGCGGCCGCTTCGGAAGAAGAAGAGGCATCATCAGCAGCATCCTCAGAAGATGAAGAAGCATCATCAGCGGCCGCTTCGGAAGAAGAAGAAGCATCATCAGCAGCATCCTCAGAAGATGAAGAAGCCTCATCAGCGGCGGCTTCAGAAGAAGACGAGGCATCATCTGCGGCATCCTCAGACGATGATGACGCCTTGTCGTTAGCGGCATCTTCAGATGAAGAGGATGCTTCATCTGCTGCTGCTTCAGATGAAGAGGATGCATCTTCTACTGCATCTTCTGATGATTGCTCTGCTTCGGAAACTGCGTCCATTGATGAATCAGATATTGACTCAATATAATCCCCATTGCATACCGCATTCTGCATTTCGCTTATACAGGTCGTATCAATAACATTTGCTACATTAGTTAGAACTGTATTTGTTGTTTCATATCCAATAATTGATCCACACATTAAACATCCTCCAACAACTTGTTTTTCTGACATTGATAGATCGTCGCAAGATTTTCCACTTAATTCACTTCCTTCTAACCATGTGTTAGTAGTTGAACAATATGAGTTACAAGTATCTGTATCTAATCCATCTAATGTACATGACGAGATACTGCATAAATTTTCGGTATCAAAATCGCATTCGTCCAACAACCCTACAACAACTGACAAGACAGTAGTCAACAACTCTCCTATCACATCCAAAATTTCTGACAAGACCGATACTAGAGTTCCAACTACACACAGTAGTGCAGTCCAGGCGGAATCACAAAACGTACTAGCCGAACTTGAGACAGTACCACATAACAGACAGCCAACCACATTTCTTTTAACAACATTATCGACAACTCCACAAGTGACCAAACTTACTAAATTTACCGAATAATCTTCAGCTGTACCACACATATCACTGCAATTAGATTCTGTAATATCACCAACGTCACAAATACACTGGGTATCTATGTTACTTGGAATTTCGTCAGACCTCTCGTCGTAACATTGATTTATCCAACCTTCGTAATATTCGTAGTTTGATGAATCAGTAATGACTTTGTTGTCAAAACAATAGCGGCAAGCAGTGACAACTGAAAGAAGTGTTCCATCCATGTCTACATAACTGCCGCTTACAAGAACAGTATTATTTAACTTGCAATAATAGTCCTCAACCTTCCCTAATAAAGTGAAATCAGTATAGTAGCCACTAATTACAGTATTGGCATTATCACAGGCACTGTCGCAGGTCTCCTCGTCGACAGTACAAGCTGCTGATACTGCAGCAATTCCAAATATTGGAATAAATAATGCACTAATTCGCATTGCTGAACTCCTAGTTAGTCACAGATTTTTGTTGATTTCTTTTTTATTTATACTTACTGCTGCTGTTGTGTTAAGACAATATATAACCCCTTTTTCTTTTGCTCTTATTTTTGTTTTCTGTTTCCATGTTAGAATTCATTAAAATTTTTGACAATAACGCATACATACCTTGATAATTGGTTTAATTAAACTAATAATTAAGAAAATAAAAGTAAGGGATTAATTTATAATTCCTTTATTTTGCTGACCTTTTTAGAAAAAAAAAAAATTTTTTTATTTTAATAATTTAGGTTAAGGTAAAAAAAAAAAAATGGAAGATTAGATAGAGACTTAAAATTATTTATTTCTTTTTTAAGTGAAAATGGGTATTCCCAATCTTATATATATATATATATATATATATATATAAATATTAATATATATATGAATTAATAGTAATCACATTTTAATAGACGTAATAAACGTTTATTAAAGTTAACTTTAGAGTCTATTATTACGTATATTTTTAAAAGATAGGCGATATGCACGTTCCCCAAACCAAAGTCTTTATATAACAGATACTATTTTTAGTTTGTATGTTTGGTATTCATGTGGCATACTGGATACTAGTCATTAGTAAAGTCATATATTAAAATTTTTCTGGTAACTAGTAATATATTCAATAATATTTGAGGATATTCGTTTCTACTAATATTTAACTTTTTATTATACGGTATTGATAAGCTTGAAGTTTTAATATCAGATGCTATAATAGAACCTGATTTATTTTCTTTTTTTTTTAATTTTTTCATTACATTATGATTATTATGAAAATCTGTTGAAGCTTAGTTTGCATTTCCTTGGTCTTAGGCATTGAGATAATTTTTTTTTCAAGATAATAGGTTAAAGTTATGATTAATTGTAATTCGGTAAATTACTTTTTTCGTTAATTTTTTTTTCTCTCTCTTTATTGTTCAGCCGTGTGTGTACCCAGTTTAAAGTTGTTTATTTATTGAAATTTTTTTTTTTATTAGATTTATTAATTACATAAATTCAGGCTGCTAATTATTTTTTTTTCTTTTTAATATGCTGCATTGTGTTATTATATTATTATTACTATATATATATATATATATATATATTGGCCTATTTTTTTTAATTTCATAAAAAAAAAAAAAAAGCTGTGTTTGTAGGCTATTTTCATCAAAAGAATAAAGAATATACATTCGAATGAATTCATGAAGCTAATTTTATTTCTGTTACTAAACTATTATAAGCATTTTTTCATACTAACTTTTATTCTTTATCCATCTATATATATATATATATATATATATAAACGCTTTTTGTTTCAATAGTTATAATAAATTGTTATATTAAAGAAAAATAATCAAGAATGCTTGAAATTGAATAATTTTTTTTTTTTTTTTTTTGCTTAGATTTTGATATTTGCCCAAATGTTTAAGATTTATTTTGACAATTTTTTATTTTGTTATCTGGAATTATTTTAAAGAAAAAAAAATTTTTTGGCATTACTCAGGCTCTGTATTTCTAAATGCACCTGAATTATCATCAAGATTAAAATAACATAGTTTAAATTTTTAGAAATATAAAATGAATAAAATTTTTAAAAAAATATCAGTATACTTTCAATTTTAGATACCTCCAAGATATTTAAGTTATTTTTTGTTTGTTATATTTAAAATAACAGTAGTTAAAAATTTGACAGGATGATTGATGTTCATGATGAGGTAACCTGTTTGATGGCTACTAGGTTTGCCATTTTAATTAATCAATTATAATTAAAGTAGATTGCAAACTTTTCAGTTTTGATTCAGCCAACTAATCATTCACCAAGTTAATAAGCTTATTGCTTAAGCACCACCTTATTAAGGTATGTCTATAAATTTGTGACCGTTACGAGGTCACCTTTGCTACCTAATTTTGTCACAGTTTAAATCAGCGTTTCATTTCAAAAGAAACAATATATTGCAATAAATTTGGTTTACATGACAATAATAATATAATTTTTTTTATATTTTCCACCACTCTACCTTAATTTTTCGGAAGAAATAAAAAAAAAAAAAAAAGGGATGGGGGAAATATAGGGTGTGAGTTTAATTATTATGGGAAACAAAGTTAAAGTTATTGTAGAACTAAATATTTTTTTTCATAATTATTAATTCCGTCACTAGAGTATGATTAAATGGGGTGGTTCAATCATGATTATTGTTTTCTTATTAGAGTTTATTTGAATGTTAGTGTAAACATATTCTTCTTTTTTAGTAATTTTAACGCCGGGAACCTTGACAAGAAAAGACCTTTTATAATTTTTGGTAATTAACCAATGATTTAAATTTTTTTTTTTTTTGTAACAAACTGAAGAATGTCCGGAATTACCTTAAATGTCTGGGGAAGTTCTTTTTAAGAAAATTAAGTCATGTACATAAAAATGCAAATATTGAAAAAATAAAAATAAAAAAAAAAAAATAAAAATAAAAAAAAAAACATAAAGCTAAGATAATAAGGAATCAAAGCCATCAAACTGATAAGGCTCGGGCTTAGTGTGAAAAGAAAAAAAAAAAAAATTACCCCCAAAAAAAAGATGATAAGTCAAACCAAATTTACTGTTATAAATTTTATTTTATTTTTTTTTTTTATATTTTGGCACGGTTTAATAGATGATGATAAAGGTATATTTATGAGAGCTAAAAGAGAATTATATATTATTTTAAGAATTTATTATATTTTTTTTTTTTTTGGTGAAATGTAAAGGAGAGAGAGAGAAAAAAAAAAAAATTACGTGTTTTTTTTTTTTTTTTTTTTTTGACAAAAGTGGCATTGTAATATAACTGAAATTCATTCATTTATATATATATATATATATATTATAATATATAATTATAAACTAAATGGCGACACTTAAACTTTATAACCTTGAGGCGGTTATAGTTTTGACATAAACTTGATAAATTTACAGAAACTCTCTTATATGGAATATTTATTTCTTTCTTTATGTGTTTTATATATATATATATATATATATATATAAATTTCAATTGCTTCATTTCATTTTTCATATATATATAACATATATGTTATTATTGAAATTATTATTACTAAGTAGGCTCTTTTTTTTTTTAATATTTTTTTTTGTTGGGATAAAAAAAAAAAATAAAATAACAGGTTAGGGTTAGGAGGAGAGAAAAAAAATTAGCTGTGCTTTATGTTTTATGTTTTATGTCCTATGTCCTATGTCTTTTTTTAATTTTTTATTTAACTACTGTTGCCTCTAATTGACTATATAGACAATAGTTAATTAGCTATTGTGTTATAATAACACAGAAATCCATTTAAAAGCCCACATAAATCCTAACATTTTTTTTTTTTAATTATAAAGATGACTGATTAAGTTTCTCTGAAATATTGTATATATATATATATATATATTTATAACTTTCATCTTTATAATTCAAATAGGCTAAGGTTTTTACTTTTACTTTTATTTTTACTTTTATTTTTATTTTAAATTTTAATTTTATCTTTAATTTAAATTTTAATTTAAATTTAAATTTATTTTTTTGCTGTTCGTGACAATATTTACCAACATCCATAATAACTAATTAGTTATTATTATTATTATTATTATATATAATAACGAAAACATCGTTAAAACAAAGACTTGAAAATGAGTTCATATATGCATTACGTAGATTTCAAAAAAAAAAAAAAAAAAAAAAAAAAAAAAAACTCAAACCTTCCACCTTCTCCTTCTCCTCCTTTTTTTTTTTTTTTTTTTTTTTTTTTTGTTTTTGTTTTGGAGCATCAACATAAGTACATTGAAAAAAAAAAAAAAAAAAAAAAAAAAAAACTCTTGGTATACCAAGAGTTTTTTAGGTTCTGTCAGCAAGAAATACCAACCCATCATGTATATCGGAAATTAATTATATGAACCTTTAGAAAATAAAAATTCAAAAAATTTCTTTGAATTTATATATAAACATAATCCTAAAGTTTTTTTTAAAATATTTAAAATATATATATAAAATACTTAGACAAATTAATAAAACTATTTATGTAATGAATATAATCATTTCAGTATTTCTGATCTGAGTTAACTAGAAGTGTTCTTTTATATATATTCAAAAAAAAAAAAAAAAAAAAAAAAAAAAAAAAATATTACAGATAATACTTTGTCACCAAATGATTTTACACCGCCCTTACTTCCATAAGACTTGTGAATTACAAACATTTAATTTTTTTTTTTTTTTTTTTTTTTTTTTTGGGCCATGTGTAATAAAAAAAAAAAAGCCTCATCAAGTTGAATCCAGTATTTGTATTCACTAATTAAAACGCCTTGTACACCAAATGTTTTTAAAGTGGCGTTGTTGCTGTTGTTGTTGTTGTTGTTGTTGTTGTTATTGTAAACATTTTCAAAAGTTGTGACATCTCAGGATTTATATATTCATCACCCCTCAATTAACCAAAATCATCCTTAACCTGAATATCATACACAGTTCCAAATTCCAAATTCCAAATTAAACACAAGAAAAATCTTGAAAAATCTTATAAAGTCTTGAAAATTAGTATTACTATCTTTCATATAGCCCAATGAGTGTCAACAACGTTCATTATAAAAAGAATATGGATAAGAAAACAGTAAAAAGTGTTGTTTGACACGTAATGAAAGTGCCAGAAAAAAAATCGTTTTTTTTTTTTTTGTTTGTTTTTATTCAAAGAATTATTGATTTATATACCATCAGCATTTGTGCTATTATTCTTGTACATACCATATATCTTTTCATTTTCATTTTCATTTTCATCCCGAAAATAAGTCCTGATGCCAGCTTACGAGGAAGAAAGGGGTCAAAAAATAACCAAACCTTCCCAACTCATCTCCATTTGTCTTCATAAACGCTGTAATTGTATTTCTTAATCCCTTCAAGCAAAGATAAAGCTTACAATCTCTTTTAAGCCAATTAAACTGTTTAAAAGAGTAAACATGTCCATCTCTGATGATA